GTGTCGGACGCAGAGAGAGACCCACAGTTAATCAGGGAATCTTTAATGATTTCGCGGTCTCTCTCTTAGGGTATTTTTTTTTTCTTTTTCCATGTGTCATTTTCATTCGAGTCACTATCTGTGTCTGCTTGTTGGAGGTGCGTGGAGATACCCAGCCGTGCACCATCGCAAACGGAATCGAGACCGAGATCAATTGATGAGTCCCCACGAGTATCGCATTGACGACGGCAGCCCACCATGACGACCGTCGTATCCTCCTTCGCCGAAAACCCCCTCACCACACCCTTCTCCCGCCCCGCCGACTGCTCCAACATCTACCGTTCCGGTTTCCTCTCCGTCCTCGACATCGAAAAAACATGCATGCCCGAGGGTTTCTCCTCCGAACCGACTTTTTACTTCTCACCCGGCCTCGTATGTCCGTCGGGCTACGTCAGCGCGTGCCATGACCACACCGGCGTCGCGTCCATCACCACCGTAACATGCTGCCCCGTATACAACAGCGACGTCACGCTCTCCTGCGTCAAGACGACGAGCTTGGAAAGTGTGTGGTCCACGCTCTTTTGCACCTGGATCGCGCCCAAACCGACATCGCTTCCAATCGTTCTGAGCGAAGATGGCGTTACGAGCACCCTCAAGCGCGAATTCACGAGCCCCGGCGGCCTAAACGCGTTTGGTGTACGAATGGTCTACCAGAGCTCCGATCTCGAGTCCGCGACGAACTCGGAGTTTCTTCCCACAGATACTGGCGAAACTGCCCCCATAGAAAGTGGGAATGGGGGAGGAGAAGACAGCGGTAGCTCAGGTTTGTCGAAGGGCGCGACAATAGCAATCGCTGTCGTCGTCCCCGTGGTCGTGCTAGGTCTTCTCGGCGCGCTGTTTCTTTTCTGGCGCTCGCGGCGACGGCTCGCGGCGGCCGGTAGAAACGCGCCGGCAGGCCTAACACCATATGGGGAGATGCAGCAAAAGGCTGCTGGGGCGGAACTGGCGGGAAACCCGATCGCGACAATGCCCGAACTACCTACCGAACTACATAATACGACGGAGCCGGTTGAACTTCCCGCTGACAACCCAACGCACGACACTCGCAGAAGTTAGACAATCGGACATTCAGCGACATCTTATCACGTCCTCGAAATAATCTTGCTCCGTTGATTAATCCAGACCCCATTCGGGTGAACTGAGGCTTCATCCTAGCTATGCCTGACCCATCCTCAATAATCCTGACGTTCCCATATGTTGGCGTAGTAGGAGACGGGACCTGCCTGAACAGCTCAACCTAGCGTTGTACCCATAGGGAGGAATACGAAGTCGCATGGCCCTCCGAGGCTTACCAGATTTACCACTGAAGCGTCAACAATGAGCGCGTCATTCCGAAAATGAATGATATCCTGGGTGTGCATTTGGAAAGTATTCAATCGCCCAAGAACAAAGATTAAGCATTTGAAAGAGTTAATACCACTAATAAATTTGTCCAAAAATCATGGACAATGACTCAATGTTGAAAGATGTGCCAACAAACGTTGCTTGGGCCGGACCATTGGTGACCATAAATGAACTGCCAGCACCGTACCATTCCGCTACCTCCGCATTTCCCACTGCTTATTCAGTCTTCCTTCCTCCCTTTCCACTATCCGACTTGCCTCCTCGAAGGTCCCACGCAAGGGCAACGGCCGTAGATATTGCCCCAGCACCCTCCCAAAGTGCCGTGCCCTTCCACCCCTGATTCCACATCACAGCCGTCGTCAACAGGCGCATCGGTACCGTCCACGCGAAGAAAGCCGTGTTTCCCTGGTACGTCGCAAGCGTGTAGTAGATTCCCATGGCGGTTGCCGCCAGCGAGCTTGCCCGCACGGCAGGGAGGGCATCCGGGGACACCTGCAAGGTCTCGAGGATGGAGGCAGGTGGGAGGACAATTGTGGCGATGCCGAGTGCGAAGGATGTGATGCCGAAGGTGAGGACGGTGATGGAAGTTGGGGAGGGAAATGGGAGAGACTTCATCGTGGCGGCGATAGATTTTTGCGAGAACTTGTCGAGGATCAGAGCGGCCTGGTGTGTATGTCTTTGCTGGGGAGAGAAGTGAGGTGAGGTGCAACTAAAACTCCGCGAGTGATGATAGCCTAGCGCTTCGAAAGCAACATCGCGGTCACGTGGAAATACCCCGGGCGAGTCGGGAATCTATCACCAAAATTGTACAGCTCAGGAGTTCTGGTCAATTCTAGGCCAACATTCCAGAGGGATGCAAGGGATGAGATTTGTTTGTCTCCGTAAAACTCACCTAGCTTCACTGGCCCTTTTGTCGGGTCCCGATGCACATAACCGAATTTCTTGTGCTACCAGCCTTCACGGACGGAAGGGCTCTCTCGGGGAAATTGTCACCCCACTGAGACTATTTTCCCCTTCCCTTTCCTCTTCAGGGTTTCAATACGTCGTTCCCTAGGATAGCATGGCCATGTTCAAACGGTGGGTAATGTATATATGTGACAACAGCTTGCCAGTGGGTGGCGTCGATTGAGCCGGCCATGCACTAATGAGAATGGTTCAAAGGTTGTCTAGGACTCCAGATCTACGACGAGTATGTTGACGGCCCTCTGCTGCGTATGCTACATGGTATTAGGGAGATAGATCCTTGGATGGCACAAGGCCAATCCGATTTCTGTCGTTTCGTCCCTTCCCGTTTCCACTCACGAGATCCTTTCCACGCTATAAGATCAACCAGTTACTAGATCCAATTGAGTTTGTGGGCTGTCGTTATAGGGATGGTTGCACGGCCTGGCTCTGCCTCCGTAATAATTATTACGCGTCGAGATAGTTTTTGTCGGCCCCAAGTGCTGCAAACCGGGCGGTGTCCCCACTCGGAGAAGTAAAGATTCGCAACTTTAAAGTTGATACTGGAATTGGCCTTGTGGATACTAGACATACAAATGATCGACTCACCTGCTCATGGCTCCCGCACTTAGAGAAGGGCCCGAGGAACCGCACCAAAGAGAATGCCACCTGCTTCTTCCGACTGGGCATATATAGCATCATACTGTGGGGTTTCTCGCGTGTTGCACTAAATAGAAGACTATTCCATTTAGTCTTCCTTTCCGACTTATCTTTGAACCACTTGGTGTTGGGTGATTCATTCAACAATGGGACAGGGGTTCACTACAAACACAGAAGTGCTGGGGCATGTTTCCGAGCCGTGTCCAGAATCACGATTCATAATATCAATCATTCAATCGCAGAAGAGACTTCAAGATCAACTTCATTCACCGCCGTGAGTCTTTAATGCATGTAGATCTAATATTCTCTGAAGACGGCCTATCCAGCTCCCTTCAGAGTATTCGAGATAACAGGACTTGGCCAGAGCATCGTCGTCTGGTGTTTATGAGCTTCAGGATAGTGTCAACAACCCAGCGACGCAGAAAATCCGAAGAAACTCGGCAACGTTCCATCCACTCCATTGTCCAACGATTTCAGTCAATCAAAATGGCCTCGTACAATATCTACAGATACGCCCACGGCCCCATGCGGGTCAGTGGCCCGGCCCGCGTCTGGCCAGTATTACAGAACTGCTGCCGGGGGATGTAATGTCCAACCTGGTCCTGACCTCATTCAGAACCAATTGATTGTATTTTTGATTTTATATAAATCTATAAAGAGTTGGTGGAGATACAGGCCTGCAAATCGACGTTTTTTATGTGAACAGGGGGCAGAATGGGGAGGGCTGGAAGTGCACCCTTCAACTTACTTGCCTCATTTACAATAACCAGTCATGTCTTCAGAATCCCGAGGGTGATGATAACACGCAGTCATGTCTTTATAAGTCCAGGGATGACGACCACTAAAAATACCACCGGCCCCCATACCCATACCAATCCAGCCACCACTGTCACTGAATGATGCCAAAACCGGTGGTGCCGGCCAAGAATCGGATCGGCATCCTTGGTGTAGAGATCGCATAGTCCGTCGGTGAGCAATAACATCTTCGTCCGCATCTTGAATACTGTCTAGGACGTCTAGAGCGAGACCCAGATATCCCTCTGCCTCTCGAAACTCTCCCAGCTCCATAAGCGCCTGCGCCAGAACCGCGCGAGCCCGTGCAGTATTGACGTGAGCCTCGCCGTACCTGGATATCTGCAGAGAAAGAAATTGCTTATACTGGGCACAAGCCAGTTCCAGCTTACCCGTCCGGTGGTAGAAATACCCGATTTGATAGTGCAGAGACGTGGCGCTAGGTGATTGTGTTCCCTCAAGAGCGATCGAATGTGCTAGAATTGTGTTCAGAATCCGCTCCGCCTCATCAACTCGATCTCCTTTCCGATACTGAGGACAGATAGCTAGCCAGTATAGAGTAACGAGTGCATTTCGATTAGTAGGAGCCATTAACTCTGCCTCGGCCTTGGCAGCTTCAAGGTGACGGACTCTTCGAGGTGACGTCTCTGGTAGTCCGTTGATGATTGCGCAAAACACAGCCCAGGTCGGATGTTCGAAGCAGCCATATTTAGCGCGACATCTCACCAATACGTCTTCGCATAACTCCATGCCTCGGTCACATTCTCCTGTTGTATATAGGCTCCAACCCAACAAGTTACGAGTGGTCAATATACCGTAAGTATCATCAACCGTCTCGAAACCCTGGAGTGCCGTCAATGCAGCTTCCCGACATTCGTTAAATATCTCCATAGCCCAGAAAATAGCCGCTTTGGTGTAATGCAAGTTGGCTGCCCATAGAATATCGACTGGTGAGGAGGATGCCCTGTGTAGAGACAGATTTGTATCGACCACTTGCAGCAAATCCCTCCCTTTGCCTCCTGAACAGAACAAAGAGTAAACCCTTTGCAAGGGAAGATATATAGTCCACCGTTCTCGCCGGAAATTATGAATGTGCTCGACTCGCTGCCGAGCCCCGTCATCTAACTTCCCAATGACAATGGGAGGCAGCGGAACTTGTGACTCGAGAAGCCGCGGGAGAAGATTGATAGCATGCGAAATCAGCTTAGGCGTGAAGACCCTACCTAGATCTAGAGGTGGCACGTTCCAAGCCAGTGCGGTCAATGCTAAATTCAGCAGGTCGGCGTCGATCTTGGAATGAATGTAGGTACAAAGCCATGTGTGCATAAGTCTGTGCATATAGAAGCACCCGCTTGTATCTGTCGCATATACTAGCGATAAGTGCATCAGAATCTGCATAATCGTGAGGAATTCGGCCTCTGAGCGAATGATGCGATGGAACCACGCGGGAACGTGGTCGGAAAGTTGAGCCTTTTCAATGAACTCGTACCGAATATCGTAGGGGTCAAAATAGACCAGCAGGTGCAGCAATTTGTCCGCCAGTTGGTATTGCCCCCCTTGGTTGTGATAGTTGGAGGCGCCCCTACTTCTCAGAATACGGAGAGAGGTAAGCCAAGTTGTTCCCACGCTAGACTTGGTGTCTTCCTCGCACGGGAGTAAGATCTTCGGCTTGAGCAAGTCTATCATTGTCTGCTTAGACTCCTCATAAAGGGCGTTGTATTTTGAGATGTCCATATTCAAATTCTTCAAAAGGTTACCAGTTTGTGTGATGGCGAGAGGCAGTCCGTCGAGCTCGCGGAGGAGTTTTTCTGTTTCTTTACCACCTTCTGTAGGTGACGTTAGCAGGGAGCTCATTTTCTGGTTGTGTATTTCGGGGAGATTGGTTGTGCTGTACCCTGAGTGTCAGGATTATTCGGAGGCCTTGACATTGTCTTGAAAAGTAGTTGGGATGACTCCGCAGGCGCCAGCAACGTGAGCCTGAGTGTGTGCCCAGCAATCGGTGGCGTTGATAATCTCGAGGTAACAATGATTGATCCCGTGTCCTTAGATGGTACATAATCCACAAGACGATAGCCGCCCGGATCTTCCGGACCGAGGTCAACATTATCGTAGATCAGAAGCCATTCAGTATTACCGGCAAGGCTGAACCATTCTAGGGCCTCTAAGGCGAGATCGCGAGGGTTCAACTCCGCGTGGCTGACATGAGGGCTTAATGGGTTCTCAACTAAGCGGCGTTCGCCGATACACCGATGGACATTAGCGAAGCTCTGGACCAACGAGTCTTCGCTCGAGCCATCTAAGAAAAACACTGAGGTGAAGGAGTTTTGGTGCTCTCGAGCGTATTGGATGGCCACGTGAGTCTTCCCTACTCCTCCCATTCCATGTAAAGTTAGAGTTTTCCGGCTCGTCTGGATTCCTCGGCCGCTGCGTAAAACTTCGTGCATCTCTTTGAGGCAGGCCTCTCGCCCCACGGAGATTTGGAAGAAGTTTGCTTTGCCGAGGTGCAGATCGCGGTGGAAAGATTCCTTGAAGATGTTGTCTTTTACCCATGTGTTAGCTAACAAGAATTTTGTGTGGGATAACTAGTACAAGGTAATTGTGTCTCTCACATACCTCTTGGCTGCAACGATTCTCTCCGGCTCTGCTCCTCCAGTGTAGCTAATGAAGTGGGGCTAGAGTCTATTCCTGGCTTTGGCGGCATCGTGGGAGTTGACTGGTGTGTTTGGGACACTAACATAAAAACCCTTAGTCGCCCTGACTCCTAGATAAACGGAAAAAATCAGCCAGTCCCATTCACTTACCACGAATACATGCCCTTTCGTACAGCTCTTCGATATTACTCCGGACGAGGTTGAAGTTATTTCTGTCGTCAGTACTCGAGCCGAACTTGCACACTCTTCTATGATCTGCTCGGAGAAAGACCACTTTCTCGTGATAACTTGGGAGACCAAGTTGGGCGCTATTTCTGGAGACGACCTAAATCCCAGTTACTAGGGGCATGATGGAGCGATTCAGGTCCAAGTGTATCTCACCTGATCAAAAGTTCCCCAAAATGACAGGATCTTGCACTCTACCATGTATGGCTGCCACACTTCTTGCATAATGCTAGAAAATATGCCGTCTTCGTCTAGGACGTCGAAAAGATCGTCCCCCTTCTTGATTCCGAGGATAGTTGCGAGTTTCGACGTTATGCGGCCAAGACTCACTAGAGATCTTCTTCCGCCACTGTGAGGAGTCGCGAAGAATACGAGGCCGGAAAGGGAGGTGAGAATTGACTTCCAGCCCTCCTCCTTTCCGGGAGTGCCATCCGCCCTAACCGAGCGCCTGCAATACGCGAGGAAAAGGGCTTGCTTAATCAAAAGGCCCCCTAGACTATGGCCTAGGAGGATGAGCGGTCGCGTATCCGCCTCCTTGCGCTGGATTGCCAGCTCTTCCAGCAGCATCTTTGCCTTATCCACAAATGTACTTCTATCTTTTCCAAAAGCTGCGGCGGAGTCGTACTCGTAAATGAATATGCGGGAGTCTGGTATCGACGGGGGGAGGTCGTCTCGCAGCCAAAGGCGCCCGTTTGGGCCTGGGGGCGTTCGCCATGTATCCCAGGCATGACTGTTCGCGCTTTTATGTCGTGGATTCAGTCCATGGACAGCAACTAAGCTAGGTACCGGCGCAGATATCAGTCCGGAATGATCACAGCGGATGGGGTTTCGGGAGAGACACCGTACTCCACCTTGGCAGCTGAAGTTGTTGCTTCCCCGCCGGGCGAAGGATATACCTGGTAGAGTGGCTGGTCACTTGTAAGCGTTAAATATCTGCAAGAGATAGCCTCAACACTTACCATCGCGCATTACCATGTTCTTTGCGATTGACACGCTGGTACTAAGCGAGCGTGGTGAAGGGAGTTAGCCAGAGACGGGGACTGATGCCCAAGCTTTTGCACTTTCTACCAGCGAGGGCAGGTGGCGTCGCATAAGGCTCGAACCGTATATTTTATTACCCAATCTCTAACGTGCGCGTTTATATATCACGTGCTGGATTTTACTTACAAGAAGTGAAGTTTTATTTGGCCTTGATAACAGCCTGACCACTTTTTACAGCATGGCTATAATCGTGAAAGGGTGAGCGGCGACAACCCCCTACATCCACACATGTAAACAAACACTGGCGTCATTTACCACCGAGACGACAACGGAGGTGTGGAGAACCTTGCCACATTCCAGATAGAAAAAGAGCCGGCTTAGAGCGAAACCCGGGATTCTTGGTCATGATGCCTTGATCAAGATCAACCGCTTCGGAGGAGTCGGGAAGAGAATATTGCAATGCTTAGAGGATTTGACATTTTTATATAAATTCTTATCATAGCATATGGTGAAATCAGTCTTACTTGCGTGGCCTCTCTGGAGAAAATGTAGTTTGAGACTCCGTTGGCAAGCGGACGTCGGGATTGAAAATAGAACTAGCTGACGGTTCACGAGGACTCGAGGGGTATCAGCCGTCCCCTTCGAAATAATGATGGTGGGGGGGCTGGTAGGATCCCGGTTATCAAGGATATCCAAGTACAGGACACATGAGTCTTTTTTCAGGAGCCTTCTGTAGGCAATAATGCCCGGATATCTTGGATTCTCTTCTTCAGAGGAGGGTAGATGCGTGGACTGCAGACCCAACTTGTGTACTGCCGACAGGCCCAGGTTTTGGTAACAGCCTTCCACACACCACTAGGGAAGCGGTGGAGAAGAGGAAGCGATATACTATCCCTCCCTGATGAACCCCGAAGGCACTATCAATCGCTCTGAATTCAGCAGAGAACCTTCCCTATATGGATTTGCCAGGCTGTCCAGATCTTTATCGGCATTCCCACCAGCTGTAACGCGGGGGTGTTTAGGGTAATATCTCGCTACGGGGTATGTTAGCAAAAGCCAGGAGTCTCCCCTTGGAGAGACTCGTATGCAGCGCTAATTCCAATGAAAGGAGCGTCTTCCGCGCCTTCCTCGACTACATGCGGGGCTTTGCCATATGCTTTATATTTGAAGATATGGCAAAAACTCCCAACCGGGCTGCTCAAGCACCAACACTGCAATCAAATAACCTAGCGGTCAATTAAAGCGCTCAGAAAGTTAGGAAAAAAGTATTTTTCGTAGCTATGTGTCCAGCGGAGAATCGCTTCGTTCGGAGTCCAACCAGAGCAGCGCATACGATCTACAGCGCATACGATCGTTTTTGTACTTTTATTGTGTTTCTTGCTTTTTCATTCTTATCAGTACTGCATTCTTTTCGCGCAAGAAATGCGTAAAAAGGAATGAAAATCGAGGAGATGCCGAGGCCATTCCAAAATGGTATAATCCTTTTCGCGGTTACGCAGACGACTCTATTTGACTCTCCGGTCAGAGAATGTGAATGACCGACCCTATGACTTTGAGTTCCAGATTAGTGTTTGAACGGATGGGACGGTGTTATGGCTTCTATCCGCTTTCCCCGAGATCCCTCCGAGCCGGAAGTCTACATCCTCAATTGAAGTGGTGTCTGCTAATAGCAAACAACATCCATGCGTTTCTCATCTTCATAGGCGACGCCCACCCGGAAAGTAGGACGGTATTCCCCTTAGACTTTCTTCATATGCGACTCGTATCTGCCCCTTGATGTTGTGGCATTGTAGCCAATGAAGCACCGCGCTCGTAGTCGACTCATTAGTCCGTGTTACCTCAGTTAACTATTACGCCCACAAAAAGACTTTCAAAGAAGGCAACAGTTCCCAGGACTCGTCCGCCTATTCTAGGTCCCGTCGTTGCGAAGATCCGAGTAGACGCATGGGGGGATATGCTGATACCCTTCTATTCCTCTCCATTTGAGGCCCTCTGAACTCCTAGAAAGCTTGAGAATATAGTCAATTCTAGACAAGGTTCGAAAATCCATGAAACAGAACTTTTTGTTCTCACTTCTCTAGGCCGGAGATACTCTCTCGAATACAAAGCAGACCGAAACGAACTGCCGCCTTCATCGTGCGGGACGCTGGAAAAACAAATATTTCTGAAGGCCAACCTGGGAGTATCCCCACCATGGAAAAGGAGCGTCAAATCTCGAATTCCACGCCAACAGACCAGATCAAGAAGAGAAGTTAGATTTATTGTAATCCATCCTCTGCGGCCGGTGAAGTTGAGGAAGTAATGAGATGATAAAAGGTCTCCGTATATGTTCCGCAAGTTTCTCGTGGCAGCCATCCTTTCTTAGTTGTCGTTCCACGTTACCTCAAGGGTGTATTTGGAATGCCTGTTTATACGAGGCTCACAGTGAGATCATGACTTCATAAATGACTCCTTATACACCAAGTCGTTTTCACATGCTTTATTCCTCACGCATCGCTCCGGTGAGCCAACCACGGTAACAATTTGCTCGCGGAATTGCCAGCGGAATGGAATTTGCCCCCCGCGTGGGAGGAGACAGAAATACCATAATAATACCGAGCGGATACCCCGGAATACCGAAGCTCGGTCGAGGTACTGCACCGAGATATACTGGTACGGCCGTTACGCCCGGGTACCCCTCACACCATAGAACCACAATTTCAAAAGTCCCCTACTTTGGTTACACGAAATCTAGCGTGCTTTTGGTTCGTGGCTTTGCCATGATCATCGGCGTGGCTTCTACCAGGAACACCCTACGTACATTCGTTCACACCGACTTCCCGCAGATACACGTCTCCTCTGTAATATCTTGTACGTAAGCTGACAGCCCGTGGGCCGGGCCGTATATCAAATACCTTCGGCTCTTGAGCATATGGGGCTCGTAAAAAGTTCGAGCGTTGCAGGACAGGCCCTAGAATTGTCAGACAGAGAGTTTAACCAATGGTCACGTTTGCGGAGACAGGAAGGATCTCCTTAAGAAGTAGCATCGATTGTGATAATGTAGATTTCAGCAGCCGATGTTAACTCCCGCGAACATTTTCTTGAATGTACAGTGCCTGGATTCGGAAGATGCCTGCTGTCGATGTCCGCTGCGTTGTATCGGGGGGCGCGTGGGTATAAGCGGGAAGGATGAAGGGGCAGGGTTACTTGCATGCGTATTCCTTCTCAACCATCCTCAATCCACTCTAGTTCCCATCTCTCCCCTGACGTAGTATTTGGAAGACGACGTTTCAATGGCGACATTGGGTGGTCGATCGCACCACTAAGACCCAATTGGCAACCGTTCAACCAGGGCGATCTGCAGTCCTCCCCAACGGTCGGCTCGGACCGTCCGATGTTATTGGATCGGTTACGAAATTTGCGTTGAAGTTCGCTCCTCTGATCGCGCTAATGTAAGCTGTCAGCATGAACGAGGGGAGAAAGCAAAGGTCCTTATGTTCTAAATCTGTGAATTCAAGCCACCCGGGAGCAGCCGGACGTATATAATACGAAAGGTCCAATGCCGTCCTTTCCAGCCTAAGCTGTTTGCGGATGCTGCCAGCAGGAACTCTCTCCCAAAATCGAAGACCAATCTCGCTTGAAATCTTGCTGGCAGCGTCCCATAAATCCGTGATGTGAATGTAATCACATATTATAGGTAGCTAGCTACCTCCGATCAGCCAAGCTTTTTCGAGTATCATATCCCTGTTCCCATTGCTGTACGCATCACCGCAGATTATCCAGTTAAGCTCGTCTCTACGTGTATGTCACGGGAAGACCTACACCGATCACACCGCATTCCCCTTCTGACAATACATCATTCCAGTCCTACCCGAGTCTAAGGGCGTCTGATCGGGAAAGCGAAGTATGGCTTCCAATGATGACGACTGGTCCGAGATTGCGGATCCAAAAGCTCGGAAACGCGTGCAAAACCGAATAGCGCAGAGGAATCACCGTACTACATCAATCCAAGCTTGCCTTACCCTTGAGAGGATGTGACTGATGTTTGGACAGGAAAAAACCTCAAAACACGAATAGAAAAGCTGGAACATCAGCTAGCCGAACGAACTGCTGAGGATGCCAAACGCAGGCTGTCGAATCAACCCATATACCCTTCTCCAACATCGACCATCTCGCGCGACATCTTTCCGTTCTCACAGATGGACTACATGACTTACGCCCAAATGCCTGGTCAAGGCCTACCATCCTTACTTTCTTTACATTCAAGCGATTCACCGAGAGATGCACCCGTGACCTCGAACGATGAATCAGATGAAAATCCGAGACCAGGTATGAAAAGAACCCTAGTATTGCGTGCCCATATGGGTTTTCCGTATTTTAATCGGCATACAGACCATGTAGGCGAAAGAGGAAGAGGACACGAGCAAGTGTCCGAAGTTCCACGACATCGACCTAATTTGGATGGCCGCAACCCGGATGTTATGTACGATCTACAATGGGACACGAAAGATATTATTGCCTTCGACCCGCCTGCCTCACCGAACGGAGAGCCCAGCCCAGTCGACCCACGCATGTTGGAGCTCCTAAGGTCCGAAATCGAGTCTCCCACGACGGAGAACGGCGTAGCGCATGTCGCATCTGGAGTACGGCAGCCCAAAACGAATGCACCACTTCCCGAAAGACTGGCATATGTTCTCGAAAGCATACATCGTTCGGGATTCGACGGCCCGGAAAGCGTAATATCAGACTACTACACCTCGGACTTCCGCCTCTTTCCCCGACTCGCAAGCTCGCAGCACCTAAGCCGAAATCGAAAGCTGCCTGGAATCCTGTCCGACTTGCGAACTAGCGCCCCGTCTTGGACTGAGTGGGAGGCACAGGGCTACAAAGGCGAGATTATCCGGTCCGCTGAAAGCATACTAGCAGCTGAGCGGAAGAAGCTGGTAGCCTCCACCACGCTCCAGCAATTCATAGACAAACACGAGAAATGCGACGGACCAGAGAACGGAAAGGAGGACGAAGGTCTGCAGGCAGCCTTCATTATTGCTATTTTTCAACGAGAGGTCAGGTTCCTCGGAAAACGCTTGAGCAGGAAAAAGAACTTTAGCTGACTCGACGTTTAGGCGCCGAACTTATGGTCACTGGTTTCCTCCCTGCTGACTATGGAAAACGGGTACGCAGAAACGCAGGATGGTTTCCAGAAGTCACTGGCCCTGATGCTAATACTTTGTTGCCCCGCAAGCGTGACGCGGGGGAAACTGTACAAAATATTGCAACGGTGCCTTGGCGTGAAGTTGTTAAGCAGTAGCTCCAGTACGGACCTGAAACATCAAGCAGGAATATGGGAAATAATTGGAAACGGAAAATAGGCGCTAGAAACAGAGAAGTTGCTAGAATCGTTGACATGACCCAACCGGCCATTTATGACTTAAGAAGGACTAAGTAACTCTAAAAGAGTAGGTTGTACATATAGGTGTAACAGTTCAGAGATAGTTTTGTAACTCTCGGCCCCTGATATCAGTGATATGCATTGACCGCCTATTATATCAGATAATTTTTTTAAGGGGGGGGGGGGGGGGGGGGGGGGCTATCAGGACTCAATCTTCAACTACAATGAGTTTGCATAAAAATGCCAGCGTTTTCTCTTCCGCCTCTCCTCGAACATAGACACAAATGACACTGAGACGGACGAGTGCATTTTGGCCACAGCATCACACATAAAATGGAACTGGAATAGGAACTCTACAAAGTTCTGATGCGTGGCGGGTTGTAGTTCGCAGGTGGTATCAGGTCACGGCACAGTTTTCCGCAGCACGGTGAGACTTGCTCTGACCCGTGACTCGGACCTCTGGAAGCTACAACGGAGCCGCCGGGGATCTCGGTACGAATCAGCAAATCACGGATACCGGTTGTAGAAAATGAGTTTTTCTGCAGGTCGCTGACGTGCTTGAAGAAAAACATGGAGAATATGCGGACTGTAGAAACCTATTGGGAATATGCATGACTTCTTGGGGGATGTAGGCCCGACAACAGCGTCGCAGTCTTACGACAGACGATGCAGGAGAAGTAGGCTTGTTGATTGAAGTTAAGCCAGTAATTTCATTGTCATGTGTGCTGATAGAGTGGGATCACAGAACGACTCATTGAGGTGGCAGGATTCAGTCGCAGCGACTCCTTGTGCGGGCAGCCCTGGTCGTACGATGTTGGAATAAGCTCTAACTTGGCAATCCCTGCTGACGCAGACTTTGTGCGGGAGGACCTCGGTTCATACAACCATCCTTGGCATCAGACTGATCTGAGGGTCTGGATGAAGATCGGCCGGGTACAGTCAGAAACCGGGCCGTGCCGTCCACCCTAGCCAGGATGGAGTCAGAAACTTTGACTGTGCGCATCTGACGGAGACCTGAATAAGACAAGGGGTACGGCTGTACGCTTAGCTTTCGGAGTAAGTCGGTTATGCCAGGGACCTCCCAGGTTGCATCACATCTCTACCTATAACTCGGGCATTAAGCTGCTCTCTGGGAGTCCCGGAGGCTTTCCGGTTCGCGAACGTGTCATTGGGAGGTTCTTCTGTGATTTATTTAGCGAGACAGAAGATTTGGCTTGGCCTGCCAAGTGAATATCACTCGACAGATCCGGTAGAACTCCAGACCACAAAATTGTAATTGAATTTTACAGAGGCTGAGGTAGCTTAATGAGACGGCGTTGAGTTCATATCAGACGTATCTACTACCTAATTCCACGAAATTGCTAGTATTTTGGTACCTACGTACGTTCTTCCCTCATGATCAACCTAAAACTTTCAACCTTTAACCTCTGCCGAGATCTGCCGGGGCGGAAGCGGGCTAGTCCCATTGAGCTTTTCGAGGAGCGCGGCTGCGGTTTTGTCGCTGTCGGCACGTTGATCGAGGCCGGTTTTGCTGTTCGAGACTCCGTTTGCGCTCTTTGTTTTGTCTCCATTTCCAAACGCTGTCTCCGAAATGTTACCGCCATTCGGGGTAGTCGACGTGTGGGTAAGGGCAGGCCCATCGCGCGGGATGCTTGCTCTTGCGGAGCCACGATCTATAATCATTGGTCATTATTCGAATCATTCCGTGCTCAAACAAGGGTGGTACTCACTGGGCCCCACAACGCCATCATACGTCAGGTCTATGTTAACCACCGGATTAAGTCCCTGGGTGCGTCGAATATGCGATACGTAGACAGCACTCATGACGTTTGCTGGAACACTGTGGTCCTCCAAGTTGGACAACAAGTCCTCGAAAGGCTTCTTACCCTCAATGAAGTCCAAGGCCTCCCATAGGATTCCTCGCTTGACGTTCTCCGAGTAGATCCCGGGAAGCTTGGAATTGTAATGGCGGTCGAGGTCGGCGACAGAGTAGCTGACCAGCGGCTCTGGCTCATCAAGGAGGTCACAGTTGCGGAAGACGTGGACCTCGAAGTGATTGTCGGTACCAATCTTGGCGGTGCTGGGCTTGGATCGATCGTGCTTGTCGTTGGCTTGCCGCGAGTCGATGACGATTGTCTGCATAGGGCCGGATTTTATTTCGTGGAATTCGTGCTTGACCCGACCGATGCCTTTGTAGAGATCTTGCCCCGGGGTGACCCAGCTACGACGAGTAAAGCCGTTGTGCTGGAGATTAACCTGCGCGAGGCATATCGGCTCATTGTCTTGGATGAAGGAGATCTGAAGAGCGGCGTCGATCTCCCCAAGCGTGGGTGAGAGCTTTTCGATGTAGCAATCCGCGTACTTGCATGAATCGCCGTATTCCTTGCGTCCAAATGCGTTCATGTAATCGTTGTGGTTGAACGTCTTCAGAAACCCAGCCGGTGTCATAAAGCTGGTCACGACCTCGATCCTGTCGGGTTTCTTGTCTGCCGTCCAACCAGCCTTTACATATCGGTACGCCATGTCGAGGAAATGGTAGCCGCTGTGCGATACTTTACCGTAGCCGTTGTTGAACGTGTGGTACTTCTGGTCAATGATTTCCGTCGGCAGCCGCCACATACCGTCGCAGTGGGTGGAGATGATGTTTGTGACCGGTGCGCCGGACTTCTCGGTGATTTCCTGGATCATGTCGAAGGTGCGGTACATGCCAGGATGATACCTGCGATGGCTGGTGATGAGGAAAAACGTGCGCTTGCGCTTCTGGAGCTCGTTATATGCGTTCAACAAGTCTTCGTAGTCGTCCGCAATCCCCAACGCCTGATCCAAGTTGTATACGGTCTCCTTTCTGGTGGAAATAGGCTTGTCCATGATAACGTGCAGACCCTGGCTAATGGCCCACAAACCGTAGGCCTTGTGGGCCAGAGGTTCCGTCGAGATGACCACACAGTCGATCCTGAGACGCACCGCCAGGTTCTTCAACATGACCGAGACGTTGCTTGGCATGGGCCCGGAGAAGAAAGGGACGAAGAAGAGTTCTGTCCCGGGGAAGACCTTGTTGCGGAGCTCCGTGATTTGTTCCGTATTTTGCTCGATGTCGACGGCGCAGACGAGCTTTGCTCGGCCCTCCGCTTCTAGTGTCTTGAGGTGTGGAATGTAGATGCGCTTCGCGTGAGGGCCGACGCCGACTAGCAGAAAGCGCGCTAGCTCTCTTTCAGGTTGTTCGACGATGGTGGAATGCATTGTTTACGGAAGATAGAAGTCAAAGTAGAGTTGCTTAGAGTTGAAGTAGGTATCCTAATACTCTTGGAAGACTTGTCGAACTTTGTTGGGTTAGATTCATCCTCCGTCTCTAACATGGCCAGCTGTTAAACAATAATATATACTTGAATGAATGCTATACGCGTTCCCAAGCAGACAACGACAAAGCGATTTTAGGAAGATTTCGAGTGCCGGCATGTTTCGTGGCGCCATCGAGTAACACCGCCATATTGTTTGCAGACATTGGTACGTTGGTCCTCCGATGCCATTGCATGAGACTCTGTGAGTCAGCCCCCGCGGCGTATTACACTCTTAGAAGAACCTCATATTATTCTCCACCGGCCTGGCGTGGCCACGTGTAGGTTGGAGCACAGTCAGAAATGAGAACCGTGGGGGAGAGGGAGGAGAGGGAGGAGAGGAGCAAGACGCGGGGTCAGAGAGGGTCGCACAGTCGGTGTTGGAGGCAGTCAAAGAACGATCTTGTCTGCTTCTTGTCCACTGCTTAATTTCCAGCTCTCTTATTGATAAAAACAGACGAACTACGTGCAGGGGAGGTGCTGAACTATTTCCCCAAGGCCGTAGAAAAGACGAGGGAATCCCAAGATTCGGTTCTAGTGTCCCTTTCACTTCATTTCCAAAATCTATTAGACTAGGACGCTTGAGTGCTCTGAATGATGACTCCTCGAAAGATTCAAGTTCTGGCGAAAAAAGATGGAGGTGGGAAGAGCACCTTGTGTTCAACTATATTCCATTCCTCGAGTCCTTGGCTAATGTGAAATAGAGCTATTGTGGGAATTTTCGTGGCATCTTTCCAAAAGCCACATCACGGAAAACGCCTGGCAGTCGCTTGACATCATTTTCAAGAAAGTTTCCTCCGCAAGCGAGGCCGAGATCCCTGAGAACAGTATTGGCGACTTCGAGAGCGCCTATGTTATCTACCTCGACGATGGAAGCCCGGGAAAAGCAGAATCTTTTGGCTCTCCCAAAGCGTTCCAGTTCTTTCTACAGTGTCTTCGTGCCACGGTCGCATCCACTACGGGCTTCGGACGCCTTGCAAAACTTATCGTCCCTTTGCAAGAGGGACACATTGTGCGCTCCGACATAATTCCTCTTCGTCTGAGGGACTCTCGATTTGTGCAGACGGCAGTCTCTTTTGCAGAGCCTCACCAGAGCTACATCGGCTCCCATATCTCAGAGTCCAACAACCTCGGCGCGCTCTTCGCCGCTTCTACAGCTGGCTTGATCCTGTGCGACGATGCAGACGGTAGCTCGGACTCTGGGCTAGACGCACTGTCTCTCTCTGTGGAATCCGAACTTGATAATCGACTCTCGTTTCCCTGGATATCGCCCGACAAAATCCGACGGCGAACGTTGGTATTGGTGGAGGGGAGTCGAGCGCACCCTGATAACGGTGGCACGGGCCCAGGTATCTACCTCGCAGCGATCGCACTTGGGATTAACATGGTCGTCCTCGACAACGCAGGACACTGGCTAGAAGGGCCGGAGTACGCGCATTGGCGTGAGGCATTTATCCCCACGAGGTTGACGGACCCACCAGAAGCGGATTTCGGCGACCGAATCGTCAAAGCCGTCAAATCCTACGGCAAGCCCGTTGACGGCATCGTAACCTTCTGCGACTCCTACGTGGTCCAAGTTGCCCAAGCCGCGCAGCAACTAGGCCTTGAGACGGTGTCGCCGGATGCGCTGCGCATTGCCACGGACAAATATCAAACCAGTGTGTTCGCCGGGCACCAGGCCTACCTGGCGTCGAGTGCCGATGAAGCTCTCGAGATTGCCGGGAAAAAACAGCTTCCCTATCCCCTTATCATCAAGCCCTGCAATGGCTGGAGCTCGGAGGGAGTGTTCCGTGTTGACTCCCTCGACAACCTTGCAGAAGCCGTCAAGTCAATCGACACATCTCGTCACGGATCCGAATTTGTGATAGAGAAATACTGTTCAGGGCCTGAAGTTGACGCAAACTTCGTTTTGTTGGATGGCGAAATCCTCTTCTTCGAGGCCTGCGACGATTTTCCCAAGACCGCCGACTCCAACGGGCCCGATGCCACGGGCTCTCTGAGCACCTTTGTCGAGTTGAATAGCGTGTATCCGTCGGCACTGCCCTCCCAGGAAATCAATACGCTTCGCGACAGCTTTCTGGATACCCTGCTCAAGTTAGGTCTACGCAATGGAGTTATGCATCTCGAAGGCCGCGTGGAACATTCGTCGGTCGACTACTACACGACGGAGGACGGACTTCTCGATTTGCATGCGCGCCGTGTGGAGGCCTCTGCAAATGGGGAGCCCCCCGCCGCCTGGCTTATTGAAATCAATCCACGGCCTCTGGGAATGACGGGCGCACACATCATCGAATCAACCTACGGTATCGACTATTGGGGGTTGGCCATGCTCATCGCAGTGGGCGACAAGTCCCGCGCTCGCTCTCTCTCTCGACCGTTCAAGCATGGGCCCCAGTACACATGCGTCATGGTCTTCATTTCGGCTGACTATCCCCCTTCTCGCCAAGGCATCTTTGATTCGGACGACATCTGTGCCGAGCTGAAGGTCCGAAGGCCAGACCTTGCGAGACAGATCAGTCGGTGCGCGTGTCTGGTCAGGCGTGGCCAAAAGGTGCCGCATCCGAGCTCGGGGGTCAACACCTTTTTGGCCTACTTTAATGTTTTCTCGAGGACTTCAAGGAAGGAAGCGCTGGACTTTGCGAGGCAGGTGAGAGAGGAAGTTCGCTTTTCATTTGTTTGAAACGGGTTCCGACGCCCTGGTTTTCTCCACGAGTCCACATACAGAGATAGATGTGCATGGTGTAGTAGTTAGTTCTAAACCAAAAAAAAAAAAAAAAAAAAAAAAAAAAAAAAAGCGAAAATGAAAACCAAAAATCAGAAAAATCAGGACGCATTCAACTATACTCATACCTAACCTACTAAGTCCGTTATATTGATGCTATTTAGCGCTGACACAACCATATTAACCCCCTCCAAGACGACATGAGTGCATTAGTGTAAACTCTGCATCCCAACCATTTCCCAATACTTCCCTCGCCTCTCCATCAACTCTTCATGGTTCCCCATTTCCTGCAGCGCTCCATCCTGCAGCACGCAAATAACATCGGCGTTCACCACCGTGCGAAGCTGGTGCGCTACTACGATGGTGGTCCGGCCCTTCCTGACGGCATCCAGGGCCGCTTGAACAGCGGATTCGGACTCGGTGTCTAGTGCCGAGGTGGCCTCATCGAGCAGCAGCATCTTGGGTTTTCGGAGAAAGGCACGCGCGATGGCAATGCGCTGCTTCTGCCCGCCACTGAGCATGCAGCCGCCCGTCCCTACGAGGGTGGAAAGACCTTCCCTAAAGCCACCGTGTCAGATATATACTTTGGAAATGTACCTTGTTTCACAAGATAAAGTAGAGAGTTAGGAGAAACACCCACGGTAGAGACTCGATAAATTCCAGAATGTTAGCCTGCCGGCACGCTGCAAGGGTATCATCATCGCTCACATCCTCCCCTGCCCGTCCGATGGCCACATTCTCCCTTAATGTACCCGAAAACACGAACGTTTCTTGGCTGACAAGCGCGATGGTCCGACGATATTTGTCCACGTCATTGTTCCGGACATCCCGCCCATCAACAAGAATCCGTCCGTGATCCGGATCGTAAAAACGCTCTAGCAGGGATATACACGTGCTTTTCCCGCTTCCGCTATGACCGACGAGGGCGAGGGTTTGGCCGGGCTTGATTAGAACGTTAAAATTATCGAGAGCACGCCGATTGGGCCGAGAAGGATAGCTGAATGACACGCTCTCGAACTGAACTTGACAAGCGCGGCTGTCCTCCTGACCTGCCTTTTCTTTCTCCTCTTGCGCGGCAGCAGGCCTACTCCATGATGTCTTGTTGATGCTCGGGTTCGCGTTTAGGATGCGCTGTAGATCCCCGGTTGCATGTATGGCTTTGCTCGCATCGGGCGTGAAAGTAAATATAGACCCGGCGATCTGCGCCCCTGATATGAGACTAACAAAACAAATGTAGAATTGGAAAACGGTGTACTCCTCGTTTGCGATGAGCGTTCCACCATACCAAAAGGCCAACGCCGAGCAGAGATAGACGAGAGACTGCGACGCGGCGTAGAGACTAGAGGCGGAGAGTATCGAGCGGAGAGACTTGGCTGCTTGCTGTGCTAAGAAGCCGTCGTACCGTTCCAGAGCGAATTCTTCAAGTCCGAGGGAGGCGACTGTTCGGATTGACCGGACAAGTTCTCCGGAATATGCCGCCGAATCGAGTCCGCTCTGTCGGATCTTGGCGTCGAATGCCGACAGCATCTGCAGCCGAAGCCAGCCACAGGCCACCACGACTGGTATAGTAGCAGTACATACAAGCGCCAGCTTCCATCCAATAGCTAGCGACAGAATGATGCTGGCAACGATTGTCGAAAAGAAGGTGAGTATACCACCAAGAACAGGTCCGCCGATGCCGGCAAGGTCGTTCGTGCTCTTGGAGAGGACACTTGACAGTGCGCTAGGCGCATTACCCGCCTCATCGAAGAAGGCTATGTCCTGCGTCATAATAGACTTGAAACAGGCCTCGCGAACTCGGCGTGTGAGTTTCTGAGTCGCGTATGATAAGGTTATCCCAACACCCATCCAGAAGAGGAACGTGGTGGCCGCTATAGCGACGTATAGACCGGACCAAAAGGCGACCTCGCTCTTAAGATCGGCATATTGAGGAGGTGGCAGACCGAGAGCGGTTAAGAGTTTGGCGAAAAATACCGACTGCCTGCGATTAACGGTTAGCCAATGCTGCGTGGTATATGTTGGGATGCTAATGTTGAAACTGCGTGAGAGAACGTACACTGGAATGCCCAATCCGGCAAGGATAGAACAGAGAAGCCCAAGGAGCAGTACTTTCCAGTCAACCTTGCTATTGCGCCCGATGAAAGCTAGCACTTGCCTTGCGCTAGGCCGACCTAGGGTTTCCCCAGCCTTTTCCGCAGGCACCATTGTGGTCGAGTGGTGGACATGTTCGTCTGCCTGTATCTTCTCATCCATATGACTGATCGACACACTTGGCGAGTCCTTCTCCGCCTCGTCTATGAAGGTGCGTTCCTCGGCAATCTCTTTTCCTTTCGTCTCTTCAATCTGCTGCTTCCGAACCAAGGCAGCATACAACCCGTCCCTGGCGATGAGATCCTCGTGTTTTCCTTGTTCAACAACTTGGCCTTCAGAAAGCACAATAATGTTGTCAGCGTTGCGGATAGTCGACAGTCGATGTGCGATTACCAGAGTTGTACGATGCTCAGCCGCGGCATCTAGAGCCGCTTGTATCAATGCTTCAGATTTTGATTCCAATGCAGAGGTTGCTTCGTCGAGGAGGAGGATCTTCGGGTCCTTGACTAATGCGCGAGCGATGGCGATTCTCTGTCGCTGGCCTCCGGAGAGCTGGAGACCCTTTTCCCCCACCTGAGTGTCGTAACCGTCAGGGAGCATCGTGATGAAGTCGTGAGCATTCGCTTTCTTGGCAGCCTCAATAACTTGCTCGGGGACTTGGGTTCTGGCTCTGGACGACTGACTCAAAGCCTCGGGGGATCCGTACTGAATATTCTCCAATATTGAGGCATTAAAGAGGACCGGGTTTTGATCCACGAGGGAGATCTGACGCCGCAACCAGCGAAGGTTCAAACCTTGTATATCTCGACCGTCGAGCACTGTTTGTCGGTAGACAGTGACGAGGATTGTTAGCCGTGTCTCTAGAGACATACCTTCCGGGGTGCGACTTACAGACTCGGCCACTCGTCGGTTCGTAAAATCTTTCAATCAATCCCACGAGACTACTCTTTCCACTTCCAGATGGACCCACGATGGCCGTCTTCTTCATTGCAGGACATGACAGAGTTACGTCCTTCAATACCTTGACATGGCTTCTGGACGGATACACTAGCCCGACACCCTCCAACCGGATGTCTCCAACCACCGCCTCCGGCTCTTCTCCCGTCGCCAGCAACGGGTCCTGGGGCGACCGTCTCGCGATCGTCTTCAGAACGGCACCGGCGATTGCGATGCCCGACGTCAGCGCCTGAGCTGAAGGGGCGATCCTAGCGATTGCGAAGGCCCCGATAACCACCGTCAGCGTTGTGGCCGTAAGTTCAGAGACGGAGACCTCTCCCTTGACTAGGAATTTGGCGCCGCCCCAGAAAGCAAGTGCGTAGATGAGACATGGCATGGCGTTTGACCAAGCAATAATGGCCGACACGATGTTCTCGCCTTTGGCATCTGCCTTGGCTGCCTCATCCAACATGGAGAGATACCGCCGTGAGAGTAGTGGTTGAATTCCAAAGGCAGTGACATGCCTTACGGCACCAATAGCCTCCTCGGCGATCCCGGAAGCCTGGCCGTAAATTTCCATGGCCCTCCTGTGATGCTTGATGGCGTATGCGCCACCAACGCTTCCCACCGCAGTCATGGTGACAAAGAAGGGGCTGATAATGAGTGCCGTCTTCCAGTACAGGATAAAGATGATGACGAATGCGGCGCAAAATTGGGCCACGGCGCTCACGGTCACTGATACCTTGCTTGTAATGGCTTCCTGGACCGTGCCCATGTCCGACATGATGCGATTTGTTATCTCGCCTGGGCCGAGCAGGTCAAAGAAGGCCATATTCTGGCGCATGATTGCCGAGAGGTATGCAGTTCTCAGCGCTCGAGCGATGCGCTCTCCAGAGTAGTAGAATCCAACGGTGGATACATATGTGAGGACAAATAGAGCTAGGCTGAGATAGACGTAGTAGAGACTGAAGGTTGAGATTTTGGACCGCAGCTCGGCGGCGGTAACGGTGCCTGCGGCGAAGCCATTGAACACACCGACAAGGAGACCGTAGATGACCTGAGATGGAGGGTAAGCAAGGCGAGCAGGGCAAAGTCTTCCTGGAAGGAAAGCAGGGCACCTACGGGAACCAGAGGATTCAGGGCGCCAGCAATAATCGCGCAAATGGAACTGAATGAAAGAATGGCCTTATCCTCGAATGTCGCATACGCAAATACATTCTTGCTCCTCGCCTCCTCTCCTTCGAGGCCGTTTAATTGGCGATCCAAGATGGCCCCCTCGCTGTCTTCAGCGGGAGCCTCCAACTGTGACGCCATTAGACGCAGCGCTTGTGCCAGGGCTAAGGACTTAGGATATCAGAGGGAGCATAGAAAGATTGAAAGATGTTGGGTTACAGGTAGCCACATCCAGATCCCAGATGCACTCTAGAATACCCCGGATTAGGCTTGGCCGAACTGTGTGTATGTCTTTAACAATAGCAGCCCGCTGATTAGCTACCTAGGTAAACCGCCTAAGCTCTAACAGCTGCTTGGGAAAGAGTTTGTTTCTGCAGAGGTGTGCCAGATTGGATCTGCTAGTGCGGCTTGCAAACCCCAGTGCTGCTTCGGTAGATCTGATGGAACGAACACACCCCGAAGCGGAGGAAATGCGGTGGACATGGGAATTGCGTGCTTAGACGTTCTGACTACATTCTGACTGTACCGGGCTCTGACGGATTGTGCCGTTCTGGCATTTTCTGACCCAATTCTTACCCGCATACATACGCCGTCTACCCAATGATACGATGCACGGAACAATGCACGTTGGGTTTACTACTTTGTTGGCTCACTCTACCAAATGTGAAATGGAATAATGAAAGTATACTTGTAAGGCTGTGTAGAAGCCACAGCTAGGAAAAGATCTTAGCCACAAACACTAAATCCAGTAAATCCACCATACTTTCAAATTCGTTACACGATGGGCTCCATCTTCCAGGTCGTTCAGCAAAACGGCACCAACAAGAACCGATCGACTGCAAGCAAAATCCTTCACCCGAACATTCAAACACCCAACCCCAAGGTCGTTTCAGCAAAAGGAAACTATCTTATTCTCGAAAATGGTCAGAAGGTTCTGGACGCGAGCGCAGGGCCAGGCGTCGCTTGCATTGGCCATGGCAACACTGAAGTAAGGGATGCCGTAGTGGCGCAAATGGACCGGCTGTCGTATTGCCACAGTTTGAGCTTTGCCAACCAAGCTGCCGAAGATCTGGCTGAAGAAGTGGTGAACTCGACCAATGGAGTCATGGCAAGAGCCACGATCGTGAGTTCAGGTACGCCGCCCGCATAACACCGACTTACTATCTCTTTTAAAGTAAGGTCGCCTATTAATATGTCGACAGGCTCCGAGGCTGTGGAGGCTGCTTTGAAGCTCGCAAGACAGTACTTCGTCGAGAAAGGAGAGCCCGAGAGAGTTCACTTCATTGCACGGAAAGGCGCTTTCCATGGTACTACACTTAGCTCCTTAGCGCTAACAGCGAAGCCTGCTGTGCGGAGGCCGTTCGACGCCATTATGTTGAACGACAACGCGTCCTTTGTTTCTACGCCCAACGCGTATCGAGGAATGTATCCTGGCGAGACCGAACTCGATTATGTCGCCAGACTTGCAGAGGAGCTAGATGCCGAGTTCGAGCGTGTTGGCCCTGGCAGGGTCTGCGCATTTGTTGCCGAAACCGTAGCTGGCACTGTTAGTATACTCCATATCCGAGCGCATACCTTACCTTTCCGGGTTCGATCTGACATGGTGCCAGTCTCTTGGTTGTCTTAACCCACCACCCGGGTATTGGCAAGCAGTCCGAGCCATATGTGACAAGCACTCGGCACTGCTGATCCTTGATGAAGTGTTCTGTGGCATGGGCCGAACCGGATCAACACATGCATGGGAGCAAGAAGACCTGCATCCCGATATCCAAACTGTCGCCAAGGGCCTCGCAGCCGGGTATGCCCCCATCGCCATGCTCCTCATGAGCCAGAGGATTGTCGACGGTATACAAGCCGGTTCTGGCTTCTTCAACCACGGGCACACATACAGCTCGCATGCCGTGGCTTGCGCTACTGCGCTCGCCGTGCAGCGCATCGTCAAGCGTGACAATCTCCTCCAGAATGTCCAAACGACCGGAGATCGTTTAGGACGGGGACTGCAGGCCGCCTTGGGTAGACATCCGCACGTTGGTGATATCAGAGGCCGAGGACTCATGTGGGCCGTGGAATTTGTGAAGGACCGTGGAACAAAGGAGCCGTTTCCTCTCAAGGAACGCGTCGCGGGTCGCATCAAGGGGGCAGCGTTGAAGGAACCGTGGAGCACTGCGCTCAATGCAGGCATGGGCACAGCAGACACCATTGCTGGCGATCACATTACCATCACACCGCCTTATAACATTGCCGAGGCAGATGTTGACTTGATCGTCAGTCGTGTAAAAGGAGCGGTGGAGGAAGTCCTCGGTTCGGAATTATAGTTTATACGTTCATTAGGTACCCACACAGTCCATGTATGTAGAGAGATTGAAACATATCTAGCTACAGTCTACCACGCAATATTACCGTGATCAAAGGTGCGAAATCCAGCATCCTTCCCTGGGGCCATCCGTGCTATTTCGTCGAGGATTCCTTCCACCGACGCCTTCAGAGTTACCGGGGCCTTTTCCAAACCTTGGGCAACGGCTCTCTTGTTTCCCGTCTCGCTTTGCACCCATCTAAACCAAACATAAGCTATTAGCTGGGTTTTCCGTACAATCACATCACTCGTACATTGTAGAGGCATTTGTTCACTTACCCGGGATGTATCACACCAACCGCAAGGTGGCCTTCTAGCTCCTTTCCAGCCTTCCTTACCAGATAATGGCCTGCAGCTTTGCTAGCTCCGTAGACGGCATTGGACCACCCTCCGGTCTCATCAACCCCCGAAACACTGCCTGCCACGCTTCCAATAAAGATAAATTTGGGCGTTTTGGCACGTTGCAGCAATGGCCAGGCAGTTTGTAGCAGGCGGAGAGGTGCCAGAGCATTAACTTGGAGGCACTCCAGGAGATTGGCATGGCTGGTCTCGAGAATGGACTGGCGAATTCCCGAGGTACCAGCATTCGCGACTACGACGTCGATATGGTCGATCTGTGGGTGTCCAGCTAGCGAAAGGGAAGCCAACAGTTTCGTAGCGCCGGCCGCGGCGTCCGCCGCTGACGCATCGCTGCTAGGAGAAGTCTCCTCGGCCGTCAAATGTACGATGGAGGATGATGGATGCCGTGGAAGAAGTTCAAGGGCGTTAGGAATGGTAGGATGACGAGTCGAAGCGATGACAACATGGTGTTCGCGTAGGAGGAGGTCCGATACCAATGCGTAGCCGAGCCCTGTGCGGTCATGTCAGTCTTCTCCACAGGCACTCTCGCACCCCGGCGAGGTGTAGTAGTGGTGGACTTGTACCTCGATTTGCGCCAGTAACCAAATACACTGTTTTCCCCGCCATTTTTTGAGTGTCTTTCCGTGCAGTGGTGCCATTATCTGCCGATTTTGTCGGGTGTACACGTACCTATACTTATCCAGCTGCGAGAGCAGCGTGTTCTGTTGTTGGTTCGTCATGTCAGACGCCTTACTTGCCCTGAGTAATGCTGCAATTTTCTGACCAGCTTCCGGTTATTTGGTGTAGGGCTGACCCCAATCTGACTCCATACAGCCGATACGCAGGTAGGGTTACACCTTACCTACCAAGGCTCGTCAGGTATTTTCGACACTCGGTAGTGTAAGGCATGGCTATTAACGTACTTGGCTTGTCAGACTACCTGTACTGGTACATTAGAAAAGGGGACGCCATCACTCCGGGGATGCCATCATAAACTGCACGAAATGTAGATATCGTTACTATGTATGACACACAACCGGCGGCAGCTGAGAGGATTCGCAATCGCCATCATGGATCAATTTAAGACAGCCAAACTTAACATCAACCTACTTACAGGCGCTTTGTCCATTCTTTTGGCATCTGTAAGTGAACCAAAAGCTACACTAAAATCAGTTCTAACGGGACGTGAAGTACGCATGCTACCTGCTTTTCCTCGTCGTGTACAACGCCTTCTTTCACCCACTTGCCCGTTTCCCCGGTCCGTTCTGGTGGGGCGCAACACCTATTCCATACGTGTGGTACCAACTTACTGGCCGCCTGCCATTCGTGTTCGCAGACCTACACGACAAATATGGCAACGTGGTCCGGGTGCTCCCCTATATGCTCTCCTTCCGCGATGCCGATGCTTGGAGAGACATTTACCAGATCCGGCCCAAGCAGAAGCTTCTCACCAAAGACCCATATGCGATGTCTCCTGGAAGCGAGGGCGCATACAATATCATCACAAGCTTTGAGCCGGCCGAGCATGCAAGGTTTCGCCGACGTTTGAATCCAGCCTTTTCAACGAGGGCTCTTCAGGAGCAAGAACCCCTCATCATGGCACACGTCGGTGAGCTAATTGAGAAGCTTCGCAATAATGAGGGGCCCCAGGACATGGTGAAATGGCCTGCCATGCTATACTTTGACATCACTGCGGACCTGATCTTCGGCCGGCAGCTTGGCAGTGTGCAAAACGGCCGCCCGCATCCGTGGCTCGACGGCTTGTTCGGAAGCACGATGCGCCTCATCACGTATTTCAACGCAGCACGACAGTTTCCGCATCTCACGTCCTGCATAAAGCCTTTCTTTCCAAAGGCTTTGACAGATCAGCAAGTCAAGCATGCTAGCTTCACACGGGAGAGCGTCGGTGCGAGGTTGCAGGTGCAGGAAGACAAGCCTCCTACCGGTCGCGACTTCATGAGCTACATACTCCCATATGACGAAGCTACAACGCAGATGAGTATGGCCGAGGTGCGTGCAACTTACGGCACACTCATGATTGCCGGAAGCGAGAACGTATCCACCACGGCGTCCTTTACTATATATCACTTGCTCAAGAATCCCACCGCTCTTCGCAAGGCCACCGAGGAGGTGCGAAGCGCTTGCCAGGATGACAAGGACATCACCTTTGTCTCAGTTGGTGCGATGAAGTACCTGACCGGCGTTGTCAACGAGTCCATGCGTCTTCACCCTGCTGCCCCAACAACGCAGTCAAGAGTCGTACCTGAAGGGGGCATTGTTATTTCGGGAATCATGATACCTGAGGGAGTAAGATCTCTCTCCTTTTTTTTTTCGGATATGCTTGCGCTACTCGAGAACTAACGGCGTAATAAGACTAGGGTAGGAGTGCCACCCTATGCCGTAAACCACCATCCCGACTTTTTCCAAGACCCCGAGGCCTTTCTTCCCGAACGATGGACAGGTGACCCGAACTTCGCATCTGACCAACGTCGGGCGTTTCACCCATTCCAGCTTGGCCCAAGAGCCTGTGCTGGGAAAAGGTATCGCTCCTAGACTCGGACACTTGTACCACCCCGTTGAGCTCCAGCTGACCAAGGCAAAATCTTTTTACCTATAGCATCGCATTGGGAGAAATTCAGCTGTTGATGGCGAAAATTCTGTTCCACTTCGACATCTCCCTCGACAGTTCGTGCATAGAATGGGATAAGGATATGAAGATCTTTCATCTGTGGCAGCTCAGACCCCTCCTCGTTCAGTTTAAGCCACGTCAGAGTTGACAGCAGAGAAGCCATGATCATCTAGTCATGTTCCCGGCTGCATTACTGGAAATCGAAAGGGGTTCTCACGTAAACGAATAGTTCGGCCACCCTTGCTTCTTGGGTCGATCCCACCCGCAACGAGGGGTTATCAGGTGGCGAGTTTTGATGGGGTTACTCAAAGACGAGTGGATGGCAAAGAAAGAAACAATATTCAAATATTTAGCAAATGAATTTAGGGTGGAAGCGTTTAAGTATCCGGGTGATCCGAATATGAATGAGGACACCGTCTCCCAACAAACTGATGCGCTGAATGAATAAATATCCCTGCAGGGGTTGACAGAATATTCACAAAATCTATTACCCAAGCTGGAAATTCAGCAGTATGCAGAACACCATAGGTTGATAATACAATCAAGGAAACCGCCCCTTCATTGCTTTCGAAATGGCCTTAAGGCAATTCTATTTCTAAATAGATTAGAGATCTGGCCATCCGTGCTGGCAGTGGATTTCCTGAATCATGGGTAACACTCCGTCGAAGCTGGGAGGGTAGATAGTGAAAACGTCCCGTACATTGAGGGAGTCGGTTGGTACGAACTTGAGGTCGCGGAACAAATTCTGGAGAAGGTTAAAGAAGTCGGCCACGGCCCAGGCTTTGGAACACCCAAGCCATTCCTCATTATCGGGTTGTTCGCCATCACTGTCCTCATCGTTCTCTTCTTTTTCATCCTCTACTTTATCCTGGTCCTCGTCCTCGTCTGTGTCTTCGTAGTAGCCCGAGGGGAAACCCAAGACGCCCTCCCATGAAGAGTTTTGCCAAACTTCTTGAGGACATTCGTACCACACGACAGTCCCTCGTTTAGTATCAAGAAGAAAAACACAGTTGTCGCAACCCCCACATATCAGACTGACGACGTAGGGAGGTATAATTTTATAGTGGTCAGATCCCTCAGATATTAATCTAATATCCTTGGCACTGATGTGCCCTCTCATCAGACACTGGGCCAAATCTTGCCAGTCAGCGAAACGACATTGGGGTGCAGCATCTGCATGGGCAGCGTCGGGACCTTCGCGCATGTACAGCAGGTGGCGAAGAAGTATGATAACCTCATCTAACTTGCCCAAATCTCGAAGGGCCTCTACATCAAAGGGCCACCCCTCTAGTAGTAAGTATATAACTATAGATTCATCGAGATACATCTTAGTGAGGAACTGGTAGTAACTGCGGATAGCGGCGATACGCTCATCGCATGAGAAGCTGATATCACAAAGCTAGGGTATTTCGGTGATGGTAGGCTCCGTTCGTTCGAAGAGCTGGTTCGGAAAATTGATGGGAACAGAGTAGAGAACGAAGAGGCGCAGATGAAGAATACTTTATCAGAACCCGGTTGGGCATGAAGCCCGTGTCGTCTGGCCGAAATAGACGAGGAAACACAAGCGCAATGAAGTAAATAAATAGTCCAGGAGTAGAATGCCAAACATGGACCGGACTCGTCTCGCGCGCCTCCAATCATGCTCAACCAGACTCATCGCGACCGAGTTTAGCTCAATTCAGCTGCAATTCAGCTGTCCGAAAAGAAACGAGTTTTGGCGCGTGATCCAATGTCATCTAGGGAACACAAGGCATACGAATAATTATCTCCGATTTGATGCAGAGGTTGTACGGCGTATAAATAATAATACATGAAATTCAATGATTCCCCACCCCAGAGTCCCAAACCAATTCCGCTCATGCAATCACCAATATTCCCAATCCCACCTCCCATTCGAACCCCAATTAACAACCCCTTACAATGGCAAGTTGGTCCATTCACTGTTGAAAACAACGCCGCTTCGCTTAAAGAGCTGCGAAATAGGACAGCGGCGGTCAACCTCGGAGACGAAGTGCTTAAACTTGGGATCCTCGTTTCCGCCCGTGATATCAGTCTGGACCTTCACTTTCAGGGTGACGCTCTCCCAGTTAGGGTTTCCCTGCGCGCCGGTAGCCAGTACCGCCGTAGGAAGGACACCCTGGACGGTGACCTCCCACTCTCCGAGCTTGATGCCATGATCCTTGGCGACGACGAAACCGGTCACTTGGTTGCACGAGCCCAGACTGGCAAGGGAGTACGCGACGGGAGAAGGAGCCTCGTCCTTGCCGCCGAGGACGGCGTAAGTATCGGTGGGGAAGGTATAAGGCTTGTCCTTGACGCTCACGGTCTGCTGGGTGCCAGAGCCTCGACCAGTAACTTGGAGAGTGATGCTTTGGCGGGCGGCTGCGGTTGCGGAGAATTGGCGGAGGCCGGAGATGGTCTTGCTGGTGCAGAGGCGCCTCTGAGAAGCGAGACACCCTCGGGCAAGCTGAGTGGCACGGGCGGGAATCATGGCTGAAGCGTGAGAGTGAGATGGTGATTGGGCAAATCGGGAGACGAGAGGACGTGACGCAATGTAACCAACAGGCAGGTTCAAGTGCCGATTTCTGCTGGAATCGACCCAACTCCCATTACCAGTTTTATATTCTTTTTGCAGGTAATATTTCTAGCACGTTTCAACTCATATTCTTTTTAGCTAATAACTATTGCGTCTTTCGGGAACCAAATGGTGAAAGAGCCAGCCCCGTACCACTAACGCTGCAACATTGCCCTCTTGGGATTAGGTCCACCGCCCCACGTCGCAAAACAGACGGACAAAGATGGGGGTTGCATGCGTTTGGTGGAGCTCACGAAGTTATTCCGTTGAAGATCTGCGCCAACTTACTAGCTTGGCAACTAGGCTTACCACCTGGATGGATGTGGGATGGGATGGAGGAAAGAAAAAGGCTGCGAACCCAGGCTCGTGCTTGCCAACATGAACCAGTTTTCTTGTCAATCTACCCCAACTAGGGGCAGGAGCTGATGCAGAACTAAGCTAGGGGCGGAACATTTACTCCAACCTGCCGGGAGATTTCGACGCTGAGCCTGCAACGTGAGTTTTGATCCCCTTTCGTGCCTGGACCCACAAACTAGAGATGCTCTGGGTTAGCAGAGAAAAGGTAGAGTGAAACATGGGAAAAGTCACATTATATGAGCTTTGCTAAGGCTGTCTACCTGCAATCGCAGGATGATACCTTCCAAGACGTCGTCTGGATTAAAATTGTAATCATTCCAAATACCGAGGCATATGACCCATTTTATCCCCATTTGTCACACATCACCGTCCGATCCTTGTTTCTATCAGAGGTCTCTTCACCAGGAACCAACTAGCAGTGACGTACTGTGGAGCATGGATGAGTGTAGATGCGATCCAAAAGCATAGGAACGGATTATAGTTTCTAAAGCGTCGAGGAGATTTAAGCTTCGATTGGGATGTAGAATTGGGCCCAGCTTTGTGTCGACCCGTACATTTGGAAAACATGAAGACTCTCATGAACACACGAAGTATTTAGACCGTAGACCTCTCTCGAAAGGCAATTGGGGGATGCCTAGGCGAGTGTGGATTGGGAGGAAAGGACCGTTCCGCACTCGGAACTTCCGGAAGTATGACGGCAGGATGAGAAGTTGAGGGTTTCGGGAGGTGGATGGCATCGGAGTGGAGAGATCTGGAGGCATCGCGAGATCTGGGACCCGAGAGTCGATGAGGGCTCAGACCTGAGCCGAGGAAGCCTTTCCATGTCCAGCCTTCTCGATTTCTTCCGATTGTCGAGTTAGAATGACACGTTTTCCTGGAGAGGTGCACTCTCTGCCGTACCCGGGACCATTTAAAACCTTATTTCTCGGACTGCACAGCCCACGCTAGCCATGAAGCATTAACCACGTCCGGATGATCTATGATCCACCGAGTCTGATTCAGGCCTTTGAGCCTTTTCACTTCCTCGTCGAGAGACTTATCGACATCGGCGCGTTCCGGGTGGCATCCAATAGATGCCTGCCAACGAAATTTGAGCCTTTCGGTTTCTTGGACAGCCTCTTGCTAGAAATATCTCTTCTCATCGTTGCGCTGCCCAGAGCATCGAATCTCTTGGACAAAGAACAAAAAGTGCGTGCAAAGGACATATTGCGTTTCTTATTTTCCTTTTTTTTTTTTTTTTTTTTTTTTTTTTTTTTTGCCTCTGGATTGATACTGCCCCTGTCCGAAGCTCATGGATGGAACGGCGAGAACTCGGAGTTCCGAAGATAAAACGGGTGTCATCGCATGTTTTCTTCTTCTCTTTCATAACCCACCCCGCTCAGATGGGATACAGCGTATTTTCCAGCATTCAGATGATTGGGAGACTACATTATGGGAATGAGCACACTTCCAAGAGCTAGTAATGGGTCAAATTAAAAGCTCCAACGGTAAGATTAGAGTTGGCCTATCAGGCTTTTGAGATACAACGTTAATTCCCAGAAAATGACAACGTCCAAACATCTCCAAGTCTCTTGTTGTCCTCGCCGAGGCCGCCATGAATAACGATTGTATCACTGCCCTCTTCATCCTTTGCCACATCGGCATCAAACCATCCCCGTGCAACAGGACCATCCTTCCCCATCTCAAGCTTCTGCCACACTGCCTTTTCAATATCGAAGGCCCACGCATCAGATAGCATCTTGCCCGCACCGGCATGTCCGAGCGAACTGGGATCTCGTTCACCGAACATGGTGACCAGGTACACACGGCCTTGTACGACGACAGGTACCAGGATTGAGACGCTTCTAGGCTCCGGGCCGTCGGTACCATCTGGCTTGTAGTTGATGCTACTCCAGGCACTTGCAGCCACGTCAAAGACATCTATGGAGCCACCTTGTTCGGTTTTCCCATCGAACCCATTGATACGGTAGAGCTTTTCGTTCGCAAAGGCGATCGAAGCGCCGCCCCTCGGTGGTGCTGGGGCTGACGGCAGTTCTCTCCAAGTTCTGTTGGAGATGTCAAAAGCCCATAGGTCACTAAGCCGACCCTGCTCTGGGCAGCCGGAGTGGATGTAGACGGTATCCGATCCATTGGAGGAAATGCAATGGTAACTCCGCCCAGCCGGGAAGGGTGCAGAGGGGTCCGCCGGCGTGATCAGCTCCCACGCGGCAGTGGAGACATCGTAGCGCCAGACGCTGCCGTTTTCCTCTATAGGCTTCATTTCAATGCCGCCACGACCTGAGAACAAGTATATCCCTTGGCCGATAGTCGTGCTCGGGGTCCCAACTCGAGGGGTAGGACCTTCGCTTGGTTCCGGGAGAGTCTGAACACCGAATCCTTGGACTGCGTTAGCTCTTCCTATGTTAGCGTCGGTCAAAAGAAAAATAAGCCAATTGACTTACCCTTTCCCTCGGCAAGCTCTACAATATCGATTCTGTTGTCGACGGGCTCCCTGGGGAGGAGCTCACCACCGAAGATATACGCCTTCTGGTGGATTACAGAAACAGCCTGAGATGAGCGATAGAGACGTACGCTCGCGGCAATACGGGTCCATCTCGCGACGGGTAACTTCGAAATAGACGCCATCCTCGGAGAGATTTGATATTTGCAGTGGAAGAACCAAAGTGAAAATACAGAGCGGTGATAATCTGCCTCGAGGGAGGATAGACAGGCAGGGCGGTCACATCATGCTTTATATATAAATTCTACGAAAATACCTGAGAAATTCCCCCGAGAACCGGAATCTGCTCATGCATGGCAATGGGCTCATATCCGGCAACGAGGAACTGCGTCAGTGGGCATCGGCGTTTGGATCGCCACGAATTTTTGGGGAGCTTTCGGAGGAAGCTATCCCGCTTACATAAGATCGATTGTCTTCCCTGAAATGATGCGCAATGGAAGTTTTTGAGCAATTTATGCATTTTAATTCAATATGGAGACAATTGTTCTTATGTAAGCGGGATATTCCACTCCGATCTCCGTTTGCTGACAGAACGTGCCTTCCCTGATCAAATCTCACTGACTCTGATCGGGACTCGGGAGTCCTAAGGACAGGCCGTACAGGACTCTTCTCACGATTGGCATTGTGTGACCGAGTTTACGGACTCATCAGGCTATCGCCATGCCCCCCAAGCGAGCATGCGACGTCTGTTACAAAAGAAAGGTTCGGTCATACGATTCAAACCATCCGAGTCAACCAAACAATTAGAACTAATCACCTAATGCGTCGTCGCCAACAAGATTCAATGTTACATCTCCAATCCAGCGAGTCCTTGTGAATGGTGTACTCATCACGACCTAGCTTGCACCTTCACTAGGGAGACACGAAAGAATACGACGAACATGTAAGCTCATACTCTCGTGCGAAGTGTGGCCCGTAAGAAATACGCAACTTACCTGGTGTTGTCAGTAATATCCTGTCGAGTGACGTGCAGGAGTTATCTCGTCGGGTCGAGGCCCTCGAGGACGCTCTAAGTCGTGCTTTGGCATCTCATCGATCTCAGAGTGAAGCCTCAAACGACTCTCGCAGACCGGCGACTGCTACAATCGAACAAGAAGACTGTCTCCAAGGCCCAACTCCAACAAGCCTCGTTAATCGCCCACAATCCCTCTCGGAGTCTTCGCCTGCTCCTAGCATACCGCTGCATAATATCGATGCTCCACTAAATCCGTCTTGCCGACAGCTTCGTGATGTAGGCCGTTATTTAGGGCGTAATTGGTACCACAGGGGGATGCCAATTCTCTCTGACAACGGCCACAAATGGATTGAGTCTCGAACAGGCAGCGATGCTTCTCTAGGCAGGTTTGAACTGTTCGGGTCCAAGTCAGTGCCGGTTTCTGCGATGTCTTCCCCTCAGATCTCATTCCAGGAGCTTTGTAGACTACCGGACAAGCACCTGGCGCGAACCATTCTCGACACCTTCTTCGCCTCGACCTCACGGTTCCTTTACCCTCTCGTCGACCCTGTCCTATTCGAGGAGACTATGAGAAGAGCATATGACGTACCCGATGGTTCGCCTTTGTCACACTCTCAAGTCACGGCCAGGACATGTGTTCTGGCAGCCCTTGCCATAATGCCTCGTTTGGCGGGCTCTGACGAAAACTCCGATTCTAGTAGTAGCCCCGTGTGTCCGGATAATGCGCAACGCCTATTAGGATATGTCGTCGGGGAAGAAAATTTGGAAACCCTCCAGGCAGTACTCATGCTAGTAAGGTCTCCCTGTTCTTCTTATTTCTTTGTTCTGTTCTCCCTTTTTCTCTTCTGTGCAATTTTTGGGAAATGGCTCACATCAAGAACAGTACCTATATCGGACATCCACCGGTCAATGGGAGAATGCTACTGCGTTGCTATCCGCTGCTTGTCGTGTTGTCTGCGGCCTCAATGGACACCTACACCAGCCTACGAAACCATATGACTCTACCATCTCCTCTAGCGAACGCCAGACTCATCACACTAGACTTCTCTTTTGGCAATGCTACATCTTCGATAAGGATGTTTCACTTCGCTCCGGGCAACTGCCCCTCCTCACGGAGGACTACTGCGATTTGACTCCCCCAGATAACCATTCTCATCTATACGAGTACTTGCCGAGCTTAGATGAAGACTCCATGATGAGCAATTCTGTTGATGGGGGGTTCGGACTCAATTCTCTTGTCGAAGACATTCACCTGAGCCGTGTAAAGGAGAAAGTATGTCGACTTTTGTATTCATCTAACTCCTTCAGAGTAGATGATAGCCAGCGTCTACTTCGTATTCGCCAGCTGGATGGCGAACTTGAAGATTGGCGATTATCTATCCCGGTAGATTTTCGTCCTAAACTTGCAGTGTCCTCCGGTTCCACACTATTTTTACCCACCATGAACACCTTGCAGCGCAGATGCTGTATTAAATTGCAGTTGGAATATCATTACCTTATCATGGCTATCCACACAGCGGTCAGGAGATGTGGCTCAGCTTACGCCGAAGGCGTCTCTATACCTGATGACCTTCATAGCGTTTTTCACTCGAGCCTTGACCTTGCTTTAGAGGGTAGTCGCTCAACCTTGCTTTTGCTCAAAAACCCTGACATCCTTGAGCAGGAAGCATTCTGGTAAGTCTGGTCAGCTTACTGCTGTTTATGAACTAAGATATACACGGATTCACTGCCTTGGTCCCTGGTTACTAGAAGCTAACTGTGTTATTAAAAGGCGGGTAGCATTTTATCCTTCCGTGGCCGCCTTATCGTTATTCGTCAACATAGTTATCCACCCTCTATTACCGCAAACACAGATAGACCAGGAAATACTCGCTTCGGCGGTCAGTATATTCCAGAACACATCCACGAGATCACTAAGCCCTGAAGAAATCGAATATATACAGGAGATGAATAATTTCGTGGCTGAACTCGTGCGGCTAGGTAATTGTGCTGTGTGGAAGGCAAGAAGAGAGGGAAAACGAGACATTCAATAGACCAGATTTTGCGGAGCTGGCGTTATTATTATTATATCGACGTGAGCTAGCTTCCGAATAATAGCTGTCTCGCTTGTATCAAATCGGACGAAGAAAAAAAAGAAGGCGCAGAAATATAAAAGCTGAAAAGAACAAATCGTATGTTTTTTTTTTTCCCTTCCACACGTACAGGACTAAAAATCATGGATTACGATGCGTGGGATTCATTGCTTCATGCGTGTCCGGTGAGGTGAATGATAGATTCGATGTGCTACTCGCTGGAAGCTCTGTACTTACGTAGAGTAAACAGAGCCTGGCGGCGCGTTTTCCTGCATTGGGTGAATATTATAAAGTTCGCCGATCTTGTGGTCTACAGATTACGGTCGATGAAAACATGATCTCGCGAACCAATGAATAGGAACGTGACGCCACATTGTGTAAGAATAGGATCGAAGGTTCACTGGAATTTAGGGCTGAGTCGGTGTCCAGCCAGTTACAGCCACTGGCAGTTTCCTCCCCGAAGGTCATCGTCATTTGATATTGAAGGATGGCTGTGGTGGTGGGGCGATTTTAGATGAAGTCCGGGATTGGGGCGGTGCTAGAGATTTGGTGAGCGGCACATCTGGCCCTTTTCGGTTAGCTTGGTTTCTGTGATTATCACCTCCATCAAAATCGCGAGGTGCATAATAGGGCAAGGCATTATTCCCCGGCTTACACCTTGCGCAAACGCCGACCCAAGATTCCAAGGCCGCATTTGGCAGTGCAGTCGGAGTTGGACCCAATGAACGAAGAGTATAATCTCACTGCCTGTGGTCAGACCTTGGCGTGAGCCGAGTACAAGGAAGTTGAAAATGTCAAGTCGAGTCCTGGTATTCAAGGAAGCTATGGATATAAAACAGATTCGTTTCTAGTCGTTTTTCCATGTCGGCCCACGGATGGACAGCTCCTCCTCTGTTCCCAAACGCCCAGGCTTTCATTCCCTTCATCTATAACCCTATTAATTATCACTTTTTGTCGTCACGTCCCTTCCTTTCCCGCCTTGAGCCATTCTGCCTAATTGGGAATGACTACCTCAATCAAAGCCTCTGTCCTCCTCGGACTGACGGCACCCTTCTTCGCAAGTGCCCTGGCAACCCCTCGTACTCCTCCTTGTAAAAGGGCCACTAAGCTCGAATGGGGACCATGCAATATCGAAACACAAGGCCTGCCCGTTACATGTGCCAAATTAGCAGTGCCTCTCGATTACACCGACAAATCTTCCAACCAGACTCTTGAGCTCGATCTTATAAAGTACCCCGCCCAGAACGGGCCATCCAAAGGCACCATTCTGCTCAACTTTGGCGGGCCGGGTCAAGATGGCCTCAATAGCATGATTTCATATGCTCCTATCCAGAGCGCGTAAGTACATGCATCAATAACCCACCGGCTTTCAGGTGTTCGATATGTAGCTGACCTATAAACCAAGCATTACTGGGGGACACCATGATCTTGTCAGTTGGGATCCAAGGTAAAGAGGATGAGGATTTAAATAGAAGAATTTCTCTGATCAGGGTTAACATGTCGGTGTAGGGGAACGGGAAACACCCTCAGGTTCGCCTGTTTCGAGCCGGAGACCCTCGGCGCCACCTTTGCTCAGGGCCTCCCCGACGCTTCGGATGTCAGTCCCGGAAGAGTGTGGGCTGAAGCTTCCATTCTGGCCAAAACATGTGGCGAGACTCAAAAGACCAACGGTGGCCTCGTCGGCATGGCGTTTACCGTGAGGGACATGATTCAGATCGTCGACGCCCTGGGCGAGGATGGCTTGCGGTATTGGGGTAAGTGAATTACCCACGAACCGTCAGGTATGAAGTTGACTGACAATCTCCAAGGCATCTCGGGAGGCACTGCGTTGGGCGCGACTGTTGCTGCAATGTTCCCTGATAGAGTTGACAAAATTATTCTCGACGGTGTCATGAACTCTCACGAGTACTACCATTCATCCGGGTATGGCAAATTCATCTCGGCTTTTTCTTGTTAGACTCAGCTGAAACTAACACTCAAACGCTTAGTGAACCGGAGATGTTGTCTTCGTCCGATGCAACCTTTGAAGCGTTCCTGGAGGCTTGCTTCGAGGAGCAAGAAAAGTGCCCTCTTGCTCGCCAGTTCGACAGTGCCGAAGCCCTCAAAGAAGGCCTCGCCACATTTTTTGAGGACCTCAAGTACAACCCGATTCCCCTATATCCGCCGGCCCCTATTCCCCCTTTCGTTATCGACTACTCGATTCTCAACCAGTTGGTCCTGAGCACCTTGTACCGGCCTGGGCAATACCAGAATCTCTCAATCGCACTGACTGGTCTGCTTCAAGGCGATGGTGCACCCGCCGTCGATATCTTCCTAAGCCCCGACGCTCCGAGCATACCCCAGGAAGCCGAGGCCATCCTCGGCATTAGGTGTGGTGACAAGATCCCGCGGGCGTCTAGCTTAGTGGAGCTTGACCCCATTGAAGAGCAATTCCACGAGACGAGCAAGTGGTTCCCAGGTTTCGGCCGTGGATGGTACGTCTACGCTTGCGCGCAGTGGCCATTCGAGGCGAAGGAGCGGTACGAAGGAGATTTCCACGTGAAGACCAAGAATCCCATCCTTTTCATTGGCAATACCTATGATCCGATCACGCCTCTTCGCTCGGCTCAAAACATGAGCTCAGGATTTGAGGGTAGTGTTGTCCTCCAACACAACGGTTTCGGCGTGAGTTTCCAATTATTATGGCCTGCGACGGGACAAACGTCTACTGACACTTGAATACAGCACCTCTCTCTTACCCAGCCGTCGAAGTGCACAAATGAGATTATTCAAAACTTCTTCGACAATGGCGAGCTTCCCAAGCCTGGCACTGTCTGCGAGCCTGACCTTCCGCTCTTTGCCAATGATCCAAAGGTGTAGGATAAGGGATGATCTTGAAGCGTGTCAGACGTCGTGTTTTTCCAGGAAGACCATCTAAATATTGGTTATATTTATTTTAGATTTAGATGCATTTATTCAGTTTAACCAAGAATCAATCACCACAGGTTTACTACCTATAGCCATGGAATAGAATTTGTGTATTATTCTGCATTCCTTAGAACTCAAATAGCTTGTTCCAACGTGCTAGCCCTGGGCGACGAGAAAAGGGTATTTATAGCAAAGAGAAACCTATACCATACATACCGCGTATTACTCTGCCGGCCTCCATACACCAGGGATGAGAGCCCAGAAGATGAACATACCAATCAGAAGCCCTACCATCATGGGTTGTAAGACCACAACGCCAGCCTTGGAGGCAATCGCTCCCGTGAGAAATGGAAACGCAGCACTGCCAGCTTGCCCGAAGCTGGAGCTAAAGCCTGTATAGACAATGTCAGCCCCCGGAAGCTCCGAAATGTCTGGGAGGTAGGAGTGTTTTCCTTCCTGACACATGCTAACTTACCGATGGACGCTATATGCAAGTCCTTTGGCAACAGCTTCGTGATGACCGACACACCAGCCGGGAAGAACGGCCCGATGATGAAGCCAAGCAAACTAACGACTATAGCATTGGCCACCACGTCGGGGATGAACCAAAACATGAGCTGCATTATCAGGCCGATGAGGATGTAGACGAAGATCATGTTGCGCTCGCCCAGTTTGCTGGTGATATCGGCGAGGACAATTCGCCCGAGAGCGAGACCGCCCCAAAACCCCGAGGCAACGTAGCCAACTTTGCTGGGGACACCGTTCCGAACAGATATAAGGAAGGATACAACCCACCCTTTAAAAGAATCAGCAGCCAGCCGCAGGGGCTTTTTTTTTCGTGGAGTCGGAGGTGACAGGGGAGCTAATACGACAAGGAAAGGGAAACCACGGAGTTGCCTATGAGGGGTCCAATACAACTTGACTACTTACCTCCAACAGTAACCTCGCCCCCGACGTAGAGGAAGAAGAACAAACTCAACATCCACACACTTCTCTGCGAAAGTGCTTTCTTCAGCTGACGAGTGGCTCCCGATGCACTAATACCGGTCGGCTTAAATAACTCCTTGCGGAAAGCCCAGAACTGCAGGGTAAGATTCGCAAAGGAGCATCCCAACAGGACGAGATAATAATAATGCCAGTGGGCAGTCCTCGACGCAAGGGCCGTAGCTGCAAGTGGCGTAATGAAGGCACCCAACCCGAAAGCCGCGTGGACAAGTCCGAGCCATCTATGCGCGTTGTCAAGGCCGGCGACGAAAGTGTTCACCTGAGCGCCCTGGAACGCGACGCCCAAGCCGGAGAAGAAGAAGGAGCACGCGAATAATGGGAAAGGAGGCTTCCAGAAATTCAAGGCATATGCGACAAGCTGGCAGGCTACTCCGACAATAAAAGTCCCACCCATGCCGAGGCGGGTGGCGACATAGGCAACTGTAAAAGCGGCTACAAGCCAACCGGAGAAGTTCACAAGATACACGACGGCAACAAAGAGGGTACCAATATTGTAGGTGGCCTGAATATATGGGATCAAGGCTCCAGTTGCGGCATCTAGTGTTTAGTTTTGCCGGTTGTTAGCTCAGAGTCGAGATTGAGATATAAACAAATACCTTCGCATTACAGTATGAGAGGCGGACAAATAAAAACGAAAATCAGAAGCATGAAAAATAGTACCATTCATTCCAGCTACCACAAAAGCCCAGAATGATGCTAAGAATTTTGCCTTGGGAAAGCTGGCCGCAGTCCGTGGACTGAAAGTCTGGGTTCCCTCGGGCGGATTGCCAGCATCATGATCGTAAGGGTCCTGGGATTGTAAGGCGGGCTCGGGACGGAGAAGATCTAGCTGCACTGGCGGTTGGAAAAGATCATCCTGGCGAGTTTGCTGTCGTTGCTCGAACATGATTTACATTCAAATGTGCGGCGTGAGAGAAGAGGAAAACAAGCGAAAGCCAAACTGGGGCCACACTGCGTATCAGGTTATTCTTATCTCAGACCCCTCAACTACGATTTATAAGCCACTGCAAGACTCACGATAGTTCCACAAGTAGGGTACGGTGTACTGCGTAGTTGGATTCGATAGGATGGATCTCAGGCCAGGGAGGTTAGAGTCGGTCCGACTCGGGACTGGGTCCGTAGAACGCACGCCGAAGTCGCAAAAAACCCGGACGTCCTTCTGACTACGGCTCTAGTCTCGATCGGGAATAATGCTTGCAGGATACGAGATACGAGACGTTCTCTCGGGAGGCTCCCGATGTTCAACCAACCGATCAAATGAGCACGCTCCGTCGTTCAAAATTCGTGTTTCAATATGCTCCGCATCGCCGAAGGTCACTGCCACAGCCCCACTGATGTTTCCGGCCGACCATTGAGCTCATTCTCGGTGCGGAATACTCCGCAATGATCGTAACGTGAATTTGAGTCCATTCACGAGGATGGACGACCCATGAAGTGGAGCAGGCGAATGCAGGGAGGCTCCACGTGTGTCCATGCATCTGCACGATGTCAACCCATGCTTCTTGAAGTAACTTTGAGATAAGGATTGATGGTAAGAGATTTTTGGACCAAATCAAAGGTAGGGAAATTACAAGGCTTGAATCGATCAAGTGTCAAACACCAACCCTAGTCGTCCTTCTTTCCGACAGTACCTCCCCTCTTCAATCCAAAGAATGTGACCACTACTACGACAGCCGTGCTCGCGAAGATAGTCCAGAACGCCGCACGATAGCCTTTCATCAGTGCCGCCTTATCATCTCCACCTGGCGACGAATGCTCCGTTACTGAAGCAGCTATCGCCGCGGTGACGGCCAATCCGACCGAATTACCGAATTGCGCAACCTCGTTGAATACGCCTCCTGCCAGGGACTGCACGTGGGAGGGGAAGGCGTCAGAAATGACGAGATTGGAGGCGGTAAAGAGAACTGGAGGGAAAACGCGTGAGTTAGCTGCTTGCGCCTTTGCGGATACTATGTCCTAGGAAAGCTGCGATTGAAATACGCACCATCAGGATTGACTGGGGAGAGGACCAATGCCCAGAAAGGAGCAAACCAGTAATTTTCGCCAACGTTGATGGTCGCCATCAGTATAGGCGCGATCATTGTTACCACTGCTGATACGACACCCAGAGTTTGAACCTTGACGCGAGAAATTAAGTAGGCTGTCGCGATATTGACAATCGTTCCTACAATTGGATGAGGAATGAATCGTAGTGAGCTCTGGAGAGCGGTGATGCTTTCTACCTCCTGGAAGCTGACAGAAAGAGTCAGTATTTCGGTATTCAAACTCCCAACGTCTCCAAGACCATGAATCTAAACTAGGGGAGACTTACTAAAGTGTGCAGAAGTACTCGATGCCATTCAAGGAGGCCCAACAGAAGAAAACGGATACGCAAATCGAAGTGAAAGCAGGATTCCTCCAGAGCTTGTTCGGGATGAGAGCCGGTCGGCTATGTTTCACCTGCCAATCCATCCAGAGTGGGAACAGTATCAAGAGGATGATCGAGACAGACAGTAAACTAGCAGTTCGCGGGTTGGTGATACTAGTATACGAGCTCGTTGTTACTGCTAAGATATAAAGCAACAAGCCGAGGCCGGCACTCACGAGAACAGCTCCTACCCAGTCGATATCCTCGGCAAGCCTGCGGGTCCATTTCTTTTCCGTGCGGTGGTGAACAGCTGGTAGCGACCAGATAGACGCTACAGATAGTGCGAAGTTAATAATGGCCATCATATAGTAGGACCACCTCCACCCGATCGTATCGGTGAATATCCCACCAAGGACAAGACCCAATGCATACCCCAGGGGCTGCCCCATCCCATTCATTGCAAACGCAACATTCCGCCACGTACCCTTGGGAAAGGTATGCGAAATAAGCCCCATGGTCGTGGGAAGACACATGGCGATGGCAATGCCCAAGAAAGTCCGAAACAAAATGATCTGTATCCCGGTCTGGGACAGACCAACGGCGACGGTAAAGCCGCAGTATAAGAAACTCCCAACAATCCACATGAGCTTTGCACCAATGACGTCGGCCACGGCACCGAAAATGAGGAGCAGGCAACCCGCGGCAAGGGCATACACGACAGCAGGCCAAAGGATCAGTGCCTGCGGGAGACCGACATCGCGGGAGATGCGCGGTAGAGCGGCGATTAGGATACCCGAGCCCATGGTATTGAGGAACGATACACCAGCCAGAGTTGTGATCACGGTGATGCCCCGGATTTTGGTCGCACTCATGGTTGTTACCGTTGTGGAACACGCATCGTCGGAAGAAATGGGGACTTGCACTGACCCGTCGGGCTCTGAGATGCTGGGTTGACCTCCCGTCTTTGGTATCTTTTCCCGGGATTTTGTGGAGCTATTTTCTTGAGTAATGAGCTCGAGCTCGATACCAAATTGTTCTTGTCCTCGACTGGCTGTCATATTGCCTGGGTGGATAAGTGCCCGTCTGTTACTTGCATCTAGCAAAAAAGCAAAACTAGCGACACGGCCATGAGCGCCTTTTGAAGAAGGGCACAGGATGGAGCAACTACGCTAGAACCAGAGGAGAAGGAGGATGGCGACAGATGACAAATTGTCATTATCTCGGATTGGGGCCGGATTGAGTGAGCCGGACGAGGAATTACTATTAACCGAGAGTCCTATACTCGTTCTGTTAGTCGGGTTGCCCAGGCCGTTTCCTCAAAGAATGCGAAGCAAAGCTGGTGAAGAAACTCGGTGTCAAAGCGGTTGCTGGCGTGCAACGGGAAATTGCCTCGGTTGAGCTCGCGGAGCGGGGGTTCCGGAGAATCCCAAAATCCTTGATGCAACATCGCGACGCTATTACAGCCTATGCGTCGTCCCCATCTTCCACTGGTTCTAGCTGGCTAATAAGTACGGATGGGCCCGCGTCGATCCAATGCCGTGTGCAAATTGTGCAAGCTTTGGCCGATCATTGGTTCGTGTACGGCTCCTCCGGCAAGGCTCCATCATATTTCCCGCCTCCTCCAGAGGATGTTACATTCACTTTCACCCCCTAAACCCCATCTTGCCTTACTCTGGCTGCACGGCTGACGAATCGCACCATATGAAGGATTATAATCGTCGTCGTCTAATTTATGCTGGGCAGACAGGAGAGGAGAGCGGCTGACACTTGTTGACTCAAATCCAAAGCCGAGTCTGTATTACCACAAAACGAAATGCCGATGACCAACAGTTGTGATCAGGTCTTCCGAGAGCCACCCAAGCATGTATCCGTCATCTTGTAGTTTCAATAACATCCCTATTACTCATGTTTCTCTAATGTGCTGGCAAGAAGGCGCCCGGATTTTTCTCGATCCATCCAGTGCCATCGATCTAGACAAAACCCACCCACTCCGCAACTGGATGAAAGAAATATCCCAGCACGTAGTCTTTCCCCCAACATTGGATGGGAATTTTTGCTTCCATTGGACATGAACTTACTGAATAATATGGCCTAGTACAAAGGAAGCGACGACCGATGCTGGGAAGGTCCATGGCAAATGTCCGTAGACTATGACCGCTTGTCTGTGACCCTTCGATAGCCCCAGGGGGCGTGCCAATTGCCCTTTGTAGCACTCACTCTCTCTAACAGAAGCAGTTGAGCACTCTCCATTTCATGTTAACCTCTCCAAGACTATGTGCCAATGTGAGAAGGTTGTCATTTCCGGCGCAGTCCTAGTTGGATCACTAGCAGTCCCATACGCAGCGAGGAGAGTACTCATACAGAATATAGAGCTCTGTGAGTTGTGAGACGCTGAAAAGTCCCCCCTCAAATCTGTTAAAATAAACAATTTGGGCTATAAAGACTCCATGGTATTCCTCAGCAGCAGCGCCCGCGATGGGGGTGATCACCGGACTCGAAGACGTGAGGGGCTTCCTTCAGTAAGTCTACCTATAAATTTCCCGCATAAAGGGAAACTCCAGTTATTCTTGCCCTTGCCAAATGGGAACGGAATGCTGATCCATAAGTAACAATGATTCGCCTCGAATCCAAACCAAAACAACTCTGTCACTATCCATCAGCGACCATAGTCTAATCTATTTCGTGGTAAACCCAAATGTTAGGTTCCATATAAACTGCTTTCTGCTTCCGTGGGTAAATCTTTACGCCAACCAGTCCACCGGGGACGTGTATCTCCAGACATCCTCGCTTCGAACGCCCCTGAGCATAATTAGCGTCTTTGGAGAACAACGTAAAATCTATTCCTGTCCAATTCTTCCAGTCCTCCAAGGTTCCCTCGACGACCATGCTCCTCGGAGCGATCTTCACTATTTTGCCCCCTAGACGCACGTGCTTCCGCAACCAGGGGTCGAACGGCAGGGCGTTGTCACCGCACGCATCCCCGATAGTCTCCCATTCAGAACTGGGAAAGGCTAGCCTCAGTGGATCATGGCCGTATGGCATTTCTGTTTTGGTCGCCTGAGTCCAAGTCACGTACTCCTCCATCGGAACGTTTGGGTGAGCCGACTTCCTGGTCGGCCTAAGCGGCACAACGACGACCCTCAGTTTTTCCCTCCGCGCAGTTTGTTTCATCTCTTCTATCATGCGCTCCGCAAGACCCATCTGTCTTCGGTCCGCTCGCAGGGTAATGGACAGAGCGCAAAGTGTGTTTGGTGGTTTTGAGTTCGATGATCGGAGCCGGTCTAGTTTCTGGTCCAGGGTCATGACAGGGGGTGAGGACCAGGGCCATGAAGATGCCTCATCCGGATGAGTCTCCATGTACTGGCGGATTCCCCGCGCCACAATTGTGTCCCAGCCGCCGTCTGGTAGAGTGTGCGCAATGCCGGGGTGAGTATCAAGTCCATTGGATGGACCGAGTTCGTCGAGTTCGTCCCAGTAGAAAGGGATGGACCGGCTGCATGCGATCAATTCTTCTTCTCCCGTTTCCGTGTTGTACTCCACAACAACACATTGGAACTTTCGAAGGCTAACAAAGTCGCAGAGTCTAGTTGAGAGATGTTTCTGGGTGCCGTCCTGGTCGAGGAAATAAGGCCATGCCTTGTTCAAGGGATGGCCGGGGTCGTCGAGGAATTGCCAAAGGTCTGGTCTCATCTCGGCCGTGTAGAGCCGGCGGGTGATAGTAGACGACGGCATGGCAATGCTGTGGTCGCTGAAAAAGCCCACTGCGAATCTAATCAGGAGGAGATTTAGAAACAATCAATGCCATAGGAAAACATACAATATCTTATATATTAGATATCGCGAGGGTGGCCGAATTACCAAACAAACTGTAGTACGGATCATGTTGGCCTGAGCAGCCAGGGACTTGTGTTAAGCTCTGAGTGTACGATGCCAGATTTAGGTTTAAAGGACCAATAATAATGTTTAAGCTGGGCTGTGCTCAGCTTCCAGGCTTTGACTGCATCTTGACCTATTTCCTCGTCCTGGAACTGTACCTTCGTACTTGTTGTCACTTAAAGTCCCGATTGGCATGCTGATTTGGGATACCTTGTACGGGCACGGGGACTAATTACTCCATGTCTCATCTTCAACTCACTCGTGTGGCTAGCTGGGGTGGTACTTGTTCCTCATTAGAGGGTCGATCGACAACATGTCTTAGCTTAGCTGCGCCGAGATGCAAGGTTCAGGATACAGAAATAGTAACGGAGAGCTCTTAACTCCTACCTCACTTTGTGACTAGTATTTCACGTCTTGTCCAACGTCCCAGGATAGCAACAGCTCTGACCTCTCGTTAGTTGGGGGCGTAGAGATACTGTAGGGTTGATAGACCTCAACTCTAGGCTATACTATTGGCTATACATTAGTCCCTAGATTCTCTCCATTTTAAATTGCCCTAAAACTTCCATTCCAGTGTAGCCCCCCATGGAGTCCCCTTTGAGGGTCCACGCCGGGTCCGTACTTCGCTTAGACGTAATATATTGATATTGAGTAGTTTATCCAGCTTAGTTGGTTCACCTTCAGCTTCCAATGTCAGCGTCTAGACCCATCAGTACCTGGAATTGCCCCTCATCCTCTCAATGAATGATGATCCTAGATTATGAGAGGCCCGGTGCTGGTCGGTCTAATTCCAGATTCTACCACTGCCATCCTTCTAATTGATACGTTGCGTAATGAGAAGTTTCTCTGATGACGGATAGCTCCACCGGTTGATCGACGTCGAGGCTTCTAGCCGCAGGTCGAACGCCCGAATGAGCTAAAAGAGAGCAAGGGCGGGGAATATTAGTTTAATCGTCCAACGACAACGGCGACAAAGTCTCAAAGTAGTAAATGGAGCGGGGGACCAAGACATACCATGATGATAGTTTTGTACAGGGCCATCAGCCCGACGTGCTTTCCGAGGCATTTACGCACGCCCACTCCCCAATGGACGTCGAGTCGGGCCCATTCTTGCAGCTGCTCGGGCGAGGCGTCCAGCCATCGGTCCGGGAGAAATTGGTCCGCTTGATCTCCATAGATGGCCGGGTGGCGTCCAATAGAAGCAGCGCTTGATGAGATGGAAGTCCCAGCAGGTACGTACTTGCCATCGAGGAGCAGGGGTCGTGTAGAACTTCTCCGACGGGGGAAAGTGGAGGCAATGTAGCGCAGACCTTCGTTAACACAGGCAGTCACAAAAGGTAGGTTACGACATTCGTCATAGGTGGGGACGGGCCCAGAAAGGCGGCCTTGGGTGTATGCATTGTCGATCTCTGCTTGGGCCCTGGAGAAAACCGAGGGGTCATTGGCAATAAGAAAAATCAGATTCGTCGTCATGAGGGCAATGGAGTCGGGTCCGGCCATCCTGGAGCCGACGAGTCAATAACATTCAAATTCCTTTACCCATGTCCTCGACGACATGGGCTCAGTAATGAAGTTAACTACAGGGACAGTCATTTGGTCTTGTTTACTTACATGCCCATGAGGAGTTCGTCTTCGATCTCCTGCCGCGGGATTCCCTGGCCATCCGTCCCTGCTGACGCGAGCCATTGATCAAGCAGTGAGTTCGCATATTGAGGTTTGCCAGAACCTGATTGGCGCTGCTCAACAACGGTTCGTATTTCCTAGTGAATGCAGAATTGTGTAATCTCCCGTTAGTTCAGGTACGTCGGCCGAGATCTATTAGTGTTGTGGCTGGCTGTCTCACCGCCATGAATTTTCCTAGTCCCCGCTGATCATCCACAGTCGAAACGAACAGGCGGCGTCCCAATGGATTGTTTCGTGCGAATGCCCCGATTGGCGGGTAGAGGGAGAGCCGCTGCTGGAAACCCGCTGTCTCCTCCATGTTCGCAATAAGATCACGAACGTCCCCCTTGGCGTCCATAAAGCCCACTGGGGTACCGAGGGCAACAGCTGTGATTATGTCGAAGGAGAAGTACCTGCGGGACGAACCGACGTTAGCTTCTGGCCGTGGCGTAGCTGAAACGCCTACAAGCGGAGCGGATCGCCTACATGATCCACAGGCCCACATTGACCACTGGCGTTTCGTTGGCCGCGACGCTGAGATTCGAGATGAACTTGGCAATTTGATCGTCGAACGCACTTTCAAGAGTTCGAACTCGCGGCAGGGAATACTGCCATCCAAAGAAGTGGTTAGTCTGTTTATTTCTGTTTGGATATTCAGTCGCCACTTACGGCATGTCCGAAGCGACGCTTGGCAGCTGCATGATCTGCATGGGACTTTTGGTTAAAGACAGCACCAGGACAGGAAAACTCTTGGTGGAACCCTGTTTTGTCGACCTTGCTGTGATAGACGATCGAAACTAGAGAAGGATCATTAAATGATAGGTGGTTCGGCCCGCATCGCACTACTGGGCCTACAAGGTAAAACGAACCCAAGTTAGCACAGGGACAGACCTTTTGGAAGGATAGGGGCGGGTTATGGCATGGCTGGTGCTAGAAGTGGGCTAAAGTACCGTATTTCTCGTGAAGCTCGCTGTACCAGTCACCCTCCCGGCGGGTCCAGAAAATGTAAAACTGGTAAAAGCTAGACAATGATGGGAGCGTAGGTCCCGGGAATTTGCTTAGGGGGTGAAAATAGAGACGTTTGAGGACGAATATCAAGCCGATTAGCACGATACTCAGTGGTACGTTCAGGTGAGTTGAGAGATGGTCGAGCATAGTGAATGGAGCCAAGGGTTCTCTACTTGGCGGACGCACAATTTCAATAAAGTGTTTGTTTGTTGTAGGAGTTAAGCTCGTGAAGTAAAATGATGTTGGTAGACGGAGGCACTCGGCGAATAACACCGTTATTTATCAACATCATTGGTTGCACCGAGAGGGAGAGAGAGCTTGGCCCGGGTATTCTTACGCCATGTTCCGCCTCTCTTGACAATATTGGCCTGAAATCACGACGGCGTCGCTACCCTGGATCTGCAATGCATGCGACGGGTCTCCTGCGGTTTGCTTTTCTCATCAACTTAGCTTGCCTGATCCGGCTCAGTCGGAAAACTAATGGTAGATCCCATAATAGAAACCGGGAAAGGCGAGCTGATGAATTCCTTTCTCCTGGTCTGCAAGGCCTGCGGAGTTCATGTGGACTCGATGTACTTCGTACATGTCAAAAACACCAAGATCTCACATCCTTATTATCGAGGGCAGCTCTAGAGATTGAGTTGCTTGATTCTGATGTCGGAACTAGAATGACCAGAGCATCGACGTTGAATTTTATATCAATTATTCCTCCTACTTCAACTATTTCTACTACAGACCCAATATGGACGAACCTACCAATATGCTATTGCATGAGATTTTCCAAAATCAAGCTCGTAAGAGCCCAGAGAGCTGTGCTTTAGAACACCCCCATGGTCGTCTCACTTATCGCGAGCTCAACGAGCAGTCCAACTCACTGTCATGGTACTTGCGCGAGACTTTATCTCCTGGGCGGGGTGTTGTGGCACTCTCCCTGGAGAAATCTCCCTTACTCGTCATAGCCGTACTGGCTGTTTTGAAAGCGGGCATGATATGGATCCCGCTGCCGGATGATGCGTCTGCAGATCGGATCCAATACATCCTGCAGTCATCCAATGCCGGTCTCCTCCTAGGCTCCGCCTCCTCAAGCGCCCTACATGCGGGGGCCGACATTCCATTCACGTCACTGGATAAGCTGCTACAACACGGACAGCTCCGTGCTTATTCCACCGAAGACCCCGACCATGCTACTATTGATGCCGGTCGGTCGGAACACGATCTCTGCCATATTCTCTTCACCTCTGGCTCGACTGGTACGCCAAAGGGCGTCATGATTGAGCACCGTGCTGTGAGGCACAACGCCCTGGAGCTCACAAAAATGTTTGGCCTTGATTCACAAACGCGCACGCTGCAGTTCGCAGCGCCAACCTTCGATATTTTTGGTCTGGATCTATTCATGACTTTTGCGTGCGGCGGTTGTCTCATCATGGCGCCGCGAGAGGCCATGATGGAGGATATGACGGCCTTCCTGAAAAGGAAACGCGTGACTTACGCGCAGCTGACGCCGACGGTCATTCAAACAATCGATCCAAGCGGAGTGCCAGATCTCCGTGTACTGGCGAGCTCCGGTGAGATTTTGCCCCAGCAACTTGCCGACAAATGGAGACATGCCGTCCACCTGTTCAATGCTTATGGCCCTACTGAGACCATTGTTTGTACCGTCGAAGACCTGAGTACGAATACAGACATCGATGCTGGGTGTGTAGGTCGTGCCGTTCCGGGATTGGACGTACGGATTTTGGCTGATGGTGAGACCCGTTCCGTCTCAGCCGGCGAAGTCGGAGAAATCTGTGTGGCTGGTCCCCAGATCCTCCGCGGCTACTTATCCAAAAGCGCAGCCACCGAAGAGCGGACGCTCTCCATCGATGGTGTCAGGTTCTATCGAACGGGAGACTTGGGCTTCTCTCATGTCTCCCCGACAGGCGTCTCCACCATCAAACTCATTGGTCGAAAGGATACAGAGGTCAAGATTCGTGGTATACGGCTGGACCTTGCCGATGTAGAAGCCTCTATTATATCTTGCTCGGACGCAAGGAAATGCGTGGTTCTCATGCCACGACAGGGGTTGTCGTCTGGTCGCCTCTGCGCCTTTCTCGTTCTAGACGCCGACTCCAACAACACTCTCTTACCTCCCAACAAGCCACGGTTTCGGCTTCTTGAGCCGTCGAGGGAGATTTCGTCTGTCCTCCATCGAGTCCAGAGTACGACGTCAGCTCAACTCCCGCCTATGGCTATACCCAAGACTTGGTGGCCTATCGATGAAATACCTCTGACGTCCAGTGGAAAAATTGATCGATTGCATTTGCAATCCTGGCTGGAAGAGCTGGGCGAAGACATGTTCCGTACTCTCATAGACCAATATAGAGCCGTTTCGCAAGACGACCGTCGTGGCGCTGGTAGCGCGGAAGAACGGTGTCTGCAGTCAGTATGGGCCGAGGTTCTTCTGCGCTCCGTTGCTACCATTGAGGTCACTGATTCCTTGGCGGACCTCGGAGCCGACTCTCTAGACGTCATTCGAATGGCCAACGGCGCGCGAAAAGCCAATATCCCTGTCAACGCGGCTGATATCTTTGCCGCCAAAACCATTCAGGAAGTTGTCCGTCGCCACGTAGCCAGCGGATTGACGGTGTCCGAAGCTCAGTCGCTGTCGCCTGCCCCCTATCGTCCTTTCGAACTGACGCCTCCCGGCAGACCTCTGGCCCCTCTGATAGAGGAAGCGGCCTCCAGTTGTGGGGTAGCTCTTGCATCGGTTGAAGACATTTACCCCTGTACCCCGTATCAATCAGCACTCATGGCCTTGGACATCAAATGCCCGGGATCTTATCTCTGTATTTTCAGCTGGACGTTGCTCAGGGATATCGAAATCAGCCGTTTGCAGCGGGCTTGGAATGATATGCTAGACTTCAATCCCGCGCTTCGGAATCGCCTCATCTGGGACGCTAGTGCACAGCAGCTTCTGCAAGTCCAAGTTCGACGCGATCATCGCGACTGGAGCGAATCGCTTTACGAGGCGCCGATGACACTGGGCTCTGATTTGTGCCGAGGTCTGGCTCGCTGGGATGAGAAGAGAGGGCGGTGGACGTTCCACCTCAAGATTCACCATAGCATCATCGATGGATGGTCGCTTTCGTTGATGCTCAACCAGCTTAAGAAGCTCTACTTTGACGAACCCGTCAACGCAGCAGACTCTCCTCCCTATGCACACTACGTGCGCCATTACCTCACAGAACAGCAACGCCTAGAGAAATCGTCGCATGAATTCTGGACTGACTACCTCCAAGGCTTCGGCGAGAGCGGTTCCGACTCATTCTTGTCCAAGCCGCAGGATTCGCATCGCCAAGTCCACGCTACGGATCACCAGACATACATGGTGACCCTAGACCTGAAGGAACTTGCGACCCGATTCGGAGTCACCCCAGCGGTCATCCTATATGGTATCACGGCGTTGATTTTCGCCACCCATAGCGACGTCGATGACGTTTCTCTGGGTTTGATCCGGGCTGGACGTGAGGCGCCGGTCGATGGAGTGTACCAAATGATCGGGCCTGTATTTGCGTGCGTGCCTTTCAGGACTGAAGTGGATCGCCAAAGAAGCCTTGCAGACTTCTTCCAGCAAATTCACGCCCAAATTCTCGCCATCGGCCCCCATCAGCAGTTTGGCCTTGAGCGCATCAAGAATTGTGGCCCGGGAGCTAAGGCCGCCTGCAATCTAGAGACACTCGTGGTTGTACAGCCCGAGGACGAACGTCTGGCCGGTACTGGTCTTTGGGAAGAAGTCCACGGGCAAACGTCCGGGTTAGCAGACAGCATTCCATTTTCTCTTGAGCTGATTCCCGGAGACAAGGGGGTCTTGATTAACTGCAATTCCGATCCTGCCTGCATCGTCCGCCAGCATGCGCAGATCATCATGGAGCACTTGAACCAGGCGCTCCTGAGCCTAACGAACCTATCCGCTAAGGCAACAGTCCAGGAAATCCAAATGACACCCGAAAATCATTCTTCCCGCTTGCGGCAGTGGGCGGATGCTTACGGACCTCCAGTCGATGTCTGTCTACACAATTTGCTGGAGATGAGTGCAAACAAGTTTGCTGACAGCAATGCTGTGTATCAAAGTTCCACGGGAAAGACTTTGTCCTTCAAAGAACTAAACGACGCTTCCACGAGACTGGCGGCTTTTCTCCTTCAGTCTTGCCATGTTCCTGAAGGCGCAGTGGTTCCGATTGCTATGGAGAAGAGTGCTCTGGCCGTCGTAGCCATCTTTGCTATCCTCAAAACTGGATCAGCTTACCTGCCGATAGACCCGAGTTGGCCACTTGAGCGTGTCCGGCGAATTGTCGACGATGCTGGAGCCTCTGCCCTGATTTGCTCGACCAGCTTGAAGAGTCAGTACGAAAGCCTTGGGAAGCAGCTCATTGCGCTTGATGAAACCCACCTAAATCCCAGGGATTCGGGTACTCGCACGTCGAGTGTGAAAATTACAAGGAAAGGTCGCCCATCGGACCTGGCAGTTTTAATGTACACATCCGGCAGCACAGGAACACCCAAAGGCGTCATGTTAGAACACCGAGCCATGAGCACCAGTCTTACCCATCTCGCGCGAGTCTTTGGCCTCCAGCCTGGCTATCGCCACCTGCAGTTTTCAGCTTTTGTCTATGACGTTAGCATCTCAGACATCTTTATTCCCCTAATATCGGGGGCTTGCATTTGCATCCCAACCGAGGATGAGCGTCTCAACGGGCTATCCGAAGCCGTCCGGAAAATGAAAATTAACTCAGCCATCCTGACGCCGTCAATGGCGGGACTGATCCGATTAGAAGATGGCGAGAGCTTGAAGACGATCATGACGGGAGGGGAGATGACGAACCGGGGACTTATTCGGACTTGGGCGCCCAGGATCCGCCTTCTCAACGCATATGGGCCGACAGAGGCAGCTATCACAACAACGGTTACGGAACCTCAAGACATCGATTCTGATCCCGGCGTCATTGGCCGCAATGTCACGGGGTGGCACCTGATTCTCCGACGCGACGACTCGGGCCGCCTGTACGAGGCACCGTTTGGCTGTGCCGGCGAGATCGCTATTGCCGGGCACAGTCTCGCCAGAGGCTATCTCAACAATCCCTCCCTCACAGCCCAGCAATTCGTTGATCTGCCTCTCCTGGAAGGATCGCCTCTGCCATCTCGCGTATATCTCACGGGAGACATCGGACGGTACGAACTAGATGGGTCCGTCCGTATTCTAGGTCGTCGAGATCGCATGATCAAGATTAACGGCATTCGCGTCGACCCAGGAGAGGCAGAACATCGCTTGCGGAAACTGGGTGATAGTTTTGCCTCGGCTGTGGTCCAGTGCATTGTCGACCAAAATGGCATCTCTAAACTCGCAGCCTTTGTCCCGGCTAGCGCCGTTCCCGAGTCCAAAGAGCGCTTAATTCTCGTCGATTCCTGGACCTCGGAATTCCGCAAGATGTGTGGCGATGGCCGACGACAGTTGCTGGAGCTGCTGCCTAGGGCGTACGTTCCAAGCCTTTTCATCCCCGTCAGTTACATCCCCTCGACGATGTCGGATAAGGTTGACTACAAGCGACTCAGGGATGAGTTGCGGAAAGTCCCCCTGGAGAATCTCGCCATGTCTGACGACGAAGAGGCGGAGGTTGAGGATGATACGGAAGCCATCGAACCGAGCACGCCAATGGAGAGAATCATGAGTGCCGTCTTCAAGAAGGTTTTCCCTACCGGTGGAGAGTTTGGAGTGACGGCGGACTTCTTCCGGCTCGGTGGCGACTCGTTTTCTGCGATGAAGCTTGTGAGCGCGGCGAAGGAGCACAACTTGGAAATAACCGTCCAGCAGATCTACCGTCATCCGCGACTAAAGGACCTGGCTGCCGTTGCTCGGTATAAGCTAGGAAAAAATGGCAATGGAGACAAACGCAGCAGTGTCGATGGGCAAACTCAACCGGCAAATATGACTCGTGTTCTAGTGTCTGAGGATGTGTGGAATGAAGTCGCAGAGCAATTTGGTTTGGGTTTGGACGAGATTGAGGACGTCTATCCCGCAACTCCGTTCCAACAAGGCCTCATGGCAGTGTCAATGCAGGGCAAAGGCACTTACAGCGCTAAGATGGCCTTTGAATTGGGAGAGAGTGTCGATGTCTCTCGACTTACTCGGGCCGTTGAAGGCGTCGTATTAGACACCCCAATTCTACGAACCAGCCTCGTCTCTTCCACCCAGGGCCTGATGCAGGTCGTACGCAAGGGATCCTTTTCGACCAGCGACGCGAAAACAACGGGTCCCTTCCAATATCAAATCGACACGACATCGGCACCTGGCCGGCCACGGTTGCGGATTGAGATGCATCACTCGTTATATGATGGCCCCACAATAGAGATCCTGCTCCGAGATGTGAATTCTCGCTATGCCCATCCCGGTTATGCAGCGAATTCAGCTGTGCCTTACCGAAAGTTTGTGGATTATCTTGAATCTACAGACTCGGAGGCGGCTCGCGAATTTTGGGAAAAGACTCTCCATGACGCTCCTCTGGCTACTTTCCCACCCTGCGAAGACGAAGCTCGGGTCGGGGCAACTCAACATGTCCGCCTGACTACAACTATTACTCTCGAAGCCACGAAAAAGTGCGGTATTTCCGCCGGCACCCTGGTCGCTGGTGCCACAGCCCTTCTCCTCGGGGCCTACAGCTTCGCGGATCAGGTCTGCTTCGGAATGACCTTTTCTGGCCGTGATATACCCGAGCTGGAGAATATTGCCGGACCTACGCTGTCGACCGTGCCCATCTGCGTTGCCATACTTCGGGAGCAAGAGGCATCGGGTTTCCTGGAACAAGTCCAAAATCTGGTAGTCGATATGCGCCAACATCAGCACTACGGTCTACAGAATATTGCCCAATTGCCAGCGCAAGGCCCTCGCAATGCCGCCCGATTCCGGACTCTACTTGTGCTCCAACAGGGATCTGATGAGCTCGCCAGTACTGAGCAGGGAAGCGATATCATCGGAAACCTCATAGACGACGAGTCTTCCATGCACGTTGAGTATCCGCTTGTGATTATCGCACACGCCAACCCCGCAACAGGAAGCGTGGACCTAAAAGTAGAATTCGACCCGGCCTGCCTCTCCTCAGTTGAGGCGACACGGTTCATTCAGCAGTTGAGCCAGGCTATTGCGGAGCTTTCACAGCCGCATAGGGCAGTGTCCAAACTAAATCTGATTACCGCTTTCGACAAGGAGCAGATTTCGATGTGGAATCCTAAACCGCCCAAAGCCCCGGGTCGGAACATCTGTCAGATGTTCCAGGAAAAGGCGCTCCGACAACCAGATTCTCCCGCCGTGGAATCGCTGATGGGACGAGATGGTGATGCTCCTCGCCGACAACTAACGTATAGGCAGCTAGATACCGAGTCTACGATGTTATCCGGTGCTATCCAAAGACATGCGTGGGACAAGCGATGGGTCGTTCTCTGTCACCGAGATCCTGCGTCTGTGGTCATGGCTACGCTAGCAACGTGGAAGGCCGGCAAAGCCGTTGTGACAATCGACCCAACGGTGCCAGCTGATAGGCGGCACACTCTCCTCGCAGAACTTGGGGATGCGCTCATTTTGACAGAGGCTTCTGAAGTCCAAACCTTTGTTAATTTTCAAGTCCATGTGCTCGACGGGATGCTCCATGATGTAGACGGCATGCCAAATCAATCTTCGTCCGTCATCAGCGAGGTACCCGTATCGTCGGACATTGCGTACGTGTTCTTCACCTCTGGGAGCTCAGGCACGCCAAAGGGAGTGGTGGTGCCTCACAGCGCCATTGCCCTGTCCCTCTCAGATGTAAGCGAGAACATGGGATTGAACACGAACACGAGAATGCTCCAATTCGCATCCTGTTCCTTCGATACCAGCCTCATGGAAATATTTGCCACCCTCATCACCGGTGGCTGTGTTTGCATTCCGACCCGGAATCAACGCATCGACGGCACTCTAGGCCACGCCGCAAACTCGCTTCAAGTCACTCACATGATTCTTACCCCAACGGTGGCCTCGCTTCTTCAGCCTGCACAGCTACCGTCAGTCCAATGTTTGATGCTCGTTGGAGAGCCGCCCTCGACCCAGGTCATCGAAAAGTGGACCTCCCGAGACGTATCACGCCGTGTTCAGATCATGAATGGCTATGGCCCGACGGAAGCAGCTGTACACTCGTCCACAAACTTTGACCTGAGCGAAATTGGTCCCCGAAATATCGGCAAGGCAACCGCATGCGCTATGTTCTTAGTCCTTCCCGACGATCCGAACCGACTAGCTCCAGTGGGCACCGTCGGAGAGCTAGTCATCTGTGGCGAAACCGTTTCCGGCGGCTACCTCAACCAACCAGACCTGACAAGACACGTCTTTGGCGTTAATCCCCCATGGGCTCCTTGGCCCGGCCTCACGTCGCCAGTCCGCTACTATCAAACAGGAGATCTGGCGTGTTACTGCCATGACGGGTCAATGGTGTACTTGGGTCGGAAAGACCTCCAAGCTAAGATCCATGGCCAACGGCTTGACGTTTCTGAGATTGAATGGCATATCAGGAGGTGCGGTGGGGTTTCTGACTGCGTAGTGGAAGTCCTGCAAGAATCCACCCTCGTGGCTTTCATTCTCATGTCCCAGGGCAGCACCGAGCCATACGCGGGTCCGCTAGCCCCAAGCCAGATTGACGCATCTGCCGTGACTGAATCTCAGAGCCGACTTCGATCGGTTCTTCCAGACTACATGATTCCGTCCGTCTACGTCCCTTGCTCCAGCTGGCCGATGACAACATCGGGAAAGACTGATCGCCGCCGACTTCGAGCTTCCGTAGAGTCTTCCATTGACCAATACAGAATCCGGCAGAAGCTTCAAAGACGCCCAGCGCAGACTCAATCCCAAAAGAAGCTGTTTGATAGCATTGAAGAAGTCATGTCCATCCCGCAGGATCAAATTAGCCTCGATGACTCGGTCCTATCGCTGGGCGGCGACTCAATCATTATGATACGCCTCTTGGCAGTTGCCCGCCAGCGCAAGTTAAACATCGATGCTACCAAAGCGTTCCGGTCTACAACTCTCGAGAATCTCGCGGCAAGCGCGGAGGGTCCGCCAACTAAGGCTTCTCCAGTGGCTGTCAACGGTCACCATGGCCCCCTTGCGCCATTTTCTCTGCTTCCAGCATCAAGCAAAGACCCTCACCAGCTATCCCGCATGGCCGCTGCATGTAATGTTCCTGTGGACCGCATCATTGACGCGTATCCCTGTACTGCTATTCAAGAGGACCTGATGGTTGCCTCTGCCAAAACGCCGGGTGCCTTCCTCAACCAAGAAGTGTTCCGTCTACCAGCGCAGGTATCCGTCTCCAAAGTGTCTCGTTCTATTGACGCATTATGGAAACGACATGACATTCTCCGTGCCCGAATAATACTGGATCAGGATTATCGAGCGTTACAAGTTGTCCTTCGGGAGGACGCAGCCCCGCAAGAAACTTCCACGGATGATTTGCAGCAGTTTTTGCTTCGAGACAGCCTTGTTCCTTTAGAGTACGGGACTAGGCTCTCTAGGTGTGCACTTCTCAGCGCCCAAGGCAACACGTATCTGGTCCTGACGCAACACCACGCCGTATTCGACGGTTGGTCCATGAACATACTCAAAGATGATCTCCGCGCGCTCTACTTCGAAGGCGACTCAAACTTCACGCTAACACAACCTTACGCGAGCTTTGTACGCCACTCATTGCAGATTTACAACTGCCCAGATGCGCGGCAATATTGGCAGAACCAGCTAGCAGATGCCCAAACCGCACCTCTTCCCCAGGCCCAGTCAAGCATGGACTCCTCTACTAACCAGAAATACGCCTTCACTACCGCCTCTGTGAACAATACCGACTACTCTTTGGCAGTTCTTGCCGAGGCTGCATGGGGCACACTACTCGGACGGTATCTCGACTGCGAAGATGTCTTGTTTGGCGTCATCCGATCTGGTCGGACCGTACCCATCCCTGGCATTGATACACTAATGGGCCCAACTATAGCGAGCATACCTCGTCGATTACGCCCGACCAAAGAGCAGAGTGTGCAAGCATATCTCCAACAAGTTCAGCGCGAGATTTTTGAGGCCACACAATGGGAACAATACGGCTTGTCTAATATCCGCAAGGTGAGCAAGAGTGCCAGCCAAGCATGCAAGTTCCACTCTATGCTCGTCGTTCAACCCCCAGCGGCCAATGAGACAGCGGACAATCCGGCCGCTCTCCTCACTTCCCAGGCTGAGCTAGCAAAGGGTTTCATCAATTCCGATTGTCTCATAGTCGATGTTCAAGCTACAGCTAAGGACGAGATTACCGTGTCTATTATTTACGACGACCGTGTCACTTCTAAAGACGACGCACACTGGATGGCGTATCACTTTTCTCAAACTTTGGCCCAGCTAAGTAGCAGCGGCGCTGTGAAGCTTGGGAATTTGCGTATCTCTGGCTCGGACAGGCTTAGCCAGGAACAAGAGTGGAACAGCACAGATATTGAGGCCTCACATCGACTTGTAGACGAGATCTTCACCACCAATGTATCTCAATGGAGTGGTCTACCCGCTGTCCACGGTCCAGATGCAAGTCTGACATACGCACAACTGGATGCATTATCCTCAGCTGGAGCACAGATTCTCCGATCTGAACTCGGAGTTCGCCGTGGTGATCTGGTGCCTCTTTTGATGACCAAGAGCTCGGTTATGATCGCTTCTATGCTAGCGATTCTAAAGGCGGGAGCCGCCTATGTCCCCCTACCCACGGATGCGCCCCGAGAACGACTCCACTTCCTCATCAAGGAAACCGAAGCTCGGATCGTGTTGTGCACATTCGATCATTACGAACTAGCACAATCGCTTGAGATCGAGGCTGCTTTTTGGGACGTCGAGCAGCTTTACGAATCGGCGCCCTCGACATCTGGTGAAACTGAGAATGCCTTGATGGGAAGCTCACATGGAGATTCGCGGTCGCCCTCGGACCTTGCCTACATTCTTTTCACCTCTGGAAGCACAGGAACCCCAAAGGGTGTCATGATTGAACACTCTGCTCTAGCCACAACTGCGCTGGTGAATGGCATCAAAATGAATTATCAAGTCGGAACCCGCACCTTGTCATTCGCCGCATATACCTTCGACGTCAATGTTATAGAAATTTATCTGACACTCCTCCACGGCGGATGCCTCTACATACCCTCTGCTGAGAGAAGGCTCGGAGATCTGTCTGGCTTCATCAACGACTGTCGAATTGAGTTAGCGTTCTTAACGCCGACAACTATCCAGAATCTCCTTGGGTCCCCGAGCCTGGTGCCATCACTCAAGACCCTCCGCTCGGGTGGAGAGCCTTTATCAAAGTCGATTTTGCGTGAATGGAGCCCAAGCGTGTGCTTGATCAACTCATACGGTCCAACAGAGACCTGCGTTGATGCATGCCGAAACCCTGATATGAAGACCGACTGCGACCCGAACAACATCGGATTCGCCATCGGAACGCATCTTTGGGTCGTGGAGCGAGGAAACTACGAATCTCTCGCACCTGTTGGTTGCCCTGGAGAGTTACTGATCTCGGGACCTACTCTCGCGAGGGGATACTTTAAGGACGAAGCCCGCACCCGAGCCTGCTTCATCGACGGGATCCAGTATCAGTGGGTCAGGCCGGGCGAAGAACGATTATACGCCACCGGTGACATTGTTACCAGAAACGCCGACGGGTCCATAACGTACATTGGAAGGCGTGACCTCCAAGTCAAGTTAAATGGTTTCCGTATTGAGCTGGGCGAGGTTGAATACAACCTCGAACAATGCCCAGCTGTGGTGTCAGCTGTGGTAGACAAGGTTGCCTCTCGAGAAGGCGGCTCCGATCAACTCGTTGCCTTCCTTAGGATCACTCAGCAGGCCCAGTCCGACAACGGTAGTCCACTCTTATCTCCATCCGGCGATATCTGCGACATTATCGAAGGCGTACAAGCTCGCATCGATGGTGTTCTTCCGCCGTACATGGTTCCGCGAGTTTACCTTCCGTTGGCCAGGATTCCTCTCACGCTCAGTAACAAAACCGACCGGAAAGCGTTGAAAACCCTTTGGGAAAAGTTGACACCGGAACAGATCCTGCCATATCAGGCTGCGCCAGCAGTTCTACGACAGCCCGCAAGCGTTACCGAACGGATTCTGCAGGGACTCTGGGCGCAGGTTCTCAAGATCGACCCCAAACTTATCGGATTGGACACTCAATTCACTCGCGTTGGTGGTGATTCTCTTAATGCCATCGGTCTGGCGTCCTTGTGTCGTGAACTCGGGTTCAAATTCGAGGTGGCGGATATCTTGCGCATCCCTCAATTGGAAGCCATGGCTCGCCACGTCGAGGAGAACCGGCGCGTGGCCAAACTAGAGAATCAAAATGGCAATATCAAGACGGCCATCACGAACGACGCGCCCCTAACCGAGAAGCTGCGACTCCAAGCCGCCGAAGCCTGCGGCCTGTCCCCTGACGACATTGAGGAAGTTTACCCTTGTGCCCCGATTCAAGAGTCATTAATGGCTTCGACCCTGAGGCAACCTGGGTCCTACATCGACCACAGCAAATTTACTATCCCCCAATCTGCTGATATTTCTCGATTCCGGAATGCCTGGCAGCTCGTCCACGAAGCCAATCCTATCATGCGCACCCGGATCTGCGCAGTCTCGACCCCCAAGGGCATGCGCCTGATGCAAGTGGTTACGAACTGTCCGAGCGAGTGGATAGATGATGATAGTGAACCGGACTCGGCTATGCGGATGGAGCTTGGTGCACCTCTTGTTCGATACAGGCTCCGGCCCTCGGGTGAGAGATTCGTCTTTGAAACGTGGAGACACCATGCCGTATTTGACGGCTTTTCCTCTGCGGCGCTCTGGGATGACCTACAGCATGCATTCGAAACGGCGATCCTCCCAAGAGCTCGACCGCCGTACAGGGCGTTTGTCGATTTCATACAGCGTATTGAAAGCTCTGAAGCCATCTCCTTCTGGGAAGACCAATTAAACGGACATCAACCCGAGCCTTTCCCCGTACTTCCCTCACCAGACTACGTTCCCCAGGCCAGCTCCAAGACCAGCCAAACATTGAGCGGTTCTCTCATATGGGACTCGACGAGTCCCTTCACCTTCTCAACCATTGTTCGCGCGGCTTGGGCCGTGATTCTTGCCATGAGAAGTCGCTCGTCCGGGATTGAAAAGGACGTCTGTTTCGCGACAACGTTATCTGGCCGCACTGCTCCCCTGGCTGGGATTGACGCCATTATTGGCCCGACGATCGCTACCGTGCCCGTGCGGATACAGTTCGACGTTGATGCCGACGTGACTAGCCTTCTCCAAAAAGTCCAAGATCAAGCGCTCGATATGCTCCCATTTGAGCACCTCGGCCTGGGCCGAATTCGAGAGATCAACCAATCCGCCCGTGACGCTTGCGCATCTGCAAACCTTCTCGTTATCCAACCGGACCAGATCGGAAGCGACTCCCTACCTCTGGGCTTACAGCGCCTAACGGATTCTGAGATCCAGGATGACTTTAAAGAGCCCTTTGGTCTCGTTGTCGAGTGCGTGCAGAACAAGGCGAAAGACGAGATTTCTGTCTCGGCGGCCTACGACGAGGTACTTTTATCGAAGCTCGAGGTCACCCACATCCTTGAACATTTCCAACAAATGATAAGCGCCCTTCATCAGTACGCAGGCGGGCAGGGATCTGTTCAATCGGTATTGTGGCAGCTTGCCTTAGGAGCAGACCTCCAACGCGTCGTCGAATGGAATTCTCGAGACCAAGGTGCTCCCATGCAGCTTCATGATTTAGTGGAGAGGGCCGCGGAGAAGTATCCGGATCAGCTTGCTATCGACTGCCATGATGGCCAAATGTCCTACACGAAGTTGGTTGAAGCTGCAGACCGCCTGGCCTGTATCTTGCAACGTGATTACGGTGTCAGGCCAGGGGATTTCGTGCCCATCTGTACCGAAAAATCCCAATTAATGATCATCGGCATCTTGGGGATTATGAAGGCCGGCGCGGGCTACGTCCCGCTTGACACAAATCACCCTGACGCTCGTATGCAATGGATTATCAACGAAGTTAATGCACGTGTCGTCGTCGCATCGCCTTTACAGGAAGACCGGAGGCAGTTCCCAGTTCAGAAGCTTGTGCTAACCACGGAGAGGCTCTCACTGGCAACCAACACTTATCGCGAACAACTACGAAAGTCATCCCCCAACGACGTTGCCTACGTTATATTTACCTCGGGGACATCTGGAACTCCCAAGGGCGTGGTGATGCAACACAAAGCCGCCAGCTGGTCCATCCTAGAACACGCGAGGCGCTACAGACATGACAATACACGGCACTCCCTTCAGTTCAGCTCCTATGTCTTCGACGCAAGCGTGGTCGACATTTTCGCTGTCCTCGCCTCCGGCGGCTGTGTGCATGTCCCATCTGAGACGCTGGGAGTGGGCGATCTTGAAGACTACATCCGGGAAAATGGGATCAACTTCGCAGACTTGACGCCTACCGTGGCCAATTTGCTAGATCCGGCCCAAGTGCCGAGCTTGACCACACTCGCGATTGGTGGCGAAATGGCCAACCGTGAGTTGCTACGCAAATGGGGAGGCAAGGACTCGCCTGTGAAATACATGGTTAATGCCTACGGGCCGACCGAGGCTGGTATTGCATGCGCCATGGGCGAGCTTACCCAAGCATCTGCCGTCGGTGATGTGGGAACACCATTAGCCGCTGGACTATGGATCGTCGACGCCCGTGATCACAATCGCCTTGTCCCCATCGGATGTGTCGGGGAACTGATAGTAACCGGAGAGACACTTGCGCAAGGATATCTCAACAGGGCAGAAGAAACTCGCCGTGCATTCCTAACAGATGTACCCTGGCTGGCCAATACGGGTGAACGACGTCTGTATAAGACAGGAGATCTCGCCAGGTTCAACATCAATGGACACGTAGAACTCGTGGGAAGGAGGGAGGACACGCAAGTCAAATTCCGGGGGCTCAGAATTGAGCTCGGAGAAATCGAGACGGCGATAGAGGCTCTACCGCAATGGGCGAGCCGTTTGAAGCGCGTTGCCGTGGCCATGATCCAGCGGGATGAGATCCCAATTCTCGCCTCCTTTATTCAATTCTCGGCCAACGATACCTACCATACTCCTCGAAAGGAAGGATCCATCTTTTGTCAACCCTCAGATGGCTTCAAGGCCTTTGTTGCAGACGTCAAGAAGTGCATTGACAAGCAACTCCCTTCTTACATGGTGCCACAACTTTGGCTTCCCGTTTCTGACTGGCCCATTTCAGCGTCTAGCAAGACAAACCGCAAACTGCTTACCCTATCTGCCGAAAATCTGGACCGCAGCCAAGTAGACGAGTATCAACGAGTCGTGGCTATCAATAGTACGGCCAACGGTAGAATCAACGGCACCAACGGCAAGGCACCGTCAGCAGCAGCAGCAGATCAGGTAATGGGAAACGCGGAGGGAGGTGTCAAAGAGGCTATCATCCAAGTTCTTCACAAAGATCCGGATTGCAAGATCGAACCTGAAACCGACTTTTTCCAACTTGGAGGAGACTCGCTTACAGCGATCATGCTAGTCATTGCACTTCGCAAACGAGGAATCCACGTTTCTGCTCACGACATCTTCGCAGAAAGATCAGTGCGTGGGATTGCCGGACGATGCTGTTTGTTAGGAACAACCGACTCGACGGCAACAAATGGAAATGGGCTCACACGGAGTCTGGTCTCAGAACCCGTCGAATCTGATGGGGACTCTGGTACCGCAAACTCAGACTTCAAGCAGCTCGTCAATTGGGTAGAAAGAGCAAAGTTTGAAGACGCTTACCCAGCTTCAGACACTCAGACGACGTTCCTTATCGAGGGTCTAAAGTGGCCTCGTTCCTACTACGGATGGTTCTTCTTTGAGCTGAGCGATTGCGTCGGTATTGACGAGGTACGAGAAGCTTGCTGTGCTCTTGTCGCTCGTCATTCCATCCTGAGAACGAGCTTCCATCTCAAGGGTGGCAAATGTTTCCAGGTTGTTCACGCACCAAGCCCATCGATCGATTCCAAAGTCCTCGTTTGCCGTAATGTACCGAGCGAGCAGTGCGACATTATCGATCGGGAGGTTCTTCACCCCGTCAAGTTCGGCGAGATCCTGACCCGTTTCCGGCTCTTCATCGACCCAGTTAGTGGTGCACGAACACTAATGCTCGGTCTCTCCCATGCTCAATATGATGGATTCTGTCTGGCAACAATATTCAACGATCTCCGGTTAGCTTACCTAGGCATCCTCAACCAGGCCACAAAGCCACCCGGCCTTCGTCCTTTCATCGAGTACTCTCTCAAGATTTCGGAAGAGGAGACCGACAACTTTTGGCGAAAGACGATTGAGTGTTCGCCAATGAACACAATTTGCGACCGAGTGCCCACGACACGACAACCAGTGATGAGCGAGAGCATCATGCGGACGATCCCATTCAAGTACAAGGATCGCGAACTGTCTAATTACAACTACGGTGCACTCGTGAAATCCGCGTGGGCTCTGACATTGAACTTCCTCACCCACTCTCACCTGCCAGACTGTTCCTACGTAACGTTCTGGAACCTCGTCTCGGGACGCTTCGCACCCTTTGGCGGCGCCCAAGACGTAGTTGGACCCTGTATCAATTTTATACCCACCCGAATTCCAATTATTCCCGATAAGGTCGTCTCTGATCTTGTGGAGGACATGCAGAGTCAGATGATAGATTGCATGCCGTACGAAGCTACTCCAACCAGCCGTATTATCAAGCAGTCAGTGTGGTCCAATTCCTTGGCCAATTTCGGTACAATCTTCCAGTACCAGAATATCCCGGATCCGAAGCCTCCCTCAGATGATTCCCACTTGCCCTGGTCTGTTAAGGGAGGCGCCGTGTATGGCGGTGGCCTACTGCAGTCTGGGGCTTGCTGGATGATGGCATGGCCGAACAAAGAGGGATTCTCGTCGTTCCGTTTCACTTACAGCCCTGAAACCCTGTCTCCAGCTGGAGCCGAGGCCGTCATGACGATCTACTTGGATTTCCTCCGAGATATGAATGATGACCCTTCCGGTTATATTAGGGCCCTTGAGCCCAGCCTTAAGCGCCTCAAGCTCGTCGACCCGCCAAGCACTTCCGAAATCCCCTCTCCAGCTAGAGTTGAAACTCCCCCGGCATTGCAATCTCTCGAATCGCAAGTCAAAGCCTTCTGGAAGCAATTGCTCAACCCACCGCGTGACATTCACTCTAATGACTCGTTCTTCAACATGGGAGGGGATTCCATCAAGGCCGCAGAGCTGGGAATGCTGTGCGAGAAGGCAGGGTTGCAACTCACTTTGCAAGATATTCTCGACTTCCCAACCCTCGGTATGCAGACACTGGCGATAGCAGGCCAAGTTTCTCGTCCTGAGAGAACTGTACCCAAACTCCAGTTCCGCGCGGCGCATGAACTCAGCTAGAGGAAGGTGGGATCGTGAAGATTGGGTGGATTGTAAGGGACGCGTGTCTACACAATGACGCGGCAGGTGTGTTCTTCAAAGTTGTAATTCTGTATTCGCTTTTATGGGGTGGTGAGGTTGGAATTTTTCATGGGCGTTTCTTCTGTATTTTATTCGTTGTCGTTTGGTTTTGTTTGAAGTGTATATGAATTTCCTGAAAATAAGACTCATGTCTATGTATATTTTAGGTTCCGCTGGGTTTGTAGGGGTGTCTGGGGTTGAGCGAAGATGGTGATATATTTATTAAATGCGAGAGGAGTTTGGTATCTTTTGGTACATGTTTGCATACAACGTCATAATAGAATCCACCAGCATCCCCCTGTCTCCATTATGCAGATCTAAACAACCTCCTAACCCAGCCAACGATAAGAATGCTTCTTCCTATGATGCGGCCAAAAAAGTAGGGCAGCCCATATTTAAACCAGGTAAGAGGCTGCAGGACTCTGATCTCCGGCAGGGCAACCTCATTTCGTACACCCGCAGGTTCTTTTGCCACCGTCTCCCCGGTAAACGCCTCGACAGCGTCAACTATCAGCCCTACCGTCTGCTCGGGCTGACTCAAAAATGGCGAATGACTTGTCTGCATCTCCCTATGCACTATCTTGCCCCCCATTTCCCTCGCCATGGCTAGCTGGACCCGCTGTAACACCACTGGCAAACCCCGATCTTCGATGGTGCCAATGTACCATGAGGGTACATCGAGCCAACCGGCATATGCGTATTCTCTCCCCTCAAATAACGTTTTAAGGCTCTGGGGGGTGAGCTGAGAGACCCAGTAATTCGCCTCATCATCTGGCAGATCGTGATAGAATAGCTCACGGGGAGGAGTGACGATATCGGCAAATCCAGTCTCCTTGTTGACGCGCCAGGCTGGAGGCGGATGGCCGAAGGCGGGGTCCATAAAGGCTACCCCTGTCATGGTATAGCCAGAGGCTATGAGGATGATTCCGACGACATAGCCCGTTGTTGGCGGCGATTGAGATTGCTCAACCTGTTGAGCGCTGTTCGAGCCTGATGTCGGAGCAGCGCTGCTCGCTGGGGTATCCTTTGGTCGCGTGAAACCCTTGACCGCGCTGTTTCCAATCATGCCGCCAAAGGAGTGAGCAATGACTACCACGTCGCGTCCCCGGGACGTTTCGCTGGAAATTGCGGCGCGGGCAGCATCGATATCATCTTTGAAGGTCGCGTCTGGGTTCCCTGTCGTCGAAGGGAGAGTGATCGCGACGCATCTCAACTTGTGCTTCTCTCGGAGGAGTTTAATGATCTTGTCATAGCATATGGGCTTATGCCACGAGCCGGGGATAAAGACGAGCGTAGGTAGATTAGCCATCTTCGAGAATGAGTCTAGTGATTGAGTGAATGAGTGAAATTTTCCGAGTCTCACGGGGGGGAACTCGAGTTGAATCAAGGTCCCCCTGAGTCTTGAGGCTGATGCTTAGTCAGATTGATCTCGCTTTGTGTCCAAAAACTTCACCAATGAATCCGATCTAACCAAGTTCGTGATGGCGAGAGGATGAGAATATGGAAATCAATTTCGTCATTAAATCAGTGTCGGGGAAACTAATACTACCTAGATTCCTCCTCACCTCCCCTCCAGCCCTTGAATTTCCTCGTAGGGAGCCGAATGCTAAACATTGTGTCGATTTCCGCAGGCGTCCTCCCCTTCATCTCCGGCAGCGCGAACCAGCACAACGCGACGGCAATCAAACAAGTGCCGGTGTAGACAAAAGCTGACTTGGCGCCAAGATCTCCGGCATCCGGATTGAAAGCGTAGGGGATAGCGAAGCTCATCGCCACAGATGAGGCTTGCTGGGCAACGCCACCAAGACCCTGTGTCTTTGCACGTAACCGCAGGGAACTCGCCTCGCCCATGATGGCGTATGCCGCTGGCCAGCAACCCATACCGCAGGCCACGATGACAGCAATGAGAAGGCCGGCGACAACATACGGGACGGCAGGGGTGTTCCAGAATCCAGAGACGCCAGCAGAGCCCCAGAGAATAGCTGCACCGCCGAGGGAGATGATGGTCACCTTTCGCCGCCCGACTCTCGATAGGATCCAAATACCGATACCGTTTGCGACGGTCCCGGCTACGATGCCTCCAATAAGAATCATCAAACTGCGGCCCGAGTCCATACCGATGACTTGGAGGAAGTAACTTGACTTGCCTAGGAGGTCCAGTCCAAAGAGAGCGGGAAGGAGGTTTGCGAGGATGACAATCCAAGTACGCCGCGCATTTGCGCCGCGGAAGCAGGTGATGTAGCTTGCATCAGCACTAGCGGCCTTCTCCTCGATAATGTTGTGTCGGATGGCATCTAGCGCTGTTATTGCATCGGCCTTGGGGGCGTATAGTCGAGTAGCTGATTTGAGAGCCAGCTCCGACCGACATTTCTCCTCAAGATAAACTGGGCTTTCGGGTATGAAGAAGAATAGAACAAAAGGAACGACGGCCAGAACCCACTGAGAGCCGAAGGCTGCGAGGTAACCTTTGTTCCCCTCCACATCGTTGATGACATATGCAACGATGGCTCCGAGTAGCTGGCCCAAAAGGTTGCCAGTGGGGATCAGAGCCATGATTGAGCCGCGAAGAGCAGTCGGCGATATTTCGGACATGTACGCCAACGCGGTAATCTTGAGGCTGCCAATGGAAACACCCTGGACAACCTTGCCGATGAAGAATACGGCTCGCATAGCCGTGATAGTGGTCGCGAGATGTGAGAAGAATATGACGGTGACACCAGCTGCACAGATGAAACTTCCAACCATGAGACTCAGACGACGGCCGATCCGGTCTTGAAGCCATCCACCAAAGAGAGACCCGATGGCCATGCCCATCGGATTGGCAGCATTCCAAAGGGATAGCCATAGATATGGGATAATCTGTTTACCCTCAAAAATCTCCCCGTAATCCCGCTGAAAAGGGTCCACGGCAACGATAGCACCGATGAGCACTAGGTCATATCCCCACCCGACAACGATGATGGTGAGGGCTAAGCAGTAGCCCACAACCTTGGGATATCTTCGGATGGCCTGGCCGAGAGGCAGGTTCTCTTCGCCAGTTGTGGATGAGGTGGCATGAGCATTGGTAAGGGTTTCTTCATCCAAGGGGGTGGTTGAGGTGAGCAAGGCGGTCTTCGTGTCAGCTTGACACAGGTGCGTGTCTGTCAACTCCATGTCTCGGGTACTGATTCTATCCATGTCGGCGTGGTGGGAGTTGTGGAAATTCCTGGAGCTGCGTGCGCCCGTAGAGTTCGTCGTTTGATTCAATGAAGGAGAGATAACGTGCCGGAAAATAGAGTGGGTTTGATCGATGAACTAAGAGACTCCGAGACTCTCTCTATCCACAAGGGACTCTTATATCTTCTAGATCCGAGGAGAGATCTTGCGCGGAATTGGGTAGGGGCATTCGCCTCCGGAAGTCAACCTTTGGCTGCGGTCAGCAAAAGTCCGAGTCAGCCCCCTGATTGCGGCTTTGCGGAATGTCGTACAAGGACAAGATCATGATAGAGCAAAAACCCAGACAACCGTAAAAGTTAGCCTAGTAGATCTAGAACGGGCTTAAATCAGGACTCCAGACAGCTTCTCGGGCGAACCTCGCATTCTTCACCGCACGCGGCCTCAGTATACGACACGACACGACTCAATGTCGCATCACTAGGCATGTTGACGACCGTGACCGCCAGGAAACTTTGCGTCCCATAACTTCGTTCGGCTTGGATCGTCAATACAAATGAAACTTTGCAAAAGTGCTCAGGCTCTGGGGCTAAGCCACTGCGGCGGTGGCCGCTGAAAAGTGGGCTAATTTGCGGATTTCGCAGGTCGTCGGGACCTGCGCGGGTAAAGCTGACGTCTCGCATGGATTTCATATTATAAGTCTGACGCATCCTGCCCGACCGCAGTCTCGGCCGCCCTTGCATTTCGAACAATGCTCAATACTTTCCGAGGCAGAACAGCAAGCGGCACTTTCTGAGGGCCATTATATCTCCTTTTTTCACACGTTCTATTTAGACTCTAGTACTGTGGCTGTCTCCGGGTAATTCTCACAAGAAATCTTGGTACGGTTTCTAGAGAACTATTAATGACAATCCTCCCCTTTAACTGGAACTGTTTTTTTACAATAAAGGACAATCTTAGAGACCGAATTGCGAGTGAAGTCCGCGTCAAGCACACGCGGCTTCGAGTGATAGACCCTGTAATAGGAGCTAGACAGTAGTCAGACGCGGGGGAGGCCCAAGAGGAGCCGGCCCTTTTGACGATACAGAACTTGACATCTCCATTCATATATCCGGTACTATAACGCCAAGACAGTTACAGCGTAGCCTGGCAATCCTTAGACTAGTTCTGTGCCTAGAGCGCTTTTCGGCCTTCGGAGCGAAATGCGCCTTTGCGTGCCGACAAGCTCCTACGCCAACTGTTCGTTAACCAAACGCGCTTTTCGGCTCAGGATGCGAATTTCGATCATCAAGCCAAGGCATTTCATGTACTATGAAGCTCGAACCACGTCAACACGAGACTCTTCATCCTAGGCTGCGGAATGGTTCACTCCACCACTCAGATACCTCACGTCGGAGAGCGGCACCAGCTCTGAGAAGGCCAAGATCTGCTTCGGACAAACGTCAGGGAGTTCCGCCAGTCCCGCCGCTTCAACGGTCCTCCCTCGCGGCACCAACACATAAAAGCATATCCCTCACCCTTCCCTAAGTAAGAATTGAATCTCAGATATCGCATCTAACCGCATCTCCCTCCATCATATAGACTCCTTCCGATATTACTCTTACCGTCTTTCGCCTTCTCGCCTTTCTCTCAAATTTCCATTGTGGCGTTAAAATGTCCAGCTCATTGTCTAGCAAAGATGTTGAATTACGACCCCTGTGCCATATCATAGCCCCCGTTGGCAACATGGGCTACGGTTTCCACGAGGACATCACCGAACGCGAACTCGCCCGACTGGTTGCCACAGGAATTCCGACGGCCATCATCCTCGACTCAGGGTCGACCGACAGCGGTCCCGAAAAGCTTGCCCTCGGAAGCATGACATGTCCGGAATCTGCTTACGTCGAAGACTTGACGAAATTGTTGAGGCTTGTCCACACGTATCGAGTGCCTCTGATCTTTAGCTCTGCTGGTGGGGACGGCTCAGACGAACACGTTCGGCTGATGGGACAGATAGTCGATAGGATTGCGGTAGAAAACGAGTCAGTTAAGAGAATTTGCACTTGAAAGGTCCTTTCTGTTTCAGCGCGGCATCCTAACATTGCGAGTATTGTAGATGCTACTGTTTCAAGACCATCTCGATATTCTCCTCCATCGATAAGGCTATCATCCGAGAGAGGCTCGACACTGGGAAGATCACAGGATGTGGAACCTGTGTCCCAGCCTTGACAGAAGCGGACATCGAAACCTCACCTCGAGTTGTAGCACAGATAGGACCAGAGCCCTTCCTGGACGTCATGGAAGCCGACCCTGACTTTGACGTCATCATCGGCGGCCGAGCCTATGATCCAGCGCCATATGTTGCCTATTCGCTCTTTCAGCTGAAGAGGCAATACCCCAATCTTAACGCCGAGGAGATTCACTCCCGATATGGTGGCTTCCTTCATATGGGGAAGATTATGGAATGTGGAGGTTTATGCTCGACGCCCAAGTCCCACGGCGCCGTAGCAACGGTGTACCCGACCGGAGTCTTTGATGTGCGGCCAACTGCCCCCGAATCGAGATGCACGCCCTACTCAGTCGCGGCACATGCCCTGTACGAGAACGGACGGCCGGATATTCTGCGTGGCCCAGGTGGTGCACTTCATCTGAACGAGTCCAAATATGAGCAACTGGAAGACCAAAGAACCGTTCGAGTTCGTGGCAGCCAGTTCAGGTCCCTGCAATCACAGGGTCTGCCCTACCAATTCAAACTCGAGGCTGCTCGTGTGGTGGGATATCGAACTATATTTCTGGGTAGTGTTCGGGATTGTAAGTCTCTGTTTAGACGCTATACGACAATATATTGCTCCCTACTTATGCGTACGACTTAGACATTTTAATCAACCAGATCGACAAATTGCTAGCCAATGTCCGGAAATACGTATCCCAACAGCATCCAGACATTATCGGAGAATGGGACCTCGACTTCCACCTGTACGGGAAAGGACAGAGGACAGCAGACGGTCCAGGTGAGGTCTTCGTCGTCGCCGAAGCTGTCGCGCCAACCCAGCAACTAGCAACTAGTATTGCTGCTAAGGCACGAGTGGGCATGATCGTAAGTCGTTACCTCTTGCCAAATTCAATTTGATATATGTCTAAGATGCAGCATGCAGCACGGACCATATCCGGGGCAGAAAGCAACAGCAGGAAACTTTGCCTTTGGCATCGGAGGAAAGATGGAGATTGAAACTGGTCCATGTGCTAAGTTTTCTGTATACCACCTCATGGACCTCCAACCAGGAGAAGAGCGCCTGAAGGCTACAAAAGCCGCTGCACATCGTCCGTTGATTCATTGCAGCGTGGCTATCATCGGAAAGGGAAGAAGAGTACCATCCGACGAGGATTTCAGAGCCGGCATTGCTCGACGTCTGGAATCCCTCTCCAATCCCCCGCCGATTCCGGTAAAGAAGCAGTTAGCGAGCGACCTAATCGTGTCGAGAAATTCACCACGAACACTTTCCGACCTAACATATGTCTTCCGGTCGAAGAACGCTGGCCCTTACGAAATCACCATCGACGCTCTCTTCACCTCCGAAGAGGCATATCAAACTGTGAAAAACTCCTCACTACTATCTCCAGAAAACGTCGCCAAAGCCCTCGGAATCCCAACGAAAGACATAATATGGCTTGGATTCATGGACGCGGCACTCGCGTTCAAGGTTACTATACCACGCGTGCGATGTGGGAGAAAGGCACCCGCTGGTAGCTTTATGGAGAATGATGTCCACGGGTCACAACAGCACTTGGGTCTAGCTAATCTAAAGTTACATCCGCAGACAATGAGTGAACCGTCCAGGAATTCTGTCCTCGGTGTTTCTCGGAACAAATTGCTGTTGCCCCTCTGGGGCCTGACGGTTTTGGCTGCCGCGAAGGCCTTCCCATCATGGCGGAAATGGTTCGGTTGGTAGCCTCGAAGAAACTGACAAATGTTAAGATAGTTGTTGAGTGTAATAATAGTTTGGGCAGGCTTTGTTCTTGCGTGGGTTAACCGTCAACATCACATCAAGTTCACACCATCTTTACCGCATTATACTAGGTGGGAGCGGCGTTTTCCCTTTCTTTTCTCTCTCTTTTTAATAAGGATGACTGCTACTCAGAGAATGGAAGTATCGACTGAATATCTAGCATACCCATAAGAGGATCGTCCCAAAAACCCCCAATGAAATCCTGGTCATTCATGAAAGATTCAACTCCCTGCAGCGGATCGATATTTCCAACTTGGCCGGATATACCCGACTTTACCTCGTCCAGAGTCTGGTTTTCTCCAATCTCGGTGGGCTGGCCTCGGATCTCCGAGGCCGTAGTGATGGCATCCAACACAATTGACACGCCCATGCGATTCGTCAGTCGGACTTTCGCGGCATCAACACGATCGGCTGTCAGCTGGGCGAGCAGTTCGAACACCCTCGCCGCTCTGCCATACTCGTCCATGGGGTCTATGGAGCAAGTCTTGAAAACGTTTTGAGCCAACCCAATATGACACGCTGCCGACTGTCGTTCTTCTTTGGAAGCGGCGCTGTTAAGATGGAAGAACTTAATGAGGAAGATGGTGGCGAAAGCAAGGCCGAGATAATAGTGTTTGGGTAGTGTCCTCCTCCTCCGTATCCATTCTGGGTCACCTTTGCCCCAGCCACTCCCAGGCAATGGCTGCGTCGAAATGTCAATAATTCGGATGGCAGTGGAAAGCCCGGTTTTCAGCATAATTTCGCGGGCAACACTTTCTCGTCGAAATTTAGTGATCAGAAACGCATAAAAGTGCAGCTTGACGACCAGAATGTGGCGCTCTAATTTATATCCGTCCTCGTTATCCTCCTCAGTCAAAGACGAGTTCAGCGAATCCAACTCCGTATCCATCAGTCGCATTAGCGAAGTGGATGTAGCCTCGTCAACGTCGTGCACCAACAAGTTTGAGAACTTTGATACTATAATCTGAATCTTGACATGCGCCGCGAATCGGTGAGACACAATTTTCTTATCGAGGTAAGCTTGGATGGTAACAAAGTCCAACTCGGAATCAATGGGCGGGCGTAACCCTAGGTGCAAGGCTAGGCTAGGATGGAGGTTGTGTTAGAGGAGCTCCTTCTCATGATCACGGAATCATATACTTACGCAGTTCCAACATAGAAACACCCGATCCACGTATTCATGCGCGCAGTCGCCGTGCCAGAAGCCACTCCAACACTTCGGAGGGAAGGCGTGGGCTGTTCGCGGTCGAGACCCATAAAGCGAGCCGCCTGGATCGCTATTCCGACATACAACCAGCTGGGGTCCTTGGGCTGCGAGTCGACTGGCAGAGGCCAAACGCACAGAAATAAGAGGGCCTGGATTTTGTGGAGAGGCAGAGGGGTATCCAGAATCTCTTGGTTCAGCAATCGCCGATAGGGGTTGTGGAGCTTTGCGAATAGCGTGTCGTACGGACTGCCCGGTAAGTGTGAACAGACGATGATGAGGACGGTCCAGAATAGAAAAGGCTGATGTGTATAAATATGCTCGATAGAAATGGGACTAATGAGCGGAAATTGGGGCAGAAACAGTTCTGCGAATCTAATAGTCATCGGTTAAGCTGGTTGACAAAACGACAAATCGGATATAGATAGGTGGGGATGGGAGGCAGGCATACCCTTGAAAGCAATCAATGGCGAATGACGACTCAATAAAGGTATCGAATAGAACTACAGTCTCTACACTTAGCTCAAAGTCATTCGGGGAGCTCTCCGGTGATACGCTTTCGTCGGCATAAGGGCTCGTCTCGAAACCTGATTCAGTCTTTGTCGCCGACTCATTTTTGTCACGCTTGCTCCGGAGCTCCTCGAGCTCTCTGCTCATAGCCTCGAGCTTCCTACATCGATAACCAAAACAAAAATGTGTCAGAAGTCTGTGTCCGTTATTCAAGTAGCTGACTGGGCACACATGTACGTCTTACTTGCGGGCAGGCGTCCTTTGGAATGTCGCATCGACTCTGCAGAACAGCTGCCGGGACTGACATCTCGTGCAGGGATTGGGAAACTTTATCTTGGAATCGCACCGGAGCTAATACCGATTGAGCTTCAGGATCCTTAGCTGTTTGCGGGGAAGAATTAGTGCCATGACGGACCTTGGCTTGTTTACATTCCGTGCAGGAGCGAACGGCTCGCAGGCCGGCTGAATTGTTGGCCTTGGACGCCATTTGGAGGCAGGAACGGGGAAGATTGGTTTGGGAGAGGAGCTACTCTCCGTCGGGGAGAGATCGACTCCCCTTGTCGCGATTGTGGTCATCCCAATCCAGCGCGTCTGACACCAAGCCACAACAGCCACAATCTAAGCCGCGGTCGTCGGAACATATCCCAGTTATTCTGCCTAAGATTCCAGGCCGCAGCGAGTGGAGACGTGGATCGAGTTGTGCCTCAGGACTTCGAAGTTAAAGTTTTGATGGTGGCTTGAATCTATTCCCGTTTTGTGCATACGGGTTACATCGATATGTGATGGAGCAGGCTTGGCTGTGGGATGAAGCATGGGATTGCACGAACTCCTCGGACTGCAAATGAGATATGACTAGGAGTTTCCGCGTCTCCCAGCTCCAACAACCCCATTCGATTTCTCGGATGTTTTCCTCCCCACTTCACATCAAATATAAATCGGAGCCGGAGTCCCTACGAGAAAGGTAGTCCGACGTCATATCATAACTCAGGCGTAAGCCAAGCTTAATAGTTACTACTCAAGATGCAAATTTCCAGAGCATAAACTTACTAACCATAAACATAATAAAATCTTCACAAAAAGTCGATCGCCCATTCCCCGCCTGGTCGGAGCCCGGTCGGAGAAAAAGAGGTCCTCACAGCACACAAGTCATTCTTAGGGCAAGTTGAAGTTTTCATCATTAATTGACTTCTGGTTGAATTCGATTCTTAGTGACACTGGTTTTTCCTCGAGCTATACACAGTATATCCTTACATTTTGGGTCTGCACAAGAGTCGGCCTGTGACAGTTGCTATATATTTATAGTAGAAGAAGTAATCGATAAAATCCTTCTAAGTATGAGACATCTCTGAGTTAAGACCCTGATGATATTTTTCATCGATCTTATTAAAGTTGAAGTGTTTGGAGGAGAGCAAGTAAAAATTAGATAAAGCTGATAGATCCATCTTAAGAAAACAACCTAGCGCCTTGGTAAGATGCTCGCTCTTTTCACAAAGTCCTTTCCCGTACTATCTCGCGCAATAACAGGTCTGCTAAGGAGACTTCACTTCCACTCCGATCAGTTGATGCATCGTTGGGGATGTCATGTTGTTTTATGCCTGGTATTTGAGGCATCATGCGGGGTTTGTCAAGGCTCAGCCACTTCGATGACGAGACATGGCAGCATCGTGATGACGCGGCATCGCTTTCCAGATTTTGGGTGCGGGGAATAACTAAACTAAACTAAGAGACTGTCACGAAGACTTCCAGTCCGACCAATCTGAGCTAGCAGGATGGGAGGGAGGCCTCACTCTGATCTAATACACCCTCAATGCTCCTTGACCTAGACCCTTGGCACCATCTTCACTTACATTGACTGACCGATTTTCAAGAAGCTTGCAGTCCTACCACAGTTCCCCAGATATAAGTCAATTGGCCGAGTCCATCCAAATGGGAGGGGAATTCGGTCGGTGTCCAGCCTTGGCGACGCAGACATATCACGTGTCCAAGAACGAGCAGACGTCAGCGCTGGCGACACCGACATATCGGATATCGGATTTATAATGCTTGGTCAGTCAGCATCTGATCGAAAATCGAGACCGGCTTCTAGGGTGGAATATCATGGTCTGGTCAGTAATGCGGGAGAGAGTTGAGGTCAACGTAGGGCCATCCACCTTTCAGGGAATTTGCGTAGTTACATATATTCCTTTTTCTTCCCCCCCCGCTAGGTAGAAAGAATAATGACTAGTAAATTGTAGTTTATAAATCCCCGTAAGGTAGGGTTTTCTGGGTATCAACAACGAGGACATAGAGGTCATGAAGCGTTATCAAAGTGATGAATGTCTCGTCGAATGGCTTTCACATTTAAGTCCGTCGGGCGGTACCTGCAGCTGTGACGAGGCCTAGGTGGCTCAGCATTTTCTTGGTACAACTCAGTGCAAGACGCCAAGACGACCGGCCGACTGGTGCGTCATGGCGCAAACACTCGATTATGGACATGTCCAGCATTTCATTCTCTTCAAGATGCTTTTTGAACAGAGTCGGAGATATTTAAAAACTACCCGATATTCCTGGTGGCACGAGTGCCTGCAGCCATGCAAACGGAGTCTCGTCGGTCGTACAGACGCACCTTGCGATGAAGCTCTTAATATTGTTCTACTGTCTACTTCTCCCGCAACTGCAGGTACAAGGTAAAGTTGCGAGACTACTGGCAAAGAGGACTACATGTATCTAATGTCAGAACTTTCAGCGCTATCCATCGCTAGAAACGCCATCCAACAAGCCTCAGTCGTCGTAGATCTACAGTTTTCTCGGAACCCGCAAAGGCTCGACGCCGCCTCGACTTTCGAAGTCGAGTTTAACCTACCCGATGAACAGCAAAAGATCCGGTTAAATTTGCAGCCAACTCGCAACCTCATCCTCCATCAGACAGACGTTCAGCATGTTGGACCCGACGGATTATCCAACGCACTCGTGAGCCAAGGTGGCTTGCCACTTGTTTACAAAGGGGAGACACTTATCCGCAGAGGCGAAGCTGGACGGTGGAGAAAGGCAGGTTGGGCCCGAGTCATGGTCAAACCCCGACAAGGCAAGTATCTACTCGAGGGCGTCTTCAGCATCGACGGTGATTATCACCACGTTGCACTCAACTCCAATTTTCGAACTTCACAGCTTTCACCGGATTATGTCCTCCCCAAGATCGATTCGCCGCATATGATAGTCTGGAAGGAATCAGAGGTTATGAATGACGGAAGAATGCTTCCACGATCGGCTACCAACGATTCGCTCTGCCTATCGGAGAATTACAGTCTCCGTCAGCCCTCCTTCCCGCTCGACTCGAGATTTGTGGACAAACACACGCACGACGGCCTTCATGCTCATCTCCGCCGACAGAATGGCTGGTTTGATCCGGTAGACGTTATTGGATCGACGGATGGGTGTCCTTCTGAAAGACTGGTGGCGATGATCGGAGTCGCAACAGATTGCACATACACGGCAGAGTTCGAATCGGTGAACGATGCTCGGGAGAACATCATCTCGCAAATCAACGTCGCCTCCCAAGTCTACGAAGATACGTTCAACATCGCGCTAGCAATTCGAAACTTGACCATCAGCGACGCTTCTTGTCCGTCAAGTTCATCCAGCGCCAATCCTTGGAACGTTCCTTGCTCAGCAAGTGTTGATGTTTCACAGCGACTCGGCCTGTTCACCCAATGGAGGGCTCAATACCGGGACAGCAACGCCGCATGGACCCTGTTGACCGCCTGCAACAGTGGTTCAACCGTTGGAATAGCCTGGATTGGCAACACCTGCGGTTCTGGGTCGAGCTCCTCTCGCAGAGGCAGAGAAGCGTCCACCAACGTCGTCGTCCGAACCAATGCTGAGTGGCAGGTTATTGCGCACGAACTGGCACATAACTTTGGCGCAAACCACGACTGCACATCTAGCACATGCAGCGGCGGCACCGCGTCTGATTGCTGCCCCCTTAGCGAGTCTACCTGTGATGCAGGAGGGCAGTATCTCATGAATCCTAGTACCGGACGGAGCGTTCGGAATTTCTCACCCTGCACAATCGGGTCCATCTGCACAGCTATCGGGCGAAATCTGATAGATACAAGCTGTCTTGTCAGTGAGGCCGACGTACCTGACATCAACGACAGCCAATGCGGCAATGGAATAGTTGAAGCAGGCGAGGCATGCGACTGTGGGGGCGAAGAAGGATGTCCTGAAAACTCTTGCTGCAATCCCTCAACGTGCCAGCTTCGGAGCGGCGCGGTGTGCGATCCGGCATCAGATGGCTGCTGTACTGATCAGTGCCAGATTGCCGAGAGTGGGCGAGTCTGCAGAGCTAGTACCGGGTCTGGCGACCAGCAGGAGGTCTGTGATGGGTCGTCAAGCCAGTGTCCCGCAGATGATCAAGACTCTTCCGATAATGGAGACGACTGGAGCGGAGGAGCAGACTCGGGGGGCAGTTGGCTTGACGAGAACAGGGCCCTTGTCATTGGCCTCTCCTCCTCTATCGGGGGCCTTATCATTGCACTCATTGCGGTTTGTGGAATCAAGTCATATGTGAAGAGGCGCAGACGGGGTGGGAGGCGGATACAGAGTAACAATCTGCCGGGATATGGCCCGTCTAACTATGGATTCGTCGCAGGTGGGCAAGTGCCAAGACCTCCACCGATGGTTTATAGATATGCATAAAATGGCACATAGCTTGCATAGTGTTACTGTGAATCAATTCTGTTTCAGTTCGAGATGAGCCCACTTTCGTCCTCCGGTTTGAAGCATCTATGTCAGCTTCCCATAACTTGATCGATACCCTGCCACGGCCACCCAGAGAAACTTGCAAGTTTTCAGCATATGTGAATTGAATTAATTGGTTTGGGGTTTTGACAGGCCTGAATAGACTCAGTTGAACTTGAATTGGCAGCGGCACTGCTTGTGGTGGCGAAGGCGTAAGACACGTTGGGCATCAGCGGCAGGGAAAGCAGCGGGCTTCGTTCTGGGGCTCCATCTCGTGTTGATCCCGGGAATCCGTTCTCTAGATATACCCTGGGAATCGAGATAGGAATCGAAGAGTTCATGCGTTGAAGAAAGCGGAGGGAGATGATGAGTCGTACGAGGAGAGCCCAACTCTTTCTCTCGCTGACAAGTCTCACTCTGATCTCGTCTCTGCCAAAGCCACGAATGATGGGGATCCTGCAAGGCCGATCAGAATCATGCCGATCGTTTTAAATCACCAAGGTGAAGTGAAAAGTCAAAGCGAAAATTGTCGACGTTATCATTGAACAAGGGAGCCTCAGGATCAGAGCATCCATGGTTGGGAAAATGTCGTAATATCACCAAGGTACCTTTGTACAGAGCTTCAACATCGGACGGAATGCTATCTTCTTCCACTTTGACCCCATTTCTCTTCAATTACCTCTTCCAACAACTTGATCTTTCCTCCTGATGACAGTCGTTCCTCGAACAGGAGACAAATGACTTGACCGAGATGATTAAAAAATCGCGACGGCGTTGGCAGGGCTAGCGACTCCCCCAGGAACCTAAGATCAAGTCAGCTTTTCCCTTTCCCACTTCAACACCTTGAGAGTCAGCAGACGCGATTTACCTTTAGAGGCATACTACTGAGGAAAAACGAGAATCTTCGGAGACTCTTGCAAGTTTCGCTCAGCTTTTCCAAATCGAATAGCTCACCAATTGGCATTCCCCAGCCTCCAAGCAGCCATTCATGGAGAATATACTTGTAGTCCGTGTCCGGACCGACTGGTGGGCTCCTCTCAAATGCGGGAGCATCCCCAGCAACAGCAGCAAATTGGTGGTCCCACAAGAAGCGGAGAGTCGCCTCTGACGACTCTATTCCACTGAAATTTGTAGTTTGGAGGATTGCTTTTTGCTCTTCTTCGGTGAGGACGTTATAGGCCGATGTGAAGCCCGTTCGAAGGAAGAGGATATCTCCCCGTTGGAATGTGATACCGCGGTCTATGATTAGATCTTGTATATGCGCAAAGGGGATCTGAAATGACTGGAATGGCTTCAGGGGGATGGATTTCTCCTCTGCCCACGAGGCGTAATCTACTAGCACACCGCGTCCCACAATTCCCCCAGACTCCGACCAAGCTACAAATGGTCAGTTCCACAATGAGAGGGCGGAAGAAAGTACTTCTAGACCTACCATCAGTTCCCAGTACTTGGCTTGACATCACGTCGTCGTGGGTTACATTGTTGAAATAACGTTTCTGATCAAGATAGCCTTGACACATGTGAATACTGCATTAGTTCCTATTCCTTAATGAAAGTTCATGTAAAATGGAGATACCGTACCGAAATGGCGGAACCCATCCCATTGGGTACTCGTCTGGGTATTAAAGGTCAAGATGTCATCATTCACCACCCTCAAGCCTGGGCCCCTCGGTCGGTTGACTATCTCGTGTCTGAATTGCGGCCGCCCATAGCCGGGATATTTCGGTTTAGACAGTGGCCAGTCTAGGGACACCCGTATCCCAGTCCTTATCTCCGCCGCCGCCTGGGCTACGGTTGAAGGCGTCAGTAGGTTCAACATTCCCAGACGATCATCCCGGCCGAAGCGGCCCCAGGCGTTTCCTGGTGGGCCAGTAGGGTCCAGGGGCAGATCCGAGAACGGGGGGAACGAAAATTGAGATGAATTCTCCTCCATAATCGAACAGGATGGATACGAAACGAGGTGTTTAGATGAAACTTAATAAATCTGAAGTGGATGGGATGATAATTGGGACCTGCGAACCCCGCTCGGGGCAGAATAAAACAGTCATATATGATTTGATCCGATCAGGTACTTGTCCCTCATGATGGCTAATAATATCAGAAAAGTAACTTGAACCCTTCAACTTGAGACAATTGTTCGGGCCGGGCCGTGACACTGTGGAATGTGGCGGGGAAATGAGGTGGACATAATTTGTTGTTGAACGTGGCCAGCGACGGGCCCAAATAGAGGATAGAATCAGAGGCTATAACATCGCGCCAGTCTACTACTACAAGAAATCTTGCCAATGCCAGAACGATTCCTTCTCGTGTTGCTCGTCAGGCTCCTCAGTTCCCAACCCATGTGTCACACTAGATTGTGGTCTGCCCATTCCAAGAGATTGAACTTCGCCTCGACCATTTGAAATTCTCCTGGGCAAAATTTCTTGCACAGAGTTTTCATGTCCTCAAAGACGCTGTGAGGGTGTTAGTGACAAGAGCTGATAACTGCAGGCGTTCAATCTGGCGGGGGAAAAAAATATGAAAGCTTACATAAGTCTCTGGCCGCTCGAGGGGATCAATGTCGAACAAGAGATGTTCCAACGCATCGAGTATAGCAGGTTTCTATCGTCCCAATCCTCAACTGCATAACAGTTAGACTGCATAATGAGGCGCGGAAAGGAAAACGTTACCTGGCTCGGAGACCGGGAAGTGTTTCTGGTATTCTTGGATGTAGGTCCTCTTGCTGAGGCGATGCCTTGGCGGGTTCCAATCTCCGATCTCGTATTCGTTGTGGGCATAGAGTGGCCCGGCGTCGAATGTAAAGGGTTCACCAGCGTTGATATCGTCAGCACAATTTTCATCCCACATGTCCCCGTGAACTAGACACGGCTCTACAGACCATCCTTCGCTCTCTAATGGAAGCAATAAGCGCGGGATAACTCGGCCGAAGAGCAGTTTCCGATAGCTATTGAGCTCGGGCCAAGTCCCATGTTTCTTCTCGTCTACGTCAGTAGCTCGCGCAAGAACCTTTGAAAACATCACCGTCCATGCGTCCTCCTAGCCAATATCCTGCGGTAGGCGTGGAAGCCAAATTTGCCGGTCGTGGAGTTGGAATTCTTGTGCAGTTCTGCAAGTCTTCGACACGGCTTGGGAGGATCCGGCGGTTGTTTCCCAACTTGTTTAAACTCAGCAAAGAGGAAGTATCCTTCACCCTTCTTGACATGATCCCAATGATAGACCTGCGGAACGAATGATGGGACCACTCTATGAATCTCGCGGAGCAATTCGAATTCGCCTTCGCTCATGTGCTTCCCAGGATCGTCATTGGGGATAACCTAGTAGATTACCACGGCATTAATTTGCGGTCACAAGGGGACATATCAACCGTCCGAGGTTTTAGACGAGTCATGCCTTCAGAAAGTAAGGTCTTGTCGACCCATCCGGAAGCTCAGTAACCAGCTTCATAGTTAACGCCCAAACAGAGGAGCCGCAATGATGTGCCGACTTCAACCTCGTCCCAAGGATCGGAAAGGCTACAATGGTTAATAGATTCCCCAGCTGCTAACGTCGTTGGTTTTCAGCTGAGAGATACCTTTCAAGGACGGCTTCGTCAACGGAAACCTCTCCGCCGACCTTTGGCGGCTGGATGCTGTCCACGGGAACGCCGCTGTTCAAGGAATGAGGGTGGGTATAATCTGTACCAATGCCCTTATTCGTATCCTTGGGCATCTCCTCCTCGATAGAGCCTGATAGCTGCGTTGACATTCGTGCAGCCATTTGTTCGATGAGACAGCAGCAAATGCGTAATGAAAGTTGGAGAACGGTTGGACCTGGCTCCCCTTCGCTGCCCCTTCTATCACGCCATCTTCGACTGAGGAATTCTTTAAAAGCTCCATTTTACTTCCGGCGGGCTCCAGGTGACTGATGTGGTATGGGCCTATCCTGCCCTGCGGCGAGCGTTCCCGACCTACTGGCCAAAACGGAAGTTCAACGCGTTGTGCAACCGCAGCAAATATTCGAGACTCTCGAACCTACCAGTCGATCGTCCTTCATGGAATGTTCGATGTAATAGAGATTATAGAGGTACTGCGTACCTAACTACAAGTTGAAATACTCGCTCCACTATCGACCCTGTGTATGCGACCCGGTTCACTTTTAGGAATGCAGCCATGGAAGCAAGTCCAAGCCTCCTGGTGGTCATGCCTTGCACTGGATCTGTGCATTTGCTAAACCGCCCCAACCACGCTTGCTATCGCGAACTTCATCAGTTAATTTCGGAACCAGTGCTAAATGAGATAGAATGTATTAACCACTTAAAGCGCTATTGTATCTTATACTAGTACAGATCTTTCAATCCGGATGAACCCCTAAGATGTTCGAGTGGATGCTTGAGATCGACCCATCCAAGGAATGGCGGGCTCAGATTATAGCCAATCAATTCCAACATTTCGTCATCATACATTGACGCGAGCTCTTCGTAATTTGATGCCAAATACTGATTCTCCTCCTGGCGTAGGAAGCCTTTGGTAAAGAAGCAGCTGTACAACAGACGCTCCTCATTGGGCGTAGTGTTTGCAGAGCCCCCATGGAAACAACTAGAGAGGAAAATGAAAGCATCGCCTGGCTCCAACTCTGCATGGAATGCGAGGCTCTCATCGGGAGGCGTGGTGTGATCCCAGAGGTGTGATCCAGGAATGAAGCGGGTTGCGCCGTTCGCTCGTGTACTCTTCTTGCCGGCGACGAAATATCCTATCCCGGTATCCTGTCCGATTTCATACTCCGCCGGCGTTCGGCGTTTCACGACGTTATGATGAATCATGTCGTCCCGGTGTAATTCTTGAGCCCGTGCTCCGGGGCCAATGCTGAAGATAATGGTGTTGTTGAGCTGTGGCTTGCTGACAAAAGTTTTGTATTCCGACCCGATCCAACATTTAAAGGTCGAAGTTAGGAGGCGATCGCAGACCGCTCGTGCTAGTGGGTTCCGTACAACGGTTGTCATGAAGGGCTTGGACTTTCCTGAAAGACCCATGACGCGCTTCGTCTCCTTTGGAAAGAACTCTCCGCTCCAATCCCCATCTCCGAGTATGAATTGGCGAGTATCACGCTCGATATCAGCGAGTTCCTCGGGTGTGGCGGCTCCGCGGATGATACACCCGCCTGCCACGATTATAGCTGCAACTACATCATCGATGTGGGCGGTTTTAGCTTCAAAGACACGCACCGTGGGTACCGTCCGGCACCGATCGTCGTCCGTCTCTTTGATGACGGCCGGCTGCGGCGAGTCTTGAAGACTGACCGTGGGAGGCATAGTCGCCAATAGAAGGGTGCTTTAAATAGAGGTATATGGGACTTGGTTGTGCAAGCAGGTTTGGCTGTTGTTGCAGGTTTGGAGCGTGGAAGTGGGGCTGTCAGTCGTGTTCCAGGGTCTGAGTTCTGGGTTAGCTGTTTTTCACTTCATCTGCAGCACGTGGTGATGGCCGATTCATTTATTTATACTCATTGGATTTTGTATTTTCATCCACTTTCGTTCGGCCCTACGTAACCTAGCTATGCTTGGCTTTTTACGCGGATATCGGCTGCCAATTGTCAGATCGAATGTGATAACCGCGCCTACACGAGGCTGCTTGAAGCGATACGCTAGCGGCTAGATAAGTCAGCCAGGAGTTGAAGCGTGTGAAAGACACACCAGCTTTATTCCGAAGAAATAACAGAGAGATAAGGGCGCTTAAAGAGTCTCCTAGAAATTTTCTTGTTATCATTTCATTTCCCAGATATCAACGAGCCAGGACTGTCTTATCTAGGTCTACTTATCTACTTTACCGCACTAGGGACGGGTGGCTCATGATAAGCGCGCTTAAAGATATAGCCCAAAGTGTAAGCCACAGTTCCGACTAATTGCCGATGAACGGGGCGTTAGCTTCTGGCCTCGGGTAGGTAGAAGATGGCGGTTCATACTCGTGTCGAGGCTAGGCTACCTTCTAGGAAGAGCGAAGGTGGCGACAGATAAGGGAAGGATAGCCCCAGATCCAGGTCAATGCTAAGGAGTCACGGTGATTTCCGGTTATTATGGAGTTAGCCACAGTGATATTACCGTGGGTACCGAGAATATCAAGTATCCAAAATATTACGACTATGCTTGCTGTCGTTGTAGCTGGGATAGGACTAGATGTACCCCACCTGAATCACCTCTCACACCTCCAGTTAATATCGCAATACGTATCTCCAAACCGGCGCAGCCGACAAGTAAATGCATACGAGGGCACATACAATTCCACGACGAACCGATCTTTTCCGAGCCGAAATCGAATCTGAACGGGGCGGGCTTCTTTTACATGCCTCAAGGACGGCCATGAAACTACGCCACACCCGGAACCCATAGCTTGCGTTCTAAGTTGGGTTTTTGAGGGTAGCAATTACCGCATTCAAGCCGTTTCCGCTCTCCTTTACATTTCCCTATTATTCTGCTTGCCCATACTCGATGTGTCTGTGCCGATGGTAACGGCGTCGTCAGCAACACGAGTAGCCGCCTCATGGCGTCCCTCCAACTTCCCAGGAAAAAGGAGTTTCGGCGCACCGCCAAGCCGCATAGAAGGTAGAAAACTTCCATTCCAGAGACTGCAGCCCGATCTTAACAAGAGTATCGACGAGTAGTCAGCCTTAAAGAACGTCAGGACGGAGAATCATTAGTTTGGACAATGGGAGAATCTAATGGTTCATATTAGCATTGGTTAAACAAGATAGCTGCAGCCGCGGGCCGGAATCTGGGTACAAGCGAGGTGGATGAAGAAGCAGACGGGTTCCGTGATCTTACTTATAAGGAAATTATTAGCTTCCGGTACAAGTTGTAAACAACGGTACAAGTTGCAAACAAAGATACTGGAGTAACCCAGATTCACGACCTGTCGATATCTAATGTCGGACCAAGTCTAGGCATCAACAAGGCATCAGCGTTGAGTGACATGAAACAAACCATATATTATGCAACAATCGCGGGCTTTCTTGCTCATAATACGGAATTTGAATTGGTCCTCGTTGCTCTGTTCCTGGTAGTTCTGCAGAATATCGCCATAAATCCTTCGACCTCGGTTTGTCAGTAGCTCTGCTTCGACAGTTTGGGAAAGAACTGCAACGTGTCAATGCCCAGTTCCTTCACACCACACCACATCACATCACATCACAACTACAACCTTTCCATATAAGCTACTTCGTAGGACCAAATTCGGACGTGTAAAGTAATACACACTAATTTTGAGCCCTTCCCTTCTTGAGCGTAGCATTCAGGGTTAGCTTACGAGCACTATGCCTGGCCAGTACATCCGAGTCGATGATGGACTCCGCTAGATATGGCGATGGACGAACGACGCTAGCCCGCACCGCGGTTACGAATTCAGCCAGAGAAAACTAATGGAACCACTGGGCACTGGGAATGAGCAATCGGAGACCCCGCTTCATATCCACCTCTGACCCCATCGACCACTCGCATTGATGGACGTGCCATATAATGCAGTGCGTATACTGAGTAATGCAGTGGTCCTACCACGCTATGTACTTCGTACTGTTTGTTATCATGGCGAGGTGCTGCTAGATCCAATTCCCAGTGAAGAGATCGGCTCACCGACCATCTCCCGATGGTGGTGTTGCATTTAAGAGCCGTCTTAGCTTGACCTTCCAGCCGAGGATTTATTGTATCCATTGATGCCACCCTAATTTTCTCGTCCAGCCTATCGTAAGGCATTTGGCACACCGAAACGGAAGACATCTACTTTCGTACAAGGACCCATATTCAGAGGAGTTTCCTTTGTATTCCCCCAAAAAAGTGTCACTGGCATGATCTTGGCATCTGGGGTTAGCAATACGTGCCTAGGACGGCGCCGGAGATGGGGATAGAAATCGATGCTAATTGGATTCGGTCTTCGGAGACTGTGCTAGCCTGTGGTAGTGGACTGCGCAGTAGAAAAGATCAATGGAGACAGAGGTCATGAATGGAACTGGACAGGTGGGAACATGTGGCGCTAATGACTTTTTATGCCGAAGGTGTTTGGTGTTGTGTCAGCTCGTGTTGGCAAGGGTTCGAGGCCGACAAGGTTCACCCCCACTGAAAAGTGCCGTTGTCAATTGACCCTGCTCATGTACCTATGTACTTCACGCACGCATTTGTTGATGTTTCCCCACTGCCCCGTTATCTTGCGTGGATGGACCAGAGAATCTTCGCCACCTACGCTATGAACCTCCAGTCGAAAGTCTTCTCGGCCATTGATCCATTGATTCATTGATGTTGCTGCGTCGAATTCTGCCCTTGATATTGCCGCGTCAAATGCTACCCCAATCTGTGCAAAAATGCCAAAGCACGTACGAGTAAAAACGGGCTGCCTCAAGTGCCGATCGCGGAAGAAGAAGTGCGATGAGACGAAACCCGTCTGCCGCGGCTGCGAGCGCAATTTCTTGGAATGCACATGGCCAAACACCAATTCCCACCCAGTCTCCATCGGCCTTGGCGGCTCTAGTTTCCAGTTCAGAGACAGAGGCTCCGAAGGGGAGCATGGCCAGCCCAGTCCCCAAGTCCCACCCGACTGGCAACACGACCTCATATCATTTCCACTTGCTTCTAACTCGCCATTAGGCCAGAACCCATCCCCGTGGGATGCGGCTGTCTTCAATCTGGACTTGACAACCCCTGCATCTTCCCACATAATAGTCGACGACCACAGCGACGGTTCCTTTATCCGTTGTCCAACTCGCTCACCACAAACAATACCTGATCCGGCGCTGGCTGGCCATGTGCCCGATGCATCTGCCAACCATGCACTCATGGTATCGCAACCTCTACAAGCCCTCGAAGACACTCCGCTCGGGGAGCCCAGGGCCTCTCCTTCGTTCTTCCCGAACCACATGTCGTCTTGGGCCGACCAGGATTTCCATGACTTTGGGCATTACCTCGTCAAGACCTCTGCCAGCATGTGGTCTGGGTTCACCTCATCGAACCCTTTCCTGACTTTCCTCGTGCCACTCGCCCTATCCGACGACCTTCTCCTGAATCTCATCCTTACGCAGAGCGCCCTGCACAGAGCAATAACTGCCGGCGTAGAACTTGCTACGACTGCTCAAAAGCACTACTACAAGTCCCTGTCCCTCTTTCGAAGAGCAGCGTATATGCATAGCCCTGAATCTGGGAGCGAAACTCTTCATACAGTTGGAATATCTGCATTGGTATTATGTTTTACAGAGGTCTGCGGCTCTTAATTCTACCCTCATTGCCTTTGCCAAATCCTAAGACTGATCTGTTCGTCCGTAGGCGATTAAAGGGGATAAAGAAGGTATCAGCCTCAGTCATCTTGAGGCTGCACACAAGTTTTTACCCTTGGCATTAAGATATGCTAGACAACAGATATCTGGTGCCTTTCGGGATTTCATTGTCGAGTACTACGTCTACGCATCAACTGTAGCCGTACTCTGCATGAACCCCGAAGGCAGGGCGCAGTTTGAGTTGCCCACTGCGATTAAGGATGAGGCTAGAAGATTAGCAGAGTCGCGTTATACTGGGAATCTATGCGGTTGCTGGTTAGAGCTCCTTCTTCTTATTCCGGACATCATACATTTTGACGCGGTCCTTCATGCCGACCAGGAAGCCAATGGCGGCGTGGGCTTTCCCCACGAGGTATTTGCCAATTTTGCCAAACTTCAAGTCGATGTTCTGTCTTGGAGACCAACCTCAGAGGCCACGCCGGAGCAGGCCACGGCTGGTCGTCTATATCAGCAGGCGCTTTTGCTTCATCTGTACACACGCCTCGTCGAGTCTGCGCCGAATGCTCAGAGCTACTACCAAGGACTAGTGTCTGCAGCTGTCCAGGAAGGGTTAGCACTTCTGCACAAGTTGCCGCCTGGGAGACCGCTGGATACGATTCTCCCCTGGCCGATCGCGGTAATTGGGTCGTGTATCACTGACGAGGATCAGTACGATGTGGTCCAAAATCGACTTATAGTCATGGCCAACACGATCGGCTTTAGAAACATCGAGGGGATCATGAATGCGTTGGCTCTATTGCGAGGTAGTAATGAGAGCGGCCAGGGGCCGTGGGCGTTGTCAAGAATATTTCAAGGGCACAATTTAGGTATATCACTGGCTTAGTATTAATACTGAAATGCTTTCCAAGATGTCCGAATCCACATCTTCCACTACTTGATTCATAAGAGCTCCTAACGCCGACGGCGGGAGTCCGGTGGACGAATGGTATGCCATTACATTATCATATCTGACTCAAACCCGGTGATCGTCGTCTAGGGCTCCCTGGGCCACCTTCCTATTTACGTGCTTGTAAATAGCCATTTTCCCATGATGTATAGACCCATTTCGATGTCACAGAAGATAAAGAGAGGTCCTTGATGCCCGGGGCACGAAGTAGATCTAGAGAAAATGCTTCTTCCAACCCTTTACCATTACGCCCTATCAATTCTATGCACACACCATTGACTCTCATACGTAACCTTTTTATCTGCCTGTTACATTATACCTTTCAACCACATGTATGTCAAAATGCGCAAGCTCCAGGATCCTCTCGATACATGTATATAAATACTGGCAGTCAATTGCAGTATTTTCTGATCTTCTCCGCTTCTCTACTGACTCTACCCAATCGCTACTTCGCAAACGTTACGCGGTTGACAATGAGCATAACGGCCATACCTTTGCTCCGCTGCAGGTACGGGAATACCTCCATGGTGTAGAGATAAGCCAGGGCATAATCATATCGTAACACATGTAGTAGACGAAAATCAATGCTACCACGGCTCTGCTTGCAGTAGTGTTCGTGTTGTCCTGGCCGTACATGGCCGATGCGGCGGTCCAGCGGGCAAAAACGATAGTCATGCCACCAAACGAAGCTAGGAGCTGCGTGCGACGTGGCGCCTAATGCTGGACCATGCTGCCGGCGACGCCTGTGATGAGATTCCAGCACATGAGGCCGAGGTTGATCTGACTCTGGGCGAGGCGGCTGGTGATTCCGATGCTCGCGAGGATTTTGGCTAGGTAGTACGATGTGAGGCCGTTGCCTGACCATTGGGCGAAGAGACCGACGCCGATAGCGATGAAGACGCGTTGGGTATTAGCTTTTGTCGTGAAGGGCTCCATCCATGGCTGTTCGGTTGCCTCCTTTTCAAGTCGAATTCGCGGCTCGGATTTCTTGGAACTCTGCGGCTAGGAGAGGGGAGCTTTAGTCACCTTCGGCGTGGTAAGTAGCGAGGATCTTGAGGGCTTCGTCGTAGCGCTCCTTTGCGATCAGCCAGCGGGGTGACTCGGGAACGAACCTAAACGACGAAAAACCGTTAACTGGGTCCTCATACGCATTTTAGGCATTTGGGAGAATTGAGATTTAGGAGTTGTCCTACCAGAGAACGTGGCCTGCAACGCCGACGGAAAGATTTGTAGCAGCGTGGGGATCCGCCAGCTCCAGTGGTTAGGCAGGTTGAAGGTTCCCAGAGTGATGCCCGCCGCGATAATTCGCACTGCGTACCAAGTCTCGTGGAACAAGTCCACAACCACTGCTCTCTCTTTCGGGTACGAGATCTCGGCGAGAAGCGAAGAGGCACCAGTAATGGCAAATGGTATGCCCGAAGAACCTCGCTACGATCAGCATGGCACCTTGAGAGAAGGGTACACGGATTAGCATCTCTTTTTCGTGCTGGGTAGGCGGGCCGAGTTTTAAATAGCAATCCATAACTTACGATTTTTAGCGCCCGTCTGCAAGACTACACCGAGTGCAACAATAGCAGATCCCAGAATGATATAAAACTTACGACCCCAGCGGTCATTGCAGAATGGAACGAATGGGATTCCTACTACATATCCAACAGCCATAATGGCCATAATTATGCCAAGGATGGCCCCGCGAGGATAGTTAAGTGATCAGTACCAGTAGGTTGAAAGGAGGAAGGACCAGAGGTGCTTACATTCATTCCATTTCTCCACCGCCTGGAGACGGTTTAGGACGCTAGCGTCGAAGCCTGAAGTCATCTCAATGCCAACTGCAGAGGGGACCAGGAACAAGTAGAGGCGTCTAAGATTCTCCTTACGGTACCATCGTGTTTTGTCCTCATTCACGAGTCTTGTGACCACTTCATGAGGATTTTCGATGGCCGTAAGACCTTCTGTCGTAGAGACATCACAAATCTTGATAGATGACATGTTGGAGGAGCCTGTGGGAAAACTCCGAGGCCGTAGTAGGAAAGAGTAAAAGAAAGCCAACCTCTAGAAAGAATGCTACGACAGCCAACCGTTCAAAGGTTTGATTCTTGAATTGGTCCACTGCTCCTCTTTATCATCGCCAGCAACATCGCCACGATCATGGTTCAGCCGAATCTCACCTCAACAACCATAACTGAATCGACGAACCCTGCTAGTTTAGCGTCTCACTCGGGGATCCACTGCCTAGAGACAGATAAGGCTAAGGATGGGCCATCCTGCATATCTGGAGGCTATACCAGGGGGATAAAAGGAGGGGGCGGTTAGCGGGCGGTTAGCGCGGTTAGGCACGTATGCCACCTATATATGTCAATGATAACCAAGCGAATGCCCCTGTATTTCATATTTAGCCTAAATAGCCGTCAAGGCGAAGGATATCTGTTAACTGCGGCGGGTCCAAGCCGCTCTTTAACCGCGGTAAACTCAGGGGGGCCCTACGGCGCCATACTCAGGCATACATCAAGCTGTATTGCCAGTCATGAAGTAAACAGCATTGAGAAGATTCCGACTCGAGGAAATCATTACTCATTTCCATCAACATGAATTGTGCAGCCGAGTCGCCAAGAGCACAGTTTGAATGGTAAGAAGCAGGCAACAAACGGACTTGATTTGAAGACTATCCTCTACTCGAAACTACCACTCGGTGCGATTTCCGTAGGGTGAAGATTGCAATAAGCTGAGATGGACTCGAGCGATTAGTCTGTGCTGTCTACATGTCGGAGAGTTACTTCCTTTCCGGGCCTATTCCCGAAGAAGGACTTCACTAAATTTTGTCTAATTGGATTCAACTCTCTTGCCGTCATGGCTTGGGGAGCATCTGCTTCCCCGCTTCGGCCCTTCGATCCTGGATACAGGGGAAGCGAGATTGCCTAACAAGCGCTCTTATCAGTGGGTCCGTGTCGCTCAATATTGCATCTTCGTTTTGATTTGCTGCATATTGGTTCACGCGGCTAGATAACCGCGCTATATTCCATGGGTCAGGGGACCATCGTCCGACCATTCCTCGAGAGAGTACATCTATTTTAGTAAGTAGCATGGCGGAAGGAATCTATATAAGTAATAGAACAGCTGCTAACGATTCCCAACCTCTCATAGGCCCAAAAACCAACCATTGACATGCCCATTCTGTTTCCGTCTTGCATTACTGCCAAAGAAGGCGGCCCGCCCAAGTCAGGAAAATGTCCATCAAGACCGGCGAGCCTTTGTCTAGCTCGAGCCAAGAGCTCTTACAGCTCGAGGATCAGTATTCCGTGGGAGGTTTCGCACCTACACCGGGCTTTATTGTCTCTGGCAAGGGTTCCACGCTCATTGTAAGTCGAACCAAAGTACATCCCCGAGGCTCATGCTGTCTGTTTCGTTACCTAATGATCAAGCTCCTACTGCTGTCTGGCAGGATGTTGATGGCAAAGAAATCATCGACTTCGTCACCATGTTCAGCGCAACCAATATAGGCCACGGCCATCCTAAGCTTATCGAGGCTGTTGTGGACACTATGCGAAAAGGCACGTATTTACAGTCACCAGGTATCTCATTTCAGCCCATGGATCTAATTACGTCCCAATTGTCTAGTTACTCTTGTGAACATGTCTACTCACTACGTCGGATGGCCAACCTTAGCTAAGGATCTATGCCAGCGGTTTGGATACGACAAAGTTACTGCCATGGTCTCAGGTGCTGAAGCAGCTGACACTGCCTGCAAGATCGCCAGGAAATGGGGAATTACCCACAAGGGAATCTCCCCCGAGGACGTGCTCGTTCTCGGAACTTCAGACAATTACCATGGCCTGACATCAGGCATCTGGCCTATTATGAACCCCGGTAGCCAAGCAGGTAATAAAGTTTGAGGGCCATATTCATGGGTCAGGTGCTAATATGAGCCAGGATACGCCGCATTCAACAAGACTGTCACCAACCGCCACCCTCGGACGGGAGAGTTGCTTCGCTACGGTCATGTAGAAGATTTTGAAGCCGTCTTGAGCGAGTTCCACGGCCGAGTGTGTGCCGTCATTATGGAGTGTATCCATGGAAAGCTACCGTTAGTTCCCCGAGAATTTCGTAACCTACGGACATGTCGCCGTGATCCCCGCGAGTTTTGGTTTAGCAATTACCTTACGCGCAGCCTATTTCTTGACATTTTACTGACTGATGAGTGGTCAGGACTTTTGAGGAAGAGATCCAGTTTGCCACTGGCGTCCGCAAGTTGTGCAAAAAGTACAACATCCTCTTCATCTCGGACGAAATTCGGATGGGCTGCGCAAAGACTGGAAAGTTCCTCTGCAGCGATTGGATGGGCCCCGAGAACAAGCCCGATATGATCACCCTGGGCAAATCTATCACCGGAGGAGCCTTTCCAGCTTCCTACGTTCTTGGGAATAACGAGGCCATGTCACTTGTTCATGCATTCCAGACTGGTGGTACATTCACCATGGCCCCCGCAGCTATTGCCGCCACGTCTGCAGCTCTGAAAATTTACGACGAAGAAAAGTTGGCAGAGAAAGCTTTTGCCATTGAGGCCAAGTGGAAGGAAACCACATCTAAATGGAACTACCCCTGGATCAAGTTCGTCACTTCTCGTGGTGCTGATATGAGTATTGCTACCGAGGCAAAGTATGGAACTGTGACGCCTCGTCGCATTGCCCGGCTTGCCTGGCAGAAGGGCCTGTTCATCTACCCTACCAAGGCTGCCATTCGTGTCCACATGGCGCTTACCATCAGTGATGAGGAGCTGGAGAAAGGACTGAAGATTTTGACCAATGTCATGGATGAAATTGAGTCGTACGGAGAAATTCCTGGATCCATCCATCCCTCGGATGAAGATAAGAACGGAGGTTACTAGGATGACATAGGAGCAAAAACAGGAAAAAAAAATAGACAATCACGAGAAGGTAGATTGCTTTAATCACAATTGTCTATCCTTACTAGGGACTGCAGAGAACAAGACTACCCACCCTCAAGTGTGTCGTGATGGTGTTCTGTCCCTTGGCTGCTGCCCAGGGCCGAAACTGCGTATCACGGGCCGACCTTTGTGCAGGCCCAGAGCGGTAAGACACAGCAGAAAGGCAATGGCTCAATGCCGTCAGTTTTCCAGTGTACGTGTCGGCGTCGTGTTAATCGCAGCGGCAAAGATCTCGTGGAGGGAAGAGAGTCCCATCCCGTCCAAACTCGGATGACAGTGTAGCCTATGGCGAGTAGTGCGTGTCCCAGGAGAAGGGTCGCAGCCAGCCGCCTTCCTACGCTTTCCATGGAATAGACGTAGCCATAGCGTTGGCGACGGTACTCAAATTCGGTTATGGTTTTCCGGATTCGAGACCAGGTCGTCCAGGCTTGCCTGCGTGTCGAGAGTGGCCTTGGGCAAGCCGGTTCTTAGAGTGGCCCATGCATGCGTCGTACGGCCTGCCTTGGTTCCGCGGGGAAGATATTCTCCTACGACAACTGGTGGCGCTGCCCGTACCGATACGAGATAGTGCGTCAGCGATCGCGATCGCGAGTAGCTCATCAATCCAGGACTCTCCGGCCCTGCAGTCCTATCGAGGCCCTCGACCGCTGCATTCAACGGCGCGTCTAGGGCGGTGTCAGGAGGCATTACCCGCTTCCCCCAATCGAGGTCAACCGGATATGTCTGCGGAAGTCGCTAATGCGAGATGCCTTCACCCATCGAGCGATGACCAATGTCTAATCTAAAACGTCCGGTGTATGGAAGAGCCGATCGTCGGCGCTGACGTAGGAAGACAATGGCCTCCACCCAGCGTAGATAGCACAGCACCAAGTGGCCGTAGTCGCTTCCATGTCGGTGGGATTCCCCGCTACCGGGGACATAATCACGGCCGCAATCGATGGTGTAGCCTCGCCGAGATCTGGAGGTTGAACACACTCCATATTGAGTCCATTTGGTCTCAACTGAACATCACCGATCGTAATGTTATCAGGAATGCGAACGCTCCCGATCCAGTACGGCTCTCCTTCCGCTCCAGAGCTCTCATAAACCGGAGTGGGCTGCTTCAAGGGGAACTTTAGGATATGCCACGCTAACGAGTTGTCAAGGCTGTCACTGACATCGACGAATAAAGTGGATTTCTAATCGTCCTTGCATGCCGCGAATAGTTGGCGCGATGGGAAATCTCGTCCTCCCGGTAACGCGATTAATGATCTGACTCTGGGGCCAAAAGGGATGCATTGAACTTTTGGCTCACCAAAGTACGGTCGCAACATATCTAGAGTGTCATCTACGTCCATGCGGGCGCACTCCGTCAAGCTCCATTGAGATCTTCGAGACGTCTGAAGTTACCAGAACCCACCTCTATGGATATGTTCGTTATCTGAAGACCTGAAGACGTCCTGCACCAGTTTTCAATCTCGAAAATCCCGACGGTGGGGCACTCCCTTTCCTCCCTCGGGAGATCGGCCCGGGTGCAGTAGCTCGAGACGTCGTTAGCGACGGTGACCAAAGTCTATCCTCTTTGGCGACCTGAAGAACCCAAATTTGTCTATATCTCGCTGCGGTTCGCCGCCAACCGCAGGCCGATTCGGCAGGGGATCATCTACCCAGTCCAGAGATGGCAGCAATAAGACAGCTGAAGATGGACCACATGTTGCACTAATAAGAAGCGCCAGGAGCAGTAACAACAGGAATGGCGCCCGTTATATCAGTGCTCCACCAGAGAAGGCCACAGCCCAGAGCGGCGGTTTCCAGAGCAAAGACAGATCCGTGAGCTGGAAACTGGCAAAGACTCCACCAAACGCGATGGCACCGCCTCGAAGAAGCAGGTATCGGAACTTGAGGTCGTCTTCGGAAATGCCCCTGGCGTCCCAGAAAACGCGGCCAAAGTTGAGAGCTAGCAACACGCCGGTGACACAAAGACCTGGTGCATGCCTCATACATTTCCAGAGCGCGCTCCATCTTTGGAGGCGGAAGACTTCCTTTCTTTCCTCGGATTGGAGCCTGCGGTGGTTGATGATGGCGGATATGAAGCCCAACGAGGAGCCCAGCCATACGACGGAGGTCTTCGTCGTGCGACCGAATTTGTTAACCCACTTGGCTATTATCTTAGATATCTAAATTACTTTTCACTCTCCGAAGGAGAAACAAAAAGTGTTTCTAAATTGAGGCTGTAGTAAAAAAGAGGGAGGCAAAAAAAAGACATACGACACCAGGGACTCGCTGGTTGCTATCGACTCAACTACTAGTCTATCAGAATCCAGGCCGAGTTGGAACATCTGTATACACGAGCCCTTGAAGGAGACCTGGAAATGGATGATTTTATAATTCTTGACAAAGCTCTAGCCTCAGAAAACGAAGAGATGGCGAATGGAAACTCCCAAGTCCCCCTCCGCAGATACACGTGACTACCCGGATTGGAAAGACGAGTCGTGCCTGAGCTCTACCTGGCTCTTGTTTAACAGGTATAAATCGTAGTTTCCGAATGGGGCCGGCCGAAAAAGAATAAAAAAGAAAGTATGATTTTCGGGGGGACAGGGACAAGGGTGGCGTGGAAGGTGTGAGACATAGGCAAATATAACGAGAGAGAGGGAGAGAGGGAGAGAGAAAAAAATCAGGCCGGTCCTAAAAACGATTCGAGGGTATCCATGATTTCGTCCATCCGATTAACAAGAAGGCTAGCATGGGCTTCTTCCTCATAAACACGCAGTTCAGCGCCAGCAATCATGGTTGCTGCCTTCCTCGCCATAGCCAGGGGACAGTTGATATCTTTCCCGCCATGCCACAGCACTACTTTGCCTTGATCAACCTTCAAGTCCCCAAGCTCAAATCCCCAGTCACTTCCAAGAAGCCGAGCCTCCCAAGCCGAACCTTTGCCCCCATCCTGGAGCGCATCCCGCGTGCTTTTCATTAGCACCTTTAACATTCTGCCGTCATTCGCCTCAAGTGCCTTGAGATCTTCCGCCGGGCGACTTTTGAAGGAGTCCACCATAGCCCGTTTATAGTCTTCGGGGTCACCTCGAGTCATCCGCCCTACTGCTGCGTCGAATACGATGGATACGAAGCCTGTGGCCCAGGGCGCAACAGCTAGCAGCACACGATTCACAAGCATCATCCCCTCTGTGCCCAACTTTGTTGGGTACATGCCTGAGACGATAGCAGCTCCAAGCAGCCGCTCTCGTGGAATAGCGCGCAGGCAAGCGAGAACGTATGGGCTTCCACCAGACATGCCGGCCAAGGCAAACCGATGGGCATCAAGGTGGTCGGCAATTGCGAGCACATCGTCGGCGAAGGATGGTATCGTTCGGCCGTCCTGGTATGTTGATCCTCCGTAACCGGGGCGCGTTATAGAAATGATTTGGATACCTCTTCGGGAAGCCGCGTCATGGAGTGTGAATGCCTCGCAGTGTGTGCCGGGGAATCCATGAAAGTAGAATATGGGAGATAGGCGAGAGCCCGGCGAACCAATGACGGCATATGAAAGACGGCGTCCGTCTGGCAAGGTGAGTAGCTGGTCATCAGGCATTTCAGTCATGATGGAATGAGTATCATAGAGTCAAAGGGTAGAGTTTTGTTACTCGAGGGTTGGGTTGTTGTGTTGATGCCCGTGAGGACTCAAAGATAGCTTGGTTGATTATGTAACCCAAGTCTGAGATTGAGAGAGTCATGTTTCACAATCGCAAGGGGCAAGAGATTGGAGGAGGGTGAAGGATTAAGGGATCGTCTTGGCGTAAACGTTACACCACAGCCGTGAGTGCTTTAAAGATTAGGGAGAATGTTCGTTACCATTTCATTCTTGTGGATACTGGTAAAGGTGAGGAGGAAGCTATAACAAGGGATATACAAAGGGTGGTACTTAATGCTACTCTCAATTTCCGAAGTCTCTCCAAGCTTGAGGTTATTATCCACCTCGAAGATCGTGGGCATGGGCGTTTCTGGAATGTGTTCGTGCAGATATGATCCATCATCCAGCTTCACGAATTTAACCTCCATCTCCTAAACTTCCACTGCCATGCTTACTGGGACATCATAGTATCCAGCAATTGTTACCTCCTCACGCTCGATTTTCTTATCATCTCCTATTTCGATCAGCCCTCTACCAAAAGGAGACCTTGTCCAGTAAATAACATGGCTAGAGGAGACTGGTGGGAAGAGGTGGGAGGTAATCGGTTCATATTCGCCTCTTAGCGTTTGATCACCCTACAAGGATTGTTATATAGGTCTTGGGGTCTGAAATAAGGAAACTCACAACTGCCATGGCTGTAATGCAGACTTCTGATACTTGCAAGGACCCTCGATGTCTGTCCAAATCAGCCTGGATTCGGTGGTAGACTCCTAATTCTGAGGATGGATACCTTTTCTTTTCTTACCCCTCATCAAGCATTCTACCACAATTTGCCGCAGGGTCATTTCTACAGTGGCGGTGCGCCTGGAAAATCAATCGCGAGTCTTTGAGTCATGTCAAGCATTTAGCCTAATAGACCAAAAGATGTCAGTTCCAGCGCCACGTGCCTGTCTAGAATTGCTCCTTGAATCTACTTAAGTACCCTCAGCTCTCTTTCGCGGCGAAGCCAGCCATTTCTTGGTATTCTATTACACCTACACGTATACCCTTGAGCTGTTGCTGCGCCGCTGGTGATCGTAGCAGCAAGTGGCTTGCGTCCCTAGCTTGGGCTCTTGCTGAAGCCAAGCCCTCTATGCGGCTCAGCCCGTTAAACCGCGCTGCAACAATTAACGAATATGTTTATTCAACTGTTATAGGTTTATATAAAGAATTAGTAATGAACTCGTGTTTATTATGAGTAGGGATATCATCTAGTTGGCGAGTGGTGTCAAGGGAAAGGGGTGGGGGAGGGTTCCATCTTGGTGGTTCTAATGTACAACGAGCAAAACAAGCTCTTCATCTGCTTGTTCCAAGCTCGGGGTATTCAGGTAGGTTCCACCCAATAACATCGTCTGGAAGCATGCGACTGGCGATCTTGTCGAGCTTGAGAGTCTCGATGCAGCTTAAAGCAAAGTACCAGAAGGAAATTCCCAGCGCTGAGCTCGGCAATTTTCCACGGTGTGCTCGTTTGTGGACCTTGGTGATAAAAGGCCTCAGTCTCTGGTCGTAGGCTTGCAAGGCAGCCGGGACACGCTGACGGGCCTTTTCGACGTCCACGTCGTCGGCATTTCCCTCGGCGGTGAGACCGCAGGTTCGGGCAATCTCTCCAGCCAGAACATATGCCCCGACAAAGGCACAAGCGGTTCCCATGCCGGTAGCTGGCGAGGGGCAAAAGCCGGCGTCCCCGACCAGGGCGACCCTCCCTTTGAACCAAGAATCCATCCTCACCTGCCCAACATCGCAGGCATGCCAATCGTCTGCCAAAGGTGACGACACCATGTCGCGGGTGAACCGGGACGCCTCCCAACCCGCATCCTCGAAGTAGTCGGCCCAAGCCTTCTTTTGGCTCGCCACAGTGCTGCCATTTCTCAACGTGGCTTTCAACGGATGGCCTTCCGGTAGGTCGTCGGCCACGGCCATAAGGTACAGTTGCTGACATCCAGGTCGACCGACACGGGTCCCGATTGCTCTCCGACCTGGAGCGATGCAGCCGGTGAAAGTATCTGGATCGCCTTCGACTGATGGAATAGTTACCCATGCCATCAACGTGCCCGATGGATAAAAAGGGTCTGGCGTATCAGGACCAAGGAGCAACTTTCGCAACTCGGAATTTTGACCGTCTGCGCCTACTACCAGGTCGAAGATGTCTTCCGTGCCATCTGAGAACTTCACATGCACCCCCTTGTCGCCGCCCAGTTGCTCAAAAGACTGAACCCGTATGCCATAGACATATTTCGTCTTATCTTTGGTAATGTCGAAAAGGATAACTGATAGGTCGCGACGCATAATTTCAAACTCTGAGGATATTGTTTGCCTGCCTTTGCCTGACTTGTTGGCGGCGAAGAAGGCCTTGCGCTTGCCGTTGCGATCAACAATCTGCGTACCCCGCTCGTCGACAACGCGGGCGCGCACCGCGGCCTCGATGCCCATCCTTCGCATCACGGTTACGCCTTGAGCGCGGATATCAATCTGCTGGCCCACATGTCGGGCTGTGGATGTGCGCTCGATGACCGTGACGGCGCAGCCGATTTTGCTGAGCCAGAAGGCTAGCGCGGGTCCGGCGATGCCTGCTCCGCAGATGAGGACTCTCAGTGATGTCATGACTATAACCGGAGGGTAAACTGGTGTGATTTGGTGGTGAAGGACGAGACCCTTGGGGTTGGGGGGGTGGCCCTTGAGAGATTCCGGGAGGTCCGGGTGATTATAAGGGCCATGCTGATCCTGATGCTTGAGGGACCTAACATCGAAGCGCGTCAGCACCGGGAACGAAATACGAGATCATACGTACCACAACTGCAACATACATTCAAGGAAAATACCACTGAATGAAGTTCGTGGATTGGAGAAATGCGCAAGTGTCTATTTAATTAATATATCTAGTACCGAGAGAGAAAAGGTCAAGGCAATGTCGCCCAGTCAACAACAGATCCAGAAGTTGACGCCAACGGGCGGAGACGTGTCCAGGTATTTCCGAAGGACACGGAAGCCAAGCGGCAAGCTGAATGCAAGAGTGCCTGCCGCGTTGGTCATTACCGGTATCGCGGAATCAGGCAGCCTCCAATGTTTAAAACGTCATGTAACAGGTGTTGAATCTCTGCGATTTCGCTCTGGGTACAGTTGAGGATGACCTTTACTTCCACATCCCGCTTCCCTACGTCGGCCGTCAAAAAGACACCGACTACTCCGCTGTCCTTTGCACTCCCGCAGAAAACGTCAATGCCCTCCCCGTCTCCTCCCGCCGTATTTTGGAGAAAGCCGTAATCCACTGGGTAGATTGCCTCGGGCACACGTGGGTGGCGACTACCTTTGGGGCGGTCAGTGACGAATGATGCAGCCGAGCAGATTTCGTCCAGATTTGCGAAGAACTGTCTATGGGCCGGCATTTTGTGGTGGGATGTATTGAAGAGTTGTTTGTCCCGATGAACGCTGGACCCGGACCCGGCATGGAGTGGAGAAGGAGTGGAAATGAAGTCCGAGAGAAAGGAAAAAAGAGTAGGAATATTATCGATAACAACGAAGAAAATCTAGATGGAAAAGACGCAAACTAAAAGCGGGGAAAGATGCAGCGGTGAGAGCAGAAAAGGGAGTTATGATGAATCCCGAGCGTCGAATCCTTGGATCGAACAGGTGACATCGGGAGTTGCCGATTGGTTGTGGCGGCGGCATCTTTCATGCTCTTATCCTCTCTTCATAGAGAGATTGATGGTTCCCACTGATTTTGAGCCTCTGACGCCTTGGCTCCGTCCCAAGTGGAAATGGACACCACGCCTATCTGAATAAATTCTAGTACAACACAGTCGAAGAGGGTCACCAGGATCAAGCAGATACTACGAAGTAGACGCAATGAACGGAAGCAATCTTGATGACAATTATAACGTTGGAAGTTCATCAGTTCCCATCGAAAAAGCTGACATGAAAATCACAGTCTATGTTGACGAAGGTATGGAGGGACAAATGCAAGCATGGGCAAGTCAACCGATGCATCGTTCGCAATAGATTGCAACTAGATTTGACAAGTTCCCAAAAGGTGAGAGCTGAAATAAAATTCGAAAAGAAAAGGGTAAAAAAAAAAATAAAATAAAATAATCATGGGATCAAGTGTCGTTCGGGTTTCATTCTAAAGACAAATGCCGATCATATTCTAAATAAGGGACAGGAGCGATGGGTTGAAAGCGCGTCTCTCTGGAAGTTCTCTCCAACTTGCCCCACGAATGAACGAGGATCACTTCCATACTCTGTTGAAGGGGATGGAGAAATCGGCCCGCTCGAGCGGTATTTGGGAGGTGGGATTTTGTGGAGTGCTCATGTCCGTCCGGGGCTTGAAACACGGAACATTTCCGAAGCCGCCAATCCCGGCTCTTGGAGTCGCGCCAAGAGCCGGCTTTTCATCTGCCAAAGTTGGTCTGGAACTGGTTGGTGAAAGCCTCGAGATTTTGCTGGTGAGGATCCATTGGTGGAAAAGGGTTCAAGATGAAAAGGCATGCAGATGGCTATTTTCAAATGGAGATCGAGATCAAAATCCGGGGTTCGTTGATTCCTCCCTACGATTACTATTTAAGAATGTTTTCTCCGCTGCTCGGCACGACAATCTTGTCTTGTAGAAACCACGAGTCTGCCTCCTATTGCTGCCGCCATCACCATCTCCGTCCACCCCGCCGCAGATCAACCTCGCCAACATGAGGGTCGCAACCATCCTTAGCTTCGTAGGCGCGGCCTCCGCCCATGCCATCTTCCAGAATGTCAAAGTCAACGGAGCCGATCAGGGTCTACTCTACGGTATCAGGGCTCCTTCATCCAACTTCCCGATCGAGGATGTGAATGATGCAGCCTTTGCCTGCAACAAGAACCTCCAATACAAGGACAACAATGTCATCACCATCCCCGCTGGAGCTCAGGTTGGTGCCCGTTATCAGCATATCATCGGTGGGCCTCAAGGAAGCAATGATCCGGATAACCCCATTGCATCTTCGCACAAGGGTATGTCAAACAAATCCATACAACCTAGGATTATCTTGTCACGGTCGATGTTAATATCCTTTTCTTAGGCCCCATCATGGTCTACCTTGCCAAGGTCGACAACGCTGCCACCGCTGGAACCACGGGCCTAAGCTGGTTCAAGGTCGCAGAGGATGGCCTCACTGGAACCACCTGGGCCGTTGACCGCCTCATCGCCAACGACGGCTGGCACTACTTCACCATGCCATCCTGCGTCGCGCCGGGCGACTACCTGATGCGCGTCGAGCTTCTCGCCCTCCACAGTGCTACCGGCCGCAACGGTGCCCAGTTCTATATGGAATGCGCCCAGATCCGCGTCACCGGATCCGGCACCAACACCGGCGCGGGCAACACCGTCAGCTTCCCCGGTGCCTACTCGGCCACCGACCCCGGTATCTTGTTGAGCATCTACGATGCGACGGGCAAGCCCACGAATGGAGGCAGGGCCTATTCTATCCCTGGACCCAGGCCCATTACTTGCTCTGGTGGCGGCGACAACGGCGGCGGCAACCCGACCCCAACGACCTTGAGCACTGCCGTGACGCCTACCCCGACGAGCGGAACCGGTGGTGGCAGCGGCGCCGCTCTGTATGGACAGTGTGGTGGAATTGGCTGGACTGGACCAACGACGTGTGCGCAGGGAACCTGCACCAAGTCCAACGACTGGTATAGCCAGTGTCTCCCTTGAGAGGCAGGAGAATGTGAGAGGTGGGAAGGCAGGAGGCAATGCGCGAGGGCATAGCGTGGGTACGGCATAGCGAAAGTGGAATTCGACATCTTCCCGTATATACTTTGAATATGAAGTACATTGATGCAACGTTCGAAAATATTGGCAGGATAAAATGTGTCGGAGAGCGTTCGTATGTGGAGCCGCGATGGTAACCCTAACCCTCAGAAGCAAAGTCATAGGTCAGAGACGGGGAAAGAATACCCCTTACGGGATGCCATCTACCACCTACCGAGTAGGAGCACACTCCCATAGAGTTCTCGATTCCTCACGCTCTGGGCATCATACCCCACGAAGAGTTTCGGCGTGGGAGTAACTTGGCAGACTGCATCAATAGATCGTTGGTATGAGCCGTATACCAACGTCTGTTTGCCGAAAGCCAAAGAGTCCATGAAGGCTGCCTTATCGGACTTTTTTGACGCAACCTGGAAATGAGCTGTCCAAAAATTTCCCCCAAGTTTAACCAAATTCGGCCATTCCGAGCGGGCCTGAGCCTAACCTTCCTGACGAGGCCAAGGAGGATGTTAACCTTTTGAGCACAGGACCAAGAGACTCATGGACCCACAAAGGAAGCAGTCTTCGGGGCTTCCGTGCATGCTCAGAGGTTGTATTGCCCTTCGCAGCCAAGCTATCCCCCTTGCATCCTTAGAGTCACACGGCTGGATGCAACGTCAAAAGCTGAATCCATACTTGAGAAAATGGTCCACTTGCAACCTTCGGAGGGATATGGCAAGGACGAGGAGGCGGAGGCTTTGACTTCATGGAGCGCTGGCAACATTGTTAGCTCCTTTCACATCCCCGATGCGTGATGCAGTGGCAGGCTCCCAAGTCACAAGAAGCTGCCCATTGAGAGCGAAGGGCAACAGGCTGGTTCGAAAGGGAAGTGCTGTCAGTGGCTCTTCCTGGCCTTTTTTGGCTGGCTCAGTGCTGTATGAGCAAGGAGTATTGGCTGATAAGTCGTGAACACTCCCTGTCACTATGAGCTAACAGCGAAACAGCGAAATTAATTTTTTTCACCCGCCGTGAAATGCGCAGGTCTATCGGGTGTTGAGGCTGAGCACGTAACTCGTGTTGTGCGCCATCTTAGGGAAAGATGTAGTGATCATGACCGTGCAGGATCTTGCCACACAGACTTCTTTAGTACTTCGTATGAAAATGCCTGAAACCGTTGTCCTTCTGCTTTCGTCTTGGTGGATGGAAACCTCAACCCTAATACGCCTGAAAACCTCGGTACCACCCGAACCCCCCCTGCTCGAGCCTGTTCGAGCCTATTCGAGGGATTCGGATCCTTGCCTAATTATGGAAAAGCTAAAATTGCACCTGCCCCCAACTGGCGCAATGCGTTGAAGCGGATCGATGCCAAGATCCACGGGAAATCCGATCCCTGCTGGAACTTGGAAGACGCAACACCTTCGATGGACCATTCACTTTCAGCCCTCATGACGCATTAATGGCTCCCCACACGCTTATTGGTCTTGCCCCCACCGAATATTGCCCGTCGGATCCGTAGCAATGGGACAAAAATGGGTCGACGTCGCGATGCGTTCCTGTGGGTATGCCGAGTCCAGTCTCGTTGGCACGTTGGTGGGGAGAGCTCGCGTGATGCCCGCTAGGATTGTCGATCACCAGCTGAAATGCAAGAAATGAGCAATTCGACAGCCGGATTTTCAAAGCTATGCGGACCAGCTAGGTACGGGATCAGCGATCGATCGACGTGATTGATGATGATGATTAGCCACGGCGGCACATTGAAGCCTCTGGGACTAGTGTAAGTCCGATCCACCAACGGCGGGCTTCTCTCTGAGCCAGGCCTTTCCTTGCCTTCAGACAATCTCGAAGCATGGCAAGGGCGCAAGAGGGTTCCAACGTTAAAAAAAAGCGGCCTTGTCTTGGCCAGTGCCACAGCATCTTTGTGAAACCAAGATGCTCCTGTGTTCTCCATTTCCATGCGAGAGAAGACCGGGGGAAGATCAACCCCCACGCCTCTTTGCTCCTTTGTGGCTTCTGGGCCCCAGTTCCCGACGCTCCCCCACGAAATAGGAGGCAGCACGCAATCCACCACCAACTTTTGCAAATCCACGAATGGCCACCAATACTATCCACTCTGACATGTTATTACGGCTTCTACATGTCCTCACATTTGCATGCCACTGTTTTCGCCTCTCTTTTGCTTTGCTCTTCCCTTCCTTCGATCGATCGATGACAATGGGAATTCAGCCCCGGCAGTTTAGCCGCGAGGCAGTAACTACAACAACAGAGCCTCCGTAACCGCCAAGACAAGACGACAAGCAATAAACGATACGATGCTCGAGACACGCGGTGAGGTCGACCTCACCCCGAAGCAGTTGCGCGATCTTATGATCGTCATGCGCACGGCTTCTACCATGTCCGCGATAGGCGTCATCACCATCATCGCCGTGTTCTACATGTCGCGTCACTTTCGCAACCCGATGCATCGCCTCATCTTCATCAACGCCTTTTTCAACGCCTTCGACGTGACGTGCACGATGATTTCTACGAGCGGGTACAAGGATGGGAATTCTTCGGCGTTGTGCCAGTTCCAGGGTTTTCTGAATCAGATGTACGTATATTTCTTGGCCATGTTGTGAAACTCCATTCCCGAGGCGCCAGGCGTAGTCCAGGGCAGCCAAGCTTTTTTTTTTCGTGTTATTTTCTTCTTCTTTAACCTAACCCTCTTGGCGGCTTGGCTTGTTGCTAACACCCACGTGCCCAAGGTTCCCTGTTGCAGACGTGCTATGGACCCTCGTTATGGCCATAGACGTCTATCTGATCGTCTTCCATCGATATGATACCGATTCTCTAAAGAGGCTCGAATGGAAATACATGGTTGGCATTACAATTATTACCTTTGTTCCCGCCCTTGTCTTCCTCTTCATCCGGACAGACGAGAAGGGTCCAATGTATGGTAGTGTTACGGTATGCCCTTCCCCCCCAAAAAACCTGGTGGTGGCCATGGAGCTGACGGCATTTCCCTTGATAGCTTTGGTGTGCAATTGCCCCGAAGTGGGTGTTATTCCGAATTGTCTGCTACTACGGAACTATATGGTATGTGATTGTGTTCTCCTCTCCTCCCGCATCTCACGTAGGTGATACCTCGCTAACAGTGGCAAAACCCATCCCTCTAGGTCGTCAATCCTCGTTACGATGGTCCTCTATATCATGGTCGGCGTCGAGATCGCCAAGCGAAGACTAGCCTTGCGGTCACTGACCACCGACCTCGTTCAGTTTGACATGGACAATACCGTCCTACCAAAGTCCGACACCACATACGATGATTCCAGTATCGGCGTGGCTGTCACCGTCGATGTCGACGTCCACGCCGGTCCGCAGCGCGTATATACCCCCCAATCTTTCGACGAGTCGCTGCAGCCGACTTCCTTATGTTCCGTTTCGAGCACCACCCCCACCCGACACTTTATCCCGCAACGATCTTCCCTATCCTTCAGACAGTACGTTCTCATGCCTCTATTCTTCTTCTTGGCCCTCCTGTCGGTCTGGGTCGCGCCATCGACGAACCGTGTGGCCGCTTTTATCGATCCCACGTTTGGGTCCTACCCCCTCCTGCTCGCCGTCGCGATATCTGGTTCTCTGAGGGGATTCTGGAACGGGCTCGTATTCATCACTATAGGGATGAAGTCTTGGAAGAGAAGGAAGGAAGAAGACGAGGCAGAGCTACATGCGCGGCAGACGCAAAGGTGGTAGGAAGAGCGAGTGTGTATGTAGGCGTGTGCTCTGTTTGGACCACGGAGGCTGATTTTATTAGCTGTATATTGTATTTTAGCGTTAAATATGGCCAGCGGGAGAACTTTTACGAATTGGGATCTCACAGGTTTCAGGAATTAATAGATATCTTCATTTGTGCAATTCCACTCTCAAATCCTGGGGAGTAAGTCCGGTCTGGTCCTCATTTCTTCCAATCGTCACAACCACACACAACATCACTGGACATTTTCCTCTAGGAGTTCTTCGATCTTTCTCTTCCTCTCGGAATCCCATCCCTAGTGGCCCGAGTCGAACCAAGACCTGGGCCGACAACCGAGGCCCCGCCGCCCATGAACGGTGGAAGGCAACGTGGAGGTTCGAAGAACGATTGAAAAGTTACAATGAAACCATTCATTAATCTCCATTCAACGTCGTGATACCCTTCAGGGACCTGACCAGTCTGTCAATAGATTTGGCGCCCATTCATTGCCCTGTCTCCACGGCATCAAAAGAAAACCCCTTTCATTGATGGACGTTGCAGATAAATGGCGTCGTACGAACACGATGTCACTGCGCACATTTCCTAGAAAGCAGTAACACCTAAGTATACCATTCTTTTTCCTAGAGGCCCTCAGTTTTGAGGAGAGACATTTGCTGCACAATCCTTCGTTGCATCAATACAGCATTACCTGACAGAGGACCTGGATTTGGCCCGCTATCCTAGGTCCCTTCCACTGAAGTTGAATATCATCGAAATAAAGGCAAGACGATCAAGCCTCCGAGCTTTCAACAGCCAACCTCCCTCTATTTGCAGGGCATTCTCGGGTCGCTGCCACTCGTGGGATGGAGATGTAGCCTGGCCAGGTCTCTCTGCCCCTGCGCCTCAAAACCCCGCATCTCGACTCCCGCGATAATTTCTTTTCCGACCTGTTCTTCCCAACGACTCCCTCCCCCAGCAAAAAAATGAGGTTACTCAACGTGCGTACCTTGCAGATTAAAGAATTCAGTGACCGAGAAACTCCCTCATACGCAATCCTGTCGCACACATGGGGTGAGGAAGAGGTCCTGCTGCAGGATATAGAGGGCGGCAGGGCTCGGTCTCTCAACGGTTACTCCAAGATCGCAGGGTGTTGCGAACAAGCAAAGAACGATGGCTTAGAATACGTTGTAAGTCGTCTCAGCTCCGCTTGGTTGGGACCGAGGAGCTGTGGCCGTCTCAGTCTCGGTCCCATTCTTAGTTTTTTTTTTTTTTTTTTTTTTTCCTTTTTAGTTTTTTTTTTTTTTTTTTTTCTTCCTGTAGGTCTGACACCTTCTTCAGTGGATCGACACTTGTTGTATCGACAAAACCAGCTCGACAGAGCTTGCCGAGGCGATAAATTCCATGTTCACTTGGTACCATAAATCGGTTGTCTGCTACGCATATCTCGAAGACTTGAGTGCGACATCAGTCAAGGAAGATCCATCTCTTCTCTGTCGGAGTCGGTGGTTTACCCGCGGCTGGACACTTCAAGAGCTCATCGCCCCCGCACTCGTAGTCTTTTTCGGCTCTAAATGGGATGAACTCGGAAGTCGGGATGATCTTGTCGCCGAGATCTCTGCAGGTACTGGCATTGACCGCGACGTATTCTTCGATGGCAAATTATCGAAATATAGTGTTGCTCAGCGTATGTCATGGGCTGCAAAACGCCAGACCACCCGGATCGAGGACGAGGCATACTGTTTGCTGGGACTCTTTAGCGTGAACATGCCCTTGCTATACGGAGAGGGGAAGATGGCATTTATCCGGCTTCAAGAGGAGATAATGCGGCGATCTGACGACCACTCTATCTTCGTGTGGTCTATGAAAAACACAGCTAAATCCGGCTTATTGGCACCCTCGCCGAGCTGTTTTGAGGGCTCTAGGGATGTGAGGAGGGTCGAAGACAGGACACACGAATCGCCGTTCTTCCTCACGAATAAAGGGATTCAAATTACTTTACCGATCCTAACATTGAGTCCAGAATACGGCCTGCTTTTATACGAGCCTATGGCTTCCGCTGATCTAGGACCTAGGGTAACGGTGACGCCTCCAGAGAGTTTAATCGCCGTTCTCAGCTGCCAGGACAGCACTGGAAAGAGGATAACGCTCGCATTAGATCACTCCGAAGGCAGCGATCAATTCCACCGTACCAATGCAGGCCTCGGACTCTTGTTGCTTCGGGCAGAGCAGTGGCAAAGAAATACAGAGACGAAGAGAATCCTGGTTAAGCCTTACGATCCTGTCAATGACTTTTCTCTTGGGGGGAAACTGAGACCAACTTTCTTTGGTATACGTGGTCTCCCCGGTCCCGAGTCTGGGTACGTATTGACGCACATATTTGGCAACACCACGGTTGAGGTCGAAGGTACCATCTCTGCCAAGTTATGGAACGGAAATCGAGTGGGCGTTGTCTACTCTCACACTAATGCTGACTCTGCTTTTGGCATTTTCCTCGGAGAGACTGATTTCGAGAGCGCCTGGGAGATCGTTACAGGGAGCCAAGCCGCGGTGGAAAAGAAGTACTATGAATTCCGGTACAAGGACAACAGGTTTTTGACGAGTTTGGCCTCGTGGAAACTCCCACTAGGTGACTCTCAATCAGAAACGTTGTTGCAAGTTACCCTGGAGACACAGAGACGGCACCACGGATTCTCCGGCATGATCACGATTGAGGAGCGGAATGGAAATGACTTTACTCCGCAACCACCTTGCACCGACGAGCAACTTCTACGACTGGCTGAGATGGCCATGGAGGCAGGCGTGGAAAGCATAGGGTTCAAACACACCAGAACAAGCCTCGATGTGCGTGGCACAAAGTTTTCTATTAGCAGGAACAGGAAAAAGTGATAGAACATAGGTCCAACCTCAGTCTGGCAAACGCTAGGTGCTCGCTGATCACACTTGTCGATACTGCGGAGTATAGCAATGTGCATGGATATATAATAATAAAGGTAATAATTTGCCCTGGCTAGTTCTGTCGTAATGGATCTCTCGGCCGACTCGGCCGACAATGATCAGTTATAAACATCAGATTCCGTCAGGGTCATCGTCCAAAGTCCGCGAATCACATATAACTCGGGCACCACCTTCAATTTGAAGTCTTTATCGACATTTATTATTAACCCGTAAGTTTATTCACCATGAAAATGCTCATTGTCGGCGCCAGCGGAATGATTGGAGGCGAAGCCCTCATTCAATGTCTGGCCCACCCAAGTATCTCCCGTGTCGTTGCATTTGTTCGTCGGGATCTGCCCGCCGACATCTCTGGTCATCCGAAGCTTGAGTGCGTCTTGGTGAAGGATTTCGCCGTGTGGTCGGAGGATGTATTGCAGACGCACGCAGACGCAGCTGGAATGATTTGGTAAGTGCTTGCATTGGGAGGGAGGCTTTCAAAGATCAAAGCTGGGCACTTTGTTTACTAATTGGATCTGAAGGTCCATGGGAACGTACACAGGGAGCATCACTGCCGACTTGGAGTATCCGCTCGCCTTCCTGGAAAGTATGGGGCGAGTATTGCAGACAAAATCCAGTACATCTCGATCTCGATTTAGATACGTACATTTAAGCGGCAAATTTGTCCGTCAGGACCAAGAGAAGAAGTTGCTGTTTCTGGAAAAGCCGCGCAAGATCAAGGTATGGTTCCGATCTATCGTGGACTTTCCAATTCTAACTTTGTCTTAGGGATTATGCGAGACAAGAGCTCTGGCATTCGCAGAGAGTCATGCCAGTATATGGCAAACATTCATCGTTAAGCCTGGAGGGGTTGTCCCTAAGAAAATTAACAGTGCGATGGGCATGGTTACCGGGATGGGAGTCGTGTTGGGCGAGAATTGGTCCGTCCGATGTGATGAATTGGGTGCGTTCATGACGTATCTTGCCATCGATGGTGAGGGCGAGGATTCCATTATTGAAAACGCGCGCATTGTGAGAAAGGGGAGGGAGCTATTAAAGTCTCAACATAGCTAAGTCTGGGCCCAAGCAGATGTGCATGAGGGACGAGGATAAGGTTGTTTCCCCCCCCAAGCTAGTCTCCCAATCGAGATAGCAACTGGGTTTGGAAAATTGAATAATCTTATAGCCGGATAGTTGGACCCATTAAATGTCATATGTTTGGCTCTAAATTGTGTTTAATATGCCTGGGGCCGGTTTCTTCACCGGGAAACATAGGTCGATTAGTCGCGCGGCTGGACTCTGCGCGTCAATTGCAGGCCGGATGGAAGACACAAGGATATCTTCCATCCCAATCCTGGCCGTGCCCAAAGTCCCTTCAATTTCGAGCCCAGGATTGAAGGAAGTGTCAGGATCAGGAGGGTTACTCGCTGTGAAGAGGGCATCCAGGGAGTCGGCATCCACAATGCCCAGCATGGAGGAGAGAATCTCGGAGATCTGCCTTGCTACATGCTCTCTTCTGCACATTTTTCCGGTGGCATCAAATGAGTCAATGACCTGCTCAAGGAGAGCACGGTCCGAATCGTATCTCGCCGTGGAACCTGTCAAGTGCATTTTGTGTACTTTAGCAAGAAGAAGAACTACTGCCGCTACAAATGCCGACTGATCGACAGATCTGCATCGAGAGAGGTGATCTTTGGCGTGCTGTACTCCAAGGTACCGATGGAGAGTAATCCTGGATGCTTCCATGCAGCTTTCAAGGTTGTTCAATGGGTCGTTCGTAGTGTTGCCAAAGGCAATGGGCATGTGCGCATAGATTCGCGCTTGGAAAAACCACAGCTGGCATATAAGGCGATTCGGCTCCTTCCCTGAGTCAAGAGAGCGATCTTGACGGAATGATGGGGCTCTCCACCAAGATGACGGCATAGACTCCTGTAATTTGTCCAGAGAGTCATCTATCTCTCGGAGGGAGCGGCGATCTTGATGATGTCCAACTGCATTTCTTTGTGCGATGCGCGCCACGATTAGGCAAATACGGCGCTGGATGTTTGCTTCACAGTCAGCAAGGGGATCCTCCCAGGCCTCGTTGTCAGGACCAAACGGTGTGACGCCAAGCCCGGGCTCAAGGCCGAGGAGAAGACTGCAATAGACGTCGCCACAGACAGTCGAGAGCCACAGGCGTCGGTGAAGGCCTGCGCAAGATGAGTTGCGGGCAGAGATAGAGAAGCTGTTCTGAAGCCCTACTAATCTGCAGACGTCCAGGATTCTCCTAAATGACATCCACGCATGTCGAATTGCACCATCGTTGAGTTGAATCGAACTTAGCAGAGTCAAGCATTCTATACCGTCTACCGAGCAGACTTCTTCTTCGTGGGATGCGATGAATAACTTGACTCTCTCGACAATCAATTTAATCGCCCCTTCGACGTTCTGGGACTCTAGAAACTGTACATCGAAATTCGCAGGGAGTTGTTGCATATACAGAGCAAACAATAGTAAGGTTTTGGCGATGTGTATTCCGCTGCCTTTCGAAATGGTGGCATGCTCGAGGAGCTGGGAGGTATCGTTCGGCGTCAAAACGCTCCCACGAGGATTTTCCGGTCCCCAGAGCCAAGCGGTAGTATTCGTGACAATAGCAACCGCATCTTGTGCAGATGGCAGAAGCGCCACTAGCGACTGCTTCGCATCCGTCTCATCCGCCGGCATGGGCATGGGAACACCATGGTCGTCGACGAGAGGAGGGGGAGGAAGAGTCCCATCATCGACTGGCGGATGAAGCAACTGCCGTTGTCTCGGGAATTAGACTCTCACAATGGAAATTTACTTGGGGAACATACAAACTCGTTCCAGAGTAAATCAGGAACTGCAGCCAGCTGGGATCCTTCGTGGGTCTGAACCAGCTTTCTAAGGAGAGATTCAATACGCTCAAGCCTCACCTCAAGCTCCTGTGGAGGGCTTTCGCTATCCGGCTCCGCATGAAGCGGTCGAAGAGTGCACTGCGTTCCACTCTTTAAGCATTCAGCGCAGGTTTCGACATTCTCGTCGGTGAGCTGACACTTGACTTTGCGTTTCCTACCTGGTAGGGTTGTGACCATGGGTTAGCACAGAAAGTCAGAGTGAAAGAACTTTCCAGGCCCCATCCAGATATCATCCAGAGTGGTAATGCGTACATTGGTAGCAGCTTCTAGTAGTCCGTCGCAAACGCTTGCGGGATGGCAGGCCCGTGTCCATTTTGGAGTACACATCAGATATTCGGAGAAGCTTGTTAACTATTTTGGGAGGGAAACGAAGCATCTTGACCTGGAGAGCTAAAATAGCTCGGAAAGTTGATGCCTTATATCTTGGGATGGAATCAAAATATTACCGTCCTTGACCCCGCCCAAAAGGCTCTACGTTACGGTGGCCTAGACAAACGGCGCCATTTCAAGAGCACATCGGACAACGTTTGAATTACAGTAGCCTTTTAGGAATTCTTTAACAGCGAGTGGACGCACAGTCACCGTGAATGATTTCCCTGTCATTCCAAAACGGGCAGACAGAGAGGTAGCGTTAACTGGCGGTGGGCGTTCTTCCACCAAAAAAAAAAAAAAAAAAAAAAAAAAAAAAAAAGCCTAAAGCGAATTATGAAGGAACGATGCGCGACTAGAGAATAGGAATTACTCACAGCAGCTCCTCTCGGTGGGGTGTTTGGCACAGGTAGGGTCCTAATCACGTATGCAGCAACGATATGCTGTCTTACCTCTCGCCACGGACTTCTAAAGTTCTGTCTATGTCCTTCACAGCCTTGACTACAGAACACTCCCCACGAACGGAGTTAGTGATCGAAAACACGGACGGAGGTACCAATATTTCCCAAGGCTAACGGCAAATGCTCTGCATGACCAAAGCTTTCTTTTCCCGACGAATGGATGAAACCACCAGCGCGGTAGATGCAGGAGCTGACATCTCTTTACAAATGACCCTCCGAGAGGCGCTCCAAGACTCAACAGTCATCGTAGGTCATCAAATCGCCACAATGGCCGAGTTTGATGTACTTGAAGACGGGGCCGTGGCCGAGCTCCGTCACCTAGAGACCTCTGCCGATGAAAGGAAGCGTCCTGGCAGTTGATTTGCCATAGCCTGGATCAGACGGGAGATCTACTCCTAGCAGCAAGCTCGATTTTAGGGAGCCTGATGATGTCGCACCAATCTCTACCGCCAAACAGCAGATACAACATAAGTTGCAACTCCTGCGACAATAGAAGGAAAATGAGCAAAACAAGGAACTGATCGGGCGGTTGGAGGAGACGCTGAATAAAAGAGATGAAGAGAGGGAAGCAGATGCAAGGACAGGGCAGCTCCAGGATTTGGATATCTAGGTGGCAGACTATGGCCCAGGAGACGGGGAGGGTGAGAACAAAAGGGGGGGGGGGAGGGAGAACAAGGTAGTCGGGCCTATCGAGCCCAATGAGAAGGAAGAGAAGCCGAAAGAAAGAAGACGGGAAAGAAGGTAGTCGTGGTGCCTGATGGCGATGAGTTTAATGGGGAAAACCTTTTCTCTGAGGAGGAGAGCGAACTAGGCTCTTATTCCGACAGCTCCGATGACTCCGATGCCGACGTCTATCGCGTTCTCCGATGAAGAGCACAGCAAAGCGTTATACTCTTTTCCAGGGACTGGGGATGTGAAGGATGCCAAAACCGCTGCGTAGGCTGGAGGAAGTGCTTCCACCTTTATTAACATTCACGGGAAGAAAAGCGCGGCAAGGTATCGACTGACGAGAGCTGCGTCAAAGGTATCCAGCAGCTTACTGAGACGACCTCCTCGACAAGGAAAAGGTTAATACCAGATACGGAGACTGTACGAGGGCTAATGGGAAATCCGTGTATACAGAACGTTACATTCTTGGAATGTTCGGAGTTGCCTGGAAAATCTCCGGGTTCCACTCCTCTAGGAAAGACCTTGAACTGATTAACGCGGACCGCGTTAAAACCTGGAGACATATGCCGACCTATATTTTGGTTCTCTGGAAGATCGGCGACGAGAAAAGGAAATGCTGGGAACCCAGGCCAATGCTGCGTGACAGTTGGGAATGGTTGGAATGAATCGTGTGCAGGTCGGGGCTCGCGTCATGGCTTCGCGCTTCGGACAGAGTCGTCCTACGATTAGAGCCGAGTGAGTATGGTTGCACAAGATTCATATACATTACCTTATGTTAGATTACCGCTAGGGCAAAATAAAGGATAACGCTACCCAACTACTTTCCCTCCTTGCATGTCCTCTAGGTTCCAACACCTTAGATCAGTCGACAACTTCACCGTACACTGCCGATCTAGCAGGAGCGTCTTTGCCACATATTGGTGATGCCGGAGCCTCAACCATCAACTTTAAGCCCCCGCCGAGGATGTTGGCCGATCTGATCCCTGATGTCCTTCACATAATATTCAGCCTGCTTGATGTGCCCAACTTCCACCCGTTGCGCCTCACGTGTGGGCAGCTCGAACAGAGATCCAGAGCAGCGTTTGGGGCCACCGCATTCCCTAAGCTCAGGGTTGATTTTAGCAGGGCTAATCTGGAATGGATGACCGACATGGCGAGCCACGAAGCCTTCCGGCTCGCTGCACGCGAGTGGCAGGTAGGCCATTGGGAGGGCAGGGGCAACGCGTGGAAACTTTCGCGTGAAATCGCCCTTCGCGATGACGAACACCAGCCACGCCAAGCAAGTAGATGCCTGGATACCGATTCCGAACTTATTAAACAATTCGCTGATCTGCTATCACGGTTCCCAAACTGCACTAGCGACACTCACTGTTACGGACAACAGGGCTAGGATCTCGTATCTTCCTCAGAACAGCGGAGGCTATAAGCAGAGCTTAACCTCGGCAGACGCGGTAGAGCTTATTCTCCATGCCTTTTCGGTCCCTAATGCTCCCCGTATTCAATGTTTCCGGATACATATCACTCGCAGCTTGATTGGTATCCACCGGGGGGGATTTCGCGCACCCCCTCGCTTCAGTACAGAGTAACTGGACAGCCCATCTACGGGAGCTTGTTCTTCAATTCGCTGCTAACGGCGGCGACAACAACGTTGCAAATATGCTAAATCTCCTCACTTCGGCCTCCAAGCTAAGGACACTTCGTCTCATGTGGAATGGTATATCAGTCAAGGCCCACCCTGCCGGATCGCTGATAGGTCGGCATCTCAACAAGTTTTCAGATTTCGCGCCACCCCTTGAAGCTCTTGGCTTGGAATTTGTCCATCTAGAGGAAGCTCTTCTCCTTAGGCTTCTATCGGCTTGTCAACACAACCTAACGACTCTAGATTTTTATCGTGTATAGCTTCGGTCAGGATCCTGGAAAGGCGTCCTGGGATACCTTCATGCTATGTCCTTTTATAAGCTTCGCCGTACCTCTAGGTATAATTGCATTGTCGGTACGAAGTAGTGAGGGGTGACACCATAGCTTTCTGCTTACTGTGCAAGGAACTGGAGTGGCAGAGATCTTGTGATGGTACCTTTAAGTTTGGCGAGGAAACCGCCGGGGACTCTTCAGACCCACATCACGGGGGCTCTATTCGAGGCTAAACCAGGCCCTCGACCATAAAATTGGCCCCGTTGGCCTTGACAGAAAGGAATCCTGGGTGTCTTTCTGGGTACGACACGAGCCCCCGATGTGGACTGATGTGGAACTGTACCGGAGTTAACAAAAATACCCACAATTGCGCCTTCTACAGTCTACGCTAGTGACTATGAGAGGTGGACTGGCTTACCTACTACTACTTTGTAGGATCTCGTTCTCCTTTCGACGACGGCGGAGGAGCCAGAAAAGGCTTTTATGTGGGCCAGGTTGGGAGCTGGCACTATCGCGACCGTGGCGCGTCTTTTCCGGGGTACGAGGCCTGTCTAGCGTGAGCTAGTGTTTATGAGAACAAGTGGGTGGAAGCGGAAGGGTTGGAGGCACTATTTCTAGGATCCTAATTCTAAGACTGTTCCCTCATGAAAAGTGGACAGGTTTGAATTTTGCGAAGCACTACCTAACCAGATTTAGCTGCTTCCCTGGGAATTCCCTGAACAGAGACTGAGCAAAGCTGTGTGACTAGGGGGGAGAGAGGGCAATCGATACAAGTATGACTCGATCTTGCGGGCGCGGTGGATCCAAGCCCTCCATGTCCTGCTTGAGATCCATGGAATAAGCTCAAAGCAGTAAAATTTGAAGCAGGATGGAAGGCCTATCTACATGGTTTTTACTATCAAAAGTTCGTTCTCTCCATAGGCGGGCCCCTTTCCCGACGACGACGTGAGGACGTGAGAGTCGAACCAACGGAGAGCAATGATGGGACCAACACGTACATCCATCTTATAATTCCTGGAAAGGAGGAAGTTGTACAAGGATATCGAATTGCTGGATTTAGTAAGGGAAATAAAAGGTTTGGGTGAGCACTGCACATAGATCCTAGAATATCCGCTACTTGCAAGGTCTTGGAAATTCGTGCACACTATATTTCCTTCCCTTGAGATGGATACAGAGAACATCTTGATCGCTGCAGTTCTTGCTCTCCATCAAATCAACTCCCAACGCCGTTTTATTTCGGTCGATCTCGCGCCCACTTTTTCCCCGAACTCTACCTCGGGGCAAAGTCTAGCCAGACTTCCAGCGGCAAAGGACACAATACTTACACCTTAACTGCTCCGCTACCCGTTTGCACTTCTTCAACTGGTGGAATATTTAGGATATGCTTGACGCTATCGCAAGCGGGCATATAATTCCAGATATAGGTGGAGGATAGAAATACTAATGGAAGATGAAAGTACAACTGACAGTTCAAACCAAGATGAAGTCGGTCTCTTCACTGCAGCCTAGAGCTTCTCCATCCATGATACCATGAACATACGAGTCCCCAAGCAGTTGATACTTCGTCTTTGCCAGTACCCCACACCCCTCTTCAAAGACTCTCAATATGCAAGGGACAGGGACGCCGTATATTAGACACAGGCTGTCCCTAACCTTGCTCACATGTGGGACCATACCGATATATCCCTTCTCAGTCACACAAAACACGAGCGGGCTAGAGCCCTTGCCGCTGTCCCAGAGGAAGTCAATTCCCTGAAACTCATCGAGGGCATTCGAAATCTCCGCCTGCTGCTCCTTTGTCACTCCAAGGCCGGTTTTCAGCTCTTCCGCGCTGAAGCTTAAAAAGTCTAGACCGAAGTGGCCATATACGTCTCGCATAAGCTCTGAAAGCCTGCTCATAGTTTGACGGCACGACGCTGGTGCGGGGCGTGCTGAGTGGGTTTTGTCACCGATCATAGTGCGCCAGACTGCCTCCGCCAGAGGCTGCCCACTTCTCCAGTGAGGATAGGGGTCCAGAGCGTGCTTCTTAGCCAGGGAGAGGGCTTCCTCGGAATAGGTGAATAACCTTACCCCCGTAGAATAGCTGCTCCATGTCTCTGGCAGTGGTGCGAGCCAGGCGATCCGGTCGAGACACTGTCCGCGAACCGCCATCTCATGCCGCGAGCTGCCCCGTCGGACCCTCGCAGGCATTTTTGTTGCAGCGTGATACTGCAGGTTTGGTGAGTTGAATGTCGAGTTCAGGGGCATGCCGGCCCGTATTGCCGTCCAATCGACCGCCCACGAGGGTAAGTTGTGGCTGCGGTCGCGCTGGCGAAGCCCAGCTAGGTCGAGCACCTCGAGGGCTTGCCCAACATCAAGCAAGTAGTTACCCAAATCAAACAGCACATCTTCCACCGAGCGGTCGTAGTCGATAAGCTGTTTCAAGTTTGGATCCGCGCTCTCCCTTGCCATTCCTATCAAAGCGAATGCCTTGTCCCTGTCCCACGTCGCCTCCTTCTCGCCAAAGAGGCGGAGGACGTGGCTTAGGCGCGCCGGACCGAACGTGGAGAGCTCTATCCTATAGGCCACGATAAAGGACAGGCTGAGAAATCCTAGAAATTTTGGCGCTGCGGATATCATCGCTTCTCCAGAGCCTGAGACGAATGCCGCTAGCAACGAAAGTACTGGGCCATGGCAGAGAATCTCCTGCCACCCGTACAGATCCATCCACGGGATTGGCTGCCCGCCGTAGAAGAAGGTGACTCGCGAAGCCACGGCCGCCTCTTGTACCACCCAGACCCTTGAAAACCAAGGATGTTGCAGGAGGTCCGTGAGGGCCTTCACCCGTGTGCACAGGTAAGGGTCGACGTTCCGCCGCTGGTAAAAGCCCGCCACATGGCCGACAACGTAGTCCTTGCCCCAGACACGGTTCAGCATCTGCAGCTCCATAACCAGAGAGAGCGCGGGAGAGGCCCAAATACCGCCGAGGCAGATCAGCACGTGAGCGGCTCTGGAGTAGATTTCCTGCATGGCTCGCACCTGCAGTGTCTTCTCGGCCATGTTTTCCTGGTTGATGCAGATGGAGTCGATCCAGACTAGCTGGGGGCCAAAGAAGGAGCTGCAGTTCACGAGGATGTCATGGACGTTTCCGCGGACACGAAACAACATTCCGTTGAGCGACATGTGGCGCATACCTTGGGGTCCATGGCGCCAAACGTACGATATGGCGTGGTAGGGAGGCGCAGAGCGCAGAGGGCACGAGACGAGCTCGGCGGAGAGTTGGAGAAAAGGGAACTTTCGGTGAAGTTTCAAGAGGCGTATCTCAGTGGCGGGATCGAAATCTGGTGCTGACGAATAGTTGAACGCCGCCAGGGGCGGCACGCCGGCGAATTCTTTTTGATAGGGTGCGGCTGAGGTCCAGATGACTTCGTTAATGGACCTCACAGCGGCTACAGTGTACCTCCATGCCCACGCTGCGGCTATGCCAGCAGCGTACACCAGCGCCGTCAGACCTGTAATGGGCCAAATGGTAATCGCGTCAAATAGAGCCTTAGTCATTCCCCTCAAAGCTAATGGATTGTAACGCCATGACATCCCAATGAATAGGCCGGTCAGGGTTAACACTGGAAAATAGTCCCACGAGTAGTAGACTACACATTTCGTGATACGCCAGGCGAGGGTCACCAGCCGGCGAGCAAGCAGAGTCCCGGCGTAGATACCAAAGCTGGCAACAGAGGAGTTGTACTCCGGGTCGTACTTAAGGTATAACTGGTCCACGAAACCGGTAGACACTTTGTCGAAGACATTCGCAATAATGTTCGCGAAGGCTTTCGGCGAGCATACAGGGAATTGGAGTATGCCGAAGAGGAGGTCGTTCGGCCAGACAAAACCCACCAGAATCGCCTTGAGGAGAGGGCTGACCCAGGCGCCTCTTGCCAAGAAATCGGGCACGAAATCCATAGCGTCGTGTAAGTTGTCGTTTAGTCTGTGGAGGATAGCCTTGATTGCGAGTCAAGTCATGGCATCGTGCCTGGGGTTTTATCTTCCTGCCTGCCGAGGACAATTATCATCTTAGACCGGGTCGTAACTTGAGTTATGCATCATCCGACGAGCTAAGGTAGAAAGAACTCAGCTCAGAACAGGCTGCCAATGTCATCGTTTTCTCAGGTGTCAATGCGGGAAGAGTTCGTTTTTCCGCATCGGGTTGTGTGGCGCTAAACAAGTATCGTTATTGGATCCGCCCTGAGTGAAGATGTCACTGCCGAGCTGCGAGAGGTGCCAAGGCCCTGTGGCTATGCAGTCGTCTTGGGGTGTATCAATGCAAATGGTAGACAAAGAGAGTAAAACTACTTCGTACTTCGTATTTAATTTTTTTTTTTTTTTTTCCCACTTAGGGCAGACGATTAAAAAGTTGATTTATTACAGGTTCTATTTAAGCACTTCTTTTTTTTTTCCCCAACCCGAGAGGCTCAAGGTGATAAACGAAAGCGGTAACTGCTAATCCTAGCGTCTGCTGAAGCGGAAGCAAGCAGACTAGGAGGAAACACTGCCCGATCGATGGAGACATCCCAAGATTATGGCCCTGAGAAACCAGGCAAAGGCTGCTAAGGCCTAGAGAGAATGGGGCCTGCTTCCCGCGCAGAGTTGGTGGGGCAGAGCCCGTGCTATGATATCAACCGCTTGATTGGGTAATTATGGCTACGCCAGGGCAAGTAGAGCCAAGAATGAAGTTGCGTGCCGTAGAATCCCGCGAGCACCTCTCTCGGCCGCCTAGAAGATGTTCCTTGTGATACGCTCTTCGCGTTCTTCACAGGTCCTAATCTAGTGTAGCTAACATCACTCGTTATTGGCGCAAGGGAACGACCTAGCAATATTGTCACGGCCATGAAGCTTTCGGCCCGGCCAATAAAAGATGCGGTCCCCGTGTGTGTGCGTCGTACTGAACCCGCCGGAATGGTCTAACGCAATGTAAGCACATATTGACACTTCACGAGCCTATCAAGATACATCCTAAAGTCCTCAATCGTCATCACCGGGTGATTTTCAGTCCGAACCTTCTGTTCTGATTGGCGTCGGAAGCCCACGTAATGGAGCAACTGCCTGCAGAGATGTCATGGTGCCAGCGAAACTATGGGGTTAACCACGGTATTGGCTGAGACGGACACCATATTCAGAAACTGGTGGGTTGCACGACTTAGCATGTTGGAGCAGTAGGCTCGTTGACGCAAGGTAAATAAGGGGTTCCTTTCGCTCTCGTGTCGACGAGAAAAACTTCCGTCTTCACCACCTCTCAACGCACCTTACTGAGACGATATAATCATGGCGACTCAAGCAGGTGTCACAGTCGAGGCGATCGGGAAGCCCTTTGCTGTAGTAGGTAGCGTTCCTAAACCTACACCCGGCAAGAAGCAAGTGCTCGTAAAGAGCCTGGTCGTCAGCCTCAATCCCATGTGAGCGTCAGTACCACTCAAGCCATCATAACACACGCTAATTCTCTCTCAGCGAGAATATGCAGCAGAAGTTTGGGATTTTGGTGGAGAGCTGGCCCGCCGTCCTAGGTAGCGATTTCAGCGGAGCCGTAACAGAGGTCGGGGAAGACAGCACCAGGTTGAAAAAAGGCGACTATGTGTATGGCTGCGCACTGATCGGTAGGAATGACTATACACCGTTTCAAGAGACGTTCATAGTCGACGAAGATATCGTCTTCAAGAAGGGCGAAAAATTTTCGCATGAGGAAGCCAGTACAATCGGAGCGGGGTTGTTGGTACGCAGTATCCCGATTCGCGTGCCGTTCTAAACATGCTGACATTTGGGCTCAAGACGGCAAGCCTGGCTCTCCTCGCAGGGTTCGACTTAAGCCTGCCTCCACCCGGAACTCGATCGCCAGGGCGGGATGAATGGATCGTGGTACTGGGGGGTAGTGGAAGCGTTGGGCAATTCGGAGTCCAAGTGAGTCCGGCCACCTCCCCAGGGCGGTTCCAATTGTTCCTGACAATAAGGTGGAACAGTTAGCCAGTATCTGTGGCTACCGAGTCCTAGCTTCCTGTAGTCCGTCAAAGGCATCGGTATGAGTGCAGATCCCAGACCTCCATTATGGCCATGGTGCTTACGAAACCCTCACAGATCCCCGCTAGCCATGGAGCAGCAACGTTCGATGGCCGAGCGTCTTTAGACGAGCAAGTTGCCGAAATCAAAAAGATTACGGGAGGCTCCTTCGCTCGTGTATTCGATGCTTCTGCCCATGGCTACGACGTCGCCATCGCTGCTCTTTCGTCGGCCTCGACCGAGCCAGTAAAATACTTCTCCTCGGTTGATGACTGGTGAGTTTCGCTAGCCCTAATATATCGCATTGGTTATCTGCTAACCCGCCGTTTCTAGGTCGCCTTTCAAGACACCGCCGTCAATCAAGGAGTACCGCACTCAACTTGGGCGTCTTGGTAAATTCGACGATGATCTCGGCTCAACTATTTCCAGCCAGATCGCCGCCTGGATACCCCAGTTGGAAGGGCATTTTGAAGCAGGGACTATCAAGCCGCTCGAGTACGAGCTAGTTGATGGCTTGGGTTGGGACAAGCTAATTGCTGGCATCCAACAGCTGGAAGACGGAAAGGTCTCCAAGAAACTGGTTGTCAAAGTCCAGGAGGAATAGGGCCTATCGAATGCTCAGCGGCTATTTTGAAGGCCAGCCACTCCATATACGAGACTAGTTGCTTTACCAATAAACTTTGGCTTAACTTTCGCGCGTAAAGCTGGTTGCAAGGGTGATATTCAGGAACACATCACCGCCGCCGTGAGCCCCGAGGAACTAAAACAACTTATGCTGACTGCTGAATACGAAGTATGGGACTTGCTTGTGATCTCTATGTTGGGATCTGTGAGTAACGTGGGTCTCTACACTGGTTGATGTTGAATTTACCGCCAAAAATGACACCATAGGAGATGTTGTTTGGGTCGATGTAGCACCTGTTGGCAAGATAGATTCCCTGCATCTGAAATTGCAGAGTAACATCTCATACACGTACTAATTTCATGGATAAAGAGTTGGGATGAGAGTTTTAGGTAAAGGTCGAGTGCTTTGGTTATGCTCCTAAAGCTTACATTGGCGTCTGCTCCCATGTCATCTCTCCTGCCTTCCCTTGCCGTCTTCCCTTGTTTCTCCACCTCTTTATGAACTGCAACTTTCCTGCGAGATCTAATGCAAAGATCTCGAGCCTATAGTGTTGCATGATACAGCGATAATAACTCTACATGTGATGTGCTCCGTCTGCACTTCTTCTTCGCTCAGCCTTTCTTGTTATCCAATGTAATCTGCACAGCCTCACACTTCCCCGGCAAACAAACAAGGCCCCACTGCTTGAACGGTACCTGGTGTTTGTATATGATAACCCAACGAACATTTTGCTCTTTGAAGGCACACAGACTGGCTACTTGGCGGCGGGCACTACCCGAAGAGGCCATTCTAGCACTGGACTTGGCAGTCTCGATATTCTCCTTGGTTCCAACAGAATTTGCTAGTAGTTTCATAGTAATCCTCTAGTCTGTGACTATGTAACAACGTACTGACTGTTAGAGCGCCAGCTAAATGACAAAGATATCTACTACTCATAGACGCGCAATACCCGGCGGCGAGCTCGTCGCGGAAACGTACCAAGTGGCCCGAGGGCACCGCTTCCGAAGCATCAAGTCCCAAACACCGACGCACAACTCGCTATGCACCGAGTGGTCAGGCTGCTTCCCGCAACCTTAATGAGCACGAGCGAAATCCCCCAAATACTCGAATTTACGATGGTGCGGTAAAGGTGGGCCCCGGACCGCAAAGGCGAGAACGATCTACCCTGCACGTGTTGCGGCCCTTGGAAGGGCAACAAGAAAGCTGGCTGTCAGGTTGATACACATCTAGAGACGTGGACTAGGAGGGTAAACGTGCATGATTTTCAACTCTATCTGCGATCCGAAATTCATGTTTGAACATAACGCCTTCTGGGTGGGAGTTCATGCATCAACATGGGCTCATATCACTAATCTGAAATGTCTATGTCTGCCGAATAGCTGCGACGGAAATGGGCATGTTCAGAAGCCCTTGCGCCAGCCAACCAGTTGGTCATTTTTTAAATCACAGGAATTCCGTCCCGCGTCGCCGTGGGGCTCGTGGCCACCATAAGAATAAGCATGCTGTTGGTCGAGGCCAAATAGGCGCAAGGAGGACTTCCTTCGAGTTCGCATGCGTTAATTTCCACCAATAAGTAATCCATCCCGCGATCATGTCCATGCGGAAAGCAAAAGGACACCCGGAAGACCTTGTAAGATCCAGGGTCCGTCGGCGATTCACTATCTTGGGATTCACTGGTTGAGTTGAGTTGCAGTGAAAATCCGGGATCTTCATGGTGTCTGCTGGTCATGGAACCGAGCCGTGGAGAAGCTCCCGTGTCCCGTCAGACGGAGAGATTCTAAGCCCACCTTCTTACTCGGTCGTTTCAAATGATTACCTCCCAGCTAAACTACCCCGGCTTCCACTCCGTTCCCCGCATTCTATTTTCCACTCTTCTCATCCTATCTCCTTGCGTTAATTCGATCGGTGACACGGCCCGGTATTACTGGGATGCAATGGCAAGCTGCAGGGCTCGGGCAATGCGACCTCGCGGGGTTGGAGCGTCTCATCAAGGACCTTTGATGTTATTGACTACACACGCGCTCCACATCTCGCCTGTGGTTAACGACAAGAGAACATATTGAACTGCTTCAACGAGAAGAAAAATGGCGTGAGAGAGAGGTGTGAGCCGGTTAATCAGGAACAGGACACCGGCAGGTTCAAAATTCGAAGGCCGAGAAGGGAGAGCGACTTGGAAGCGCATATAAAAGGTTCAAGACCTCCCGACCGACAAGATAGAAATCGTCCCGTCCATCAACAAACGCCGCCTCGGATAGCTCCTTTCTCTTCAAGTTATTAGAACCTCAATCAAACCGAAAAAAAAAACCCTAACCAACCTACCAAAATGAAGCCCGGTGCCATCCTCTCCATCCTCGGTCTCGCAACCATTGTTGCCGGTACGTCCTCGATTGCTGTCTCAGATATCGCCTGAACGTCAAACCTATGCTGCCGTTAAGCTGACTCTTTCACGCTTACAGCCAAGGGATGCCCAAACGGTCCTTCCCAAGTTGCTTGCGAGCAAGCCTGCAAGTCAGTTGTTACCAAGGCTTGCAAGTCTTGCAACGGCAACAGCAGCTGCCTCATTGCCTGCGAAGGGGCCCGCTATAAGTCGTGCTATGCTTGCTGTGACAAGAGCTGCAGCACCTGCTAGACGGGGAGTTTGGACAGGGAGAAGTTGCTAAGGACAAGAGTCAGCTAGAATGAGCTTAGGGGTGGAATCATTGGAAAGGTGTGTTCTAGTGAGGGCGGAGGAGGTGGCCATCTCGAGAAAGCAGAGGAACATTATGCCTAGGGAGACCATTGACCATTGGTTTACCAGTAACAATAGTGTCTGGAGCTTCTAGATCGTAAATTATTTTGTTCCCTTCAGTTTGTCATCCGAGGAAATATATTCCACTGCCCCTTCCTCTGCAGCTCCTCTCAAGCTCTAGGCACAAATTTGAAAAGTAATGCATTGGAGTTTCTAGAGTTAAAATACAAAATTTGAGCTGTTGCTTACATAGGTGGCCACCGACTCAGAACGTTGAGCAAGTCTAAGAGCTTAAAGCCTTGGGCAGAGGGAAGGGCTAGAGATGAAGTCGTGCTTGAATCATCGCCCGCCCGAAATAAATATCCACAAACCAATGATCTTTTCGGAGAGCTCCGGCTCGTTGCAACATGAGGCACGTGACTTGCATTACTCCGTGAACTACAGGTGCCGGCGTTCGTCCCCCCGCCGCCACTCCGTACATACTTTGCGCAAATCAAGTCGAGCTTTTATCGTTGTCGCAGATCAGGTTGAGCTCTTGCTGGTGCGCACATTTCACATGTCATGGAAATACAAACGAAATCATGAGTGTGCAACCGAATCCCGGGCTAGCGAAGTCGTAAAGGCGCTCCGCCTCTTGCTTCCGGGAAGACAGACGATGGTAGAGAAAGCACAGCGGAGATTAGACGCTGCTCTGAAGTCTTAACTCTTCCCTAAACTGAGTCTCCGAGTCATTTTTACAGGATGATTTTACGCCCTAGTTTGCATACTTCCTTGCACTCGATCGCACCAAAACATTCGCGGCGGAGCTCCCCGAATCTATCCTCAAAACCGTCGCCGATGAAGTGTCTCCAAGCATTGAGTTGGGCAATGTGATAGGATTGATTGGACAGCAATGGCTTAGAAGGGCAGATTTGAAGCCTGTGTAACATGAACGATTTTTTTTCTGCTACGGTACCAGGCTGGGTGGCCACTATTGTCGTCGTTTTCCTTTTGGTCCCTCAAAGTGCGGACTCGAGGCACTGGACTAGTCTTCCCATTTCCCCCATAAGGCCAAATAATTCTGTTTGGGGCGTAGAAAATGGATTCTTATCGCGATTTCTCGCTAGACGACTGCTTCTGCGGTCACTCGGACACATCTGAGTTCGAAATCGACGAGACCCAGTTTGACAACATCTTGCGGTCAATAGCAGCCCAATCATCCCAACTCATCCAACTGGCGATCAGGGCCTTATCATGGCTCCTATTTTCTACACGGCCGTTGACTGATACCGAGTTAAGCGGTGCTTTGGCCTTAGAAATTGGGAATTCCAACTCCGTTGAAGGGGTACCGCCGGCAATTGACGATGTATTCGCAGCAACTCGCAACTTGGTGTCATTCTGCGACTGTGACTGCCCTCGTTCGACCGTTAGAGACGAGTGCGACATTGTTCGTCTAGATGTTGGTCATAATAGGGAAAGAAGGTTGCATCGCCTCAGACAAAACCCTCCTATATTGCCACATTAGATCTCATCCAGAGAGCAGAGTAGAAGCTCACAAGAGGATCCGGAATGCGTGAGCCATTCGAGGACCAATGCCACAGAATTCTATTCTACAGTGACGAAGTAATTGGCTACAGTTCACACTTGGCTCCTGCTACCGAAACCCGGCATTCTCGGATTAATTTCTCTTTATGTAGATTGTTGCCAGAATCTTAACTCTTGGACTCGTCCGGTTGTCGGCTCTAGGTACAAGATGAAGCAAAAGATCGCGGTTTTCTCTAAACCAAGGAATATCTAGGCCAACCGTGTCATGGGACACCAGCTTGGGATAACTTAGGCGTATCAACATGGCAGAGGATGGCGACAGCCGGCAGTTTTTTTCTCAACAAAAGGTTCAATAGAGAGAGGTTTCCTTCAATTCCCAAGTGGCTCTGAACGACCTGAGGAAGGCTACGTGTCAAACTCTAAGCATATCAGTAGAAGGCGAAATGGGTGTCGCTAAATTTTTGAGTTAACTCTTTTAGTACTGCGGAGTAGGCCTGTTTCCTGTATCCTGTTGTGGGTTGCCTTGTACTGGCGAGGTACTGAGGGAGTAATACCTAACAAAAGTTCGAAAGGTGTCATTCAACCCACCTGCCCTCCCGTCCCTCCTTCCATTTTTCTTCCACTTTTTCCATCCCCACCAGAGTCGCACATTTGTGCTAGCCACGATCATGGCGCCCAACTTGATGCCGCACAGCGTCTTCTAATCAAAAGTCCACTTAATAACAATCATCACGAGAAGCTCCTAAGGTATGATTTGGCTCGCCGATGCATCACAGTTCGGGGAATCGGCCCTTCGTCACGATGTCCACCAGCAATGAAGCAATGAGCAATTGGGGCAGACTGCGAAAGCAAAGAATCAATACCGTCCCATCGACATCTCCAAGAACGAAATTCGCGTGCCGTCCTTCGAAAACACCGCCGAACCTGGCCCAATACGTCTCAGGCTACACCACGCATCTCTAAATGACTGGAAGCACGAATATGTCTCCTTTCGCGGCTAGAATGCACCGACCATGAACATCTCCAAGCTCTCTGAAGCCTGGAACGACCGGGTCGAATTCACGCTGGCCACAGCCGAGCGCGAGATCTACGACATCGTCACAAGGTTCACTTGGGGTGACTACATCTGCCTAAGCTATACGTGGGGAGACTGTACGGGAGAGAAAACCACAGTCTTCTTGGACGGTGTTGCCACGGCTGTTAATAAACATCTGGGAGTGGCTCTACGAGACTTGCGAGAAAGCTTCGAGTGCCGGCTGGGTATAAAACTCTGGGTGGACGCCCTGTGCATCAACCAGGCCGACGTCGTTGACCGGAATGCCCATGTCTTGCGTGTAAAGGAGATATTCGGCCGATCTTTCGCTGTGACTGTCTGGACGAAGGAACGCGAGGACCTGGAGGTTCTTGGGCTTCGGCAACCGGGGGAACGCCTTATTCACTGCGAGGAGGTCTTGAGACAGTATGGGAAACAAGTTTTAGAGGAGCTTCTTGGGGTCCGAAGTCGTAACTGGGCAGCGGCGGAGGACGAAGATGAGCAGCTTATGAAACTGGTCGAGGATATCGATGACCTAGTGTTTGAACAGTATCACTGGACAGATTCCGATGATGAGGATGAACTCGGATTTGGCAAGGAGCATTTGCGCGACATGATTCACATAGAGTTGTGGCCGCTGTTTCGGAAGGAATACTGGTCCCGGTTGTGGATTATCCAGGAGCTAGCGGTCAGCCCTACGACATCGACGGTATACTGGGGAGAGTCGAGGATTCACTTGTCAACACTCCAGGCAGTAGCGGAGATTCTTCTCACCCATCCTAAGTCTGGGCAGTCCTTGAACTCGGAATTCTGGCAGGAACTGAAGTCCGGATTGGATCTCTTGGCATTGGGCTTAGAGCGTTGTATCTCCAATCAGTCGCACTTATTTCAACTATATCCTACTAAGAGGTTGGGGACGGGGAGGCTCTTTGGAAACGATAGAGGCGCGTCTTTTCAGGGGTCGCGGGATGCTGAGGGCCTTGTTTGGCTGGTGTAGCGCCAACCAAAACCTGGCCCGCGCGTTGCGTTCTCTCGGGCCTATTGCATCGTAAAGTGATTCACCTGCCACCATCCAACGCCGAGGTGCCTTTACTATTCGCAAGCCTTACATGCCAGCATATAGAGCTGCGGCCCACCTGTGAGAGTACGACGCTGCAAGAATGTAATGAAGCATAAAGATGGACACGACACTACTATAGTTTGAAGTCGAGTTGCCGTGTGTCGGCGAAAGGCACCAGTGCCTCCGCGAGCTCGGGTTGAGGAAATCGGAGTCGAACTGAGCAATCCTGTAAGATCTCAAGTCTTGGAGCTTCTTGTGCAATGGCCCAGCTAGTTATCTTATCTCCTTCCTCGCTAGATAGCCTCTGTTGCGCTGTGTGCGCCTTAACTTGAGAGGTCGCTCTAGGGACAAGTATGACCCAGGAGATCTAAAGACTAAATTTTCGCAAAGATACTTTTATTCGCATTTGCTAATTTGAATAGCAAAAGAAGAAAATATTTCATTAGCATCTACTAAATATGTTAGACCTGTAAAAACATACTGCTTAGTGCAAGTTGGGATAATTCTTCTTGAAGCTCTCCCTCGCCGAGATATTGGCCCACCATATCTTGGTCTTCTCGCCAAAATCAAAATTGGGGGCAGATTTCCTGATAAGAGTCCTGAGAGGTTCAAACTCGCCAACTCCTTTCCCACCAGCAGCCCACATGGCATGAGCCAACCAAGGCACAATGTGCAAATCCGCAGCCGTAACTTGATCGCCAGCTGCGAAGGGCAGTACCAGCATGGAATCAAGTTCCTTGAGCCCCGCTGCGTAGTCCTTGTAGCCTTTCTCCGTAGCTTTGAAGAACTGTTCATGTTCGGGTCCAATCTCGGAGGCAGTGTAGAGACCATGAATGTGTCCGTTCATAGGCGTGCGCATAGCATATAATGGCACGTCCGGATTCGCGGCACCGTACTTGACGAGTTTTTCTTGTCGATTTCCAAGGAAATCTTTCACCACACTTGCTTTCTTTGCCTCCCATTCTTGCGCATCGCAGGCCTGTAGAAGGACAAGGTTTGTCGAAAGTTTGTCCTGATGAACATGCGCAATGAGCTCCTCGACCTTGGCAAGCTGCGCGGGATCCGTTGGGAATAGAGAAGGGCCGCTGGGTCGATTAGCGTCCACATATTTCGCAATGTCCGCACTTTCAATCAGAGGCTTTTCGAGAGAAGCCGAGGTTAGGGATGGAATGGTGCCGTTCGGATTTATTTTGACATATGAAGGAGAGAAATTCTCGCCATCGACTACCGCCATATATTAGGAATGGACTGTGTATATGCGTTTCCCAAGATTCACTTACGGAGGCCCACTTGCTTGGCTTCGTATTCGCTAGGCGCGTATCCCTTCTCGTCAATTGCGAGATGCGCAACATAAGCCCACTGAGAGGCAGAGTCGGTGTAAAGGGTGAACTATTGCGTGTCAGGGTCTACGAAGAGAGACTTCGGAATTACTTCCCATACCTGGGGAGTAGCCATGATGCGATCAATGGATTGTATGAATGGTGAATATTCTTCGAATGGGGGAGTGCTGTGCTGATTGAAGTAAGTTGGAGGGTACTGTGCTGATTGATGTAAGTGAAGTTGATAGCTATCGTACGGACCGTGGCCAGGTTAAGTACTGGTTCGCATTTAACTGGATGAAGGTCTAAACTGCGTCATATGTTACTAATTGCCGCTTCCACCGTCTACGGCAGTGGATTAATTCCTCAACAGCTGAGTGGTTTGGAATCACCGAGTGGTTTGGAATCACCGACTGGTTTGAATGGTTTGAGTGGTTTGGAATCTTTTTTCCTCGTTCGAGTCGTTCCTGCTTAATAATTGTCTTGGCCTTATGTAATGAAATCCTGCATTAAGTCTAGATCACCCGTGCCGGTTTTACAGTCCCGTTCAAAGCCGTCGGTATTCCATTCCCCCCTGCTCTCCCTGCTGTAGGCCGCCACTTCAGTCCAGTCCACCCGCAAATACCTGCCTTGATAAGTTAGCAACTCAGCCCTTACACAGTCACGGCCCGGCTTGGTCCCTCATACGATATTGTCCTGATCCTGAAACGTAAGTTATTGGGTTGTGCTGATGCCGATTACAAATATTATCACAAGGTGGTGGTGCGGCATCATCACTAAGCGAATAAGCGAATAGCCTAACAGACAATGCTATCTATAAGTAATAGCCCCATCCGCAGTCGACTGCAGTTTGCGCCTCGTACACTTACCCTTGTCAATACAACACGTTTTTCTACACGGCAGAGAACCCAACCATTCAGTATGAGCACGAAGACTGACATTACGCTTTACACCGCGGGAACCCCAAATGGGATCAAGGTTCCGATCCTGCTTGCGGAGCTTGGGCTTGAGTACAAGGTGCGAGGAGACCGTGCTCTATAATGGGTGGAAACAGAACGTCAAGAAGCTGACACACGCTTTTTTCCTTCGGGTAGTTGCACCATATGAAGTTGAGAGAGAATGAGCAGAAAGAGGCATGGTACCTGGACAACATCAACCCTAATGGCCGGATCCCGGCAATCACGGATACATACGACGATGGGAAGCAGATCCGTGTCTTTGAAAGCGGAGCCGTCATGCAGTACCTTGTTGACCGCTACGACAAGGATCACAAGGTCTCGTATCCAAAAGACTCCCGTGAACACTGGGAGACAACAAGTTGGGTATGTTTGTGGACATCTGTATGCCTCACTACGCCTCGGGATTAACACTGTTGTTTAGCTCATGTGGCAGATGGGTGGCTTAGGCCCTATGCAAGGACAGCTGGAGCATTTTAGGAGTTGGTTACTGAGAAAGTGTTGATCATTTGACTATTCAGATGCTGACTGGATGCTTCCAGGATACGCAGCGGAGAAGATTGAGTACCCCATTAACCGCTACGACAATGAGACCCGTCGCCTCTATCGCACCATGGATACCCACCTGGCTAAGTCTCCTCACGGGTTCCTCGTCGGTGACCGCCTCACCATTGCCGATATAGCCTGCTGGGGCTGGGTTTCCTCTCACAGTAGGCCATTTCCCCTTTGTTACCCACATCATTTAGGTTATTCTGTTAAACTAATCATGGTGACGCTATCACCTCTAGACAAGGACGGCGTCCCTCTCGATGAGTTCCCTCACCTGGAAAAGTGGTTGTTTAAGCTCTTGAAACGCCCTGGCTTCGAGAAAGGCCGTAACGTGCCGGAGCGCCACACGGCGTTTGACGAGATAACGGCCTGGGAGGAAAAGCATGAGATGTAAATGGTGGAGTCACGGAACCGCGCCTGGAGAATTAGTGAGGGCGGAGGCTGTGGCTCACCTCCACGATTTGTCTGGCTGGGTACTTTGTGCCGCGAGTTCCTGGAGCGGGCCATCAGCTGTTAACCAATCCGTGGCGACCTGATCGATGATTATCCAACTGATAGGCCCAGCTGTGATTGGGTCAGGCGGAGGTTTCATTTAATTTTATACGTAGAAGCACTGTCATAACGATTACCATAAATCCAAAACATCCAATATGAAAATCTTGTCCTTTGGGGCCTTCAATTTCCACGCGCAAGAACTGCAATACGGTACTATTCCCAATCCAACCGGAGGCTATCACTGAATTGTTGACAGCTATCAATCAAGATGGATACGCGGACTTGTCCCTGTCCCTTGCAGGATGAAGGAATTACGCAACGGAGGCAGATCTCTGGGGTCGCCGTATAGTACAATCACCAATCAGAAGTATTCGAACACTGCCCCACTTCCGCGTCACGTCTCCCCAACCTCTTTCCCAGCCCATCCTTTTCAAATGGCTATTAGCTACCATTGCGATGCCCGAAATACGCCAATTCGGGCTTGCAATAAGCGGAAATCGCAGAAGAAAAGAAGAACTAAGTCCTGAGGATCGCGCTGAAATACTCGCTGCAGTATCCTCCGGTAAAAGTTAGCAGTCAGTTGCACGAGACTTCAACGCATCTCCTTCCAGTATCACATACACGATAAACCACTGGAATACCCACCACACCTTAAAGTCACAAGCTCGAAAAGGCCATCCTCAGGTTCTTACACCTTCCAATAAGCGGAAGGCTCTTATTACTGTGAAGCGGAATCCTTCTCTCACATGGAATGAAGTTCGCGCTGAGTCTGGCCTCTCTGTATCAGTCTCGACCTTACGTCGTAGTTTACCGAAGTACTACACACGCAAATGGAAGGCTATATATAAGATTTCCCTTACGAAAAGAGATGTAAAGGAAAGGCTTACTTTTGTACACTATTGGAAGTCGCATATTGAAGAATTGAAGAAGGTATATAAAGTTGAAATAGGGGTATTTTCTATACTAAAGTAATGTAGGTTATTTTTTCAGATGAGTGTTCAATACAGAACAGTCCGAACGCACCCAACATTTACATTTTCCGACAGCCATACCAGAAGTTCCAAAGAAGGTTTATCAATATTAAAACCTATGGAAAACCGCGTATCTCGATCATGGTGTGGGCTGCAATTGCAAGGGATAAGAAATCCGACCTTATCTTTATAGAACGCAACCAAGAAGCCAAGAAAAAGGGCTACAGTTCGAAAAGCTATATAAAAGCTCTACAAGAAGGACTTTTACCAATATATGACAGCGAGGAACAGTTTCAACAAGATAACACGAAGATATATTTAGCGAACTATACGAAGACTTGGCTTTGTGAAAACGGAATTCGCCCAATCCCATGGCCTGTGCCTTCACCTGATTTGAACCCGATAGAATATGTTTAGAAGGCTTTTAAAGGGAAATTATCTAAAAGGCACTTTGACTTTCATATCCTGGGCGCAGGAGAAGCAGATATCATAAGGTTTAAAGAGATGTTGATAGATTCGTGGGGGGCTGTAACGCAACGTGAAATTTCGAGGCTTGTGGGGTCTGCTCTGGGCGGTTGGGTGGAGTTAGCAGAGACTCATTGAGAAATATCTTAAAGACGGTTTAAATCACGAGCCCCATCTCGATCGATTCAAAGGTGAATTATGTGAGATAAAGAGTTTTTTTTTCGCCCCCTTTCCTGTTGCGTAATATCTGCTCTTCTCCCTCGGAACATATGATTAGAACACAACGGGTTCAAGCTGGAGAAATCCTAGGCTTTAGAGGATTGCGTCCATGTGTTTTATAATATATTTGAGCGGTCGCCAAAGTTCCGTGCAATGTCCAGTATATGATGTCCAAGAAAGCAAATAATCCCATGAAATCGTTAAATATCATTTTAGAAACTATTTTCCGATTGTGAACTTGTGACGTTCTGTGCCAAGTGGAGATATCAGAGTCCACGACATCAGCACCGGGGATCTCGACAACAACCCTCAGGAATGCCACTGCCGGAATGGAGCAGACTGTGCGGTTGACCGATTGATCGACGTTCAGGAGGCTGCCTCACAGACACACCTAAGCCAAATCTCGTATCCGATGCAACCCTCCTCACTGGGCAATCGGAGTATTCGTTGTCCGTCTGACATGCATCCTTGCTCTAGCATCGTGCCACCAACTTTAAAATTAAAAGGGCAGCCGGCTTCTCTTTTGCAAGAGAATTGCCGAGTCCCCAAAGTTTGGCGTCTTGGGCACATTCCCCCACGCTCTCGATTCTGTGTGGACTGTGGAGACACAATCGCGTCGCAAATTTCTTTCCATTCGCGCAAATCACCCTACGAGTATGTCTGCCGAGAAGCCGAAGTCCAAGAACCCAATCAAAAAGCTATACGACAATGGCTTGAACGCCGCTGCGGGCAAGTGGATTTGCGCAATCGTGATCCTGGGCTTGTCCGCCGCCGCTGTCGCAAAGGTGAAAGAGGGTCCTGTCCGCCCTGCCGCCATCGTTAATCTCGCGTTCGTATGTTCTGCCTCGCCCTTTGTCTAGATAACGACGAAGCTGCCGCCGATAACTGACGCGATAAAATTCCTCCCATTTTCTCTTCTAGGCCACGTCCCATTTCTTCCTCCTTGGCCCGCCCGTCGACCCTATCTCGGCGACCAACCCTCGAACGCCAAAATGGTACATCATCATCCTGGGCATCTCGACCGCCATGTGGATAGTGGGGCCCGTCCTCATGTTCGCCATGCTCTACGGCAACGACAAGGAAGGCGTTTCCTATCTCGAGCGTCGTCGCCTGGGTGGCTTGGTGGGCGAGATTACCTCAATTGCGAGGTCCGGCACGGAGAGCATCTGCATCGCAGCCGGGTGCTTCGGTCTTAGCGCTTTGTACGTGTCCTAGTTCGTTCCTGCAAGACTTGTGCAAAGCTAATTCATCGTGCACAGGATCTTGTCCCTGTATCAGTGGTACTTTGTCATCGCGGTCCACACTAAAAAATTCACGCCCGAACAGGTCAAGGAAGGATATGACGAATTGGTGACGAATGCGAAGAAGAAGTGATCTTCCTCCACTAAAAGTCGGCTCAGGTCGTCTCTGTCGGGGGAGATAACAAAGGCGCCACATATTCGTGATGATGCCGGACGGGAACTTGGAGGCGAGACGGGGCCCCATTCTGCTCGCAGGAAATACGTTATGCGTGGGGGGGGAGGCAGAAGTGGCAAGATGAATTTAGTGTTCGGATTTGTTTAATAATACCCAACTTTTACATATACCACCTAGGCTCCATGGTATGCCCCAAACTGCGCCAAGGCTGTGAATACTTGGGCATGGATCGTAGTATTCTGGCCAAGTTGATCATCGTCTTAATATTGCGACTGGAAGGGATCCTACATCGTGGAACATTCGGTACGAACAATCTGGTGAAGGTGAAGAACTCGCCCCGGAGGTGCTCGGCCCCCGACAACTCGAATTCACGTCTGACCATTGATACTACCAACTAGGTACTGAGCCGTACATCCCCCACAACGGCTCTGTGGTCACTTATGTATACATTATCCTTGACATTCTGCAGTACCTCGTACCTGTCGACGGCCCAGAGGCTCTCGGGAGCAGGCCCCACCCATATAAAATCAATTCTGCTCCCCGTCTGGCTCGTGAAGCCCGTATACGTATCATATGGCCCAAACCTCGTTGAGTCGTTGGCCAGAGTGTATAGCTCTGTGAGGTACCCATCGTTCTGCACCACGCTATAGGCATCCCCGCCCGGAGGGGAGTTGAAATCGCCTGTCAGATAAACGGCGAGGGGTCCCCATTCTGCTTGAATCCGGTTTATCAAGTCCAACGCTACACGAATACCCTTGGACCTCGCTTCGGAGCTCGCATTGTCAAGGTGGGTGTTGCTGGCTATAAACTTTGAGCCGGTCTCAATGGCCTCAAAGACACCCACGGTGATGACTCGGCGACTGCCCGCGTTCCACCCGAATGAAGGAACATCCGGCGTGGGTGACAGCCACTTAGTTTCTGTGTAGAGGAGCCGGAGAACCGTAGCGTCGTAGAGGATTGGAGAATACTCTCCGCTTTGCTTCCCGTCATCGCGGGCAACCCCGATATGAGCCCATTCGGGGCCGAGTCCGCTTTTAACGTCGAGGAGCTGTTGATGGAGGACTTCCTGCAAGCCGATGACGGTCGGGGCGTTGTTGGGAGCACCAACGATAGTGCCCGAGAGCTGAGCGACTAATAGGGGTCGCCGGATCGACCAAGGGCGCTCGCCTGTGGACAGCGACGTCGCCGCGTAGCGGATGTTAAAGGAGACGAGTCGCAAGCCCAGCTCCTCGGCACAGACGACTTGTAAAACGATCGCTGCAGCATTTAAGACGTGACCGACTCGCATCTTGGTACCGAATCGACGCAGCTGCATAAGAGCCACTGCGAGGATACTAATTGCTTGTCTAAAAGGCGATTCAGTTATGGATGACAATGCGATCCTAACATTAAGCCCGGAAATTATTAGCGTGTAGATTTCCTGACGTTGAAGAAGTAAATGCGGAGAGTTCGGAATATTTAATATGTGCCGTTTATATTTCAATGATTCGGGAGCCATGGGGCCAATCATGGATAAATATCCATCCATGTGATTGGATTGCGGAGTTGAAAGGAGATGCCAAGGGCTGTTCACGGTTACGATGTAACTGCAAGAGCAACGTGCAAATCTTCTTGCTGCGGGTAAATGAAATCCACACTCCGAGGCCTTGGTGCTTGGTGGCTATGCCCAGTGGAATGAGGCAAAGACGGAAGATTAGATCTTTCGGCCTTGGGGAGCAGGGTTAGCCCGGCAGCGACGTCGGAAGAAGGCCAACGACTTAAGGGGGATGAGCTCCGGGTGCTGATCGGATAATGACGTCGCGTCCGAACAGGACAACTAGAAGCCTCGTACTTATGACGTCCATATCGACTGATGCGGAAGACCGTTGAAAAGGAGGAATAATAACATAATGCTTAAACAAATATTCGAAACCTTTTCACCTTCTCACCTTCTCAACCCCCAGCTCATGCCCTTGCCGCACAATTATTCTCATCATGGCGCCACGCATCTTCCAACTTGCCGGCTCATGCAACCACTATCCGTGGGGCAAGAAAGGAACAGATTCCTTGGCCGCGAGACTCTGCGCAAACACACCCGACACAGGATTCGAAATTGACGATGGTGAAGTGTACTCAGAGATGTGGTTCGGTGATTATCCTGACTTTCCGGCCAAGTGGGTTGAGTCTGGTGTGCCGCTGGCGGATATTCTAAGGACGGACCCCGACGGACTTCTGGGCAAGCATGTGGCGCAAGAGTTTGATGGGCAACTCCCGTTTCTCCCAAAGGTGAGTAGGCCACGATGCTGGTGCCCTATTACGGTATGATAATCCTGGATAGCAGTAGGGGTTAATTGTTTGCACTCCCAGATACTTTCAATTGCTCAAGCGCTCCCACTCCAAATTCATCCACACAAAGCTCTCGCAGAGAAACTTCACAAGTGCGACCCCAAGAGATTCACCGACCCGAACCACAAACCCGAAATAGCCATCGCACTCTCCAAGTTCGAAGTATTCGCCGGCTGGAAACCGCTTTCTGTTATTTCCGTACTCCTCAACATTCCCGCTCTTCGCCAATTTATACCAGAAGGTACCACGTCCTGGACAAACAACACGCTGAGAGAAGTAGTGCGCGGGCTCCTAAAGGCAGACGAAAAGTTGGTGCGGGAAGTCGAAGAAAATCTGAAGCGACATCCGAGGAGCGAGCTGGAGCATGTCCATCAACAGGGTTACATACTAGACTTGCTTCCGCGCCTGCAAGAACAGTACGGGTCTACCGATCCGGGGAGCCTGGTCGCCCTTCTGTGTATGAATTATATGGTTCTTGAGCCTGGAGATGCGCTTTTTATCCCTGTTGATGGGATTCATGCGTATTTGTCTGGTGACATCATTGAGTGCATGGCACGGTCCAACAATGTCTTAAATAGCGGGTTCTATCCGCGGGCTGATCGTGATAACATTGATCTATTCGTCGAGACGTTGGCCTTCTCCTCGCTGTCAGAGAAGGATATCACCCTCCGCCCGAAGCGCTGCGAGGATGGTGCTGAGGGACACACAGTTATCTATGAGCCTCCGATCAGGGAATTTTCCATGCTCAGAGCAGATTTGGGGGGAAACTCGGAAGAGTGTATCCGAGGACAGGAGGGCCCTAGTGTTGCCATCGTAACTCAGGGACGAGGAATCCTAACTGGCGACGGAAGAGAGGTTTCTGTAAATGAAGGGCACATATTCTTTATCGCGCCGGGAACACGTCTGAGGTGGAGAACGAGCACGGGGCTCCAGGTGCACATGGCGACGTCCTGAGTCCGGCGTACTCTTAGAGTCGAAACTTTCTGGGTAGCACGGGCAATAGGATATGAGTTGGACCTGGATAGAACTGCCAAAAATCCTGTGAATGCAGGGAGATTTGGCAGGTAGTCGCTCATAGGATCGAGGTACTCGTGCGCCATATTCAATCCAAGGGAGAAGGTCCCGTGCGGGGTCTGAATTCCATCACTAGATTCTGTCCCTTCCCCCCTTACTCCGGTTTTGATCACACGAACTCGAGCTGATAAGTACCGAAGCCTTTAAAAGGGCAAAGAGTGCACTTTCTTCTCTCTGACTCTCGGTTGCCGCCCGCGAGATATCTCTGCAGCCACTGATCCCGAACAACGACAATCAACACGGAGTAGACATTTGCCATATTCACCGTATCGTCATTCACTGCAGTCCGAAGTGGGAGCTTAAGTATTGCTAAGAACTATGAGAGCGGAGCACGAGATCCATCATCCATCCACCAAAGGGTCGACGCCTCTGGTCGAAAGGCTCCAGAAGCTAGAACCCCGATTGCGCAAGATTGTGGCCATCACCGGCCTACCCGGCTGTTCGATCGGGGTCATTCACAAAGGAGTCGAGGTGTGGAAAATCAACTTGGGCTACCGCGATGTTGAGAAGAAGTTACTACCTGAGTCCGACACCGTATTTCACCTCAACTCGCTGACGAAAAGCGTCACTGCAGCCGCTTTTGCTTGTCTGGTGCAGGATGGCAAAATTACCTGGGAGACACCCATCAGGTCCATCCTTCCAGAGTTTGCCGAGGGATCCGACGAGATGGACCGGGACATCAATGCCATAGACCTACTGTCCATGCGCTCAGGACATCAGTCTCTAGGCTGTCTTCCCTGGCAGGGGAATAACATCGTGCTTCTCGATAAGCGCGATACCATCAAATTCTGGAATTCGACACCTCGCGCGGGAAGTTTTCGGAGCTTCTTCAGTTATAATAACTGGGGATACGGAGTCATTACTCTGGTGATTGAGAAGCTGTCGGGACAACCTCTGCACCAGTTCTTCCAACAGCGGATATTCGACCCGTTGGGCCTAAAGCGTACGAAAATGCAAGACTCCATCCCGTTTGACAACAGCGCTCTCTCGTACGCCATGCTGGAAGATAGATCTCCAGTGCGCGTCCCGGAGCCCACCATTGGCGCCGGAATCTTCACCGAGGGCGGTTCGGGCGTGCTCTCGACCATCGACGACATGCTAGTCCTCTACCGCAAATACCTCGAGGCTATCAAAGACCAGCCCCTGTCAGGCAAAACGACTACGCCCGGTAACCCTTTCGTTCGCTGCACCACCCTTGTGGCGCCTCATAACTTCCTGCCAGCAAAGTCGTCCATTCTTCGGGAGCAGTCGTACGGCTGTGGCTGGATCCGTTGTCAGCTTCCAGGGCCCCTGGGTATGATTGGCATGAATAACGACTTTGGCGAAATGCCTCATGTACTAGAAGGGGGGCCCTCGCATCTATGTCTCTACCACATGGGCATGATGGTTGGCTCTACCTCCAACATCGCTTTGATCCCGGAAACGGACACAGTGGTATCCCTGTTAGCTAACGCGTCGCCGCTCGGAGACGGTACGGATTGGATGTCGCAGATGATCATAGAGGAAATTTTCGACCCGCCGACCAGACACAATTTTGAGGAGTATGCTGAAAAAGTCGCATCCAAAATGTTGAATCATATACCCTCGTTGGGAAGAGAACTTGAGGAAAGACGTGTGTCCGATACGAAGCCCTCTTTCCCACTTGAAGCGTACACGGGGTTGTTTATTCACGACAGGACGCCGTTCAAGATTGACATCCGGCTTGACAAAGAGAAGGACGGCCTAACCATTACATTCATGGGGTACGAAGTCGAGACTTACGAGCTGCGGCATTACCATTATGATACATTTACGTGGTAAGTTTCCCTTCACCCCAGAAAAACAGAACACTTTTCCATGCTTACTTTGAGGTTGTCTACGTCTAGGTGGATATCCTTGAATGAATCCGCCAGGCGAGGTCGATTTTTATGTTTCTATCAAGCCGATACGTTCCTCTTCAACTTTGAGGGGACCGATCGCTTCACTTGGCTCTCTGGAGATATCGGGACGGAGGCATATGTATTTCTCAGAGTTTAATATACTGCGTCGTCGATATATACAATCGAGATTTATACTCGGACATAGGCTTAACCCGACTCCGTGGCTCTGGTGAGGTCATCAGATCGCATTAGAACTTCCTTCTAACATCCCACCCAACCACACCGACCCTCGCAGAGATATAGCAAGCCAAGGCACCAAGGTAAGCAGAGCCAGAAAAGGCAATCAACGCGTTCCATCCCCGCGCACCCCCAAGTCCGAGTAGAGATCCACCGATGGGCAGGCTCGTCAGCGTCCCAAAGCTCGCCATCATAGACGCCGTGGCGAAATACCGACCGTACGCCTGTGACTCGCAAAACTGGCCCAGACAGACAGGGTACAAACCGAGGTTGCTCCCACTCACGAACCCGAAGAAGACGCAAAACACGATCAAGACGGCTCCAGAATGCGCCGAGGGTAGCCAGAGAGCAAAGGCGCTAACAGCGCACATTGCGTTGGTGAGGATGATGATGTTGAACCGGCCGAACTTGTCGGCCAAGAGGCCTGGGAGGAACCGACCTACGACCGAGCCAGCGTTCAGGACGGACAACAACTTGGAGCTGTCGGACTCGGAATGGCCGTGTGCGACCGCGTACGACACGATGTAGGTCAACGGCACGAAGAGGCCCCATTCCATGAAGAAGATGGCCAGTGTAGCCATGGCGAAACCCCGATCTCGAAAGATGGTAAAATCCGGCCAGACCGACTGCACCTTGGGGCGCCCATCAGGACCGAGTTTGGGAGGAAGTCGGCTGCAGATGAATAAGTTGGCCGGCACGCAGAGACCGAGGAAGATGAAGCCGAGGATCCGACAGGCCCAGGGGAAACCCACGCCGTTGTCGCCGAGGAGGAATTGAAGCAGGAGGGGGAAGACGATCCCACCGATACCGCCAGCTGTTGATGCGATGCCGGTGGCTAGACCCCGCCGTTCGTTGAAGAAGTGCGCGACGGCACCGTAGGCTGGGGCATTGAGGAGAGCGCCACCGATGCCACCCAGGACGGAATAGGTTAACATGATCTGGTAGTATGCTATACCTCGGTGAAGTCATTTAGAAGGCGAATTCAAGCAATTTTTGTGGTCTTTTACAATTCGTATATCACTCACACTTTGAAAGACTCAGCAGCATCAAACTCGTAACAGTTACCAAACTTCCAGCGGCAACCAAAGCCCGGGGTCCGTAGGTATCAAAGACAGGCCCGACCTGAACCCCGATGAAGAATACGAGGAAGAGGTACAAGCTGAAAATCCATCCAATGTTCGCATGGCTATAGTTGCTGAGCTGGTTGCGTTGGAAGTACGACTCGAATACGCCGGCCGAGTTAACGAGCCCAAAGATGGCGCCCATGGCGCAAAAGGAGCCGAATACGACGAGCCATGCCTGCAGGCCGCCTTCGGGGTATGTCTCCCGTTCTTCTTCGTGCGTGGCGTCTGCGGAGGGGGAAGAGGGGGTGTCGGCGGAAGCCGACGGTTTCTTGATCTCTACGGCTTCATTTTCGTTCTTAGGATCGCGTGGAAGCTTTGCTTCGGGCTCGTCGGATGAGAGGCGGTTTTTTAGGCAGGTGTCCTCTGCATGACTCGAGGCGATGGTCATGTATATATCAACGCAATTATCTCGTGAGCTCGCGCACGAGTTGAGTAATTTCGCTCACTCGTGTGTTATGGTAAAGATTCGAGGCAAAAACTGGAACAAATCGGAAAAGGTTGGGATGGCGGGATTTCGGAAGCATATGACTGATATTTATAAATCTTCATCCCTTGGCATTCGGCTTATTAGCCAATAAATATGCCATTTCGCGGGCCATTTGCCCAAGTTGGGAATAGGTTCACTCTCGCCATGGTTGCATTCCCGGGTGCCCCCACATCATCGACTCCGCCAAGACAAGGGTTCGGTTTCGGCGTCCTGTAACCGTCCGTACTTCGTAAGTAATACGGAGTCGTATTCCACGTTTAATCCTCAATCTCCACAATGAAGTTCACTTGTGCGTTGCCCACTTGTTGCCAACTCATGTCTCGATACAAATGTCATTCTGACGAACTGGATATCAATCTAACATCACTCATTTTTAACACATCCTCACTGGCACGGACAGTGTGCCTCCCTGTTACTGTGGCCCGATATCCTTCTCTCTCGTCGGAGGTATCCTCATCTCCCTCCTTACCAGCTCGACCTCCAACACATCCTTCGTCAATGACACCCTCCCATCTAAACCATCATCATCGACATCGAAATACAGCGCCCAGTGTCCCGGAGACTCTTCGACGGCACAGAATCCTTCCCACTCGTCAAACGTAACCCGATGGTCAACAGGAGTGCAGCTCCAAGGCCCTAGCTTGTGACCGTCAGACTCGGACTTGGTCCCGTACTTGACCTCATGCGTGTCCTTGTCCACGTATATCCAGTTGAGTATTGGAGGGTTGTCCATGATTGTCGAGACGTAGCCGTCACCTTTGCGACCCCATTTGTGAACGGGGTGAGGAAGATAGTAGCCCGCAAAGGGATGTCCTTCTGGCTTGTCATGATTATCGTCTTCGTGTCGGGTGGCTATCCATAGCTATAAAGGATTAGAAACGAAAGAGAAGAGGTGATCAAGTTGCTTGCCTTGTGGTCTCTTAGGACGACGAGATGACCGTCTACCTCGCCAGCTTGGGGCGACTGGTCGTTGCACGATACAACCAAATTAGTCTTTCGCTCGCGGTGCATCTGCTTCATTTGGTTGCGCTGGGTCATCTGAATAGCTTCGTTTGTCCCAACGATTGCCGGACAGGCAGCAATAGCAGTAAGAATTCCTAAGACCATTTCGACTCTTGTTCAATGGAAATGATGAATGAGCGGTAGGGATAAGAACTTCGGTATAGAGGATTGATTCCCATTTTCGTTTGCCATTGGGTTTCTTTGATCTGGTGTCTAAAAATAGGCTTGAGGAGACCAAGGCAGGGAAAGGAATGAAGTATTGGGGCATAATAACGGTAATGTTGCATCAGTGGCTGATGCCAAAATTCCACCCATCCAACGCTACGGAACTGGTAGGTTAATAGTTGAATGATTTTATGCGTCTTTCCCAACTGTAGATCGGGACTGTGATTTGTAAAGGCAACAAGCAGTTATGGTGATAGTAATGGAGGGCAGCATAGTTCTGCTACTCCAGCGTTCATTACGCAATAGTGAGCGGGAGATCTTCCTCGATCGGGTGGCTCGGTATTGGTGAGCCCGGTTGAGGATAGCAATGGTACCTCGACCAATTTTAGACTGGAGACGAATCAAGACTATCATCGAACGAGCCGCTCCTGATTGCCTAGACACACATTGGCTTGCGTGTCTCGGTGAGTATATTCCTACTTTGGAAAAACATTGATTCTCCGTTTTATGATACTTACTACCAGAATCTATTATCAGTCTACTGTTCACTCCACTTTTGCAAGAAGAGAAGAAGAGCTATTAATTAGGGGCCGAAGCGTTTCTTCTGATGATCTGAGGAGAGATTTACCAGTTGGAGAGACGAAACGAAGAATCTTCAGCTGCATGCCATTCAGGGAATCTCCCTGTTAATGAGTAGAAAACAAAAGAATAAAAAGAAATAAAATACGCCCTAGACCTCCATTCTGGTGCCACGGCCAGGTTCGAGCCCACGGTTACCGTTCTACCGCGACCGTTTAAAGCTTGCTCCTACGTCGTCCCACGCTTCATCTTCTCCCTCCATCTCCAAGCCCTCTCCCCAGTCACTGCCAGGGACTTCCGCCGCATCGCCACCAGGGAACTGTTCCTCGTCTCCTCCGTCTCTCTCCTCCGCAGCGCCACATAAGGCGCCTACACGCAAAAGATTCCAAGACAGCTCGAGCAGATCAAAATCCGGAAGGTCGGAGTCCTCGGACGTGATCGTAAAAGTTTGCCCCGTCATCAGTGGGAGACCACTTGGGCGGAAAAATCGCCTCGAACCCCAGCTTGGCCTGTCCAAGAGACCTTCTTGCTCCAAGATCCGATTGATGCTGCGTCTTGGCAGGCTATCTGACGGCTTAAAGGTTGTTTCCTTCATCCAATGTATTTGAAGAACAATCGAGTCATTGGTCTGGCGAAGGGGTTTGATGGCCATTTTTGCATCGTCGAACCATTTATGTAGCGTTGGTGTGAGGGAAAGAAGATTGCGAGCGGATTCGGCGATGTTTCGGCTTTCGTACGCTTGCGACCATCTCCGGGCTTCGTGAAAGCCCCAGAACATGGTCAGTAGCCTCTGTATATTCTCGAATTTCCGTTTCTCTAAGATGGCGTGGGGGAAAATGTGCGCCGCCTCGGGGTCAGGCGCGCCGGAGAAGATACACCGATTATCGTCCCTGTCTTTGCACTATTAATAGCTTCTAGATCAGCGAATGGCACACGATTCGGCGACTTGGGAGGCATGCCTCTTTTGCAGCGGCAGCACTGCGACCCCCAGCACCAGCGGGCCCGTGTGGAGCTCCGCCTGGAGTCTGCCCGCCGCGTACCACAACTAAAGAAGGGAAAGTGAGTTAATACTGAACATATCTATATCCTAATAGCTTGAGTAGTATGACATACAGTCTTTAATTGCATCCGGGGAGAACTTCAATAGGTCCTCTACCCACACTTGCATGCAGGCTTGAGGGTCTGGACTGGTTTTCAAACTATCCCACCTCGTTCGTAGGTATTGAATGGGAGCAACCATTAAAATTGCGAATGCGGCACAGTTGAGGGGAGAAAGGTGATGATTCGTTTTCTGAAAAGCTTGGACCTCCTCAAACAGATCTCGTCTCATGTCCAAGTCGGTGATGTAGTCCAGCGTCTGTTCCTCTTCGACTTGGTCCTGGGAGAGAGAGCGAAGGGCATCCTCGATCAGACGCGGGTTTCGGCGGTGGGCTTGCTTAACCTCCTTTGAGAAGGGAATCTGTTGGCTCGAAGAGGCCATGTTCATTCTGGAAACTAGGAGGAATGGCTGCGAAGGGGATGGGATAAAGACACTTTCTAGCAGGCGACGGCGATTCCAAAATCGACGGTGATGCTGCCAGGATATCGTAGAATGCCTTGACAGACGATGGAATAGGTGAGGAATTCGCACCAAAGCTTTATTTTTTGACATCTTCTTCATCACATGATCTCAGGGTTCACATTAGATCATCGAGACAGAACGGCAGGTACGACTTGATGACGCGACCTCGAAAGTAAAAACACGTCTTTAAACGCGTATCTAAGGGCTCTCGTGTCTCTCACACGCGTTCACTCAGGATTGGGGGTGGTCTTCTGAGGTAAAGGGGTGAGCAGAGAAGCTGCCACTGAGTAGGACAGCTGAGTATTCTTTCGGTCATAGTTTTAACAACGCGTCCTGTCACTAGAAGATACCGTCTTAGTTCCTAGAAGAAGAGAAGGAGAGCTAATTGGGGTGAAAGCATGGCTTTTTCAGTCGTGATGGAGATGCCCTGACCTCTTAAGAGGACAGCATCGTGTAATCTCCAATAGATCTGTACCAGGGAATAAAGTGCGGAAGCTCCCGAATGTAACATTCCAAGCTACGTGTAGGGCGACGCAATATTTGAGTTCATACCCGTCGGACCCTTAAACCCGGGGAATCTCCTCCGATCTATTAGAATCGCTGACGTCACATCCTGGTAAGGTAGCACCAACGTCTTCCGTGAGGACCCCCTGAGGGGGAGTCAATGGGAACCTGGGTGCTCTGCCACCTTTTCATACTGACGCTATGAGAGGATCACAGTGCCGCAGCTCCGTCATAGCAATGATCTTCAGGGACGCCTAACGAAAGCCTTACGACTCCTCTCCGGTCGTTCCGCCATTGCCCAGTTAGCTGTTCTGGTTTGTGCATCGCAGGGGATTACATGACATCATTCACACCATCACTTTGCAGTTCCGTAACAAGATGAAACTCAATCAACAGGACAAAAGTATCCTCGTACGTGGGTATTTCGTCGTCCGATCAAAATTCGATGCGAACCTTGTAAAGAGATCCTCGCCGATCCTGATGTTAGCTGCAGGATGGGAAGCCGTAGGCGGCTAGATTTCGTCCGTCTACCACTACCACTTGGCGTCATTGACGCGTTGTGGAAGAGTCATACTTGCAATCGACATTGTTCGCATCCGTCCGCCCAGAGAGAGCATAGTGGAGGGTTGTTGCATGGGTTAGAAAGGTCATATTTATTCGATCGATCGAACCCCAGCTTCCGTGCAATGCTTTTTCCATTTAGCATTTGAAACAAATCATAAAGTCAAATTCCGCAATGTCCAGCGACGAAAAGCAACCAGAGAACCTGCAAGTCTCGGAAGCCTCCGACGACGAGACTTCGTCTCAGGGGGCCCAGCCCCAGGCCCTTACGAAGGGCAAGAAGGAAAACGATCCTCCTATGCACTACACCGACCCTGCCGCCGGCAAGCCCGGCCGAGAGCGTGTTCGCAAGACCCGTATCAAGGACCGCGGGAAGTCTGATGCCGAAGAAAGCAGCCTGAAGATAAAGATTGAGTTAGACTTGGAGGCTGAGATCAACCTCTATGCTCGTGTGAAGGGTGATGTCACAATTGGCTTGCTGTGAGTTTTTAGCCTCCCCTTCCCCCAGCCCCCTGTTTTCTCGAAAAATCTATGGTGACACTAGATACACCACAGCAGTTAAGCGGCCTGTTTACTTAGTGGTCTTCGTCTATGGACCTACTATTTGATGGAATTCCTCAAGTTGGTCTCGGTGCGATAGATAATGAGATTGGAATTAGGATACGGGAGGTGAAATATGAATACGGGGATGATATGACGGTCGTCTGTTCTTATATTCATGGGGTCTGTCTTTTCTGAACCGTTTTAGTGTTAGGTCTCCTGTATTAACCTGAATATTACCCTCTTGGTCACTCTTTCTTGTCCCAGGTCAGAGTAGTAAAACTCTTGCATCCGCAGAGATACTGAGCTTGCCAATTCGCTTGCTTCCTTGCATAGGCGTTTTTGATCTGCTGGTTGCCATCGCTGTGTGCAGGTTCAAGTGAACCATGTTTCAGGCGAACATGAGGGGTGTCGATACGCCAATGTTTCCCATATGTCCCATTCCAGTTCTTCTATTAGTAGTCTACGTAGCATCATCGCGGCTTAATGTTTTGCTTCCTGGATATCTAACATGAACACGATCATTTGCGCAAGAGGTCTGCTTTAATAAACAACACTTCAATTAGTCGTGTCAATACCTCATAACATCTGGAACAGCGTCGAACTCAACTCTTTATATTCCTTCTCATGGCCGTTCTTCCTTCACGCTTACCTCGCCCGATCACCGTAGTGCTTAAGTGGAACCATCCACAAGCCACATTGCTACATGTTACATCACATCACCGATTTATATCAGATCATAAAGACTAAACGCCGCGTTGGAAGAGAGGACGCAAGATTGAGTTTCCCAAATTACTTCATTCCGTACACTACTCCGAGAGGGAACTTCTTGTATTGTCCGTTGATAAAAAATTGTGATTGAAACATCTACTTTTCTGGGGATCCTAAGTCATCATGGTACCTACCTTGAACAGGCGCCTCTCAATGGCGTCAAGCTCCATCGGCCTGTCCAAACATACCTTCCATCAGAAAATAGAAGCACTCTCACAGGCAGGGTTTTACGGGATAGAGCTCACCTTCCCAGACCTGCTCGCCTTTGCCCAATCTCACGCGAACCGTGACATCGCCAGTAATGACTATGACGCGCTTTGCGAAGCTGGCCAGCAGTTGGGGGATCTGGTTAGACACCATAACTTGAAGATAATGGTTCTGCAGTCATTCAGAAACTTTGAAGGATGGCCCGAGAGAAGTAAGGAAAGGGAGGAAGCCTTTGCTCGCGCTCGCGGTTGGATCCGCATCATGGATGCCGTGGACACAGATATGCTTCTGGTTGGCTCATCTGATGCAGGGGGCATTGTGTCGTCCATCGAACAGCTTGCTTCGGACCTAGCGCAGCTAGCAGATATGCTGCACGAAAAAGGGTTCAAATTAGCATATGGGAATTTGTGCTGGGCAACGCACGCGTCGACCTGGAAGGAAGCATGGAACCTCATCCTGCAGGCGGACCGGCCTAATATCGGTCTTTGCCTCAACACGTTCCAGACGGCGGGAGGGGAATGGGGTGATCCGAGGACAGGATCTGGTCAAATTGAAATGTCCGGGATATCCTCGCAGACAATCGATACGAGATACAACAAGAGCTTGCAAGAGCTCTCCCGCGAGGTGCCTGCAGATAAGATCTATTTCGTGCAGATCAGCGATGCGTATCGGATCTCACCACCGATGAAGAATGACTTCGATGAATCAGGGCTACCATCACGGGCGGGATGGAGCCGCTCCTACCGGCCGTTACCCTACGACGGAGGGTACCTGCCGATTGCACAGGTAGTGGAGGCGGTCCTAGAAACGGGTCTCAGGGGCTGGTTTAGCATTGAGGTCTTCGATGGGCGGTTCGAAAAGAAGTACGGGGATAACCTAACTAAATTCGCAAAGAAGGCTAAAGACACCTATGAGAAGCTACTACGAGAAGCGAAAGGGAGGAGAACATTGAGCGGCTGAAATAAAAGATCGAGACTGTTTTTATAACCCCCCTACCGTCAGTTCTGATTCCGCGGAACTGAATTTAATCTCTTATTATCTTCTTGACGAGAAAATGGAGCGGTACATACATCGGGCCGGCGAATTTTGGGTTTGGCGATTTATCTTCTGGCCTGAGAGTGTGGTAAAGGGGGGACCCTGTTTAGACGCGGTAAAACCCCCAAGCTTCTGCTAGACAGGATAAAGGGCACACTAATTCGGGGTTGGAGGCTAGGGACAAAGTATGAAATCGTAGGAAGTAGAGAGTGTTGGAGAGAGCGTCGGTCAGAGAGTTTAGCGGAGGGGGTCATCGAGGAAGTGTCATACAAACCTGCGGGTCTCGAGCAAACATTCTACCAACTTACCAAACAGATCATTCTTCTATTTCAAGACCATACCGTAGGCCAAGACACTTGTTACAACGGGATCAATAAATGAAAACGCATCAATTCAGCTAAACTACAACACCTCGAACCTGTACCACCCCGCAAAGTCAACCCCCACGGCCGCAACTTCCCGATCAGCCCGATTCAATCCCCGACCTCCCGAGACGCAGCCCCGAGCCGACGAAGTTTCCAGAAGAGTCAAGTTCGACCACCCGCTTCGTCCGGCGGAAGTACTCCAGGAAACGACAGAAGATCTCCTTCTTCGGGTCTTTGTATGCTCGGCCTGGGAGTGTCCGGAGGTCTCCGACGACGAACAAGGCGCCAATTTGCCGAGTAGCCCCGACGCAGATCCGGTGCTGGTCAGCCACGAAGCACGGACCCGTCTCCGCCGTCACGCACAACACGAAGATGACCACCATGGCCTCTCTACCCTGTAAGGAGTCGGCCGTGTTCACCGCCACGTCCCTGCAGGCGGCGTTGTCGTGGGCGTTGAGTTTCTTCTGGAGCTGGTGCAGGTTCGCCCTGTAGGGCGTAACCACGACCACGTCGGAGCTGGTCAGACCCAGGTTAGCCGTCAGCAAGGCCTCGACGAGGGCGACAGCGACCCTGTTCTGGCCCAAATTGTACCGAGAGCGAGTGTCGTCATCTTGTCGGCATCTCGACTCGGCGCAGTCGAAGAACAAGGGCAGAATCTTGTTCGGTGGGCAAGCCGGCGCCTTGAAGGTGCTTCGCACCCACGTTTCGACCCCCATAAAGAGAGGATTGGCCCTCACGGCAACTTGGCTGGCGTAGGCAAACCCCTCGACATCGGGGTAGATCACATCCCGGGCCAGGTCGAAACAGCCCTCAACAATCCGGAACTGGACGTTGAGTACGAAGCACGGCCAGCCGCTTCGCCTCACCTGCTCCAGTTGGGACACCCTTGCCAGGTCCGAAAATGCATTTTCGCATTTTCCCTTGCGGAATTCGTTGTGAGACATCACCACTGGAGGGAGCTGGCGTGGATCTCCAGCCATGGCGCAGGGGCGACACCCACGGCCCCAGACCAGAAGAGCGTCTGCTTGCCACATTGCGCCAGCTTCATCGAGGATAATACCCTTAGCCACGTTCGAGTTGAACTTTGAGTAGGGATCCTGGCTGGAACAGAAGGGCGTGGTGCACACCGCGTCGGCCATCATGATGATGGTCTTCACCAGGTCTAGGATGAGCTGGGATGCCGCTGGCGTAGAAGACTGGAACTCGTCGTAGGAGATTTCACCCGCTGCAAACTTCCGAAGGCCTTCGTATAGTGCGTCGGCGACGACCTGCTCTCGAAGGTCATGTAGGCACTTGGGATCATCAGCCGTAAGCTGGAAATCACGGGCACCCATGACCTTGAGCAACCACTCGCAGGGCGACAGCTTCAGAGACCACCTCCCAGTACGGTAGGGGTCTACGATGTCCTCACCAGCTCCACAAGACTTGCCCGAGGCTATCTTAACGAAGGCCGAAACCTCTGTTTGAACGGCATATCCCCGAACCACAAGAGGAGGGGAGCAACCAGTCTCGCTAGCAATGGCCATTCCAAGTTGGTGAAGGCGCTCGGCGAAGTTGGTTGTTGCCACGTGCGTCGGGGCGCTGCAATGGATCTTGCCAATGTCAGGATGCGCCATGAACAAGCACGCCGTAAGAGCAAGCATCTCAGTCTTGCCTGATCCAGCGAACCCGATGATGGCAATGATGCCCAAGCGGGTGACCTCGAGGTATCTTGCAAACCGCTCGCGAGCTTCGTCGCTTATCCTCGTGGATATGGCAGTGCGGGTCTTTTCGTCGAGATGGTTGATGAAGTCGACGTGGGGGAGGGTTAGTGGCCGCGAGGCAGTGTCTGGGTCGTCACGACGAGCGTCCGCTCCCTAGGCGTGATCGCTCAACAAGGTTTGGAAACCAGAGCCGGACTGGAAGTCCCGTTTGAGGAGATGCGGGATGTAGTTCTCGAACATCTCGTCCTGCTCCAGGGCTTTGTACACTCCTTCGACCCGACGGCGAGCGATATGCAAGCCGGCATCGAATTTGAGGTAGTATTTGCCATCCACACGATGTTCGAATCTTTTCGCTTCCGAAAAGGTGTCGTACGCCGGGATGGTGATGTTCGTTGCCGCAAAGTTGGTGTCTTTCCTTCGGGGCCGACGTATCCTCAGCGCCAGATCGCAGCGGGTAAACTTCCAGTCCTCAAGGGGCAATTTTCTAGCTTCCCAGAACATTGTGTCCAGAGGTCCTTGCTCCTCATCATCGTCAATCATGTTAGGCGGTGGGGGCGCGAAGGCAAGAGCCAGAGGGGAGTCATGAGACAGAAGCCGTAGAAGGGAGGGAGCGAGCTGGTGGTTGTCCTAGAGTCTAGTTAGCAAACCGAATACAGGAAGAGGTATGATATGGCGACATACATGGATATTGTGCCACACAAGTACGTTAAACTCTGGAGCCGTACTGTCCGGCGTATTACCCGTGCGAAGGAACATGCATCGGACCTCCTTCTCCCTGATCTCCCTAACGTCTTCAGACAAGTAGAACACCTCTTGAACCGCGCCCTGGGATACGCTTATCATGCAATCACGATGTTTGTCAAACTTGTATGTCGCAGCGTAAGGGTGGTCTCTGGTAAACTTGGGCACCTCTTGTCGATACCGGGGCATACACCAGTTACTGCAAACACGTTAGTGGTGAAAGACGAGGAAAGGCGAGATAAACGTACCCTGCGCTGTAGGGGAAGACATCTTGGATGGGATTGGGGAAGTCTTTCGAGAAACTGGTACGACCTTTCGGGAGAAGGAAAAGCCCAGGGAACAGAAGCGTGAACTCTGTCTGCGCACATATGTCCCGTAGTGACATGACGCCTCCCATTAGATGGCCATGGTTGACAATTCCATCATCCTCGTCATTGCCAATGAAAGGAATGCCGAGGCCATCGACAGCAGCTTGCTCGCCATCGTGGAGCTTGAACTTCAACACACACATCTCTGCAGGCTTGGTGGTTGAGCGGGGTGGGAGTGCAGCGAGTAGCTCGTCAGACGCCACATCGGCAGTAGAGGTCCAGGTACCAATGGGCAATCTAATCTCAATGCTGAGAGCCGCGCAGGGGCTGCCATCCACCCTAGCAAACGTAGCAGCGCTGTCCGGTGACCTGGGGAACAGGATTCGGATGCCGACTCCATGCCGCCTGTTCGCCTGGTGCACATGATAGAACTGCGTCCGATGGTTGGCGGGATATCCAATCTTCTGGCCCCCTATGAGACGTAATCCCGAGTCGGTGTCGTAGAGTAGGGCGCATTCTTGCGACTTGGCCTTTTGCCTAGTCATGCTGGGCGGCATATCGGCTAAAAAAGGCGGAGATATGCGTTAGCGCAACAGATCAAATAGCGACGATAGTGAATTGACCAACCTAAATGAATGGTGCAGGTCCTAGTTAGGACTCCGCTTGGTGTTTTGAGCGGGGCGGGAGAGGAAGGGACACGGATCTAGAATAACAGTTAGAGGGGCACTATGTTGATCTTACAGTAGAAGAGACTGACCTGAACGAACACGGCCAGTTGTTGAGCGCGAGCGGTACCAGTAGGTACTCACTCAAACGGGGAGGGGTGGAAGGGACACGGATCTAGAATACTGTAGAAGTTAGAGGGGCACTATTCAAGTTGATCGTACAGTAAAAGAGACTGACCTGAATGAACACGGCCGGTCCTTCGCAGAACACGGCCAGTTGTTGAGCGCGAGCGGTACCAGCTGGTACTCACTCAAACGGGGAGGGGTGGGAGTGTCGAAGAGAGAGGGCAGAACTTGGCCAGTTATCGAGCGCGGGCGGCACCCGTTGGTGCTCACCCAAACAGGAATGGGTGGGAATGTCGTGTCGAAGAGGGAGGGCGGCACCCGATTGTACACTGTCTTTACGTCGCTTGGCAGAAACCCAAGCACGCCGAAGAGTGAGCTGTGAATTCAGCGAATTAGCAACCGGAAGAACGAATACAGCTTCGCACCGCAAATGGGCTGGAAGGAAAAGAGAAGCTGGGTTCGCGTACAGTGATGGGCCAGAGATGTTGGGGGGCGGGAAAGTTCTTGATCGCGAAGAGGGACAGCAGCGACAGGGCCAGGCGAGCTCACGATTTCTGAAAACTGGGAAGAAAGAAACAGAAGAAAACCAATCCCTCGAAAACTGATCATGCCCTGAGCATGAAAAGCACGAGAAGCGCGACGCCGCGAGAATCACGTGGCCATTAACGCGCGAGGTACTAGACGCGACCCGGAGGAAGGTCCGACAGACAGCACCAATCAAATCTTTAATTACATTCAAATAAGGAAGTCACAAAGGAGCACCGTTTCCAAAGCGAGTTAATGTTTGTTGTAAATGTCTCGAGAGTCGACACTCGAATCCCGATCTCGAGCTCCTATTTCGTATCTGACGACTCACGAGCCTAGATAGCCTTCCACTTAAGGACTGAAGCACCCGTTATCGTTTCCTCAACCAGGACAATTTAGACAATCTGATATTATTAATTGACCGCGATATCACAGACTCTGCCAATCCACGGGGGGATCTCATGTCTGGTATGATTCACATTTGTTCTCGTGATTGCCAATGAACGTGAAGCCGAAGCCTTCAACAGATGGCTTTTCACCGTCGTTGAGCTTCAACTTCAAGATGCACATCTTCGCGGCCTTGGTGGTTTCTCAGGCCGGGAGTGCCGCGAGCAGCTTATCCGATACCACCTCCCCGGTGGAGGCCCAAGTGCCAACATGGAGCCTGACCTCAATGATGACATCGATGAGAGACTCGCTTGGCTTACCATCCACGTTGGCGAAGGCAACAGCGCTGCTGGGCAATCTTGGGAACTGGATTCGGATGCCAACAGAAGACCGCCTGTTCGCTTGGTTTGACCAACAGAACTGCGTACGGTGGTTCGTCGGGTATCCGATTTCCTGGCCACCGACGATGCGAACGTTGTTACCATCCTGGAAGACTAGCGCACAGTCGTGCGTGCCAGGCTTAGGCGGCTTTTCTTTTTCTTTATGTCAGACATTTTGTCTCTAAGAAGCGGAGAGATGCGTGAGAAAAACAAAGTACATCGCGGCAAAAGAATTGGCACACCTGAACGAGACGGATTATATATAGATAGAAATATCTGGTCCTCCTGTTAACAATGTCGAAGGCGAGATATGTTGCGGGGGAGAAGAAAAAGAGAGCTCGAGGGATAAGAGAGTAAATATCTCTAGACACGAGAAGAGAGGAAAACCCGTTGGCTCAGGATTCTGCCGGGGGATGCGGAGGGAAGGAGCTTCGGCGAGGGTGTTGTCTCTCCGATTCACATGTGGACCCTGGAGCGTGGCATCAGGAAGGTCCGGGTGATATACTAATTAAATACTTGATTTCTTTCTAAAAAGGGAAGTGACAACAAGACGTGACAACAAGACGTGACAACAAGCAGAGTGCCAAAAGGGAAGTCACTGTCCTTCGTGAATTTTGTGAATGCCCTCGACTCTCGAGTCCACACTCGAAGTCGCTCCTGCCTCGGATCTAATTAGAGCAAAGATCCTTCCCCTTGTGTCCTCAGACTCCCTTTGTCGTTTCCTCTTCGATGATTTCAAATTGGACATTTATTGTCTGATATTGACCCCAAGATCATATGCTCTGCCGACTGAGGGAGGAGCTCATGTCTAGTATGATTCACATTCAAGTTCCATCCGTGAGGGAAGGTGCAGAATCTTACTCATCAATTGATTTCTTCTCCTATAAATACCACTGAAGCATCCCGGCCGCTCTCATTTCTTCTTCTTCTTCTTCCATTTACCAACCCCGAGAGAGGCAGTCCTCGGAAAAGGGCGCGTTTCGTCTGAATGCGCTCACTCCGACCACCTCGCCCTGTGGGATATTACGAGAGCCGTGTCGCAAAAGCTGTGGAGAAAGCAACAATCCTAAGGCGTGTAACCGCAGCCGCACCCGAGCAGTCGGTCGAATACGATAATCATGATCCCTTTGCCTTTGCATACGACGACAACAAGCTTCCCATACAGCCAGGACGCAACTACGAACCGGATGTCGCATCTGTGGCATGGCAATCGAAATGCGCGCCGCGGGCATGGGAGTTGCGGGCGAAGAAACCCGGAACATCTCGAATGTTTTGCCGAGTTCCCATGCGACAGCCAAATGATGGCAATCCGGAAGCTTACACTCGGGAAGAAGCTTTCGCCGTCTGCTGCAAGCTGGTCGATGCTCTTAACAGTATATTGACACCATTTCATGTCCGCAAAATATCAAGAGAGCACGGCCAACCCTGAATCTCCTACTCAACGCGGCCCAATATAGCATATTACCACAAAAGCCTGTCCGAGGCCCCCAAATTACCCTGGTCAGCGATAAAAGGCGAAACACAAGGTGTGTTAGGGCTGTCTTAGGACGTATCGACCCTGCCACCTAGTCTTTTCAGAAGGTGCAGTGTGATATCCAACAGAGCCAAATCCGGAGCGACCCGCCCAAGCCTCGAAACCTGATTATCGCAAGGAATGGGGGCAATATTACAGAAAGCCCTGGTCCAGACGGGTATTTCACGTCTGTCATCCTCCCGGAAATCGACATGGATCAACGTCGGCGCAGCCAACTCCAGCGAGAGGAGAGGTTCCTGTGGTACCTGTGCGGCGTATGGCCTCATGAATGCCCAGTGATGTCTGCCGAGGAAGCGCGGGCACGCATCGCCCGCGAGGTCAAGATGCTCGGATTATGCAACATGACCGAACGCAAGGAGTATGACGGCAAGATTCTCATCATCCTCGAAGAGAAGGTGTCTAGAAGCGCAATCAATCTAAAACTTGGCAAGGCACCGAGCGCCGACATATCACATCCTTTGCCCCAGGTGCGGATCCGATCCCCTGATTACGCGTGGACAAAGCCTGTTGTAGACTGTTGTCTTTCGATGTGGTCGGAGACTAGTGATCTCCTAAAGACCTGCGTGGCCGTGGCCAGGGTTATCGACGAAGTTAATGAGAGAATCCGCACCGGCGCACAATCCCCGGGCCACTGCGACTGCACGCCGAGTATGGCCGCGCCCAGAAGCCATCCGTGCAGCAGATGCGGCATAAATACCCTCTGTTCACTCTTGGCAGTGGATTTAGACGGGTTTCGGGCATGTGAGCAATGCCTGCAAAAGTCGTTTGTCTCTGGAAATCAACGACGAGCCATTCTCAGCCTAGAGCGCGCTGCGAGGCGGGAAAGGCAATCCATCGCACCAGAGAGACTGGCAGACGTCCGATCATTGGTCGCCATTGGCGGGGAATGGATTCCGCGGCAGCTGGAAGGCCAATATCGATACAGGTACCGGAACGCCTACTCGGGCGCGGTGATCCAACAGGTGCCCGAGATGCGTCATCCCACCCAGATCACCTGCGATGCTGTGTTCCCGATTTCCATTGGCAACGAGGGCAAGACAATGATTCACTGGGTTGATAATATTGGCCTGGTGCCACATGCCCTCAACTCGTGCAAGCACGCGCATCTGCCGATCTTCCTGGAAACAGTCGCCGAGTACTGTCGTCAAGTTTGGCCTCTCGTGGAACAATCTCGTGTCGGCGACGTTGGCGCCATCCAAGAAGTTCAACGGCTACAACAGCAATTTATTGCTGCTTGTTCTCGGTTTGCTTACATCCGGAACAAATTGCCGTGGACCATCCGGGCTCGATTGGCGCTGCGGCTTAGTGCAGAGCAATTCCGGTACTACAAGAGGAATGGGTGCCGGAAAGATCCATTCCGGCAGTCCATTACCGGGCTATCGTGGGCATACCAGTTTCGGCCCCTAGGACGGGTGGTCGAAGTCTTGGGTGCGCATCCCTAAGATAATTAAAGGAGATTGAAGCATGGATAGGGGTTCGACTACCAAGACCTGGAGGATGCCCATACTTCGCCCACTCCGCGACAATACCCGAGTTTGGGGACCGACGCCAGGCATATGCGCTGATGGAGGAGCGGCGATCGCGCATGAAAACGGGGTGCAATCTAAAATGGGCTACCGTGGACAGTACCGAGACTTGGAGTGTATTTTTTAATGGAGTCCGGCCAGGACGATTGTCGACGACAACGATCCGGGATGCGACGCCAAGAGGGGGCTTCAGCAGAAGTACATCGTACGAAGGTCTTCGGAAGTTTGCCCCCGGCGACATCTCCTTTTAGCGAGATCGAGCCTTCCACTCCCGAGGGCACGCTAAATGACACGCCCTTCCAGCTTGTGATGGGCCTAATCGAGGACATCGTCATGATGGCCGATGCCGTTTGCACTACGCCATTCAGGTCCAGCGACAAGCTGTCGCCCAACCGGCGGTCCATCCCCGACATACAATTTATCTACCTGGTTTAGCCGGCAGGATCGGTGGTTAGAGTTTTGGGCAAGGTCACCAAGGATTGAGGGATATGAGGAAGGCTGCGTATGTGTCTTCCTTAACTCGGCAAAGATACGTGGTTCGTGGTTCTTCAGGAGGTCGACGCCTTGACAGGTGTTTAACAGCTTACCTGACAGACACGTTACATTCATTTACACCCTATTAAGACGGGTTCGTAAAACAGGATTAGGGAAATATGTAATTCATCTCAATAAAGAGCTTTTCCCCCCCAAAAATGTACGCTGCTTTGAGTGTTATGTTGTGTCTCCTGTGTCCCACTCCTCGGTCCAATCCCTAATGATGACGGCCCTCCTCCTTTTAAGGTTCAAGCCTCGAGAAATCACTTAAAAGCCCTGGGCTTCAACCTGGGCCTGGGCAGCTTCAATCGTAGCAGCGGCGTTAGGATCGACGAAGCCACAACCCTGCTTGCCATTCTGGAACTCGGCGCCAATACCAGAGCAAATGCCAGTTCCCTGACCGTTATTTGCGCAACACCCTTCCTTCGGCGCTGTTCAGCATCTAGATAGGAACGAGAGCGGATTTGGGAGTCCTGTATTTACCTGACAGTCGGCGTCGGCGACGCAGCCGCCGGTGGTGAATTGCTGTCCTTGCCCGTTTCCTACGTTTCTGGCGCCCGCGTTGTTGGGGATGGCCTGTGCGAGGGCGGTGGCGGCGACTACACGTGACGCTTAGTAATGGAAGACCGAAGGACGAAGGAGCCTGGGTCAAAAGGTAACTTACAAGCGAGAGTAGCGAAGAGAGTGATGCGAACCATTTTGAATAGTTAATTAAAAAGAAGGACTCCTGGTCTGTTTGAATGGAAGGGAAAAGACTGAACGACACCGGGCCGTGAGTAGAGTTTAAATGATGGGACGTGATTTTGAGACTGGGCTGGTGAGAAAGAAGAGGCAGACAACTCAACATCGTGGACGACACGGCTCTTTTGTATTCACAGTCGCAAGTGATTATTCATCGGATTCATCAACAGATCGTTGCTTGAACCAGGTCTATCCTTCAACCCAGGGTCAATGGATCCTGTCACAAATTGGGATGAGACCCATCAATGCGTCAACTCTCCCGCCAACATCAGACGCAAGAAGTTACCGCCCGCGCATCAACAACAGGCGAAAACTTGGCAATGGCAGGTAAGAACAAGCGGGGGGATTGCCATATTTCATGCCACGGACTACTTTGCTTCCCCCTGATCTCGGCAACAGTGACCGAGCCCGTCAGATTTTTAATCATTTGGTGCGCAGAACTGTGAAAAGAGCTGCGGCGATCGGCAATCTGATCGTCTTCCCCTGAGTCTCATTTCCCCAGCGTGGCCCGCTAAACTGGCACCCGACCTGGCTTGACGACATCTCGATACATGTCGTGTGTCAGAAGCTGGGGGAGGTTGTTCGCCTGCAATTGAATGCACCTGGCCCTGAGTCTTGCCATCTGGCGCCGATTCTACTGTTGTGTTGAGTGGATCGGTTACATAATTTGGAGCTTGGGACCTTTACCGGATCGGAACAATGAAATGTTCCGAGAGTTGACGTCATTGTACCTGAGACCTCGAATTTCTGTCTGTTTCAGCCAGACTTGTGGGGAGCACTAAAATAGCCACATTCTCGTGTTGCAAGAGCTCTCGGTGGAGACGCCAAGAACAGACGGGGAGTAACTAATCACGTGAGACGTGAGGGATTGCAAGCCTTCCAACTTGCAGCTGGCGACATCGTCTGTTTGGTCGGATCTCGTGTGCGTTGTTCGTACTGTACGTTCAGACCACTTCAGTTGGCCAAGGAAACGCTGCAGCTGGGATCCTTCGAGGAGTGGAGCGCCTCTCGTACATGTAGGGGGCTGTGTAAAAGGGGGGAAACAGAACGCAAAATCGAGAGAGCCTCCGGGTCTTATTTTGGAATTTCTAAATTAATCACCGAAATGGATGTTTCGAGGCGAAACGAAAATGGCATCGCACTGGGCTCGGGATCTCAAAGCCTTTCTCTCATCGGCAAGAACAAGAGGGCAAGCTGGAGACCGTAATGATTCTAGGTAAGTCAGGCTCCCCGCCAGCTGATTACCATTTGACAGCATGTTCACGAATCCTAACCGCCACGCAGAGCTCTGCCGCGTGCCCCGGCTGCGACCGAGAGCACCGATGCTGGACATGATTGCCGTCCAATTCACTTGAGAGTCGGAAGCGAGGGAGGCGGCTATTCGTCTCCCCGGAGGATGGATCCCATCGTAGCTCCCGCGTACTATAATCTAACCCAGTCCCCGCTTTGCCGACTACCTGACGAAGTACTCCTCGACATTATGGAATATCTGGATCTTCCCAGCCTCATGTGTCTTCGCCAGACCTCTCGCATCTTTTTGATCCTCTTTTCTTCCCCCAGCTTTCGAAAATACCACCCTCCGTGGGCCGAGGACGACCTCTCGAGCTGGACGCCGCCGTGCATCCTGTCGTCAGCCGAATGCGAAAGATTCCGGTCTCTCATCGACAAGGACAAATTCTGCCCCGACTGTCTGAATGCACGGATTCAAGGCGACAGGAATTCGAAGCTCAAGACTCTGATGACCCGCATGCTCTACTGCAACACCTGCGAGATGAAACGATCAGCCCTCTTCTTCTCAGCCTCCCAGAGGTTCACGAATTTCACGGGGAGAAAGAAACGCGTCTGCCTCGCCCACGAAGGGTACATGCGCATCTGCCAACATGCAGTTCTCCGATGGGCGGATATCAGGGGATGGATTGACGAGCAGGCGAGAAGTGAACAAAAGTGTTTCCGCGTCACCCTGTGCAGCGATCCGAGCCATTGCTTCACATGCGACAGTGGCGGGTTGGACGAGTACAACGGAATTCACGCCATTCTCGAAAAGGACTTCGGGACGACCACCTTCACAATCACATGGAACGCCCACGTCTCCCTGGAACCGTTCAGGATGCCAACCTTTGAAGAAGAGGGGTTTTCCACGACGCAAATGAGGCAGATTATCGAGACTTTGTACGTCGATGCCGGCCAATACATAATTCCCGAGCCCAATGCGTATTTACCCATTCGAATGTCGGCTTTTGATCCCAACGTCTGCGCCTGCCTTCGATACCGTGGCCGGGAGCGCTTCAATTGGAAGCTTTTGCCCACAACTGACATCGGCTGGAGAAGTTGCAGAGTTGAACCGAGATTGAATCTCTTTACGCCCGGCCCCAAGGGTGTTCCCAGCGGCGCCGCCCGTCCCCCGCACTCCGTCTCGAGCGGGAGCTCCCTTTCTCCGATGCGAAGATTCGGCTTTTCGGTGGAGAGGTGCCAAAAGTGTGTGGAATGTCCGGCTCTGCACATTTCTCACGAGCAGTCGATCGGGTTCCGAATATCCGAGTACGCATCAGCGCATAAGGTGCCGGTGGAGTGGTACGGTCTTTTAGACCCAGATTCGTACGGTTTGAATATGGATGATGCGAGTTGCCACGTCTTGTGGTGTCCAGACGGAAACTGTGAAATCTATTCCCATCGGTCAAACCATCGCAGATTTTCTACCCTGTTCGATCGATATATAGACTTTTTGGAAGGAGATATTTCATAGGCGATGGTGTATACATATGGCAATATATGTGGAAAATCTAGACAACTGTGCCACAGATTGGCTGACAAGTTCTGCCGTCCTTCTGTCTGCTTATCCTTGCTTGGGCGATGCCGCCTTTGCGCAGCTTTAGCACCAGTTCGAAGGTCAATGCTGCAAAATGTTGGGAACCACTTTAGTTCTGGAGAAGAAGTGTAAGCCATTATAGGAGTTTTCTTGAAAAAGTTCGGACTATTCGCCGTCCTGAATATCCGGCTAGACTACTGCCGCCAGGTTTCGCATACGCCATCCTTTATTTGTGTATTTGACCAATGAAAAGAAAACAAGACAAAGGCAACCGAGACTCTCTATACGAGTGGAGATTAGAAATGACTACGCGATGGGAATGCTTCAACCTTATCTACTTGTAATGGCAGACTGAGACGACATGCATGGCAATAACAAGAGTACTACCATCATATGGAATGCCAATCTCGTTTTATTGAAGACCATTTATGGGGAAACTACGCTCACATATGCGTCACGCCCAGTACTTCCCTGGGTATTCGCTCACACTCCAAACTCCATGCAGAGCACCCTCTGCCCACCCCATCAATTTATTCAAGCGCTGGCCTTCCTAGCCTCCAAGTCCTCCCTGCGAGATTTGCTGTTAGGGTCAAAGTAAGGCTTCTCGCCCAACCCAACCGCCCTGTTGCCGAAGCGATCGCCTTGCTCGTCGTAATCGAAAGTAGCAGTGTGGAACACACTGCGGTTATCCCAGATGGCTTCAAACGTGTTAGCTCTCTAGTCATAGAAGTAATTTTGGCATTCTAAGACGTACCGATATCATTGGGGTTTTGCCACTTGAGCCTGACTTGGAGGTCGTGGTTCTTGTGAAGAAGGTCAAGGAACCAGTCGAGGAGCTTCTGGCTCTCCTCCTCAGTGACGCCGTTGATGTGGCTGACGTGACCTCCTACCGGGAAAATACTTTTCCATCCTGTCACGGGGTTGGTCCTCACAACGGGATGGATGGCCTTGAGGATTGAGCCGACGTTCTCGGGGGCACCACGAGGCTTGTCATAGAGCTTGAAGCCGTTACGCTCAGCGGCCGCTGCGAAGCCGGGCTGCTCGAACGTCACGTCAAGGGTCTCGATGAACTTTTGGAAAGGCTCGCTGAGGATATCATAAAGGTCGTACCCGCTAGCCCAAAGGGTGTCTAACGATCATCAGGTTAGTTTATATACAGAGGATCGGCGCAGTAACGATGACCACATACCACCGCCCGTCTTTGGTAGTTGGACGAGGCGAAGAGAACTGTAGTCCGCAGGGACGGGCTCAAAAGCAATGTCACTATGCCACTGCGCACGGGCTTGCCGTTTCGGGCTCGAATGCTCTTTGAAGTTGGCCTTGTAGTACTTCTTTTGCTGAACGGAGCTGATGGTACTGATTTCGAGGTCGTCGCCGCCGAGGATTTCACGCTCGGAGTTCAGAAGGGGGTGGATATGAAGACCATTGGTCTTTGGTCGACCGGTGAGCTCACCGAGTCGGAGGATGAGCTTCTTCTGCAGCTCGTTGGTGAGATTATCTTGAGCGCGGAAGAAGACGACTCCTCGCTCGGAGACTGCGTGGTGTTAGTGGATACGCGTCCCGGCCAAAGGCCGTCAAATGAGGGGTTGTGCTATGGCTTACTGGTAATGGCGAGGTCACGGATAAGCTCATCAGAGTTGGGAGCTTCCAGCCACTCAACGAGATTGGCTTTCGGAAATTCACGGCCAATGACAGTGGTGACATCAAAGTGCTCATACTGGTCGAGGACGCCAGTGGTTCTGAGGGGCTGCGGCTTGCTGGCCTCCTCCTTGAGGGTCTTGACGACCGTGGGGAGGGTGTCGGGGGTCGTCTCAACAGCAGTGGGAGCCATTTTTCCGTTTTTAAGTGTTTCGCTCGCTGGGGATTTCTTGCTCACGTCGGTGATCTGGATCAGGAGTGATGTTGAACTTGCACAAGCAACACACAGGAATCAGGAAGCGGGATCTCCAGCGCAGTTAAAATAGAGCCAGGCACCATCTTCTGTCGGACTTAGGCATGTTTCTAACTCCTGTATCCGTCCACCCAAGAGCACTAATATCTGCGCAAGATGTCGAAATCCCGAGATGCTCCCTCTCCCACTGCCCCGGTTACAGTTACCCGCCGAGAAACTAATCAATGGGGGAGGTTAATGTAACCCCCTCCATTGGCGAGATGGAGGGGTGTAGAGGTATGTTCTCACCCTCATTATTGATGACGCCACCGGCTAGCTAACACACACACGGCGTCGACCCCACACTCTTCCGGGATATCTTCTGCCATCGGTGATGGAAGTGAGGTTAATAATAGATATGTCACCATGTGCCTACCACCTCAAGGTCCCCCTGGCAGGCACACTATTATCAACCGGTTTGTAATGAGATCTGATAAAGGGATCTTGGCGTTGCGAACACGGGGGTATGGCAACTGCAAGTTGATACGAGAGCTGTCACAGAAGGATATTGCATCTATTATCGTCCAAATGAGGGGGGCATTAGGGAGACCTATGACGCTATCGTTCTCTAAGAGACAAAGCATGGCAATCTCCAAATTGAAAGCCACTCGCCGCGATCATTATAACGCGCAGTATCCTGCTCAACTACCAACGTGCAGGTGTAGCTTTGGTTAAATTGTAATCAAGGTTCTCTAGACTGCAGTTGCATTCATCAACAGACTAATCTGATCATTCACCCTTGCCACAGTTCTCCTCGAATTGGGCTCCCAGCTCGGCACATCCTTATCCTACTCTATCTAGCTGGCAAAGCGGAAATCTAACCTCCTACTTCCACCGTCCGCTTCCTTCTCAAGATACTTGAGTTTCTCGTCATCACTGAGCGCCGTCCACTTCTTATCTCGAGACTTGTTCCTCCACACGTAGTACAGTTTAGCAGCTATGTATAGAACGGTGTTGTACGCCACCAATCCCAGCAGAATCGAATTTCCCCGCCGGTACAGAGGAGCGTCGTCGGCTCTGTAAATATTGCTGGCTATCACCTGTGCGATCTGAACAAAGATATTGTACATGGCCGCAGAGACCGTTCGGCCGCGTACACTGTTGGAGTTCCTGGAAGCGAGGCCAACTTGGATGGCGTGTGCTAGAAAATGCAGCGCGTTAGATTTCCGACTCTACGAAGGTACTGCGACTTCCGCAAAACTTACATAGTGGCTTTCCAATGAGGAGAGTGAGGATTCCCCACGTCGTCCACCTCGACTTTATGGGATCGTATGCCACGCGCAGCCAGATCAAGAGCGGAAGACTCCAAATCTGGGGTAGAACAGACCAGAGTAGAAGCTGCTTGGAGCGTTCGGCGACCCATAACAGAGCCATCATTGTAATGACTAAGTTGGTGTTAGCGCTGGAAATGCCAAAGAAAAACCATGATATCTAGAGATATATAAGAAGCTGCTACTTACTTCCGAGGACCTGCGCGGGGATGGTGAGCAAGTTCGTCTGGAAGACATTGAAGCCCATTTGTCTTCATGCATCTGTTAGCATCTTTATAGTTTAATAAGTTGGATTGGATATCACTTTACCTTAGCGACAGAGTGAGGTATTGCCTTGGTGGCATTCCAGGTACCAAGAAAGTGAGACCAATGAGGTATATGGGCCACAGATCGAAATCCAAGATGCTCTTGAACAGCAGCTTGGGGGTAATGGCCTGTCGATTATGCATGCTGCCCTTGGTGGGATCATCCCTGATAATGCGGTTGACCATGATGACCTCCTCCCTGTATCAGACACGTTAATTTTCGACTCATAATTAGGGGAATAGCCGGTCTTTCGGCTGCCTACCTCTCATTGAACCAGCCCTTCTTGCCGCGAAGCCGACTGGCGGTCTGGGTAGGGCTGGGTGGCATCAGAATGAACGAGATCAGGCCGATTACCAAAGTAAAGAGACCCTCGATCAAGAACAACCATCTCCATCCCTCATGCCCGAGAACACCGCGCATCTGGAGCAGACCAGCAGCCGCAAGAGCGGCGATGATGTCGGCGACGGTCATGGACAGCCAGAAAAATCCAAGTCTGAGAGTCATCTCATGGTGTTTATAGAAATATGAGAGATAGAGGATGATCTTCAGAAGTGGTCAGTATGGGTTTAGTCGTAGATACCGTTGCGCGGAAGCTTGACTTACATCGGGGATAAAACCGCCCTGGAGGAGACCTAGCAGGGCACGACAGGCAAGGAACGATGTCCTGCCGGAGAGCTTGAATTGACAGGCGGCAACAATGGACCAGAGCGTCAACTGTGCTGGAATCCAGCGATCCGGACCAAGCTTCTTAGATATAAGCTGAGACGGCAACTCAGCCGACAAGAAGGAGGCAAAGAAGACTGTGTTACCAAGGTTGTAGTCTAGAGAAGGACTAAGTCAGTATGATCTTCACTCACGGGACAGCTGCCGTAGCTCTAAAATTGACCACATCTCACTCACCATTCGTCGTTAGCTTCAAGTCGTCGAGGAGATTGTCAGAGACCGCTTGACCAAGGTTTGCACGATCAATCTCCAGGCCAACAAACATGATACACGCCCATATCATGATCTTCCAGTCAATCTTTCGCACGAGCTTAGTCTCCTCTCCCCAGGTCCATCGCGCAGAGGGATCAAAACGATGGATATTCTCCCTAAAACGAAGTTAGAAAGATTGGCCGAATGGTTGTAAAGGTCAAGATATCCGTACCAGTCCGCACGAGGCTGATACTTTTCTGCCAAGACGGGGTTGTCATAGACACTTGGCTGCGTTGCAATGGCATTTAGATCCTCACTCTTGATCTTCTTCTCCCAGAAAAATCGCCGTGTGTCATTGAACGGCTTCCCGAGGGGAGCGACCTCAACGGTAGAGTCGTTCTTCTTCTCGACTGATTCCGCGTCGGACAAAGAGTCACCGTACTTGATCGATGAGATGACGGTCGCCATATTGGTCCTTTTTTGTGTAAGCCAATAGAGAAAGGAGTAGTCGGCCGTAAGCTATAATAATAGTGACAGATAAAGAAGCTTTAAGGCCGGGAGCACATCCCTCTTTTGTCAGGCCTTGAGACGTAGGAAGGTAGAATCGATAAGATTCTCGTAAGGTAAAATTTGGAAATCTCCCTTATAATAAAGATATATGACTGATATTATCTATTGCCAGCAGCGAAGACAGATTCGGAGGGGAAAGACAAAAGCTCAGGGTCCACACGCATATTCCCGAGAGACAGAAAAGCGTTATCGGCATTCTTTCGATCAATTCAGCCTGCAAAAGTCAACCGAGCCAAAATGGCGGGATCCAGATCCATGGGAAAACCCAGTTCGTGATTTGGGAAGTTGCTCGATGACGCCATTTTTGTCCATACAAATGAAATGCATCTTGTTGTAGCCGAGATGATGGGTTTTGGCGCCGTTGAAGGACGAGCGGCACATACACATGCCTACGGGCCCCGTTTGGAAGATATGCAGATAGAGGTGATATCTAAGATTCGAACATAATGTACCCATGCATGGATAAGTGTTTACAAATAGGACATCCCAGGGGTATGGGTACCGGGAGAGCCTTACGCCCCGTTCTCCCGGAAGAGACTTGGGTGGCAACCTGACGCCAGTGTGCGGGCAGATTGTGTGCTCGAGAGGGAACATGGGCGAAGATGTGTCTTATTAGCGAGACTCGTTCGATTTCTCCCTTTGGAAGAGCCTGTGGTGTGGTGTTGGTCGGGATATTCCTCCAACTCGCGGGCCATCGTGGGGAGGTGTTTACGACAGGTCGCTCGTCAAGGGTCGGGACTAGGGACAGGGACAGGGGAGGGCAGGCAACCCCCACTCCATGCAACCCAGGAATAGTCAACATGGAACTAGTGAGGCACATATCTGTTATCTCCGAATGTGGCATCTTCATTGGAAGAGACGGCAAGGTGGTGACGAGACGCAAAGCCGAGATTGGCGAGCATGGACAGTTGAGCAGGAGTAGGACACCTGAATCCAGTTCTGGGGTCGGAGCATCCTCCGAATCCGGATGGTAAACGGGGTGTTAATACCTAGCGTTGATGGCGTTTGCACCCCGTTCCCGATACGGACCTGCTATGGGGAGTGGATCCAGGGACCCATAGTCGAGAGCTAAGACTCTAGCCTTTATCTTCTACTAAGCTTAGAATGCGGAACCAATGGCAAATGAGGCCGTCGAAAGGTGGTTGGCAGTAATCGAAACGACAGGCGCGTTTATTGGCGAGCACGTCATTCGAACCCCGCCTCTGGGGATTCTGGACCCTTGTTGTTGCTTAATTTCCGGAGTTTAGGACGGAATTTTCAGGACAGACGATTTGGCGATGGGCGCAGCATACAAAGTACAGCAGCCAGCAAATTTTTGATGCAATACGAAGTTCTCCCGGGTGGCGTGACTAAACTGATGCTGGCAGAAGCGGAATGAACTGAAGATCGCGGCTCCTAATTCCGAAAGCGGCCCCACCACACCGCGGTGGGGTTCTCCCGGAGTCGGAGCCGAAAGTGGACGCCGCGACACAAGTCCGTCGTCCGGGTCGGGGGGCTTAAGCCTTTAATTGACTTCTGGCGGTTGCTCTTTATGAGAGCAAGCGCGGAACGGAGAATAAGAGGCCATCACGGGCATTCACATGAGTTTTAAGCTCATTTACTCAATCTCTGTGTCTCTACATGGACGAGGAAGTTCACGGTGAATCGAGGGGATTGTTTGATTGTATGAATATTGTAAGTTGTATAGAAAAAGAATTGTACCGCACTCAAGGAGGAAGTGAATCAAGGAGTTAATTATCCCAATATCTCTTGATTCAGTGCCTCAATTGGGCGGCTAGGAGGCCTCGACGCGGCCTCAAAGGTTAACACTGCATGTGATGAAGCGATGGCCGACTAGAGTATATATTACACCAATGCTTTCTGATTCATTGAAGTCTAAAACCTATTTGTTTTTCTCAGGATCAATGGGCTCGAAACGCTCAGCATCGATTAATATGACGACCCAGACCAGGAAATATTGACCCCACGCCTCTGAATCCACGGCACAAGTTCATCCCACTGAGGCTTTCCTTCGCCGGGAATATCCCATAAAATGTTCGATCGCATTGTCACCAAAGCACGGGATTCCTTGCTACTCCGGTTGCTGGATGGCCGTATTCGGCGCCAGCGCCGACAGCAAAAGGACAAAGGGGCCGACACTGAGCCAGACCTGGAGGAACAACTAGCAGAACGAATTCGCTCGGGAGGGAACCAACCCATGTCAGACATTATGTCTTCCAGTGTCTCAGAGCCCCATGAAAGTCCCCCGGCCGACGAAGAGTCCGGTCTTCCGCGACTACTACATACCTTACGAGGTGTTCCTACCCTCGACAGGCTTCCTCTCGAACTCATACTAGCCATCACAGAACATCTTTGTCGTCAGGACCAAGCAGCGCTGGCACTTGCTAGTCGCACAACCCTGCGAATGCTCGGTCTCGACTCTCTCCGTTTAAACGCCGACGCTAAGTGGAATCTTCTAGAGCGGCTGGAGAGAGATGGAGTCCTACCCGATCATATACTCTGCTCCAGCTGCAAGATCTTCCATCTTCCCAGTCTCCCCAAACATCGGATTCGAACTGGGCAGAAGAAGGGATGCCGGGCCGCTGGGGTTGAGGAACACGCGAGGCTCGCCTCTGAAGCTGTGCCAAGGCAGTACCCATTATCTTTCCCGTGGGGCACATTGGCGGCAATCACAAGATCTTCACGGCACGGATGGAATAACTATCCCCTGGATATGCTTCGTGGTACCATGAAGTATTCCTATAGTTTTCCTGGTGCACCAGATATTGGGGTCGCGGTTCGCCAAGAACCCAAGCTAGTCAACGCGCACCTCATGCTCCGAACGTCTATATACCTATTTTCTAAACCCCAGGAACCCCCAGGGGAACCTGCAAGTGTGGCTAGGGACTTTCAAAACGTATTACAAGGGTACTACCCCCTCTGGAACATATGTCCGCATGCCGAATGGTCCACAATACATCCCCATATGTACCGTGACAGGGCGGAACAGCGAGCAGGTGACACTCTCAAGCGGCATCTATGCCTCTGGTCTCATGAGATGGGATGTATTTCCACGGAGTGTGGGTGGGGAGATGGTCGCATACCTATCAAGAGTTGTCAGTATTGCTTTACAGAATCCATGGTGTGGAAAGTTGAAACACCTGAACTCGGGGGACAATCGGTGGTGTTGATTCGGTGGCAGGATTTTGGTGATGGCAAGAGAGCCAACGATGAAAGATGGAGGGTAAACGTTTCTCCCGGTTATTGGGGAATCCGAGAAGACTGGCGCGTTGGCTCTCTTTTGTCCCAATACGAGGGGGAGGAGTGCACTTTTGGTTCATACGACTACAAATTCTGAGTGCTTGACTGCTGGGGGCACGGGCGAGCTTCGAGCTGGAGTACTTTCCAGCTGGCGGCAGAAAAAAAGGTTGAATTGGTTGAATTCAATGTTGTCTATCCCCGAAGAAGTTTAGAATACCCCAATCGAGGCACGATACCTCACGGGACTAGCTCAGTCCGTCCTCTTACTTCTCCCACCCAAGTTTGCTGCAAGGTACTTCATATGCAAGTCAACCAAGCTCATCAAGTGTGTACCGTAAGTGGAAGGTGCTCTAAGATATTAATCTCATCGGGTCTTCATCGAGTTGCGGAGGAAAGAGGCATTATCCAGGTCCCCTTTTCGCCTTCCTCCGCGCGAACGTGATATTTAACGGGCAGCCACGAAATGCCATGGCTGTAATATTCCTATGTCACGCCTGCCTCGGGCGTGGGTCCCATTTCAATGTGGCGGTATCTGCACATGTGGGAGGCAAATGATGGGAAGGAGAGGGAAAGAGCTGGGTTGAGGCGAGCGTTGGGAGAAGGAGTTACGTCTATGAATTCCGGACTTGAGCAGGAGCTGTCATGACCAACAAATGTTGTGTAGTGTGTAGGTAGGCTGCACTGATCCACCCGTCTTTTCGGTTCCCTTTCAATGGGAGCTTCAATCTTCTACGCAACATTTACCAAAGACAAAATCAAACGCGCCCAATTTCCAGCATTCGCTCTGCTATGTATCGCTGCAAACCCAATTTTGAATCGATGATATCTATCGTTCCGCTCTGCCGTCCCTAATATTGATTCGCCCGTTTGTGATTCCAAGATGCCTCAGTGCTCTTCCACTTCGTCTGCTACCTACTGACCATCAGACAGGAGAACGGTGACCCCGCGGCCAACGAGGAGATCCTCCTAGACACGCTCCCAAAAGCTCCGGGGCCGGGCAAGAAGACGCCGCCCTTAAGACCCCGAGACATCCGATCCGAACTCGTCCGGCTCGAACACAACATTCTCACTTTGTGCTCCTCTGAACCCCGATCACACGAATCCCCGGGCCCCGAACGCTTCCAAAACCCGACAAATTGAGGAAGGCTGCCCGCCATTGTTTCTCCTTCGCGAATCTTTTCCTCCCACCCCGTCCCCTGCCATGACCCCGCCCCCAGATAAACTGTCTGGTGTTTTTCAACGGCTTGGCTTACTGTACTTGCCGGAACCGGCGCGTGTCTCTTCTTCCGGCCTGAGACAACAGGGGCGGACGCTCAGGTAGCAGTAAAGACGAGGATCATCTTAGCAAAAGTTGCTTTGCTTCTATACATCGGCCCAGTTACCCGTCTATCCAGGGTCACCTGAACGCCGTCTTCGACAGCCGACCTGCGGCCGAGCGGTACCCCCAATAGGCAGGGGTTACCACCGGTTTGTATGTTATCTGTTGGGCTTGGTGGTATTTTGTTTGCCGTCTCGGCAGTACTACTTTTCTCCCCGATGGGCAAAGATATCTGGTGGAGCTTACTTGGGCTTATCCCAGTCATCTTTTTCCTCGGGCCAGAGTATTTTTCCCGGCTCTGTGCCCTGTTCTCTACGATGAGAAAGGAGACAACAAAATGACGAGACCTTGCCGGATGCGTGGCTACGACATTCCAATGCCACGCCTATCGCGCCCCGTGGCTAGGAGGAGCGGCACATGTGTGAAGAAAAGGGTGGGAAGGGCAGAAGGGAAAACGTGGGGAGGGAAAGACTGAATTGAGGCTAGCATAGGCGGTATGGAACTATGTATCATGACAACCAGGTGGTAGCGAAACATGCAGGTTCGCCATGAATGGTAGTTTACCTTCAGCAACTGAAAATGAACTCGTTAGAAAGGCCTCACTCAGTACCCCATGTTCAATAAGTCGGGCCAAAGAATGTCTATTGAATTATTGATAATAACAGTAAATAATCATTATTGAAAATTATCTTCTCGTATTCACTTCATCCCCAGCACCCTTCCGCATCTCGATGGTAGGCAAGAATGATCGAATACCTCGCGTTCATCGCTTCTTCGGCCCCAGGGTGCCCGATGGGTCTATTTCTTGCCATAAAATGAGCCCAGAGTCTCTCCAATAGCATGCGTGGACTTTCCCCATGTCTCTGTCAACAATGTCGTTCGAGATTACCGCCGCTGGTTAGCGGCAGCGGTAGAGCACGCCATCGGCCCCACCTTTGGAGACTTCGGGCCCCTGTTCCCAACTTCGAATGCTCTCCGAGTTGACGGCCGACACCGGTGAACAAGTCCTTGTTCTAATGGGAATGCCATTCAAGTATCGAAGTCTGTGCCTTTATCTAGATTATTCGACAGCCGGGGTAGTGGTGCAATTTTGAATGAACTCTGAATCAATATCATCACTTTGCGTTTCCTTTCTCGAGAGACGAAAGGTCCAAGACGATACTCACATTCAATCCAGCTATAATGATATGTGTAGTTTGCAAAACTCTTTCAGCAACCCACACGACTCCTGGGAATGTTCCATGAGGTAGGATTCTGTGGTCGTGGAGAGCTCCACCCAACATCAAGGGAAACTACGATTGATTATATATTCCAATCTCACTTTCGCATCCATCCATGTCCACGAGACTCTCCACGGAAGGAATTAACTTAAATTGTGTTTGTCGGAACCGCCTGACCCGTTCTGTCGGTAACGTGTCTCACGTCGGCTCTAAAATATCCGGTAGACACCACCTTTCCGATGATCATCGGGCCCCGTAGATCCTGCCGTCGTCAAAGCCTTGAGAAAGAGGGGTGTGTCCTTAACGCCAAGGGGGATGGCAGGATAACGCAAGGCGCGACGGATTTAGTGATCATGTGTGTTTGCTTCTTCAAGGCGCCTGGCTGACGAGGGGAAGGTAACCGTCTGAACGCGGAGAGTTTGACCTTTGCATGTGGCTATTCAGAATACAGCATCTCCTCGGCGGGTCTGTAGATTCAAGGACAGAACCGATGAATTGGGACGGGTGGAAGGATGGCAGGATGGGATGGCTCCGCCAGTCTGGGTCCCCTAGGATACTTGGTGTGTTAAAACTCCCTTGTCCCAGCGAGAGTGGCTTGAAATTCAGTAATGGGATATATGTAACAATCCAGTATTTCTCGACCAACCCTGAGGAGAGGAAGGCAAGAGCGCCCCACCATCAGCCAAACACTAAGACTATCCCGGAAGAAGCACCCTGGCTCCGTTCGACATGTCGCTCTTCAGCATTGACGCTTTGTTGCATATGGGCACCTTCTATAAAATCTACTGGAACCTTGAGGGGGAGCTCCAAGCACGACCTTGATCCCACTTCACGCCTCATCACCCAGTGATTCATTCACTCCTCTCCTTGAGCTAATCTGCCATGGCAATCAAATCTACACTCCTCTCATGTGGCCTGCTGCTGCTGCAGGCCACCATCCCTTCACTTTTGCCGGGTGTCAGTGCCCAGAGCGACCAGATCCTCCTGGGCCAGGAAGGATCAACGTTCGGTCCGAGTGGAAAGGGACCCAACATCGTTTTCATCCTGACTGATGACCAGGACTTACACATGGACTCCTTAGACTACTTGCCTCTCATCAAGAAGCACCTCACTGATCAAGGCACACTCTTCAAGAAGCACTTTTGCACGACAGCAATTTGCTGTCCTGCTCGAGTGACCCTCTGGACTGGAAAGCTTGCTCATAATACCAATGTTACCGACGTTTCGCCTCCTCACGGTAGGTATTTGGTCTTCTCCTCGCCCTATTCTTTAAATCTTTCAATTTAAAAGAATATCAATCGACTCACCCCTCTTACAGGCGGATTCCCCAAGTTCGTCGCGCAGGGTCTCAATGACCACTACTTGCCCACCTTCCTCCAAGATCAGGGATATGCGACGTATTATACGGGCAAGCTCTTCAATGCTCACGACGTCAACAACTACAACAACCCGTATCCAGCGGCATGGACTGGCTCCGACTTCCTTCTCGATCCGTTCACGTATATGTACCTTAATGCCACCTTCCAGCGCAACCAGGATCCGCCGGTGAGCTACGAAGGCCAATACAGCACGGATGTCCTTGCCGGCAAAGCTCTGGGCTTTCTAGATGAGGCCGTGGCTGGCGGCAAGCCGTTCTTCCTCGGAGTAAGTAGAGTAACTTATCAAAGCGTAAAAGAGTCTAGTTATTTAGAACAAGTACTGAATTTTAAACTTTACAGATCGCACCTGTAGCGCCTCATTCAAATGTTAATTTGGGCAAGTTGGTCAACGAAAACGACTCCTTCTCTCTTCCCATTGACCAACCCGATGTATCTGCCTACTTTTCACCACCCATTCCCGCTGAGCGCCACGCTCACTTGTTCCCTGACGCCGTCGTTCCCCGAAGGGCCAACTTCAATCCCGACTTCCCGTCCGGCGCCAACTGGATCTATCAGCAGCCAAAGCAGAGCCCGGAGAACGTCGCCTTCAACGACCACTACTACCGTAGTCGATTGAGGGCTCTCCAAGCCGTTGACGAGCTCGTCGACTCCGTCGTCGAGAAGCTTGACGCCCACGGTATCTTGGACGATACGTACATCTTTTACACAACTGATAATGGCTTCCATATTGGCTACCACCGGCTGCAGCCCGGAAAGGAGTGCGGCTTCGAAGAAGACATTAACATTCCTTTAATCGTCCGCGGACCCGGAGTCCCCAAGGGCCAAGTATCCGAGATTGTGACTCAGCACGCCGATTTGACGCCCACCATCGTCAAACTAGCCCAAGGACCCTCCCGTGCCGACTTTGACGGCATCCCCATCCCCCTTACGGAGGAGGGACTTACTGACGCAGCCAAGACTCGCCATGATCACATTGGGGTAGAATTCTGGGGAATTGCTGCCGCGGAAGGCAAATTCGGCTTCTTTGGGCGTAACCAATCCCTCGTCCTGAACAACACATACAAGGCGATTCGTATCGTGTCGGAGGAGTATAATCTGTACTACTCTGTGTGGTGCACGAACGAGCATGAGCTCTATGACTTGAATGTAAGTTTTTGCACTGTCCTGACTAAGCACCTGAGGAACAGGAAAGCTAATCCTCGAAGACGGATCCCGAACAAATACAAAACCTGCTCAGGCCTGACTCCAAGGTGACAACTCTCTTGGGCTTGCCAATCGGCAAAATCGTAGCTCGCCTCGACTCGCTACTCCTCGTCACCAAGTCCTGCAAGGGCATCACCTGCTCCAAGCCGTGGGATGCGCTTCACCCGCAGGGCAACGTCGCGTCTCTCTGGGACGCGCTTTCGCCGCGCTTTGATACCTTTTACGAGAAGCAGCAGGCGAAGGTCTCTTACTCTCGTTGTGAGTTGGGATATATTGTTGAATCCGAGGGACCGCAGTTTGAGAAAGATGGCCTTGTTTATAGGAGGGGTTCGTCTTGGAGTGACTGGGTGTAAGCGGTGAGGAGGGAGGGCGATGAAACCTCTTTCTCGTCCCGGAATGGTCGAAGAAGGAAACTTGGCGTAAAATCCCGTTTGGCTCGGGACTGTTTTTACGTCTTGTTGCGGCTTCGGGAGAGTGATGACCGAGATCAAAGACGAATGAAAATGATCTGTCAAATACTTGTTTCATAGTTCTTCGTTATATAAATTGAAAGCGTTTCAGCATGGGCGCTTGATTCCTTCTATCTCTCTGCTTTCTTGGATTCAAAAGACCTTTTTCAAAGAACCAACCATCAAGCCAAGATATACAACAAAATGCAGCCGCTTTCAGAATCACAATTTGATCCGTCCATCAAGGGATCTCTTCCATCAGGTTTTCATTGGGGCTATGCGACCTCCGCAGTCCAGATCGAAGGCGCCTGGAACCAAGGAGGCAAAGGCCAATCGATATGGGACACGTTTTGTCACAGCCCCGGACGTATCAAGGACAACAGCACCGCTGACGATGCATGTTTATCGTACCAGCTCCATGAGCAAGACATCGCTCGCATGAAGGAATACGGAGTCACTGCCTACCGCTTCTCCCTGTCTTGGTCGCGCATCATCCCGCTCGGTGGAAAGGACGACCCAGTAAATGAAGAAGGAATCGCATTCTACAATACGCTCATAGACACACTCTTGCGGAACGGAATCACCCCGTTCGTTACACTATTCCATTGGGATTTACCCAGCAGCCTATACGAGCGATATCGTGGCATGCTTGATCAAGCTCAATACGCACCAGACTTTGTTCGTTATGCCCAAGTCTGTTTCGAGCGCTTCGGAGACAGGGTGAAGCACTGGATCACGTACAATGAGCCGGCATTGGTTGCTCGTGCGGGACACGGCGAAGGCAGACACGCTCCCGGGCATATAAGCCCAACGGAGCCCTTCATCGTCGCACATACCCAGCTAGTATCCCACGGCCACGTGTGTGCAATGTATAAACGTGAATTTCAGCCAACGCAAAACGGCCACATTATGATCACGCTAGACGGCGGCTGGTCTGAGCCCTGGGATGCAGATGACCCGCGAGACGTCGAAGCCGCGCAACGAGCAACCGAATTCGAAATTGCATGGTTCGCCGACCCGCTCTTCGGAAGTGGCGAATGCGATTACCCGGCATCAATGAGAGCTCAGCTCGGCGACTGCCTGCCTCATTTTACACCAGAGGAAAAAATATTAGTGCGAGGAAGCTCGGAATTCTATGGGATGAACTCGTACACCTCCTACTTCGTAAAACACCGCAACGAATCCCCCGAGGAGGGAGATTTCCGCGGCAATGTTATCAGGCTTGACCAGAACAAGGCGGGAGTTGAGCGAGGGATCGAGAGCGATACGCCCTGGCTGCGGACTGCCCCGTGGGGTTGGGCAAACCTGCTACGATGGATCTGGAACCGCTATCACGTCCCTATCTACATTACGGAGAATGGAACTACGGCCAAAGGGGAGCTTGAGTTTCGACCAAGGAGCCCGGACGACATCCTCGAGGATCCCCACCGCATAGAATTTTACCGATCTTATCTCGCCGAGGTGGCCAAGGCGTGTCAAGAAGGAATTATCATCAAATCGTATTTCGCCTGGTCTTTGCTGGACAATTGGGAATGGGCTCTAGGGTACACGGCCAGATTCGGGGTCACTTGGGTGGATTTTGACAGCCCCGAGAAGACTCGCCATGCAAAGCGCTCGGCATATTTCCTGAAAGATTTCTTTCAGCATTTGAAAAGGTCTTGAGGGCCCAACGGCTGTCGTAGCTGGGACTTACGCTTGACACTTTCCCTAGCCTTGAGCTTCAATTAATACATGACTGGTTATATGAATAGACTGATATGCAGATATCCCGAAACCTTCTCGTCCCCTTCATCGCCCCGAGATTGGACTTCGCGTGTCTCCCCTCCCCTCTATGTTCCACCCCCAGACATCGGCATGTCGAACCAGATATGTCGCCAACTGCCGTGAAGATGACGTGGGGGTTATCTCCGGAGGCCATTGACTTCCCGTCCATGATCTACCGCATGGAAGTAGGTGGGCAAGGACAACGAAGGCATGCTGCTGTGCTTCCCCAACGCACCAATGCAGGCCGCACGCCCGCGACCAACAATAAACTGAATTGTAATCAATACTACGCCGAACAATTACAAATCCATTCTCAAGAAGATGATAATATGTGATCAGAAAATCACGCCTGCCGTGCCGCCCAAGACGACATTTCGGACGAGAGTGGGGCCAAGATATGTCGCCATATTGCGCAACCGGCGCGATGGACCGGACCCCGGTTCGCCAGGATAAGGATTGCATTCGCCAAGACATGCACCGGGATTTGCGAGGCCGAGGCAGGGAAATCCAATGCTACGGGACGAGAGGAGCCGCTGTTGCTGGATACGACTAGTCTTGTTCACTGGGACACTGACTCACTTAGAATGGAGCTATGAAGGAAATCTGATTCCGCTCCTCTATATCCTGGCAAGCCAATTGAACTAATTGAACAAGGGTGATGGTGCTAGAGAGTCCGCATTTCGGATCCCACCAACCAGTTGGAGTTGATGACTACGAAGCACCGGTCAGCGGGACCCAGCAATGAGAGTCATTCCTGTCGCCTAGTCAAGGTCTGCTCCCCTACCTGGCATGCCCCCCCTAGCGTCCTCCCAATGTGCTGATTTTTGGAATTTCTCGCCTTCTCTTCCCTTGCTGCATTGTGAATCGGACATCTGCTACCGAGTGACAACATGGGAGAGCGTAGAGGGAGTCTCAACCCTCAACCGGGGCCGAGTGCAACAGGCGCAGGTGAGAGGACGCCTCTTCTGCCTTCCTATGAGACCCGTAATCGCCTATGGTCTTTCCGGTCATCTTCATCAAGTGAGAGCTCCCTTACAATATCCAGCCTCGACAGCTCGGAAAGCAGTGCCTTCATCCCCTGGTACTGGGCCGAATCTAACGACGTTGAAGTCACACCGCCTACTCCCGATACAGACCCCCCGGAGTATCCTGAAGACGATGAGGCCCTCCAGAAGGATGATGGGACGAGTCTGAACCCTATCAAGAAGGTTATTGCCATCTTGATACTGGGAATGTTTACTGCGAACGCCGATGGGTCTCTGGTGCTTGCGACGCACTCGACAATAGCGTCCGAGTTTAATAACTTGGAGGCGTCGAGCTGGCTTCTCACCTCGTTCGCTCTTGCTGGCGCGTCATGCCAGAGCATCGTCAGTCATACTCATTTTAAACACCTTTATGAACTATGGGCCGAACCCTACAGGGACATATCACTAACAAGGTCCAAATAGAGCGGCCAGCTCAGCGACATCTTTGGGCGCCGGCCAATTTTGGCTCTGTCGTATACGCTATTTGCCGTGGGTTGGTAAGTATTTCCCACCTAGTCTGAATGGAACGCGGCAGCTCGCTAATAGTTGCATTTAAGTGCTCTTGTCGGCGTTGGTCAGTCCATGTGGCAAGTGGTCTTGGGGCGATCAATCTCGGGTGCAGGGGGCTCTGCCATGGGTGTAGTAGCAGCACTTCTGATTTCAGGTTTGTGGTTCCCATCTATACATCCGTGTTTCGCTTGCACCCTCTTCTAACTTGAGACTAGATCTTGTCCCACTTCGAGATGTCGCAGCATGGCAGGCCGGGCTCAACCTCGCCGCCACTACTGGTCGAAGTCTGGGAGGACCCGTAGGCGGATTTCTCGCCGACACGATAGGCTGGCGGTGGTCCTTTACCGGACAGGCGCCAATCTTTCTCCTCGCCACCTTGCTGAGTTGGTTGTTCCTCCCACGGGGGCATCCAACCGTCCATGTGAAGGACATCGTTGAAGACACCGTGCCCATTGATGATGATTCAGAAGCCAATGCCATAAACGGCGACCTTCCCCCTTCAACAGTTCCACAACAGGAGAGTCGCAGTTCATTGGCACGGATCGATTTCCTCGGTGCATTCCTCCTAGCCATCACGATCCTAGCTATCTTGATCCCGCTTGATATTGGCGGGAAATCATACGCCTGGACGCATCCTGTCATCCTCCTCATTTTCACTACGTCTCTCATCGCCGGCTTACTTTTCTTTGCGGTGGAATCGAAATGGGCTCCTGAGCCAGTTTTCCCCTTGGAGCTGTTGCAGAAGCGTAGTATAGTGAACTCTTACTTTATCACCGGCGCAATGACCGCGGCACAGTTGGGTCTGTCTTCTTCACCTTGGGGCCGACGCCACCCCAAACGAGCCTGCCACCTACTAACGAACGAGTATTAGGCCTCATGTTCTCGGTTCCGATCTACTTTCAAGTCACCCAGAGGGTGTCGAACGCCAAAGCTGGGGCACATCTTTTCCCAGCTGTAATGGGCAACGCTCTAGGAGCAATCGTCGCAGGAATAATAATCAAGAAAACCGGACATTATAAAAAAACCCTCATGATGGGAACATTCGCGTCGGCATTCTCCTACTTTCTCCTGTTCGTACGCTGGCACGGCGACACCAATACCCTCGAATCCCTGTACATCATCCCTAGCGGGTTCGGCATGGGCATCACCCAGACCGCCATCTTCACGGCCATTCAAGCCTCCGTCGACCACAGGAAGAAGGCGCCCGCGATAGCTGGGATGTACCTCACTTCGCAGCTCGGCATGATTCTGGGACTGGCGATAGTCAGTGCCGTTGTGATGGAGACAGTGCGGTGGAAATTGGACAAGCTGCTCATCTCGCTGGATATTTCCGAGGCTGTCCGAGCCGAGGTAGGAAGTTCCCACATGCCGCGGTTACGTATGACAGAAAATGCTCACATCCCCTCTTCTTTAGATTATCGAAAACGCGGCCTCGAATATTGATTACCTTGATCAAGTTTCCGGGGGCGTTTATGATGCCATCGTCGAGTCTTACATTCTCGGTCTCGAATGGTCACATTTAGTTTCCATCGGTTCCTCGTTGTTTGCCTTTTCCGCGTCGGCGTTCCTAAGGGAAGAAAAGCTCTAGGTTGAGTTAAGAATGGACTTTTAAAACAAGACAAGAAACAAAAAAAGGGCGGGCATAGAAAAAAAAAAAAAAAAGAAAAAGAAAAAAAGGGGTTGCGAAAAGGGGCGGACGTTCTGGATTATCAGCAGGAAGGTATCTTGAAAGTGATCCTCATGGGCCATGGCTCTCAAGATAGCCGAGATCTGTAGACCCCAAGAAATCAATTCATGTACGTATTTGACAGTTATATGCGTGGCTTAAATGTGGTTTCTCTGTTCTTGGCCGAATCATTCCCGCGTCCACCTTTTTTGGCGATTTCCAGAACGAGCCAAGCCCCGATAGCCTCTGATAACCCCCTCACCTCTTCCAACGTATTTCCCGCGTGAAGACAAACTCTCACGCGTTCCTTTCCAAGGGGAACAGTAGGCGCAACTATAGGGCGTATCATGTAGCCGCGATCCTGGCAATACTTGGCTAGACTTCGCGGACGGGATGTCAGCACAGGAATAATGGGCGACTCGGGTTTCCTGGGGTTGACGTAGAGGATCCTTGGGTCGGGGTTATAGCGTTCGCAGAGGGACAGAAGTAATGTGTGAGCTTGCTCGACTATATCCCACAGGTGTTTGAGACGAGGCTCAGCTTTGCCGCTCATGAGATACTGGTACGTCGTTTCGATGCTGGCGAGGGTAGTAAAGGGAGGAGCAGTGGTGTAGATGAAGGTGCGAGCGTAATTAACCAGGTACTCTCTCGTGGCAGGGGAACATAGCACAATTGCTGCAAGTTGATGTGGACAGTTAGTTACGTTCCAATATCAGAGGATAAGGGCGACACTTCATAGCTCCGAACTTGAACTTACCCCCTGCACAACTCATCGCCTTGCCGAATGTGTGCAACCGCGCCCAGACCCTGTCCTCAAGCCCCAGGGAGCAAACTAGCCCTCGACCTCGTTCACCGATAATACCCGTCGAATGTGCTTCATCGACGATGATGTATCCGTTGCCTTTGGGAAGTAGCTTTTCGACACACTCGACAATTTCTTTTAGGGGGGTGACGTCTCCATCCATGCTGTACACGCCCTCTACCCCAATAAAGACGTTTCTTGTCCCAGATCTGATACCCTCGTTCTCTCGCACCAGAGTGTCTAGAATGCTTGATAAGGCTAAGTTGGTGGTTGACGATGCCGCCTGTACACCACCCGCCGTCTCTCGTGGGTAGGCAGTATTATGCAAGAAGGGGATTCTCTTCGATGCGCGACTCAACTTCATTCCGTCATGCACACTGGCGTGTATCAACTCATCATAGACAATGACATCTCCTGGCTGAGGAGCAGAGCTAAAGAGACCAACGTTCGCATCGAACCCCGAACTGAACAAGAGACCGGCCTTTGCCCCGTGGAACGCAGCTATCTCACGCTCCAGTGACTCCGAAAGAGATGAGTTTCCATCCAGTAGGCGCGATCCTCCCGATCCAAGCAAGGATGCAGACTGGCCATGACTGCTGGATGCCGTGGCGGCGTCGACTTCGCTTTGTAGCCTTTGGAGATATTCGCGCTGGACATCCTCGGAGGTTGACAGGGAGAGATATGAGTTTGACGAAAAGTCCGCGGAATTGGGGGGAACCACCGTAAGACGGCGAAGTCGGCTCTTCGCCTCCCGGCGTGCCAGGATCTCTTGAAAGGTCTTCTCCAGCCCTTTCACTTGAGACATGGTTGGAAAATAGGTTGAGGCTCTATTGCTGACCCTGTTCCGAGGTAGGCGGGGGTAAAATAAGCTTTCAATATTCCTATCCGCGGCTCAGGTCGGTCTGGAAAGAAACGGTGGTAAAGCGTAAAGCGTGGGGGAGAAACGAGCTAGTCTGAAAGCGGATTAATGTGACTCGACGCAGGAACAGAGATTTTAATGCCGATTTAACCCCGCCCCCGTTTCACTTAACCCGTGGAGAGCGAACTGCTTCTCTCCATCGTTCGTCAACTGAACAATGCTTTTTGTTCGGGGTGCACAACCGGACGGAGGACGCACTGACGTATAGCGAGAATGGCCCCCGTTGGAGTGCTTTTGTGGCGCTCCCTCAAGGCTTACCAGGTCTTTGGTGCCAACACCGACGTTGGCAAAACTATCTTTACTACATTGCTGTGCAATGCCAGCCGGAGATTCCGACCTGATGAACAAATCTCTTTTCTAAAGCCGGTTTCCACCGGTTCAGTAGACGAGGCGGATGACGGGTGTAAGCGCCGCCATCTCATGTTGCCCCGTCTCTGAACATTCATGCGACTGACAATGACCGTGCTAGAAGAACTTCTTTCCTTTTTACCAATGTTCGTGATGATAATAATTACGCTCTTCTCCCTAACTTGACCTAGCCATATCAAGAAGTTTGCTTCGCAGACCTCGACAAAAACCCTATTTCAGTTTGAAGATCCCGTTAGTCCCCATCTTGCCGCTACGATATCAAAGCAGGTATCTTAACCCCCCAGATGCCCCTCTCCTCTCTGAATCGCACCCCTTCTCATTCTCTCCCGTAGTCCACTCCCGCCGATCATGTCGTCCTCGAGACAATCCGCCATCATGCCGCAAGTCGCGCCTTAGACGGCCCTGGCTGGTTATTCCTCGAAACAGCCGGCGGTGTTCATTCCCCGGGTCCTTCAGGAACCACACAAGCCGATCTCTACGCGCCACTTCGGTTACCCGTCGTCCTCATTGGCGACTCCAAGCTCGGAGGTATTTCGCAAACCATCTCAGCATTCGAGTCGTTACGGATCCGCGGCTACGACATCGAATCTGTATTGCTTTTTGAGAACGGCCACTACGACAACCATTCGTATCTTTCTGAGTACTTTGCCGGCGAACATGGAATCTCCGTGGAGGCTTTCCTACCTCCACCGCTCAGAGTATCGGATAGGGATTCAGACATCGCTGCTATGATCGAGTACTACGAGAAAGCAAGCTCTACGGAAAAGGCCCGCTCCGTCGTCGACAATCTCGAAAGCCGTCACAAAGACCGGATCTCACGCATCGAGGCGATGGCGAGCGAGGCTTACGACACGATATGGTACCCGTTTACTCAACACGGTCGTCTCTCGCCTTCGCGCATTACAACAATAACCTCCGCCCATGGCGACTACTTCCAGACTCTTGTACCCAACAGCTCCAGTAACCCGTCAAGCCAGTCGTTATTGCAACCTACATTCGATGGTTCCGCTTCTTGGTGGACGCAAGGCCTCGGTCACGCCAATCCAAAGCTCACGCTTGCAGCCTCGTACGCCGCCGGTCGGTACGGACACGTCATGTTTGCCGAAACGATCCACGAACCCGCGCTCGAGCTCGCGAAAACGCTTCTGGAGACCATGAACAATCCCAGGTTCTCGAGGGTCTTTTACTCGGATAACGGAAGTACGGGCATGGAAGTCGCCGTGAAGATGGCGCTACGAGCCACGCGAGAGAGGTACAACTTGGAATCTGGCGACAAACTCCACGTCCTTGGTTTGAGGGGTAGCTATCATGGTGACACGATGGGCGCCATGGATTCGACTGAGCCTTCTGTGTATAACGAAAAGGTGGAGTGGTACGACGGAAAGGGTTATTGGTTCGACTATCCCACCGTGATATGTGACAATGGTAGCTGGCAGGTGCAAGTGCCGAGGTCCCTCGAAGGACATCTGGGAGCAACCCAGGAGTATGGCTCAATGTCGGAGATCTTTGACATTAATCGACGAAGGCAGTCTGAAGTATACCGAAGCTATGAGAGCTACATCCGTACCTCTCTGGAGAGGCTGGTTAGAGAGGGACGTAGATTTGGTGCGCTCGTGATGGAGCCATTGGTTCTTGGCGCCGGGGGGATGATTATGGTGTAAGTAATGCTTCCAAGTTCTCCTGCCATCTCCTCCGCACTCCCAGACTTACGCCACGTTCGATCCAGGGATCCTCTCTTCCAACGGGCATTCGTCGACGTGGTTCGAAACTCGGCCGATATCTTCAGCGAAGGAGGTCCGACTTCCGAGGACCCAGACCCTCAAGCCTGGACGGGCCTTCCAGTCATCTTCGACGAAGTTTTCACGGGCCTCACTCGCCTTGGTCCGCTCTCGAGCTCCTCGTTTCTCGGTGTCGGCCCCGATATATCTGTCCACGCTAAGCTATTGACCGGTGGATTGGTCCCTCTATGCGCTACGCTCGCCTCGACAAGCATTTTCAAGGCATTCGAGAGCACTGACAAGACCGACGCGCTTCTCCACGGCCATAGTTATACCGCGCATCCTATCGGGTGTCAGGTCGCACTGGAGTCCGTAAAAGAGCTGCGGAGGATCGAAGAGGGGAGTACCTGGGACTGGGCGAAGCAATCATGGAAGGAGGCCTCGGGGCAAGCCTCCAAGAAAGGACAGAGTGGACATCGCCAACCGGTGGTCTGGTCCGCCTGGTCCGAGAGTTTTGTCAGCGAGGTTTCCAAGCAACCTCAAGTATCTGGAGTTTGGGCCCTCGGCTCGGTGCTCGCGATATACATGAAGGATGCCGTATCGGGATATACCAGCAACTCTGCGGCTAGAGTACAAGAGGCGTTGTCGAAGGGAGTTTCTTCGAGTGGAGATGGCTCCTGGAACGTTCATAGCAGGGTGCTGGGGAATGTTTTGTACATGATGGCGAGCCAGACCACGAAGCGAGAGGACATTGAACGCCTCGAAGGGTTGCTTAGAAAAGCAATTGAGTAAATTAAAGAAAATAAACGCGAATCAGCTTGATAGGGAAAGTTGGGGTAACGGTAATTTATATTCTAAGTGCTGTTTGCGTGTGGCTTAACCTGACTGACGGTTTCATTTCTTTACCTGGCTATCTCAAAGCTTGGAGTTGTGCCGAGGAAGCCGCGTCAGATTGTGATTCCGGGATTGTGCTACGCGTAGAAATCGTTCTCTTTCTTCGATACTGCTAACTGCAAACTGTAGCTCCAACGGAACCTGTAATATTTAGATGGAACTTGGAACTAGGACTTAGAGAAATGGAAGGCGAGACCAGAGATTTGGGGATTACTGGGGTTCCGCTTGTGGCCCTAGATGAAGGATTTACCTCAGCAACTGGCAGAGGGAGGCACGTCGATTCCAGACGGCACTGGCACTAGGACATGGTTCATTGGCATTGATGGGTTATTACTGGTAGAAAGGTAAATGAATAGGTGCGGTGTTACTAGCACATGCGAGATCGGAGGCCCTTGACGATACAGACGCCGGACGGATCCAGCGACTAACGTATTCAAGATTCCAGTGTGCTCTTCTCTTAATTAGGAACCCATAGCTAGCTCCAGAGTATTCACCTTCAACCCGTTCCTTCCCTGCTCAGATCTTAGATTTCTATTGAATCCTTGCTCCAGAGTCCAGAATGGAAGACATCTTGTGAATCGCCGCGTGGAGAGAACACATATAAATCCTCGCGAAGTCTCCCAAGTCTTCCTATCTCTTCTTCTTCCCAACTCTCTGTTTCATCCAGACTCCCAAACTACTTCTCCCCCTGCAACTCATATTTCCCAATTTGGTTATCCTTTCCACATCTCTCGATCTATTGATCATCACCCAAAAAAACAAATCAAGTCAACAACGATCCCCGAAGCCACTACAACATCGTCACTCATAATCACAATGCCGTTCATTTATGAGACTGCCAAGATGGTCGAGGTAGCCGAGTCCTCTCCTACCGGTGATGTGGTCTTGGTGGTGGGCCCGGGCCGGCTTCGTTTTCGCGCCCACTCGGCCACACTGGAAATGACCTCCGAAGTCTTCCGCGACATGCTTCACGACGGATGGAACGTCTCCGCGTCTGACCACGGCGAATACATACTTCACGATGATAACCCTGCCGGCTTTCGCCTCATTTTCGACGTGATCCATTTTAGGAACCGACATCGCGCGCCAAGTGCGGCCGATATCCTCGAAGCGGCCATTGTCGCCCACAAATATCAAATGGGAAACGCCTTGTCGCCGGCGTCGCGGCAATGGCTGAGGAGCCGCGGCGCTGGCTCCATGCACCCCAGGGCTCGCATGGAGCTATTAGCAGCGGCATATATCTTCAACGATTCCGAAGCGTTTGAAACTATTTCCTCGGAGTTGATCTTAGAATATGCGCATCATTATCATGGCATTGTCGATTTCAAAGTCCTGGATGTACATCTCCCCTGGCAAGTCGTCCGTAAGTAAGATCCTCGAGTCATTTCCTGGTTATCGACAAGCTTGGTTGATTCCCTCTTTGCAATTCTGTCTTCCCCCTCGTTATTTTTTTTTTTTTTCCTCTTTTTTTGTTTCCCATCTTTCCTGCTCGATTCTGACGACAATGGCAGACGGTCTTGAGGAAAGGCGAGCCCAGCTCCAAATCGACCTCCACCAACTCCTCATAACCTTGGTGGACAGGAGGGAAAACTGCCCCTGTGACAAACTCAAAGCAGATGCCCTGAAAGCACTCCAGGAGCAATATACCTTTCCCCGAATCCAGCAAGTCTCAATTTTAGACATCATCAGGGATATACTCCAGATTGTTTATGATGGACAGGATCCCAAGGTTGCATTCGATACATACCAGCCTGTTGGAGCGCCAATCGCATTCACCATCTACCAGGCACTGGAGCGTCTCCGAAAGGATAGCCGACTCTGTCTGATCTGCATTCGAGAGGGTGATTCGGATCCCATGTCGTGTGAGCATTAGACTCATACACTATTTTGAAGCTCTTAGCAGCACTTGAGCCTTTAGAAATGGGCCAGGCAGGGTGTAGCGGCTATGTCCTCTGTTGACTGTTTGCTTTTTTGAGGAAAAATGCAGAAGGATGTCTCCAGGGTTTGTGTGTCTCTTCTTCCCCTTTGTTTTTCTCTTCTCTTCTTTTATTGTATTATTGTCTTTAGTTGTTTCCTACATCAAAGATTGATGTCAGGCCTGGGGAGTGGAGTTGAGACATGAAATGATAATACCCTGTTAAGTTACTTTGCGTAAGTTAGACCTTTGTGCAAATCGGGCTGTCTTTCTTCCTATGTATGATGTATTATGATGTATTCTGGGGCCTGTCATTTGAGAGCTGTAAACATAACTAGGCCGATGTCCCCCATGCGCCTTGAGTTTTCGAGTAACCCAGTTCCCCCTTGCACAACCCCAGCCTGCTCTTAATTCAACTGCAGGACCCTCGTTCCAAAACCGCTTCCAGTTGGGGATAATGTTGGATAAGACGACGACATGCCTCGTCGCGCCTCTGCTGTTTCCCGCGTTCGCCCGAGGAAATAGAAGACTTGATCAAAGAAGAGAATGCAAAGGTGGCCGTCCCGGCAGCCATCAGCGGCAGCGCAACGGGAGCAAGAATCCCTGCTGATGCCATTGATACAAACGTACCAAGTTCTGACATCCCCGCGCCAGCCGCGGTAGCCGTGGCACATCTATCCTGCCTAGGACCGGTCAATTCAGTCTTGCGAAGTCTGTCGAACGTCTTGAACAGCTGTTTAATCGGGAAATAGGATCGGGGCCCGATGACCAATGCTGCTAGAATTAGCGCGTAGTCTACGTCGTTCCACCAGATCCACATGTAGTTTCCTTGAAAGTCCTTCCATATGACGTCAGAGTCTTTGAGGGAAGTTTCAAGACGTGTTAGCTTCGGTGGACACTCCGGGACAGATGCAGATGGGGCGAGTTGTAGGCTAGCACGCAGAATAAATACGTACATTGTTGGCATCTGCTGATGGGGTCTGTCCCATCGTTGACAAGCCCGAGATCCTTAATACCAATGGTGGTTTTGACTCTATCTCGAGTCCAGGTAAATTGCTGTTTCTGTTTGAATCCTCCGGAGATGTCCCAACAACTTGCAGACATCAACTTTTGGGATAATGTCATTCTAGACGAGGTCCACACCGACGCCTCTACTAGCGCAAACGTGAGGTGTGTTCGGAAAGCCAAAGACGAATCCATGGAGGGAATCTGGGATGTGTCGCTCGTGTCCCACGATATGGGCTCTGGGATCACGGCGGTTGGAACTTGAAAACCGTCGCTAATTGGCCCATACATATGGACTGGCGGTGATCGGATGAGTATCCCGTAATACGCATCGGGTCGGAGTGGTTTCTCGGAGTGCCCTGCTATCGCGAACGTTGGATTAAATTAGGAACTAATGCTGGCTTTCTCACAGGTACTATGTTAAGGAGAAGGAGAAAGGGGGGGGGCATAATACCTCGTCGAAGTTGCGGATCAGCGAAAGAAAAGGCCCAGCGAACTAAGTAGTCCATCCAGATCCGAATAGCGGCAATGAGGCGAGACGCAACATGCTGGAGCTGGTACCTCCAATGTTTGGTCCTTTCACTTCCAGCCTTCCGGATATCTCTCCACCAGTTATCCCATGGCTGAACTTCGGGAGACGTGCCAGAGCTCTGTTGCACAATCCCGGCGATCCTGAGCAGCCACGGAGGAATATCCGCGGAAAAGTCGTACCAAAGGGACGATAAGTAAATGGAGCATATGATGGCAAGGATGTCGCGATATATCTTGAGCTGTTCGGGGCAGAATCGGAAAACCACAAGTCCTGCGGTAACCAGGACTAGGAATTCGCGTTTTGTGATGTTGAGGTGAGGGTGGATCGGTTCCTGGGCCTCACGACTAAAGATCCAGGCAGTGCTGAATTGCTGCATTTTTTTTTTTTTTTTTTTTTTTTTTTTTTTTTCAAGAAGAAGAGATGTCGATATGTTGAGTGCCGACTGGCGAGAATCGACCAGGTTACTTGATTTTGAAGTTTAACTCTTCCCCAAAGAGAGAAAAGGAAGAGGGAAACTTTCCACTCTCGCCGCCATCAGGGAGATTGGGTGGCAACTTGCCCAGCCTAACTACGTGTCTTTGAAACGGCCCTCTCATCTGCATCGTGGACTCTTCGTGACGGTTAGATTGCCCAATTGCCCTGCTCCTCGATTGGATGCACGTCCCTCCCCCCAAGAAAAAAAATCCCTTTTTGGGCATGAAAGGAATTGATTGGGTCTTCACATTTCCATTCGTAGACCCGACTCGATTGCCTAATTGGCATGCTTTACACCTGCATCTGCATTATACACCCCTCTAGCTTGACGGTTCTCTTTGTGTACCATCCAGTTGTTTCGTGTCAGCCTTAGCCAAGGTGCATAGCGGATGAAACATTTGATGTCACTTGGGGATTGGAAGGGACGGGACGGGTTCAATGTTGTTTAAGGGTTCACTGTTCCCTTGTTTAAGTACTAGAGTAGAACCTCTCATCCTCTACAATGAACTACAACTCGGGGTTTGTAGGGGGCATCTTCAGCGGCGGACCGCCTGAAAAGCTGCACCACAGCACTACAGCATCAAATGTCTGGCGGGCAACAAAAATTCGCTTGTGCCACAGCTTCGTTAATGTGCCGAGGTAGTTACGTAATATTCGTAAACTTAATTGTTTACCCCTGGCAAGCCACAATGCACCAGACAGCAACTTGGATGGTGCCGCAACCAGCCACACACGCCACACAACCAGTACGATAAGTGGAATTATGCTTCGTTTTTAGGCGTTGTTCTCTGGTGTTTAGTGGATTAATGATCCAATGTAACACGGGTCCCGACGGCGTGGTAAATTGTTAATTTGATAATTCTGGGGCGTCGCACGATGGATGGGTTTTTGAATAAAAGCCTTCGAGTCCCTCTTCCCCCCTTACTTCGTACTACTCTTTCATTCCCGTGAACGAAAGAATCTCCGATCCACTCGCTTTCCCACGACCGAAACTCGACCCCGAAAATGCGCATGCACAATTCCGCCGCCGCTCTTGCGGCTCTCAGCGCACTGGTCGCACCTGTGGTACTCGCCCAGCAAACGACAATGGTACAAAACTTTCATTAGCACCAGACGCGAATCGCGGTCGAGGAGGAATCGCGCGACGACCCGCATTGCTAACATTCACCCGTAGCAACTGTGGTTTCCCATGATGGACCCCGCCGCTACCGAGGATATTTACGCAGACCAGGAACTAGTCATTAAAACGATTGTCAGTATAATTATTACCCCGCCCGCCCGCCGCCTAGGGATGATGATTCAACTTCGGATGCGGCTTGCTAATTCCGACACAACGAGCTGCAGGTCAACCAAGAGACAGTTGTTGAAATGCGGTGTAAGGATAAAGATAACACCGAGTGTGTTGTCGTCCCCTTCACGATCGGCCAGAGCAGTAAGGAGAACCCCGACCGCCCCGTAAGAAAATATCAACATTTGTCCGTCATGTTAACCGCCCGCCCTCCGCAGCATTCAGATTCACCTCGGCAGCGGTGACGGATAGTATAGGGTAAAGTAGCGGCCCACGCATATCATCACCCCCTTGCGCTAGTACTCGGAGAGCTAACTAACTTGGATTAATCAGTTACGGGGGACTGCCGGATGTAATCGACTGCAAGTTGACGGGATGTCCTACCGCCACGACGGGAGCCTGCAGTGTGGTAATTAACGCCGGGCATGCCAACAGCGAAACTAATCTCGTAACCACATCTTTACCTCTCGATACGGAATTGTTGCGGTTCCGTCCCATTGCTCTCGCTACGCCTCTTCCCGAGGCAGATTCGATTCAGTGCGACTCGCAGCCCGCAGCTAGTACCACGCCGTCCGCCACGGGAGAAAAGAGCGCAGAGACCAGCGCTAGCGCTAGCGCACCCAGCACCGAGAACTCGGGTTGGAAAGTCGCTGCGTCGTGGCCGGGAGTCGCCGCGGTTGTCGCACTTGGCCTCTTCATCTGAAGGGTTCGCTTTGCATCAAGTTCGGGTTCGTGTCGTTAAAGCTCAGTTTGGATAGTGCCTACGCGAAGTGGAAACTGTACTCATACATACCTTCTTGAATAACGATCCGGGGATGATCTTGCTGGTTGTGTATCTACGAAAGAGTGATAAAGATCAAAGTGGAGATCACCGCTGACGCTATCTCAGTCTGTACGACATTAGAGATCGAGATATTTTAGACTGATTAAAGGAATATACATACCAAGGAATAATCACAATAAGAAGACACATAATTATGAAATCCGAAAAAGGGTGCAATTAGAAAGGAAAAAGAATAGAGTGATGTTAGAAACAGACGTGGCATGGTTTTTGGACGCCATTTAACGGACTCTCCTTGACCGGTCACACAGGCACAACCAACCTCCGAACCGAGGTCAAACAGATCCAGGAGCTTTGGGTGATTGGAGCCTGCCTCATTTACTGTCCCTCAGGTCTTATTATACCGTATTTCTGTCGTCTTCACCCTGATAGAGATCATGCCACCTAGCCCTATGCTGGTGGGCTTTTGCCAAGCCGGCTGGATTTGCGCGGATTCGTAATTCCTTCTACTGCACAGCACATGGCCGATTCGTCTTGGTTTGTGCAAGTGACATGTTGAGCTCAGCTTGGCTTTGGAGAATGACGCTGCTGGTTGTTGATTGGATGTGAAAAGCCTGCCTGTTCTTGGCGGACGTTGCCCTGTGAGTGTGTATGAAGGCAAAGCTACACTAGCGCAACTTCTTGGCATTTATCGACAAGTCTATAATAAAGGATAGGGACCCCAGCAGATGCAACGGAGTCCTGCTAAGTGTATCGCTCGTAGTTCTCCGCGGAGGTGCCCCATTTTCTCTGGTCGGCGTTCAGGAGAATCTTTTGTGCTGTTTGATGATGGCCAAGCCAACGTCTATTCCTAATATACGGTTGCCCTCCGGATGGCGGAATGCGGGTGTCATAAACACAACACTGATTTGTGCTCTTTCTATCATCTTGATCACCCTGTTATTCATCTCCGCCTTCCGCCTAGGCTCAGGATGGCCCTCAATCTTCGACTCGGTATTATACTTCTCGGGTTACTGCCCAACAGCAAACCGGAAAAACATCATCTTTCACGTTGGTCTTAACGCCCTTGCCACCCTCGTCCTGGCTTCATCAAACTTCTTCATGCAGATCCTATGTTCACCTACACGAGAGGACATCGACAAGGCACACCGTCGCGCTCGATTCCTTGAGATTGGCGTCCAATCCGTCAGGAACCTTCCCTTCATCCCCGTGCCGAAGCTATTGTTCTGGCTACTCCTCTGCGCCAGCTCAGTCCCGCTCCACCTATTCTTCAACGGCGTCGTTACGGAGTCTAGAGCCTCGACAAACTTTTTGCTCATCATAGCATCGGATTCATTCCTCAGTGGTGGAAGTTGGTCGTATCCCGCAACCGCAGACGATTACTATCATCAGCTCAACACAGATGTCCCCTTTGGCTTGAGAACGACGGATTTTCTGTCCGAAGTAGCTTTTAACTCTTCTACTTGGGAGAAAAGGAACCTGAGCTCTTGCTTGTCCGTTTATGACGACCCGAGGAAAGCGTTAATAGCGTATCGCCACGTCCTGATGATCGCGCATGACGAAGGTGATGCCGAGACAACGGGTTGGAATGCGTCAGAAATCCGAGTTGACTTCCATCGATGGAAAAACTCGGACGTGATATGGCCGCCTCATTCCCTGAACCCCCTGTGGTCCATAGAGTTGTTCGAGCGTACAGATCAGTCGGTTGGTGAACGGCATAAAGAGAGGAGCGCACGAGGCGCAGAGGATTTCGAGATATGGGACTCGTGGAATTGGGTTCACAATAGGACCCGGCTAGACCCAGACACAAGTCTGATAACTCCGGATCCTTTGCGTATCAAGGACGGTCAACCCCGACTTAAGGTCGAGTACTGTCTGATGGAGCCGTTCATTGCCCCTTGTGAGGTGCAGGTGCAAAACGCTGCTCTTCTCTTCGTTTGCATTTTCTGTCTTGTCAAGTCGTTAACTTGCGTAGTCACGTTGACATCTTTTTGGCGACAGGAACCCCTCGTCACTCCAGGAGATGCGATAGCGTCTTTCATCAAAGAGCCGGATCGGAATACCGAAAACATGTGTTGGGCCAGTAAGAGACCGCTGTCCTCCAAGACTCTTCTAGATGAACGGCGGATATGGGTTAGAGGACCGCGACAATGGAAGTCAGAGAGACGCCGACTGGGATCTGCTGTCCCATGGGGTATTTGGGCATTCTCTTATTTTTGCATATGCTTCATGTTGGGCGTGGCACTTCAGCAGGCATTAGTCGCGTGGAGTTACCAACCGTGGTAAGTATTCTACTCGCGTGAGCAGTGAACACCCATGAGATCCAAGCTGACTTTTTATTGTTCCTTGCTCTGGTGATTAGGGCCACTTCAGTCTTCGGCCCCAACGCCGCCAACGGGAATTACCGGTCGTTCCTTCCCTGGAGCGACACGCCCCTAGGTTCAACGATCGTCGTGAATCTGCCGCAGATAGGACTTTCGATTGCGTATTTCTCGTTTAACGGTTTGTTTACGCGGATGATATCTGAACGGGAGTGGGCCAACTTTAGCATTTCGTTCCGACCACTCCGAGTTTCACGTCCCCAGGGGTCCCAAAAGTCGACTTATAGACTGCAACTACCTTACCGATGGTCTATTCCTCTCATTGTCGTTAGCGGAACATTGCATTGGCTAGTGTCAAATGCTAGTTATAAGCAGACTTATTCTAGTACGTAACTGCATCCATAAGTAGGGTTTGGGGACTGAGAGAACGATGAGCTGAATATTAATTTTGTGAAATAGGCTGGAACGCAATCCCCCCATACCACGGCAGCGATTCTGCCAACGCCGGAGTGGGAATTTCTACCAGGGCGACGCTAATTTCCTTCGGGATAGGGACATTCCTGGCACTAATACCGCCAATCCTCGGCATGTTTGAAATTCCCGGCAACATGGTCGTAGCAGCGAGTAGCTCTGCGGTCATGTCGGCGGCTTGTCATTGCATTCCGACAGAGTCGGTGGAGTTGGCCGACATTGACCCATCTTCGAGCGAGAGGCTGCTTGAAAGTGAGCCCCGAGATGATAGCGACGCGGAGGAGGACAGGCGGACACGGATGTTGTATAATATGTCTATCCAGGAATTGAAATGGGGCATCGTATCGCCCGGGAACGGGACGGCTGAGGATCCCGGCCATTTGGCATTCGGCACGATGGATCAGGAAATTCAGCCGCCCATTATTGGGCGCTGGTATGCTGGGTCTGGGTGCTGAGGTAGGCAGGTTCAGTATCTAGCGAATGGCATTGCACCCCGTTGATGCGCGAGCCATCGAGCAATGCCGAAAAGTGACGTAGGAGGAGGGCGATCGACTGAACGCCTACAGGGAGAGGTGACGTACGAACAGTCAACTTGATTTTGCCATCGCTGTCGATGTCTATCAGAGTTTAGCTCACAAAACCTATGGATAGAACGAGTATGGATATCGCTCTAGTGGCCCGTACGGAAACCCCCTAGGTGCATGCGCAGATACCCCGAAAATAGTTAAGATGTTATTCCCCAGCAGGGGAGTGTGCACTTAATGTAAAACTCCCAAAGGTGCCATCGTTGTACCATTGCCACCAATGGAAGGAGTCCCCAGAATATCAGATGCCCCGGGACTGTGATGGGACAATTGGCTATGCGCGGTTGTCCCTGAGGCACACAACTCCAGACATGCACTCATCGCCATTGCGAAGCCCTTGCATCGAATAAGCTTCTTCTGACCGCATTTAAGTGGCACATAAAGAGTCCATTAGATTGAAATCCCTCTGAAAATAGGTACGCGGTCTCTGCTATTGTGGCTGGGCATCAAATGGAACCATGGTCCCGGACTTTATGCAGATTCTGCATGAATTTGGAGATCCTATAACAGCGCCGTTCCCCTTCCGTCACTGCCGAATATCCACTCCCACCGTTTAAAATGCCAAGCCAACGTGGCAAGTAATTCTTCATGATTCCTTATTTTTTGTTCATGCGATGCGACAAATAAGCCCCCCACTGTCGTTGTCAACGGTTCAGTAGATCGACGTGGCCCGACATTCCCAGTATTTGGTATATAATATCTGTGATATCGTCAGAATTAAGCATGAATTTCTTCGTCCAATAATTTCCACCCACCTGCCTTGGACCTCCTGAATTTGCGTCACGGGAAGGGAATGGGAGAAAAATATTCTTATGCATTTACTTTTAAGCCTTAATCACCTTACCCGGAAAATGGGTTCGAGATCCCCTCCATAAGAGGATGTTTTTCCTCCTCGCTTGACCAAGGCATCTTACCCGTTGATTCTGTCCCACATTCCCCGAAGGAGTCTAATCGAAGCGGATCATCATGTCTCTTACCCTACATCGCGCCCTACTGGCGGCCGTGCTAGCTACCAGAGTTTTCGGTCATGGACATGTCACCAACATCGTCGTCGACGGCGTCTCATTCGAAGGCTATGATCCGACAAGCTTTCCCTACCGGAAAGATCCACCAGTTGTAGTAGGCTGGGCCACAAAGCAGACGGACAACGGCTTTATCGAACCTTCGGCTTTCGGCTCATCAGATATCATCTGCCATAAGAGTGCCGAGCCCGCTAAGGGTTTCGCCACCGTCGCGGCAGGCGACAAGATACTGATCACCTGGAACACCTGGCCAGAATCCCATCATGGGCCCGTGATTGACTACCTGGCATCCTGCGGCTCGAGCGGCTGTGCGAACGCTGACAAGACCAAGCTTGAATTTTTCAAGATTGACGAAGTTGGCCTCGTGTCCGGAAGCAACCCGGGGAAATGGGGATCAGACCAGCTCGTCGAGAACAACAACAGCTGGCTAGTTCAGATCCCGGATAGCATCCCCGCCGGGGAATACGTCCTCAGACACGAAATTATCGCTCTGCATACCGCCGGACAAACAAATGGTGCCCAGGCTTATCCCCAGTGCGTCAACCTCCGCATCACTGGCTCTGGGACAGACCTTCCCAAAGGTGTGCGTGGCACGGAACTCTACACCAGCGAGGATCCCGGCATCAAGTTCAACCTCTACACTTCGTTTAGCAGTTACGACATCCCCGGCCCCGACCTCATTCCTGGGGCTAAGGCGGTTGAACAATCCTCGGGTTCGATCACAGCGACTGCGAGCGCAACTGCGCCAACCTCGACGGCGCGAGGGGGAAATAGCGATGAAGGTGGATCTGATGACTCGGATGAGTCGGATCTTGACCGCATATTTGGGAATGGGGGTTCGAGGACTTTGGAAGCTGGTAAGCTCCTTTCTCTTTCTATTCAATTGAAGTTGCTCGTGTGCCATACCGATACCTATTCCAAAAGAAGAAGGAGGCCCTGCTCTTACGACAGTCGTGAACAAAGGGATGCTAACAGGCTACTCTCTTCCAGCAACATTTATATCAGCTTTAATTACAGTTATTGCGTCGATTCAGCTCGTTTTATAAAAAGGGTACCTCGGCAGGTGTTATCGGGAGGGATAGATCAGTCGATAACGGAATGGCAGGAAGGAACGGCTTTCACATAGATAGATTTGATTTATTGATAATTTGATATCCAGTATTGTGCTACCTTCTTCTCATCTTATCGGTATTATCTTGGTGAGTTCCTTCAGAGTCGACGTAGTCCACTCCCCGTTGCCCCTTCCCAACCCCTTCTCCTTCCCCGCTTCCAAGAGTTTATCCCCCCAAGAGTTTAGAGTTCAAAACTTAGGAAGGTGCTCTTTCCCCCTTCTTACCAGCCCTCAATTGCGACTTCCATTCCTTTAGTTGCCATTTCTCTGTTTTTCCCCGAATTTACCCTTCATGTCCGCGAGAAGTTAACTGAACAACCATCCTGATCTCAGCAAAACAACCAGGGAATAGGCAAGAAATCACCAACAGCTACCCCTCTTGATTCTGGGGTCTCCCCTGTCAAATCTCGCACAACGTCGAGGGCAATCGACCGCAACGTGTTTCGAGGCAGATATGTGGGGAATCGCCGGGACCAGCTTAGACCGCCGATTGCTAGACGACCCACGACGGCCCGTTGACGAACTTCTTCGATGGCATTTCCACCGAGCTGTTCTGGCAAACATGAGAGGGGCTGGTGAACACGTATTCGAGGTCACTATCCACCCGGCAGTGATATGATTAGGGATATTATGAGTGGTCCAAAGCCGGCCGAGAGGATGGAATTTGAGGTGTTTACGAGGCTGAGTGAGCATACATCTGAAAACGAGTAGTCACCCACGGTGGAAGGGGCCGGTCGTTCTGATGGGCAAGGCATGGCCCGTCAGTTGGATCGTCAGAAAGCTCCGCGAAGGTGGACAGGGAACGTTCATATCGATCATTAGCCTCGAGAGATACGGCTGCGGTGACTTCTGGCACTCCCGTTTGGCGCACTTACGATTGAGTTAAATCATCTCAAAAAGACGCTCTGGGGGCCGTGAGCAGCGTCGCTTGACGGGAACGGCAACTGCCATTATATGGCCATTGCGCTCAGCTGTGCTTACAGGAATGCAGCTGGCGCTCCCCGCTGTGCGACCGAACTACGTACTTCATGACTCTGTCGTCGAGGAAACATGATGCTGGGAAATGAGACGTAATCATGCAGAAACGAATTCACGAGGACCGGATGGAGAGAACGACAACAACCACGGTTCATTCTCGGGTATGTTTGATGCAGTAAGGGGGGATAAAGGGAAACTATTGTTTGCTGTAGTTCGGTGGTCAATGTTCAATCTGATATTAGAAGCATTGTCAGTTCTAATGGTCACTTAACACTGGTCACAGTGGTCACCCTCTATCTCAGTAAAGACATCTTTACTGTCTAGGGTATCTCTTTCCTTTCCAGCAAAGGAATATCCTATATATGTATTCATGATTCATTGTCTATCCTTGGAAGCAGCGATCTTGAAATGTGAAAGTGCACAAGGGGTTCAAGCTATCAAGCATTAAAGCATCCATCCAAGTCTCCTTTGCTCCACTAGACTCTTTCTCCATCCAAATTCAACAGCACATTCCAAAAGTTCATGTTGATATTGGGTCCTGAACGTTTTACTTCTTTCAAACGCAAGAATCTCTCTCAAACCATCCCAACCATCTCTTTCCACCGAATCTCACCATCTCCAAATCCTCGCCCTCCGCTTTTCCATCTCCTGCTCTGCAAAGAGCTATTTCGACAATGTCGATTCCAGCCTATGCCCACCTCATTTCTTCTTTCTACCCCATTGGCAACACACCTGCTGTCAGTTTGACGCAGAGTTTACCTCTGGGAAAGTCTGCTGATATCCTACTTCTTGGATGCGGTGATGCTCGCAATATCCTTTTCACCTCCCGCCTTGATGGTACGTCAGCCAACTTATTCCTATTGGAAGATCGAGTATGGGCTTCTGCTTACTCTAACCATAGACCGCCCGTTGGATATCACTTGCTGTGATGCTGAGGATTCGATCATCGGTTTGTTTCCACTCCTGTTCCCTTCCACAATACACTGTCACCACTCTAACAATGTTGCTCTATCCTGCAGCAAGGACCATCCTTCTCCTGTCGCTTATCATCGATGATGTCAAAGACGAAAGCAGTGGTGACATTTGGAACATCTATTACCACTTCTACCTCGACCATCAATCCCACGACCGACTCCGAGCCCAAGTACAAAAGCTTCTAGGTCTTTCTAGTTCCGTGGAGACATGGAGATCCTCCAAATATGGAGAGCAGATAATATTTTGTGACATTGAAACGCTCGATGGCGTGACCAATGTATGGAAGTTTTACGCCTCCCAGAGTCTTCCCGAGAATCGATCGGCATTCGAGGATTTCTTCAAGACCAGTCTTGAGCAGAGTAGGAAGCTGGCGGAAAAGGAAGGCATCCTCCAAAATCCGAGCGCAGAGAGCTCGTCCGACCTTACTGTTGGGGGGACCGACCACGACGTGGCTAAGTTCCATGCGTATTTCTGGGGTCACGGTACAACCGACCTGGATGCCGAGATTGCTTCCAAGGCAACCATCGCCAACCCTTCGTTTACGACTCCCAATCCCTCTGTGATCCCGCACTACTCCCTCAATCCTGTCCTTGGTTTCCACATTGCACTCGCAGAAACCCCACTCGCCGAGTCTTCAATGGTGCCCCGTCAGACCTCTCATCTGCAACAGGTCGTGGAAGGTGCTCGCGCGGAGTTTGCGTCGTGGTGCCGCTCCTTTAGGAAGCGCGCCGCCAACACCACCACCCTACGGTTCTTTGCGGGAGAGGCTATTGACTTTTGCCATACACTCAAATCCCTCCGCGCCACCGGACGCACCGAACAGGGCAACTTATATCGTACCCGTCTAGGCATGACGCCGACCAGTCTCGATCAAGCAACTTACGGCCCTTTGGGCTCCGCTCCGCTCTTATTCGATATCATCGATACTTCAACCCTCATCGACGACATCGGGGCCATTAACTTGTTGATCGCCACCTCTCCGCTCCTTCGTGGAGATTCGACGGCTACTCTCTATACGGAGACCCTGACCCGGCAGGCAGACTCGCTGCGGGATCTCTACGACTCTCTCTTCTGCGGCCACTTCCCGATGCTGCCACTCCTTTTGGGACTATCTCCCGTAGAGTATTGGACGAACACGTCACCAACGTCTGCGGCGTATGAGGGCCGGATGAGGGTCATGGCCGGTGCTGACTCTTCTGACTCCAAGTCCCACCAGTTGCAGAGCAGACTTAGCTGGAAGAGACCCGATACACCGAGCCATCTCCCGTTATCCTCCCCGTCGATTGAATATCTAAAATTTGATGCACCCGTACTTGCCGACTTGCTCCACGATGTCTACCTTCGAATGTTACCCGACGAAAACCTGGCTGACATGTCGGGAAAGATGAACCTAGACAAATCTCAATCCCTGTCTAAACCCTCTTACCACCGGGCAAGCTACGTTTCGCTTCTCCGTTTCATACAATCCAGGATTATTATTATCGTTGGCTGGGGGAACTTCGTGGATTTTTTGACTGAGCGGATCAAAGACAGCTCAAAGTGCCCCCTATTAGCCTCGAAGTATCTGCAGGAGCTTTCGGCGCAGTTGTATACCCCTGGAGTCTACCCCATCGTCGGCAAGGAGCCTTTGCGAGGGGCCAGGTAGCTTAGAGGCTGGGTCGATATACCGCCAACGGTTTAGGTCACGCTGGAAATACCCCGTACCTTTCTACCACTCTCCACCCATGACGACCCCGTCGATATCGGGAGCGTGCCTGTCCATGGCTCCCTCCACAGCCCGGGTCCTTCGGTGGCTAAGGGATGGCACGATGCTTTTGCGGCCGTTCAGCTCGGGTTTGGAACGCTGTCTACCACCGGCAAAAGGAACAGCAACGACTTTGCTATCCACATCGCCAATGACCCTGACGGTTGGCATGGAAAATCGTCTTTATTCGTGTCGTTCATGGTGCCGACCCGCTCGTTATTACTCGATGAAGCTGAGAGTACTATGGTATCGCTCGATTTGCGGAGTACCGTGACGACTGGGGACAAGCCTCTAGACCGTCTGAAGACAACCTCTCTGGCTGTTTTTGCGACTGCTATAGGCAACGCGAACCGTGCCTACATCACTTGCAACCCTCCAAACCAGAACGGATCGCCAGTTATCCCGGGTCTAAACCGAAACGACATGATTTCGGTGTGCCTAAATCCCGGTGCTGTGACCTCCATACTAGTCAATATCGACGATAAATCCAGAGCACTCTCATCTTTCATGGCAGGTATTTGCGTCATCTCAGACCGTCTCATGGACTTGTTCGACTCTGGGTGTGTTGTCAAGCTTGCAGCTACTTCTCCTGTTCAGCTTCAGGTTTCTCTCGACAGCGAACTTATCAACATTACGTTCCCGTTGCCCGTCATCTGGAAGAATTCTAAGGGCCGGGTTCTGCGAAGATGTTACTGCATCGAGGTGATTTGCCCGGTCGTGACTGAGCCTTCTCGATTCTATTCACCGGCTTATGTATACCCCATCGCCTTTGAAGGCGGAACACCCGTCCTTCGCAACATTCATTACGTCAATCTACAAGCACTCCCCGTCATCGACATTTCCCAACGTGACAAGCTCGAATGGCTGATTGGTCATACGTTCACGATGTTCTCGGCAAGAGAGCGCCGCTTGTGGAAGAACCAGGAACTCGAAGCCCTGAAAGGCGAACGGATCCGAGTGAGCTTCAAGGACTCTCTCTACTCACTCCTAATGCAGTTTACCGGGCTCCGAGGCAGAAAGGCTCATTTGTTTGGGATCTGCGACTCAGGTAACGGTGACGTGCACATCCTCCTGTTTGTGTCCGCGATGCGCCTGGATATTGCAAACCGATCTGTCGTTCTTGATTTGGGCGTTATCGCGCTGTCCGGCAAGTTGGTGCCGGTTATCCGTGAGGCTTTGGCTATGGTGAAGTCAAGCAGGTTATGCAAGATCATGGTGAATGCGGAAGTGATGCACCTCTGGAAACAGCTCCTCCCCGCATTTGTTGAACGCTGCAGGACTTGGAGTCATCGAGGCAGCTGCGAGTATATCGCCGCGGGGAATCGAGCTCCACTATCCGTCGATCCGGGGAAACCTACGCTGTGCACATGCGGGAACGGTGTGTTTCCTCCGGATTTCAAAGTTGATCCACTTAAATGGGATCGTGTGTCTAGACTCGCCGTGCGAGCCGCAATCTCTCCAGTTTTTTTCAGTGCTCTCGTCGAGGACCTCGGTGGTCCTGTCTGAGAGCGGGGCTTTGTTTGTCATGAGACGAAGGTGAAGAGTTGGGGGAAGTTGAGGAGATGTGCAAAGTGTCAGCAGGCGATGTACTGTTCCCGCGACTACTAGAGAGAGGGTTCGGGGGAACATAAGGATCAGTGCAAGGCAGCGAGTCAGTAACTGCTTCTGTTTGACTGGATCCAATGTTATGTTGGTAGATTGTGAGCAATGAGGTTGAAGGATTCATGCTTAACGAAGCACGAGTGAGGGAGACAGAGAGTCACGATGAGTGGGAGAGCGAAGAGAGCTAGGTTTGTGCTTTACTCGCTTGAAGGCGGCCTTGGAGTGCGTACAATACCATGTATATTAGTTATGTATCCTAGCGCCTGTGGATTAGACATGGATCGCATGATTTCCAAATGCAGCATCCCCGGGTGCCCATGGACCATGGTATCGGTATTTCACAATTTTCGCAGCAATGCCCAACTGAAATGTAGAAAAAGAACCCAAAGAATACAAGCGTAAGCGCAGACTTTCGTCCTTATAATGCCAGCCAACCACAAACTAAGGTAACCTTAGCAGTGGCTAAGATGATGGGGAGGAAGAAAAGGAGAGCGCTTGGGAGCTGGGAGCACGCGAGGGTAAAGCAGACTGACACCGGTAACGTTCCTCCCTTCGCTCCCACTTTCCTACTTCATCTCTCTTCTTGTGCCCTTGTGTTCCCATCCGGCCCTCAACCCTTTCTCAGCACTCATATGGGGCCGAAACACATCGAAGGCACTAGTGGTTTAGTGGTAAAATTGGTCGTTGCCATCTGACGTGCAGCTTCGACTAGCCCCCGGTTCGATTCCGGGCTAGTGCATGAAGTCTTCTTTTTTCCTCTTTCTCTTTTTGCTTAAGTCTCTTCTGCCCTTCAACGCGGTTAGCTTGTTTTTATTGTTGCCTATAATTCACCTTGGATAGATGAGATATAGGTACCGGGCGTCTTTTTTTGTGACGAGCTGGGGGCGGAGTCATGAAGTCGTGGCCTGGACTTCATGTATTCGCCTTGCATTTCACGATGAATTGTAGTTTGAGCGTTGCTCCTGCGAGCTAGTGTCGCTTCGTACAAGCGAATTGATGATCATTGTGCTATATAATTTGTATAACACACTATTCAAATCATTGAATCAATATATATCCCCGTCACCGTCCAACCTGAAATGAAGGTGTATCAAAGCTCTGGAATCTAGACCACAGCTGGTTTAAGCAGGGGGCAGAACAGCCTGCCCAACGACCCAGCCAGAGTTCCAAGCATACTCGGTGATTCCGGAAACCTCAGTTCCGTTCTGCAAGTAGACGCGCAGGACAGGGAGGGGAATCGCCGCCACGCGAGATCCCGGAATAGAACGCTGCTGGAAGCCGCCATCGTACCAGCCTCCGCCTCCGTCCCACGCCTTCTCCTTAATCAAGTTATCCTGCGTGGCGTAGTACAGGCGGATACCGAGGCTGCTTCCGCTCTCGCCCCACGAAGTCGCGCCAAGGGAGGCCCGCGGGGATTGGTTGGAAATCTTCAGGCCGCCGGTGTACCATCCTGACCCATCCCACCCGCTTTCGATGACATTGCGGTTGGTGTCTTGGAAGTAGACACTAAGACGAGTCAAGGTCAGTATGTTGCTCAAATTGTATATATGGTCACTCTTGTGTGAACGCAACAGACACTTACCGAATGTGGTAGGGGCCAGCGCCCCAGCTAGTAGCAGCAATGGCAGTGCCAGGCAGGGCGGCACCAAAATTGGCTCCGGCAGTCCATCCAGTGCTAGGGCTATCCCCTAAAAACAGCAAAAGAGTCTGTTAGCATTGAGACGTCTAGGAATCTGAGTGGAACCGAAACTAAGTGAAGGAACACTTACAAACCCACTCCTGGATAGTATTGTCGTGATTCTGCGTGTAAACGCGGACGACAATGTTCTTGCCAAGAAAAACGGCACCAATGGACGAGTACGGAGCCACGTCCTTGACGAAGGCGCCAGTGTACCATCCTTTTCCGTCCCAACAGGCTTCGCGTGCCTTGTTGTCGGCTCCGACATAATACACGCGGATGTACTGGAAGCCAACAGAGGTGGCCGCGATAGGAGTACCAATCTTGCCGGTGGCGATCACGTTGTCGGGCTTTCCGCCGGCCCAGCGGCCCTCATACTGGGCCTCACGGACACCGCCGTCCAGGGCCGCCTCATAGACGCGGAGGCTGGAGTTGTTCCTGATGGCAGCGATGCCCGCGGGGAAAGAAATCTGAAGTACACCAGACATTGCGAGTTGTTGGTTTTGAGGAGAGAGGGATTCAGAAGAGTAGTTTGATTTGGCAGAACTTGTGTCTTGAGCTGCTCGAGGTTGTTGCCTTGGGGAGGTCAGGATATCAGAACCATCGAGGGGAACTGGTGGCATATTTATATTCGAGCTCTCGTCTCTTTCTCTATTGAGGTCATCGACACCCGATTGAAGCCGTCCATTCTTCGAGCATCATCTAGGCCACCTTCAGTTTCTCTCCTCCGCTTTCACGCTCTCTCCCTCGATGTGACACTTACTCTGACTGATGAGACCATATTTCTCGAGCTGTCGTCTTCTGCTCTTCTCTCCACCCCGAAGTCGATCACCCTTCGTAATTTCAGCAAATATCATCCTATACTTCTTGATGAGGAATGTGGTCGCTTCCGTCATGGAGCCCAGGCTGATGATCATTAGCCAAAAAGCGATGCCATGGCTTGTGGCGGCGAGCTGAAGGTCGTCGTCACAGCGCTCAAACTAATATATTGCAATGGAATGTTGCAGCGTAACTCCCGCCCTTTTAAGCTCGTGCGAGTTGATTGCTTTCACTTGGAGTTGCGAGTAATCGAGTGCCGATGCAGTTATGCTGCAGCTGATTATTGCTGACGGCAGCAAATAGAGGCGAGCTGATATGCGGCCAAACGGCCAAACTGCTGAACCGAGGCCAATGAAGAAGATTTCGCTCAGAGCACGTATTATTAGGAACCGACCCTTGCTTTCGAGGACTGTCTTTGGTAGTTCGTCATTGGTGAATCGGTGGGTGATTATCCCTTTGCTACTCGCATCATAACTGACATGTCTGCTCCCGTCAACGGCTGTGAGTGTGGAGAAAACAATGCAGTACTAGTTGACGAAACTATAAACTTCGTCACTGTTTTATTGCTCCCGAAAGCTACTTCTGTGCGAAAAGAATCATGCTGTGTTCTCCGCTCTGTCCATATGTTGGGCTTGGGATATAAACAAGAACTGATCGACCACCTGGTGGAGACTGCTCACATCCACAGCTAGCCACATGCTATTATTTTTAGTATTTTCCACTGGAAAGGAACCCCTCGCGTTTCGTATGTATACAGCTATTACGATACTTACTCGACCATGTTCGTGCTCGAGTGAATTCTTGATCCAGTTGCGTTCCCAATGTGTCCGTCGGGATGACGAAGAATCCGAATCTGACACCATATCCGATTCCAGAGGCACAACATAATAATATCCTTAACGCATTTAGAATTCTCACCTCAATAAGCCGCCTGCAAAATTGATAAACTGAAAGCACGCCTTTACCCTGGGAATCCTAGAAATGTCCTTTCTTTGCGAGTCTAGCCTTGGACGACACCGGCACCATCCCCTTTCGCCTTGAAAGCGTCGATCCCCTGGTTCTAAAAACCACGTCTCCCGCAGTACTCGTGTACAGTTGTATACCAGTCGGTTGCTTCAGGTTCCACTCCGGAGCATGACTCTCGGCCAGGGTTAGCCCGATGTTGGCTTGGGCCTTCCCCACTTTTGACGATGATCAGCTCAAAGGGTTACTTCATCCCAGTCTGTTGAGAAACCCGAGTGGGATCATATCGCGGCAACCAACGGGATTGAAAATGTTAGGGGCAATCACAAGAACCCGTCGTTTGGCCAGTACCTCTCTTGCGCCGCTCTCCTTCAGACCAGTTCCACAAGTGTCAGAGGCAGTGCCTTCAGTGTTAGAGTGTTTCTAATATTCTGACAGACCGCTGGAGTTGACGGAACAGGGGAACTCCAGACCTCAGGACTCATGACAACTGGAAGCTAGGTCCACTGGAGCAAAACTCGCCTATTGTAGACGATCCACGGGGAAGAAATTGAACCATTCGTGGGGAACGGCTCAAGAGCAAGACAAGAGTTGTCATCTGAATAATTCAATCGTATATCGTATTTACTGGGCTTGTGGATCGTGTCGTTCGTGCTTCAGGAGAGAGGAATTGGGAGGTAAGGAAGAAAAAAGAGAAAAAAGAGAGAAAAAAAAGAAAAAAAAAACGAAAAGAAAAAAGACTCTCCCTCGGGGAATCGAACCCCGGCCACCTGCGAATTGTTCTATGACAAGCAGGTATCCTGACCACTAGACCAAGGAAGATGTTTGATGCTACGTTTCTGGCTTAGCTCGCTTGAACAAAGTTCATTTCGCACCTTGTCAAGAATAGTCTGCCCTAGAAACGACAAGTTGAGGCATCCTGTCTGCCACCTTTTACCTCCGGATCCGGGACTATTTTGTATTGCAAAATTCACATCTGTCATAAGAGCGGGAAATTGACGACAGCTTCTAAACTTGATTCATCCTCCACTCCGGGAGCAGCTGCAGCCAGCGCAGGGCGCCCCACCCTGGGAGAACACCACCAGTACGATCCTGTTTGCAATTTTGCTTTCCTCGGCTGCGGTTGGCACCTTGGCACAACCTTAAAACTTCAATCTACCTTCAAGGGAAGAGACATCACATCCACCTCTGCAAGCGTGGCCGCCTGCCGCCTATCGTAAAGAATCTTAACAGCATTGCGACCCATACGGCGCCCCATTTCCATTGTATCAAGGACTTCACCGCCACCATCGAGTGCAAGAAGCCCGGACGCTATTTCGATCAGGGCGGGAACCGGAGGCTGCTTAACGAAGTGATGAAACGCACTGCGCCGCTCCTCCGGTGAACCCAGAGAACACCTTGTTCTTCAAGCTCCCGTCTCCTTGCCGCAGGATCGTGGGCTAGCATCTTGACAATTTCATCACCCAGAAGTAGCCTCTCGAGATAAAATTGTGTATATGTATCCGTCCTGGCAAGTGTCCCACTGAAAATCGGCGCAATCACACTAGTGGGATGGTGCAGGAAGTTTCCTATCGAACACTAAGAATAATAGCATCTTTAGATGGGTTCGGTACTGTGGTGAAGGTCCGTTCGGAGATCCGCGTGAGGTTCTAACTGTTCTCCCCGAGATTTTTTAGGTTCATGATCAGGGTCGGCCTAGCTAGATGGTGGTGAAACCCAAGGGTTCGAGTACATAACCCGCAAACACGCCAAGTGGCTGTGGATCATTTGAGAAGCTTACGCTGAGACCAGAGGTCACGGTGCCGTCAATGGTTTCGAAGATAGGCTAGTAAACACATGGATCCTCGAAGAGGAGCATCAGAGTTCCTGTACGATGTGGGAATCATTACACAGGTGGCGTCCGGGCAATGGAGGGAACATGGTAAAATACAGTTTTAATAACCTTCAAAAGAGGACCATCAATTTGCCTCATTGCGTGGTGAAAAAAGATAGAACAAGCGTCAATACATTTTCCCATTCCTTCAAAGAATTATACATGGGCAGCTCGAGCCCTCGCGCGGCGGTTTCTCGGGGCTCGGTAAACTATTTTGGCGAGCTTGAAACTGCTGCACTTGCTCTTTGGCCATGTTCAATATCTCTTCATCAGTTTTACCCTCTGCGTTATCTCTGAACTTTTCGGCCTCTCTCAGATCCTGCTGTTTTTCAATGAGCTTTTGGTTTCGGCTCTGTAATTCTCGAAGAATCCACTCCACGCGTTTGAGAAGCCTCATCTCAAGATTGTTAAGGCGTGCTCCAAGATATGGATCTGGTATCTCCACCGTCAGAGAAGGCACGCTATGCCTTGTTGATCGTGTCATGGCGATGGCCTGTAGAGCGCAGGCCCGCCTATCGTCGAGAAGAGTAATAGCCTTTTCTTGGAGCCTCACAACTCGCCTTTGGGATTGCAGCCCCTCTTCATGCTTCTCCATGAATGTGCGTGCACCGCCGAAGGCTAGGAAGGTGGGTAGTGCTATTGCACTAAAGAAAAAGGGGCTGAGAAGAAGCCTAGCGATGGGCACAAACCAACTCAGGATCGTGTATATTACGGACTTCTCATTGTCCATTGACCTTTCCAGCATCTGTAGGTCATTTTCCAGATGGTCGGTATTCATGAGGGCTTGCTCCACCTAGCTTGCAGTGGCCTCTAAGGATGAGGTGGTTTCGGGAAATTCTATACAGTGTTGGCGCTACCATACATATGGCCTATTCTGGTAAGGGTTGTATTTTGATGGGGAATAAGCGTACCCTCTGAGCCAAGTAGCTCTTCGCCCAACAGTCTTTCCCGCACGTTACGCGTCGGGCTGTAGTCGAACGATGAAGTAGCCGCTTTCGCAGCAATCCGGAGTGGTTCCATGACCTTTTTGAACTCTTGATCTTCAGAACTCGAGAACTTGCAGATCCTAGTATGGCTTCGGTTCGGATAGAACTTTCCATTCTTGTCCGTCGGGTAGCCCGAGAATGGAAGAGTCTTTTTCAACAACCTGGCTACATGTTATATGATACTGCTCACCATCGCTTTCGGGCCAGTGGACGGGGACTTACTATGCCGACACCTGGCTCACCAATCGTCTCGCAGACACTACAGAACATGTAGGCACCAAGCAGTGGTTTGAATGCTTCGTTGAGCTTCTCATTGTAGGCAGACCCCTCCTCTATGCTGGTCAAGAAGGATGCGTTGTAACTTCCTGTGTAGAGGCGAAGAATATCGGCGGCGATCCTTCCCCACGTAGCTGCCTTTGTTCCGCGATGAGGTACTCCAAAGAAGAGAATGCCGTAGGTAAACACCCAAGTGGTAGCGTAGGTGCCGTCGCCATGGTATGCCAACGCTAGAGCGCTTTTGACAATGATACCGCCGAGGCAATGAGCGATGAATATTATGGGACGGGTCATGGCATTACCCTACCGTGTGGGAAGCAATAACGTCAGCCAGGGTATCTTGAGGGGGGATAGACCAAACCATTCATAACTAAAATGGACAATAACCGACCTTGCGTTCCGCCTTCAGGCAATTGAGCAAGTTCATTGCCTGCTGTTCGACTCCGGCCGTGGATGCTTCCAGCACAACGTTGGCATTGTATTCATACAACAGTATTCTCGCGTTTGGGAGTTCATGTGGGAGTATATCCCTCAGCCAATGAGTTTTGGATTCCAGGTCGGTCCAGGAGTTGTCTCCATGGTTGCTGTTATTCACCGTGTTCATCCCGTTTACAGCAACTATGCTATTCCAGAAGAGTAAGACATCAGGATGAGATTCGCTCTAGAAGTGGCGACCGGGGGCATACTCTAGCTCCGGGTCCGAGGCTGTGTAGATTTCTCGAAGCCAACTTGTGTTCCCGTGACACATTACCCCCGGTCGGGAGATGGGTGGATGGCCTGGCCATCACAAGAGCGTATCTTGTAGGAACTAGAGGACAGGACGTGGTGATCGCGCTTGATGTTCTGGATCGAGCTCATCGGTGATGATGAAGGAGACCGGCACTCCAGGTCCAAGAGCGTTCCTTAGAGATTTGTTGATGCCTAACAGTTACCCCGCTCCTTGACGCCCCCTTCGAACACAGAGGAAAAGGCAGACAACGCCGGAGGCACAAATGAAAGAGGTAAAAGCATTCTTTCGGTCTGTCACGTGCGTCGTTGAATGGGTAGCAAGTGCTGGTGGTCGAGATGGAGCCTTGTTATGTAGACACTCGTGCAACATGGCAGCAGTCAACCGAGCCGGGTTCACCGGCTCAAAAGCAGGCCGCGGCAGGTAAATTAATCTAGCCTGACTATTTACTACTGATAGCCTGTCTCAGGGAAGTTTTCTATTACCTACCGCCTACAACCGCCTCACCCAGCCTGTTGGGTGTCGACAACTGCTTTAAGAGGTTATACTAGCTTCTGTAATCCGCTGTAGTTGGCATTTGATTGTGACTTTGCTGTTAGTTGCCGACGTTATTGATGTGATCTACTCGAGAACTTTTGATTATTACAAGAATACTCTCCAGTGGCACTCCCTACAGGCCTAGAGTAACCTTCGAGATTATTAGCCGAACTGAACATCACGTACATAAAGCCCCAAGATTTTTCTCCACCCAATCACTTCCCTGAAAAGTAGCAATGTTGGCCTTTCCATTCGGTTAAGAGAACTTCCTGTTGTTCTCCCCTTTGAATTTCCCCTTTCAGTCCTCTCTTGCTCCTCTTCCTCTTCGACGTGTTGCTCCTCGACCTCTGCCTCATCCTCATCCACTGATTTGTAGCAGAGATATTTGTCCGTCTCCTCAGAATCCTGAAATACCGCCTGCGCATCGGCATCTTTTCTAATATCTATGCAGACCAGGTGTTCGCCGTTCTCATTAACGACTTTGAGGACGATAAAGCCGCTAGCCAGCACAGTCGACAGAGTGGTTGGCACGTCGATAGAAAATCCGCCGCTCCCCTCATCAGCCTGTCGAAACAGGGCGTTGTACGGGCCTCTAGTCTTGAGTATGGTCTCGCTCTCGCCATGGAGAAGGTACAGGAGGATAGTTTGTGGGGGGATTCCGCTTACGTCTTGCACCTCCTTGATGCTAGAGCACACGATACGGCCGCGGAGAAAGTCGTGCCACGGCCACTGGTTGACGAAGCGCGATTTGGCCAGCACGACGAGGAATGCTGCGAGAAGCCAGCTGAAGGACGTGATCTGGAAAGGGTCTACGCCGTTGATTTTCGCCCCGACCGAGAACGGGACTGCCATGGCGCCGCAGACAAGTAAAGCGGCACCGAGTATGACGCTGACGACGTAAGACCGGCAGTTGATTGTGATGGAAAACTCGTCAATGACCCAGTTTTTCATAATTTCTTGTTCCCGCCTGTATTCACCGAGGACGTCCCGACTATCTTTGGCCGCATCAGAATCAGTTGGGAGCAGCGTGTTGGTCCCGGCTGCTCCGGTGGCATTAGCAGATGGACGAAGTCACACGCACGTCACAGTAGTAAGATTGAGGGGTATATGGTTTGGGGGGTAGGACCTTACCTCGAATTCCATGCTTCAATGGGCCCTCAAACAGGGAGCGGCAGAATGGATCTTGGTACTTTCTTTTCCCGAAGGATTGCTGATTGCGCCGGAACTCCTCGGTCGCAAGTTGAAAGACGGCTTGGAATTGTCGCGGTGGAGGCTCGAATTGTAGGATGGGCTCGTCGTCTTCTGCCCCGAGTTCGAACAAGGTCGAGACAAGATATACCGCCGAAGCCATTGTTACAGCTGAGCTTGGCGTAGCGAGCGTCTGCGCGACGACGAGGGTTACAATATCATCCATGTTCGTAAGATCGTAGGCTCCTTCAGGCTGTATCGATGTCTCCCCCTCGTCGTACCATTTCCATGTGAATCTAGCCCCGACCTCGCGTCGAGCGAGACCGATCGCTTCCCGCTGCATAACACCCCTTAGATTCGTCATCATTAGCAGCACACCGCTGTAAATGAATGAAATCTGCATGCGCTCGCTGGTACAACTGAGGTGGCCTCGCCGATTGTTGCTGACTGAGGTTGTGAAGCCGCTTAATCCGGTTCGGTAGACCAATTGACAGCTCTCGAACCCCCCAACGGGACCCTTGAACCGCCGGCTCTTGTCCTCGGCCAATCCATCGACGACTGAGTAGAACAGGGCCTCAAGTTCCCCCCGGAAAAACTCCTTTTCCATGTAGTAGTGGGACGTAAGGTCGTCCCTTTCGTTGAGCGCTAAAATCTCTTCTTCCCAGCCTTTCTTTCCCTTGGCAGCCTTTTTCACTTTCACGGATACTGCGTTTGGCACAAGTCCGCCCGACACAAACTCGTCAAGGATATCTTCTCCGGTGGCCAAAGATATCCGGGCGTTTTCAACTGGGTCGTATGCCGTTACTTTGAGCTTTACTGCCCAAGCTGCCAAAACGGCAAACATGTCTTGCTGCCAGTATCTCCCAACTGCACAGCGGACCCAGTATCTCGCAATTGTGCCTAAAACGTAGTCCACCATGGCGTGGTACAATTCTCGATTCCGGGACGGCGGCTCAAGCAGGATGGGTTGGTTACCCTCGATTTGATCTTCATCCGCAGCGTATCGGCGCAGCAGCACCTTCCTTGAAAATTTGAACTGTTTGATAGAATCCGCCAGACTGTTGGCCCCCATTTTTTCAACAGCAATCTGAGAGTTGTCATGGGAAATGATGGCAAAGTTACACTGGACCTGGTCAACAATATTGGATATATCGTGGAAGTCGCCTGAAGATACTCCCTGGAGGTGGCCGTTACTGTCAAAGAGGTAAGGCTCCTCTCGAGATGCCGATTCAACTAGCTTTCGGATCTCCTTGCGGAGAAGTTTGACGTATTCCTCATTTGGGACGCCATACGGTTCGCAGTCGTCGAATTTTTTGAGGTCCTTGAGCGTGCAGGTCCCCATCTCGTATCTTTTATAGTTTTGTGTTATGTTGAAGATTCTTTCCTCATTGAAGTCGAAAGGCCTGTCGCTTCTGGAGACCAAATTCCTTCGAACATGCTTCGAACCTCTCCGCGGAGAGCTGGCATGGCGTGAGGCCAGGTGGAACTGAGACCCAAATGCATCCACCACCCCTCCATCGATCGCCGCTTTCTCTGGATCTCCAAGTCGCGTTGCTCTAAACAACTTATTCATGCTGAAGAAATATGATTTTGTAGGCGGCGGGTTTTCTCCCTTCTTTTCTTTTCTTTTCCTTATGACGGACCGTTTTATGCTGGGTTGAAACTACCTCCTGAGGCCAACTCACCGGACTAGACAGAGCCGGGGAGGGAACCAGCTTTGTTTAGTGTGTGGCTAACACAACGCCGGACAGACGTAGCCCTGCCCATCATATACTCATCGCGACAGGGCTTGATTGGACAAGTGCAGCTCATCTTAGTACGCTCTCGCCGGGGGGGACGTCTGGTGCCGCCATTATGCCAGTTCTCCGGCGAGAGCGCTGCGCCACATACTTCGTAATCAGGCGGAACCCCTTAGATGGCCAATAACCTGCCGACAGCTTGTCACCGTCCTCGATTAGGATGGTTATCGCGGCCGACTGATCCAATGAAGAGGCCACCAACTCATCGAGGACACGCAACTTGAGACGGACGAAGCCGTCGCCAAGCCTGTATTGAAAGTTGCCCGGGGGCTTGGCTTCCCTCAAATGATTAGAAGATCTCATAAGGTAATCCTCTTGGAGGATGTCACAATTGCGGAAACCGCGACACTCACGACAGAAGCATCACTTCGCAATTTTTTTGAGTAGCTAAAACTTACAAGCGCAGGATACCTGAAGTCCAATATGTCTATTTCCGATTACAATAAACTCCTCTCTATCAGGAGCCATGTAGATGATTCCGATAGCCAACCAACCCCAAGCATTTCGGACGAGCAGGCCGATACATCCGACGATGAGGGGGCTTTCGGCCCAATGACACCCGCAGATAACGAAGGCTCCAAGGCGGCTTTCATCGATATAACAGAGCGAGAGCGATCCTACGGAGAGCCTGTCGTCACACCAACCAGCTTTTATGCCAAAGGAGGTGATAGAGACAAGCCCTATAGAACTTACGCACTCCTTCTGCGCCGGAAACTCCAGGAGGATGGCCAACGGCGCTACAACCAGCTCGAGATACGGTCCAAGTTCATCCAAAAGGCTCTGCAGAAGCTCCTGGTCAACTATAGCTACATCAATCTTGCCACCACACCGATTGTTATCCGTGAGCCGTACGCGGCACTCTTTCAACACCGTGAGGAGATTCGAGAGTACGCGAAGTCGAAGACGCAAGGCCCGGACCAAAAGGCCCACATGACCCAGCTGGTGCAATTTATGAATGTTAACCTCGCCAAGCTGGAGAGGGAGTACCAAATCTATGCGCCGTCAAGTTTGTCGACTTTTGACCTCCTTTGGGCTTTTTTCCGGCCAGGGACTTTGGTGGTTCACCAGACGGACCATTTCAGGGAATGTCGCCGCGTCATTACGACGGAGACGAAAGTGGTGGAAAAAGGTCGCAGGGTCTTTGAAATCTGGACATGGTCTTGGGATTATAATGGCATTTCATTCGGACCGTCGAGGTCAAGTTTGCGAATCGACGAGTTTCCAGGGGCCTGTAAGCTCACCGAACTGGAAGTCTTTCCTCTCGACTTGATACCAGACGCTGAAGCCATCTCTCGAACTCTTATTGAAAGAGGGCAGAAGTGGCGCGAGTGCGTTCACCTTTCCCATCGGGATTATTGTGGTATATTTACCCTACCCTGTGCCAGGTATTATCCTGTCTGAGCAGGAGCCATAGGCTGACTCGATCCGAAAACAGGACTCGCATGGATGGACAAAGAAACGACAAGTAGTTTTAGGGCAGCCGCAGATATGAGCGAACTTGTACCCATCCATGTATGGTCCACTATATGTTGTCTCTGTCGTTTTTTTTTCTAACACCTAGGCTGGTTTAAGGTAGACGGAAGGGTTGTTCTAGACTACAATTCCCATGCGGAAGAGAATTATGCACTTGCGACGGTTCTATACGGCACGAACGGTCCGATTCAACCACAAATCCACAGGCGTTCGTCAAGCCCGTCGCTGCGGACCTGGCAGGCATCCCAACTTCGGAGGCGTTCACGTAGCCCGAGCCCTGACCCGTTGCACGAAGCGAGCGCCGAGTTTCTGAGCCTAACGAAGTGCTATACTAATAGCGAGGACTACGAAATCACAGATGACCAGGCTTTGCTAACTCCAGCTCGGTTGAGGGGCTTTTCTCTCAACCACAAGATGTGGGCCTTCTTCCTCGTAGATAAGGTGACGCCAATCAAGTGGATCCAGAATCCTCTCCATCAACTCCAGCTCAAGCAGTCGACCAAGAGTACGATTGAGTCTCTGGTGTCTCATCACTATCGATCTGAGAAAGAGCGGGACATGATATCGAGAAAAGGCAAGGGGTTGGTCATTCTTTTGTACGGAACGGCAGGAACAGGCAAGACGTTAACTGCAGGTACGCCCCAACCTCGCTCAACTCCCAAGCCAGTGTTGTCTTGCAGAGGCTTACTATCTGGGCTGAACCCATCCTTACAGAAACGATTGCCGAGGCAGCTCATTTGCCTCTCTATTACGTCGGGGCCGGCGAGCTCGAGCGTAACCTCATGGATACGGAGCGCAAACTGCAGCGCGTACTCGACCTCGCTCGAGCCTGGAGGGCCATCGTCCTCATCGACGAGGCCGACGTCTTCCTCACTAAGCGCAACCTCGACGATGTCGAGCGCAATGGCCTCGTGTCCGTCTTCCTGCGCGTACTCGAGTACCACGAGGGCGTCATCTTCCTCACCACCAACCGTATCAACGCCTTCGACGCAGCTTTCATGTCGCGCATCCATCTGCGCATCAAGTACCCGGCCCTCGACGCGCCGACGCGGGCAAAAATCTGGCAGACGGCGTTGCAGACCGCCGCCGCCGGGGGTGCTGATCTGGACCAGCTGGACGACGGAGCGTGCGAGGCCCTGGCGGAGAAGTACGAGCTTAACGGGAGGGAAATCACAAATCTGGCGAGGACGGCTCATTCCATTGCCAGGTCTCAGGGGCGAACCCTCTCGTTGGAGCTAGTGGAGAAGCTGTACCAGTTGAGCATGTATGATACGGATCCGGCGACAGATTAGTATCAGGTATTCCCGGAATATATCCCCCCATGTACGACCAAATTAAGGTTTCAACGCCCACTTTGTAGCTCTCGCATGAGAGTACATCCGCCTCGAACACCGGCAAACCATATAGACCTGGACCGCCGAATTGGTCTGGATTCCAGGATGGATCATCAACTGCCTCCGCAGCCTGCAGCTCCACAGAGCGATGCTATTCTCAACAAGTCCCATTGTAGCTTCAGAAGATCGTCCGAGATTACGGCTGCGGGGTTATCAGAGGTGGTGTCGAAAAGAGACCCACCGAGGAGGGGATTACCGGACACTAGATTCCTCACGGCGACGACACTCTCCTCCTCGGGCCAGGTCAACTTCTCTCGGCGGTCATTGGCAAGGGCGGACAATTTGTGATGGACGGTGACACTGTTTTTCTTAAGTCATCGGAGACGCATTCTGACCTCATTAGAGAGGTTGGCCAACGGGTTCGGGCACGAAATAGGCCTTCCCCCACCAGTAGTGGAGTGTTGGGTTTAGGCAAACCGTATTGTGGTCCGACGATACTAGAGTCTGCCACGAGGAATGGCCGCCTTACTGTCAGACTACCGCTAGGGCAAAATAATAGGGTAACGCTACCCAACTACTCCAACCCTATCTTGCAGGTTATCTAGGTTCCAATTCTTAAAAAATTGGGAACTTCATCACCAAGTTATCGTAGGATTCACGACCAAACTATACTGGACGTACGTACACACCTTCCCAGGAAGAAGGCAAATGAACACTAGATACGCCAACGCAGCTAATAACCCAAGATATCGATATCGCCAACCGTCCCAAACTAGCATTGCACATCCCGTTTTCACTCCTCCACTAGTCGCACAAACTCGATAAATCTCGGCTGTCTCTGAGCCCAAAGCCTCCTCATACGCCAACTTGAAAACTGCCAGATATGCTCAATAAACTTGGGATTCAGCACAGCAATGTTCGTTTCGGGGTCTTTAACGATGAGTTGTTCCTCATCTGGCCAGTTCACCGTCAAGGCGTCGGAAATATCCCGTCCGAGTCCGCCCTTGTCGACCTGGCTGTGGTATGAGACGAGGAAGTCCCGGAGGAGCGGCCAGGCGATGAAGTCTACGCTGACGGGATGTGGCCGAGTCCGTTGGAGCTCGGAGGGTCGGAACCACTCGGGGATATCATGCCATGTTTCTATCATAGGATCGATATGCCACTGGATACGTGAGATCGAGGATGTCAGCCTGTGAATTTTCCAATCGCGGAGGAAAAGGGTCGGGGCCAAAGATAGGAAATTAGGTGGGCTTCACATACTCGAAGTAGCCTGTAAAGAATAAAGTAAATAGCTATAGAATCTGGTAATGATATAGGGCTCGTCCGTCGCATGAGCCTGCCAAGCACCCGGACAATTGGGTTGGAATCCACGTCAATCAATAATAGATTGGCCAGAGACGGTGACCGAGGATATTTCGGCACGTTGCGAGCCTGTCCGAGCCGCGAGATGTGGGCTTCGAACAGGAGCTGAGACACCTCGCGCTCGAAGCATTCCGTGTGAACGTGATTGAGGAAGCAGCACAGACAGTTGAACTGCGTTGTGCTAGAGATGGTGGGGGATAGGAAGAGGGGAGGATCAGCAACCAGCTTGTCCAGAGCCAAGGCGTCGGCGTGTGCGGGAGGGAGAGGGTATGATGCGTGTATCATTAAAGACGCGTCCAGCACATGATGGATGTAGTCGTTGGGTATTACGTCGCTCGTAAAGTCACCCGGTATATAGGTTTCTTCATATGTCATAGTGTTATCAAGACCGTCGCCATCGTCACGGCCACTGCCGCTTCCTTTGGCCTCTCCAAAATCTATCGTCTGCAGTGTCGTTTCTGGTGCTTCGGGGCTCAGTATATCCGCGATATCCGGATAATAGGGGAGCTGAACTTCCTCCTCTAACGTCCCTGATTGGGAAGCCGCTGCAGTAGAGAATTCATATTCGAAGCCCGTACTACTTCCACTGGACGCCACCGATTCGGCCACGACCGGAAATGCGCTCGAGTCTGAGTCTGGTGTTAATTGTAGGGGATGTAACAGCGGTTGCGTCGACTCGTCAATGGGTCGGCCAACTAGGTTTTCTGTCATAGTCTTTAACGCATCATATCTAGCCCTTAATGCTGCAAGTTCGTTCTCAATCACGGTCATGCGCTGTCGATTCTTCTCTCGGCTGGCCCTTTGGCTCTCCCTATCCCTGGCACGCTTCCTTTCCAGCTGCGCCTTGGTGCGAACCCTCTTCTTGGGTGTTGGGCTTAGTCCAGTCTGCGGATCCGTCATGGCTGGGTGTGCTTTGTCGATCAGAATGGAGGATTGTCGAGAGTGTCGAGAGTCGGTCTCGAGTTATAAGGTGGGGTCGTAGAATGAAGGTTGAGCTCGACGATTTGTGGGGATACAAATAAACTCGACACAACTCCGGGGTAATCGAGTCTGAGTGGTCGGAGAACCCTAGTTGCCTGAATGCACTGCACTATTTAGGGCTTTAGAGTGCGGGGAAGCTTCTGAGGTTAAGCCGAAAATGGAACGCTCCCCCTGCTAGCCCCTAACCGGATGGTTCGGGGAAGGCGAAATAACCCAGCTCCCTGGGCCTCGGGTTTATTCGTGGAAGGACGTGCGCGTCGTTGCGACTGACCAGCACATCTGTCTCTCACTGACACTCAATGTACGCAGCGCCATCTCCAAAGCGCGAGGTGAGATAATATCCGGCTCCGTTCGACCGGGTCAAATAACCCCCACCATCTCTGATAGTGTTGATGATGCTGAGACCCGGCATGCCATTCAATGCCTTAGCTGTCAGTGCCCGTTACCTCCGCTCACTCGGTGGTTTGGGATGGGACTGAAGTTGTTGTGTCATATCAGGTTGCATGCGGTATAAATACAGTTTGTCGTGTAAGAGCGTACTAAAAGCAGTTGTTTGATTTATGTGTGCGTCCTTGCCTATGTAAGTGGAGCTTGAACACTTGAGGATGGGCAAATCTGGAGGTTTTCTATCCATCTGTGAATACCTTCCGTCTCGGCGACGCACGGGATATGTCAGTTTGTTAGAACCGTTGATCCCTGAAATTCCATGCTGAAGCGAAAAACATCCCGCCGAGGGAAGTCTTTTTCGCCCCCCGATTTCTTACTCAATCCACACACCATTCCTTCTTGCATTATGAAATCTGCTGTTGGATTCGCCCAACAAGAATCTCTCATCCCGAACTTCCACTGAATCAATACACCATCTCTACCTCGTTCACCTCTATGAAATCGGATACCGCACAGACCCACCAACTGCTGGGACTCCGGCCATATCCCGGATCCCGGCACATGACTTTGTCCTCCCATGAGTCTTTATTTTTTTATTTTCTATTTTTTTTATTATTTTTTTTATTTATTTATTTATTATTTTTTTTTTAACAAATGGACTTCCGAAATCCGACATTGCCACAGACCTTGAGGCGGAGCTCTGTGAGCCACCTCACACGTCGATGACGACATTTAGAAGGGCTGTATCGATTGGATATTATACTTCAACCCATTGTGGGCGCACTTATTGTGCGGACACGGAACTGAAGTTATGGGTCATGGATTCAGGATTCATGGGCAAGTGGAAAGGTCCTGTAGAGTGTCTTTGCAAGTTGTACCTGCCGCTCACCTAAGTTCTCTTTGTGTTTATAAAGAAGGAAAAAAAAAAAAAAAAAAAAAAATCCGGCGCGGCCGGGTATCCTTCCTTTCGGAACTTCGATATTCAAATGACCTGTGATGAATCAATCTTCTCTGAGATATCCTCAATACTCTGTCTAATATCAACCACTAATGTCAGCTAGTACCGGCCAGCTACTAGCCGGCCCAATAGACAGTGTTGCAATCATAACCGGACGCGGGCCTTCTCAACTGATCGTAATCAAGTTGCACGCAGTGGACTGGTCACAGGTGCTAATGCGAGAGTTCCTCTCATTTAATCAGACGTGTGCTAGATCTTCGGATCTCCAGCTCCGGCTAAGTAGCGGCTATCCCGAAGATAGGCCTGGAGAGTAATATGAGGCCTTTCGGCAAGGCGTTCGATATCTCCTAACGTCGTGAGGTCCGTGGATGTGGAATACGCATCTTGAGTTCGAGCTTGTCAAATAGCCTCGGTAATAGGGCTATTAGTCAAATTTGGCCGAGCGTCGTCTCTGACCCAGTGCGTAAGGGTGCGAATACTTAAAGATTGATTTATGTGTCGGGCTGAGGATTTAAGGTGAGGATACACAGAATGAGGACGGACGTCTGCCTCTTGGGGTCTCTCCTCCCGTCGACCGAGCCCTTCGTCTGAGGAAAGAGTTGACAAGCCGCAAAGGCTGCGGAAGAAAACATTTGTGACTTACTGCCCTTAACTATCGTACAAATATCAGGGTGGATGCGTGAGTTCTCGAGGTTGTAAATATGGCAACGCTGCACATGAACGTCAAGTTAGGTGCGTCCGCCTCAAGAATGTAATCGTGACAGGAATTCGGAAGAAACGACGACCGGTGACAGTGTAGACCCTATTGGCCTGCCATGACCGGCCCATACACATTCTGCCTACATGCACCCGCTGCGCTTCGGAATAAGTCTGAGAGAATAGAAAGTTGACACCGTGTAGGGAGGGCTGGCTTTCAATATTAAGTGATGTGCTAAATCCGCATTGCAAAATCCGGGGAACCTGCGGGGATCCGTCGTCATGCCGAAGTGCCGCCCCGCCTGCCGATTTGGATCATGCGCACGCAAGGCTAATTGTGGACGACGTCGTCCAGCATTTGAACAGGCACGCCACACCACACGGTCCCTCGTTTCGTGCGTCACCCCCCTGTCCGGATAACTCGGAGCAAGATCTCTCATCACTCAGCAAGGCCGACAGTCTAATTGACCTGAACCAGACGAGGAAAGACGGGCTGGGCGAGGTGAGTCAACCAGCATGGATCTTCGATTGACCACCACCACAAACGGCATTTAGAGTCTAATTCGTAGAGCCGTTGATCCGGAATCTGGAGAGACCGTTGACTCGCCCAATAGCTGGCCAAGCCATTCTCGCCTCGGCAGAAGCCAAACCGTGATATCTGGACCCCTATCCATTAATCGTTGGGGCAGCAGTAAATATCATAATTAATGCGCGGTTTCCCAAGGATAGACTTACATCTTGACGAGTTTCTTTTGTGGTGTTTAATATCCCTACAGACACCTTTCTTTATGTGGTTCTAAGCAAGACAGCATCAACACGAGCCGGAAGGAAAATGATATAAATTCCAAAATCATGACGCAAATGAAGGCTGCATTGTTCTATGGCCCTGAGAAGGGTCTCGAGATTGGCTACACAACAAAACCTGTGCCAGCTCCGAACCACATCCTCGTCAAGATCAAGGCTTCTAGTCTCTGCCACTCCGATTTTACTCTCCTTGACAATGAGCGACCAGCCCCCAGTTATCCCATCGTTCCCGGGCACGAAGGTGAGTGTCAAAACACAAGACGTCAGGAGATATACTACTACTAACGCGCTTTACATAGCCACCGGCGTTGTGGAGTCGGTGGGAAGTGATGTAACCGGCTTCGCGCCAGGTGACGCCGTCGGATTCCTGCTCTATCGAGACTATTGCAGTAAGTGGGAAAATAGTCTCTGCCTCACACGAGAGTAACGATATTCGGCCTCACATATATACCTAGACTCCTGCCCGGCCTGCAGCGTGATACAGATGGCCTGCCCTAAGGGTTCACTTCAAGGCTTTTCGGTCGATGGATACTTTGCCGAGTACGCTGCCGTCGACGCCCGTTCTGCGCTTAAGCTCCCTGATGGCATGGATCTTGTCTCTGCCGCCCCTTTGTTTTGTGCTGGCCTAACGGCGTACCATGGCGTGAAGAAATGCAACCTGCAGGCAGGGAATTACATTGGAATCATGGGAGTGGGTGGTTTGGGTCACCTTGGTGTGTAAATCCTCTCAATCCAATGTTTAATACGCCTCGCGGTATACGAGAAGGGAGACTTGTTGCTAACCGCCGCTCTTTTTGGGTGCTTTAGCCATTCAGTATGCCGAGAAGCTAGGCCTCAAGCCAATCGCTATCGATATCGACAATGCGCGACTAACAGATGCCCTAAACCTTGGTGCGGTAGCTGCTTTCAACACTCGTGATCCCGAGTTTTCCAACGAGATTCGTAAGGTCACTGGGGGCGGCCTTCCTGCGGTATGTGTCTTTAGTGGTGTGACCGCTGCGTACGCCTCAGCAGTGCAGTGTTTGGCGATCGGCGGTCTGTTGATGGCTGTGGGCATGGTAAGTATTTCTTCCCATTCCACCACAATAACATCATCTTGTTCGCAATTAAACTCGAAATAACAACATACAGGCGAATGGCGACTTGCCAGTCACTTCGATGCAGGTTGCCATGGGCCTCATCCGAGTACAAGGAGCATCGTCAGGGCGGCCTGACGAGATGGCGGAGTGCATCACCTTTTCTCACAGGCATAATATTCTGCCCAAGACTACCGAGTATTCGCTGGATGATTTCCCAAAGATGATCGACCTGATGCGAGCGGGGAATTTTCATGGACGCATGGTTGTGACCAGTTTCTAGTCAACTATTCCAATTCTATGTCGAGAGTAGATTAGCAGATCGCGTCTCGAACGAGGGGCAGTCTTGCCTCTTTAGCATATTACTAGTTTATGAGAACCTGTGCCTTGTGAAACATGGTGAAGCTAAATAATCTACTACGGGATATCGTGTACCTGTTACCTATCTGTAAGGTTCCTCGTGAGACAGACTGAAGGGGAGTTGTAGGACTAGTAGAGGTAAAAGTGCAGCCCTAGTATTAAAGTGTCACTAATCGCTGATTCCTTCCCCCCTTCTTTCCTACAGAAAGTCTCCCTCTTATATCCTGACCGAGTTCCTCCTAGACCTCCCGTCAATCTCTCTCTTTCCTAAAGAAGTTTCCTTTCCCGTTCAGCTTGCTTGGTCTAGACCTGTCTTATACTTATCTTACGCGTCAACTCGGCAAGTCTTCAGCTCTATAGGCATGCTCTGGTTGGCCTGTTCTCTACCTCAAGCCACTCCTGGCTCGGATGCTGGCTGCATCTCATGCTGGTTTCGGCATTCTATAGTGATCCCGGTGCTCCACTTGCTCTGCCATTGCCTTGCGGTCACTCCGTGCCGTGACACTATCCCGATGATCCGAGTCCGATCGTCTGCGAAGCTCAATTTCACCCGTTTGGCCATCGTCAGATGTGAGAATTCTGGTAAAGGAGAGGCAATTCGACTGCTACTATTACTATTATTTTCATTCTCGCATATTAATTCACATTTAATTCATGAACGGCATTTTCTCACACATACAAGAATGCATTCAAGTCGCTATCAAAACTTTAACTACCGAGGGACAGGCAGATCCGTTATCCTCAATCTCCTCCAAGGCGTAGTCTTTAATAGTTCATACTAGAAAATGCCATCGTACTCAGTCATCAAAGCCAACGTTTACACTGGTGGGTGGGGAGAGAAGCCAAGGAAGAAGTTGAAGAGAGACTTACTTGATCAGGACAGTCTTCGGTTCGGTATACGCTCTCAAAGCATAATGGCTCATTTCTCGCCCAACTCCCGATTGTTTAGTCCCTCCAAACGGTGCCTCCAGGTTAATGTAGCTTACGCAGTTGATACCTACGACACCGCTGTCAAGCTCAGCAGCCAACCTCATCGCCCGGTTAATATCCTGAGTAAAGACACCAGCCATGAGGCCAAACTCGCTATCATTCGCCAACCGCAGGAATTCAGCCTCGTCCTTAAAAGTCCGCACGCAGACGACAGGACCGAAAATCTCCTCCCGGTACAGTTCGGCGTTTAGGTCCGGGTTGAAGAGAATGGTAGGCTCCCAGAAGCATCCCTTGTCGCCGTGCCTCTTGCCTCCGACAAGAACCTGCGTCTTTCCAGCGTCACGCTCGAAAAACGACGCAACGCGCTGTAGCTGGGACGCATCGGCAAGGGGACCGAGCTCGGTACCGAGGCCCTCGATCTTCTTTTTCATCGCCTCCGTGAACGCCGCGATGAATTTTCCGGCAATCGATTCTTGGACGTAAAGCCGGCTGGCGGCAAAGCAGGCCTGGCCGGTATTTTGGGTTATCGCTAATGTGCTCCAGAAAACGGCATTTTCAAAGTTACAGTCATCAAATATGGCCGACGGGGACTTCCCACCGAGCTCCAAGGTGACTCTCTTGAGGTTACTGGCGGCCGCGGCCTGTTGGATCCGCTTACCCGTTGCGACGGATCCGGTGAAGCTGATCTTGCGGATTCCCATGTGGCTTGAAAGCAAAGCACCGGTCTTCCCGTCGCCAGGCAAGGTCTGAATGACTCCGGGCGGGACGATGCCAGCTTCTGTGGCGAGGGCGGCGAATCGGATGGTGCCGAACGGAGTCTTTTCGCTAGGTTTGAGAATCATGACGTTTCCGGTTGCCAAGGCCGGGGCCAGCTTAAGGCACATGGTGCTGATGGGTCCATTCCACGGGTTAATTCCGCAAGTCACACCAAGCGGTTCGTGTCTGACGATCTTCATGAATCCGTCGTGGGCGGGTGCGGATTCTCCGACGTACTTGTCCGCCCAGCCGGCATAGTCTTTAGACCCAATGCTCGGTTAGAATCGCGTTCGGATCAATAATTTATGCGTGAGGATGTGTACGCCTTTGCTTACACTTGAAGATTGAGACGCCCATATCAACCTCCATTTTGGAAAACGCCTCGGGCTTTCCTATGGGTGTGGCATCGAGCCAGGCCAATTCTTCCTTGTGCTCGAGCAGCAACTCGGCTAGCTTCAAGAGGCAGTCTCCTCGCGCGGCGGCCGTGAACTTCTTCCAAGGTCCCTGGAGGGCAGCCTGGGCAGCGGCCACAGCAGCATCTACGTCTTCGGCAACCGCATATTGGATTTGATCGGTGATAAGCGTCTCGTCGATCGGGTTGTAGAGACCGTGTCGCTCTGTGGAGTGGCTATCAACAAGCTAAAAGGGGATGGTTATTAGCGGAAAGAAGGCTAGCGTAGCTTCCTCGCCGTTATAACTGGGAAAAATGCAGGTACCTTGCCATTGATGAAGAGCTGAGTCGGGATTTGGAATTTCTGGGGCGTTCTTCCGGCCATTGTGCTTGTTGATCAGTGTCTTGGATTTGATGGACTACGATTGTAGATGGGATGGCAGCAGTGGATGTCCTTCAAGTCTCCTTTCGTTGTAGCGTAAATATGTACAAATTGAAAGTTTTCGAACTGTGAAAATGCGTGTCTTAAATGAGTTGCGAGTAGCTTTGGAGAATGTCAGCTCGGGACCATCGTAGTGGGCCTTAAGTCCGAGTCCATCGGGGGACCAATTCCTCTTTGACTGCCTAAAACTTAGGTGTGCGTCCTCCTGATGGAAGATGGTGTTCCAGGATGTCATGTCGGGCTTTCCAGAAGACAGGGGCGAGTCAGGACAGCCCAAGCGGAGTAGAAGACAGAAACTTGAGTTCTCCCATATCATTTCTTAGAGGGCGTGTGCCACAGATCTCCGTTATGCGGGGAAACTAGCTCAAGGGCTAGATCAAAGCGAGGACGACGTCGTCCACTTCCCCACATTCGGAGTTAGGCAAGCCTCCACGCGCCAGCGCTCTAGGATTTGGTACAGTCCCCCCCTTCCTGCTCCCGGCCCCCTTCGAATGGACTCATGCTGTTCAATACATAAGCCAGGGTCGGTGCCTGTCATATTCGGCGGCTTAGGGTGGACCGAAGTTGCATATCCTGACAAAATGAAAGACGAAAGGCGGGTAAAAACATAATCCATTTTCAGATTCTAGACTTTCATTTGTACTAGCGAATGTTGGAGCTGCGACAACTTGTTTTGGACTAACATTCAATAGCATTATTGCATACCGGCCAGTATCATGTACGGATGCACGACTTTTGGAAATCAGATCCCGAGCACCGCCTAAACCAACCGCTATAGGACTGGGTGAAGAGGAGAGAAAGACTCCATCTGACTCCCTAATTGACTCCCTAGTTTGGTGATGTACTTGATGTTAAACCCAGTTTTTCCGGATGGTCGGTAGCCTGTGGTTATGGTCGCTAACTTCCATATCATCACGAATCATCTAGATCGCGTCTCCCTGTTAATATACCAGGTTTTGACAGTTTTCCTATGCCCTGGCCCCGAAGGAAAGCTTTCGATGGAATCTAGAGTGCCAATATTGGTGAATATGGTATTGCCACCCTCATTCTGATCTAGGGGCTTAATGTCCAGTCTGCTGTCCGTCTCAAGTTGTCGCAGACTCTCTTGGGCGGATAGGAGAAAGCCTGCCTGTATGACGCGGTTCGGTATGCCTGCTGCCACCTGTTGAATGGGAAATTCCAGTCGGGATAGTCGAGTCCGGAACTCGTGCCACATGTCTGTGGCTGCCTATTCTACCTTGAGTGAATGAATTTCTACCTTGGCAGTTCTGTTGCTGGTGTAGAGCAACATCCGGCCTTCATTATCCAATGAGCCTCATATCTGATCCACGATTCCTTCTTTGATTTCTAATCACTGAAAGCAGTACTGAGGACATATTTGAAGTTGCCAGGGGGGGAAGGTGATCACTCTTCTTGCAGACTTACTACAAGCTTGGTAAACTATGAGTCACAAGATACCGTGGATTTTCATTCGCGAAATCGTCTGGGCCGAAGCATCTTTCGGTGGTGGATTAGAAATCCAGGCTCGGGCCCCGCCGGCCCCGCGTGAGCATAGGCTGCCAACAAGGGAGACACTGGGCGAACGACAGTCGGCCTTACGCGTCGATGAGGGACTACAAACCTCGGTGAACGAGTACTTAGATAGCCCTTTCCCTATATATATAATGATGCTAGTGTCGATCTGTTAACACCTCAACCCTCTAGAACAACAGTACCTAAAGCTAAATATTCCCACCACCTTGCAATCTATTGCCTATTCCCCTCGCGACCAACCTAACATTCACTGTTCGATGCCGTCCATTATTGAGGAGCGGGCTTCAGCCCTTATCAAGTCATACAACTCTGGCAATATCGAAGTAATAATGGATCTGTTTGCCGAGGATGTTAAAGTCAGCGACTTTTGTGAGTGGGTATGCGAGGCATCTTCTACAAATAGCCAACTTACACATTCGCGCCAGTGATGCGTGCGATCGATCTCGACAAGGCTGGTACACGGCCGTTCTTCGGCGGGTTCGTCACAGATAACGAGAATGTCACTTTCTACACACGGGGTGTAACCGGATCACGCGAGTTCGTTGCCCATGAGATGACTATCGAGTTCCGGTCTGGTGGGGATATTGAATCGATCGGAATCGTCAAGGGTCAGTCAGTCCGGCTCGTGGGTGTGTCCGTGCAGTCGTGGAGAAAGGAGAGGAGAAGCGAGGATGATGACGTTGCTGGTGCCTGGAAGATATTCGACATGAAGGACTACTTTTTCATCGACCGTGGTAGCACCTGACGATGCTAGTTTGTATTGTTAGCCAGCTGCCTCGCAGGTAAACCTGGTGGGGAAGGGATAGGTGGGATGTAGTCGGGGAGGAGGCAAGGGGCATCTCCGGGATGGCCTGATGAGATGGCAGAGTGCATCGCCTTTCGTTACAAGCACAGTATCCTACCAGAGACTACTTAATATTCTATACATGACTTCGCAAAGCTGGACCTGATGCGAGCGGGCAAATCTTTTCCATGGGCGCGTGGTTGTGACCAGTTTCTAGTCATCGGGAAGCTTAACTCCGAATTCAAGCATCCCCTTGGGAGACCCATCACATCTTAGCCTGGGTCTACTATGTTTAAGCAGGGCGTGGTGTTAATTCTTCTCTTACTGTCCGTAGAGCTCAGATGTGCCTCTTCCAGATGCAAGACGCCGTCTGGGGATTTTGGGCTTTACACAAGAACAAGGCGAGTCATGACAGTCCAAGCAGAATAAAATACAGAAGCTACAGTTCCCTGAAATCACCCTCTTAGACCATGCGTGCTGTAGGGCCACGTTATGCGGAGAACTAGCTCGGAAATGATATCTGGGGTGGACGACGTCGTCCACTTCAGCCACATTCGGGGTTTAGCAAGACTCTAAACTGCAGCGCTCTCAGAAATGCGGCGGTTCCCTGATAGCCCAGACTGGACTACTCGTCTTCGTCAGCAGACCGCTCATCGAAATGCCAATATCCTTCTACGCTCAGATGCATCTAGCGCCGATGGGAAAGTCCCGTGGCAAGTCGAGCAATTGTGGGAGTGTACGAGTCAGCGCATTCCAGATTAGCCCGTTGTGTGAAGTGTCTGGTCTCAATGCACTTCCTAGCAGAAATTGAATAACGTCAAACCATAGTTGAGGTAAGGGAGCTAAGAACGCGATATCCGTCGCCGGGCCGTGTCTCGGCGTCGCTCTCTGATCTCCAATCCGAACTGAGCTTTTGGATATAATATCAATCACTTCCTCGCTCAGCGATCTTTCCAGTATTCCCATCGTCAGTGACTTAATCTTGCATTGATCCACCTTAAAAAACAATTTGATTCGTCTGAGTAGTCGAGAATAACGAAACATGTCCGGCCCTATCAACTCTAATCGCCCAATCCGGGTTATCATCATTGGTGCTGGTGCAAGCGGTCTGCTGATGGCCTACAAGCTTCAACGGAACTTCGACGACGTCACCTTCCAGATATACGAGAAGAATTCTGATGTCGGTGGCACGTGGTACGAGAATCGTTATCCGGGTTGCGCTTGCGATAATCCTTCTCATACATACGTCTGGGTGTGTTCCGGGTCGTCGAAACTTTAAATATGGCGCGGACTAATAATGTTAACTTGCGGCACCAAAACAGTCCTTTGACCCCAATCCCACGTGGTCGAGCTCGTACGCTTCCTCTTCCGAGATCTTTGATTACTTTAAGAAATTCCAATATCGCTACAATTTGGGCGAGGTTACCAAGGTTAACCACCAGGTGAGACCTCAACATCGCCTCTTCCCGCACTGCTACCGCAACATGGAGAGTTGGTGGCTAATTGTGAATACTAGGTCGTCGGTGCACGGTGGAATGAGGCATCGGGCAAGTGGAAGGTTAAGATAGAAGATACGACTACGCATGAACTCATCCACGATTCATGCGACGTCCTCGTCAACGCCGGAGGTATCCTTAATGCTTGGCGATGGCCCGGAATTCCTGGCCTTAAATCATTCAAGGGTCCCTTGGTGCACAGCGCTGCATGGGATGGGAAGCTCGACCTTAAGGGAAAGCATGTCGGTCTCATTGGAAACGGGTAGGTATTTATAGTTCCCTATGTGGCATAACTATTATTTTTATCCATTTTACCCTGCATTGACAAGTATCTTGTAGGTCATCGGGAATTCAGATCTTGCCAGCGATTCTCCCCGACGTCGCCAAGTGTACGACCTTTATCCGCGAGCCGACCTGGGTCGCCGTGGCGGGCTTTGCTGGATTTGAAGCTCGAAAGTTCACCGAAGAGGAGAGGGCCGAATTCGAGAACGACCCCGACAAGCTTCAGACGTTTAGGCGGTGGCTCGAGCATAACGCCAACAAGACGTTCCCGCTGTTCATCGACAACACTCCGGCACAGAAGTTTGCCCATGAGTCGTTCATTGCCGCCATGAAGGAGAAGCTGCAGGACGAGTACCTCGAGGACAAGTTGATCCCTGAGTGGGGAGTTGGCTGTCGTCGGTAAGCATCCACTAAGGATCATTGTTGACCGGACTGAATATTGACAGGGCGCTCTACATAGACTCACTCCTGGCATTGGATACTTGGAGTCTCTCAAACACGAAAAAACCAAGGTCATCTACGGAGAGATTGAGAAGATCACCGAAAACGGCTGTGTCACAGAAGATGGAAAGGAGCATCCAGTTGATGTTCTCATCTGCGCAGTCAGTTTTGACCCTTGGCCGCGTTAATACAGCACATGGCCGATGTTTCCAAAATTCTAATATATACTGAACCAAAACGTTTCTAGACCGGATTCGATACCACTTTCAAGCCTCGCTTCCCTCTGATCGGACCCCACGGCCGTAATCTCGCGGACGATTGGGTGAACGAACCCAAGGGATATCTTGGCGTCAGCGCGCCTGGGTATCCAAACTACTTCATGTTCCTCGGGCCTAACAGCCCCATTGGAAACGGACCGGTACTGGTAGGGATTGAAGGTACGATGCAATTTCGAGAAGGAATCAGATTTTCAGACAATAGTTTCTGCGACTAACAGAAGGCCGTTTCAGCCCAAGCCGATTACATCTGCCGCATCATCACGCGAATCCAGCAGCAGGCGATCAAGGCCATCGAAGTGACCCAAGAGGCCGTCGACGATTTCATCGCCTACAAAGATGAATACATGGAGCGCACCGTATGGCAGCAAGATTGTCGATCGTGGTACAAGGGCAATACCATTGGGGGTAAGATCGTGGCGCTCTGGCCTGGAAGCACTCTGCATTACCTCGAGACGATGAAGGAAGTGCGCTACGAGGACTTCAAAATCAAGTCCTTCGGGAATAGGTTTGACTACCTCGGCGACGGCATGACCAAGGCAGAAAAGGTCGGGGATGCTGATCTGGCGACGTATGTGAGGAAGACGGATGACTCGCCAATCGTTGGTTCCAAGTTTGTATACACCAAGGCTGGCCCGGAGCTCTCGGAATTGACCCTTATTACCGCCAAGGCCGAGGAGAAGAAGTGAGCGACAGCGCCAGTACAGGCAGAAATGACCAGGGTACATGTTTTCTTTGAAATAAATTACATCAGTAGAGCAGTGAGGCGAAGGCCTCCTACGAGGCCAATTCAAACACTGTCCCACTGTCCCACTAGTTCGAGACTGAGTCAGTGTTTACCATTTTATTCAAATATCACCCCAAACTGTTGCTGGTGTTGGTCGGCAAGCTCATCATAATTGATATCATATCTGTCACTTGCATCCTGATCGAGTCGCAGACCGGACGCCTAGACTGTCGTAGACTGTAGATTGCTTTGTCGTGCTAGAGAGCCTTTCCTGCATGGCCTGTTTTTCAAGTATTGAGACTACCACGCACGAGGGTCAGCTCTTTTGGCCGCTCCTTTGGAATCATAAGCAGTAACTCCCAACCTCGTGGTAGCCCTGTGACCTCACGATTCACGTATGAGTCTTGTCACTTGTCGAGGATATTGATCATCTTGTCTGAGTCCCACCTCCTGGCTGGATCGAAGAAATTGATAACTTAAAAAACCAGGATAATCTCCATGATAACTACAGGCTGCCGCCATCAATCCACTGTTTCCGAATAATACATATCCTTGACAGCAAGTCATCCGCCTTGTTGCCTGCGTGCTTAAGGATTCCACCTAAAATCGGGGTGTCTCCAATCGAGATCCGCAATCTGCTCGTGGGTTAACCCAGCCAGAAGCTCCTCCCGTTCAGCCGGCGCCATCTGATCACGCTTCTTGTTATCTGCCTTCATCCAGACGAGTCCTGCTATGGAAGCAATACCAATACAACCCGACACAGCCAAGTTGAGACCATTTCCAATTGGGTACATCGGGCCATCCCAAGGAAGGTAGGTCCATGTAGCAATCAGACCGCCAAAATAGCCCATCATGACTAGTGAATTCTGTTAGCACAATGGACGAAGTACTTTGAGGGAGGGCAGGGAAGGTGCAAGAGATCGGATTCTCCTTACCATTGGTTCCAATCGCCACGCTTCGCGCTGTATCGGAAACCGTGTTGGCGCTAACTTGAGCGTTTGACAAGGAGCCACCGAGGAATGCGCAGCTGGCGGCCAAAAACACGCCCGCATAGCGCACGTTTGGATTCTGGCTGCCGAGCAAAATGGCATAGCCTGCCATGACAGTGGGAGCGCTCATGAACAAGAAGATCTGACGCGTATTGTACTTTGTGGCCATCCACGAAAACGTCAGAAGGCAGAACGCGCCCACGACATAGGGCGGCACAGTGAGGAGCTGTTGCTGGACTGTTGTTCGACCAGGGTAGATGGCGCGGATGATCGTGGGCAAGAAGAAGGAGATTCCCAAGACGACCACGTTGCCGCAAAGGAAGATGAAGGCCGTAACCAGGGTGATGGGGTTCGAAATGCCGTTCTTGAGCTTCGCGAAGTTCATCTTGTCGACGACCTCTTCCTGGCCCACGCGCTCGCTCACCACTCTGGCGAGGGCGAGTTCTTTTTCCTCGGCAGTGAGCCAGCGGGCCGTCGAGGGATTGTCGGTCATGAGGAAGAGGAGGATGAAACCGAGGCCGGTGGTGATGATGCCTTCAATTCCGAAGATCATGCGCCAGGCGGTGAGAGATCCGAAGTGGTCGAGACTAAGGATAGCCGAGGCGAGAAGGCCGCCGAAGGCTCCGGCAGTGGGAGTCATGAGCATGTACATGCCTAGTCGGAATGAGAGCTCAGCATGACGGTACCAACGTGAGAGATAGTAGGCGACGCCTGGAAGCATGCCGGCCTCGAATATTCCAAGGAGGAATCGACATGCGATGATTTGCCCCTTGGTTTCGCAGAAGGCCGTGCCAATGGTAACGATACCGAAAAACAACGTTGTCAGGGGTAAGAACCAGCCAGGTCCCACGTATTTGCAAAGTAATACACTCGGCATCTCGCAGAGCGCGTAGGAGATGTAGAATATCGATAGAACCATATTGTAGTCTTGTCCCTTGAGGCCAAGGTCCTTTTCGAAGTTCGCAAGTCGTGCATTGCCTAGGGTGGAGGAACAAAAAGGTGGTTAGCATGGCGGACGTCGCAGAGTCTTACGGGAGCAAGCTGCTCACCGATATTTGCACGGTCGATAAAACAGAAGAGATACAACAAGGCCACCGGCGGTACAACGTAGCAGTCGATCTTTCGCCGAAGTTTCTTCTCTTTCTCGGGGTCCAAATACGGCGACACGGCTCTAGAGGGAGGTGGATGGTTCGTTAGTACAGCTGTGTGGATGGTGGCGTGTGGTCATTGAGGTTTCCTCACGATTCTGCCTCTTTGGCGCTCCCAGCAGCGGACACGGCAAGCACCGACTCGTACTGCTCAACGGCCGGGTTCGACTCTTTCTCCATCATTGGACTAGGCAACGGGACGTCTCAAAGTTGATGCAAAAATTTGGTCAAGATGGAGAAATCAAAGCCTTTGCTTGCAAATTGGAAGCCCGATGAGGGTATTCCACATTTTGGAGGAAAGCAGCTTTCATCTCCAAGTTTATATACTTCATTCATCCTACGTCTGAGCTCGAAGGTATTCACCACGAAACCCCATGAGTATCGTTTCCCCCCCACTACTTGCAAGGATTAGGGTCGTCCTTAGCTTGAAATCCTAACCAGTCAAATCTCCTGCGACTCACATTCCGTCGCAAAGGGTCGGATGCATGGTTGCACCAGCTTCCTTCGCCCAGGATCCCTTTCGGTAGTTGGATGTTGAGCCTTATCCCTCCTATCCCTCTAGGTGTGCGGTCATCTTCCTAGTTGTGGAGTAGACATCGCTTCCCCAGAGTTACCCCAGATTGTTACTACAGATTACTCCATGTCTGGGCACGTCGCCAGCGATACCCCAGCTCCGCACCTTAAGCAGCAGCTAGCGTCAACGACTTGACCATTTTTGGATATCCTTCGGCATTTTCCCCACATCTTAAATCTAAACTCGGTTTGCTGAACATTTGCCGAGACTGCACAAACCCAATATTTCGAGGTGGGTGGCAGACGAAGCATCCGTTAACTCCCCAAACTCCCCTAGCGCCTTCCCCTTATCTCCCCGCTCGTCTTGCCATGGCGGCCCCACTCGGACCCGAACCCGAAGAGGGCGGATGTACAGTTGTAGCCTTGTAACCCACACAGAGGAGGTGGATTTCGGTAGATGCGGGCATCTGATTGCTTCCCCGCAAACTCTTTTGAGGATTTGCGTCGCAACCGGTCGTTAAGATTTCCGGCGAAAATTCGGGACGGCACATTGGAAACGCCGAGCAAGGAAAGGATTTTTGGCATTTTAAACGAGAGGTCCCCTCTCGCCGCTCCGGTAGAAAGGTTGAGGAGTCTAAATTGGGACAGGATTTCAACCCAGCCAGAGTCTATCATCATGCAGAATCTTCCTTTGTCAGTCATAGTGCCAGGGCTCCTGGGGGCCGGTGCGTTTGTGGTGTCCATCTGGCGCGCCTTCTTTTCTGGTCTAGCGTCTGTTCCTGGGCCACTCCTCGCGAGGTTTACAGACCTCTGGTACACCTTCCGTATCTACTGTGGTCATTTCGAAAAGGATAGCCTCGAGCTTCACAAGAAGCACGGTGCGTTCTGCTACGATTATCCATCTCTATAATCATGACTCGATTCCGTGCTAATGCTGTCGGTTTGTCAAAGGTGCCATTGTTAGATATGGCGTGAATAGGTACAGCATCTCCGATCCCATGGCAGCCAAGGTCATCTACGGCACCGGAAGCAAATTCACCAAGTCTTCGTGGTACGAAACATGGTCAAATCCCCACCCAGATGCCTGGAACATCTTCGGAGACCGCGATCCAAAGCGCTATGCCCTCAACCGTCGTCAGTACCAGAATACCTATAGTATGTCTTCCCTCGTCAACTATGAATCGTACGTCGATGACTGCGCGGACCTACTCTGCCAGAGGCTCGAGGAGATGAGTGCTAAAGACGGCTCGGATGGGGCTGGGGCCGTCAACATGGGACACTGGCTTCAATGCTACGCCTTTGATGTCATCGGGATGATTACCTACTCGAAGCGAATGGGCTTTTTGGACTTCGGAGAGGATGTCGGAGATGTGATGCGGAACCTCGAGGATCATCTCGCCTACGCCACTCTCGTGGGCGTGTATCCCTGGCTACATCCCATCATTTTCAACATCCGCAATTGGCTTGCCGGTTCCCGAGGAAAAGGAAGGCAGTTCATCCTAAACTTTACTCAGGATTGCATGGCTGCTCACCAAGCTAAGCCCAAAGCTCAAATAGCAGAAGAGGGCTTGAAGACCAGGGACGGGGATCAGGGAGGGACCCTCGACTTCCTCTCGAAGTTTATGCAGAAGCACGCAGAAAACCCCGAAGTCTTCACTAGCTACCACGCGCTGGCCGGATGCACTTCGAACATGGTTGCCGGGTCCGATACCACCTCCATCAGCCTGAGCGCAATCTTGTACTACGTCCTGCGCAACCCGGACGTTCTAAAGAGGCTCCAGCAAGAGGTCGACGAGCACTGCCCACAGGACAAGTCCTCACCTCACATTACCTTTAGCCAAAGTCAGGACATGCCGTATCTGCAGGCAGTTATCAAAGAGGCTCTGCGAATGCACCCGGCGACCGGCTTGCCGCTTGAACGGATTGTCCCAGAGGGCGGTGTAACCATTAGCGGAGTGTTTTTCCCCGAGGGGGTATGTACCATACACCCTTGCTCTTTTGAAAGTTTCTGTCGTCGCTGATGCCTGGATGATTCTGTAGGTCACTGTGGGAATTAACAGTTGGGTCGAGCACAACAATAAGTCCATATTCGGCGAGGACGCAGATGTCTTTAACCCCGATAGGTGGCTCCAAGAAGACAAGGAGAGGGTAGCCGCAATGACTCGTCACTGGATGCCGGTAGGTCTCTCCAACCCCAGACACACCGCACGAGAATATCTAGTATTTTTCTTTGGTGTCTAACAGCTCTCGCTCAGTTTGGTCTAGGATCCCGAACCTGCATTGGACGCCATATTTCGATGTTGGAGATGTCAAAGCTAGTGCCGAGACTCATTCGGGACTTTGAAATGGAAATATGCGACAAGGGACGATGGCAAACGCAGAATTACTGGTTTGTGAAGCCGAAGAATTTTAGGGTAATGGTTCGCCCAAGGGTGGTGAAGCCCTGACTGTGATCGAGTTGGGGCAAGGGCGAGAAGAATGGATTGTAAATAGACTGTTTTCTCTTTCTAGAGAACGTCCCCGGCCCATCAAAATAAAAGATGGAGGACGCGTGTACCCTGTCCCTGATGCGAATATAAGTAACCCGCCTGATCGCTACAGCCGAACCAAAAGATATCAAATGCATCAATTGCTTTAAGTGTCGCGGCTAGCGTCACTTGACTGTTGAGTCTTACGTAGCCACTGCGCCGAGCTGCCTTTCACAATGCGGAATGTGTCCGTCAAAGAATCCCCGACAACTCCTGCCGAGCGATCTGGGGGAGTAACTCTAGATGCTGTACAACTCTGAACTTTTCCTTCTTTCTTTTCGCTACACCAAAATGGTCAGAGAGAGCTAATAGGTCTTGTCTAATACTACTAAAATCAGAACCTGCCTCTTGTAGGATTTCCACTTCTCAGTCGGTGTTTGCCAAACGTGTCCTTAGCCTCCCCATTAGTGCCCTTCGATACGAGCTGCTGAACGATCGGGTCACGGCCCTTCGAAGCGGCATAGCTCAGCAGATAATTGTCACCCTTCATTATCCCTTGCGTCAGTACCACGGTCGAGGAATAGTTAGACCAAGATATCGTCATCATCACTGACGACGCACCAGAGAGCGTTGATCTTTTGCTTCTGGACAGCTGATCGAGCTTTCCGATCCCCCCAACTGACATCTGATTGCGGATCTCGTCGACCATATCAGTGTACCCATGAAGCACTCCGATCAGAGTTTTGATACTTGCCCAGCAGTCCGGCCCCACAGTACTTGCTAAGACGTACCAGCCATCAAATATCTCGTCCACGTTGTCCATTGTCCATCAGCAGTCTTGCCACAGGCTCATCCCTGTTCCTGGAAGCCCGAATGAGTGCATCGCGTCTGATAGGCTTTTTTTTTTGGCTTGTCGGCCGACTCGACCAGTAAGTTATCGATAGCTCCGTGGCTATCTTAGCGGGAAATTGGCAGCGCGTGGACAATAGCGCAATCTCTTTTCTCGCAGCTCGAGGCTTTTTCACGCAATAACCTGACTGTTGTTTCATGTCTCCCTAACGCTGCAAGCCTGAGGGCTTCCCGGCGGGCCCGGGAGCCCAGGCCCACGTCCGCAACCTTGTCAAGTAGCATCTTAACGATAGTATCAAATCCCTTCTGGCTTGCAAGCTCGAGAGCCCTGCGTATCCAGTGGCCTCTTATGACCGAGTTTGCACCCCTGTCAAGCAGTAGCTTGACAATAGTATCGTCTCCCCTTTTGACTGCATGGCATAGAACCGACGGGTGACTCTGGCCTGAGTGGAATATGGGGTCCGGGTCTGCACCGAACTCAAGAAGCAGCTCGACGATGGCTTCATGGCCTCCCACAGTAGAGTACCAGAGCCCAGTTCCACCATCACCATCAGGGGTGTTAGGATTTGCACCACTATTGAGTAGCTGCCGAACGACGTCCACATGTCCATGGGCGGAAGCTTGACAGAGAAGTGTTCGGCCATGTTTGCATCCCTCGACATCGGCGTGGTTTGCAAGCAGAAGCTTGACGACTGAGCCATGCCCGTTGGAAGCCGCATGCCAGATCGGCGAGATTCCGTCTTTGTCCTTCGACGTAGGATCAACCCAGCCAGTTTCAAGTAACATGCTGACAATGCTCTCATGGCCATTCTTGGATGCGTACCACAAAGCGGACCTCCCTTCTTGATCCTTTAGATCAGGGTGAATTTTACCCGAGCTAAGAAGCATTCTAAAAATGACTGCATGGCCTTCCTCTGCTGCATGGGAAAGCACTGATTGGCCCTTGCCATCTCTCAGATACGTTCGAGTATCTCTTCGGGACAGCAGCTGGCTAACCAATGCGACATGTCCGCCACGGGCAGCAAGAGACAGCACTGTTCGTCCCGAAATATCCGTAGTGTTTATCGCAATGTCGCTTCGACCTAGTAGAAGCCAAACAACGTCTTCATGACCTCGAGCCGACGCATATGCGAGGGGTGAGTATCCATTGCTGTCTTTCGAGTTGATGTCGACCTCACGAAAATTTAGTAACAACTTGACAATACGTCCACTCCCAGCTTCTGCAGCAAATGAAAGCGGAGTCCGCCCTTCGCCGTCTTTGAAATCAACTTGTATGTTGGGGAGAGCTAGGAGTCGTCTTACACCGTCATCATCACCCTTTGACGCGGCATGGGAGAGCCTCTGTTCAGGGGATATAATATCTTCTTTATTCCCGGAGATGACGCTCCTTAGCAGTTTATTTTCTAGATGCATTGGCTGTAATTCTTGGCTTGGGGAAACAGCTCTCCATAGCGAAGCCTGGTCTCGTAACCTGATGCAGAGGTTTCTTGTCGGATATTGCGACGGGCTGAACTGTTTGAGATTGATCAGCCTAAGCTCTTCAGGCATAATACACCTTTCAAAATATTCCATGGTGAGGAACGAATCCTGGAGGTAGATCCCAATCAAGTAATCTTGCATGCCAATCTCGGTACAGTTTAGAATAATGAGGCCCATTCCACGCGGACCTTCCGCAATGAAAGGCGCGTCCATGTGAATCCCCTTGTTCGTTATGGTGAGCGGACTGTTTTATGGGGTGAGACGATTCCACGAGATGATGCTCCCCGAGTGCTTGAAGGCATCAGGGCTAACAGCGAGAAGTCCACCGGAGCCATTGGCAGGCTTAGGGTGTCTCCACGCAAAAAGGCTGTGGTCATCCGAGACTTTCATAATTTCCTCGTGGAGCCTGAGGAAGGCTTTCACGCCCTCTCCGTAGAGCAAAGGCATGTTGATGCCGAATATGCCCATCAAACAATAGGCTTGGTCCTCTATCCTTGAAGTTTTTCGACCCGCCGCCCACGACGTCCTCTGCGCGACGCTGGCGGTCTTGAGGTGTTTGGTGCCATCCAGAATGGCTTGGGGGATTCTAGTGCGCTCTGATATGCTCTTTCCGAGGCTTGTCTTGGTGCCCAATCCTTTCCAGTCCTTGTTGAAAAATACCATGTTGGAGGGTGCGACGAGCTCCTGCAGCGTCCATCCGCGAGTGAACCATTTGCTCTGCGTGAATTGTGACACTGATGAGATATCAGCAAGGTACGCATAGCAGACCTCGGCTTCTTGACACCATCGATACATAGAGTTGATGGCCTCAGACAACTCTGCGCTGCTCGACTTGTCAATGCAGCATCCGTCTATCCAGATGTAGTCGTACCCGTTCTCACGAGCCACAGAGCACGAGTTCTTGACTTTGTCGTAACCTTTCATATTCGCTGCTCTGCCCTGTTCCATATCCTGGAATATAACCTCTTCTTGCTCCCAGGTATGGGACAAGATAGCGTACGGGGAGGTACTGTCATCTGCGAACTCTGTGAGCTCGATGCGATCGGTATCCAATAGACGCATGGCTGGTAGGGGGTATCAAGAGCTGGCCCCAATGATTAAACGGAGAATCAGAAGCAGGGAGGGGAAAAAGCAAGGGCCGTGTAAGAAACCTTAACGGTACGATCTGTCTATGCGCGGAAGTGGCGACACATAACGCGAGGTCCTTCGACCTCAGTATACTTTTTGTCCGAAAGCGTAGTAGATAGAATCGTGACAAGACTAGACTTGGGACTATTTCGGCGGGATGAGGGATGAGGATTCAGAGCGAATGCCTAGGACAGGGCTAAAGAGTCGGAAAGAATGCGCCATGCCGCAAAGAAAACTCCAATACGGAAAAGTGGCGCAGAATATCGCCCGCCAAGGATGGAGAAGCGTCGTGGCTACAGACGTGCAGATGCAGGCAGGCAGGCAGGCTACCAATCAACCACCAGGAGCTGGGAGTCAAATCAATATTGCTACCCGAACTGGTTACGATTCCTAGTGGTGCCATGCACTGAGATGATTCCTCTGATAGACTCAGCCACACACCCGCAAACTCCGCTCTTTACAGTGATGTTTGAAAAGTACAAGTTGGGCTTTCCTGTTATACGAATAAAAATTGCCTTACCAAGTAGTTGGACAGGGTGTGGGAGAGGACTCTTGGCCGGGGTCCTCGTTACACACTGGCAGCCAGCCTGCATTTAAATAGCTCAGCTTCTCACCTGCAGGCTGAGTCTAAATCTTTCCTCTCACTTCATCTGACCAACATGGCAGACACTGAAGACAAATCCAGCCTGACACTTGTCGGTGTCGACAGTACACAGAATGGCGAGGTAAGAACTGACCTTTAGGATTGCTTCATCATACCCCGTACCGGCACACTAATAATAAGTTACCTCATCGAGTAGAGGTCGCTCTGCGACCGGTGCATAAGCGTCGGCTTCAGCTTGGACAAATTCATTGTTAGCAAGCCAACAGTTGTCGTGGATATAGTCCAGAATCGCTACGGCTACGAGCCACGGAAGTCGAATGATAATTTTCGCCTCAACTCGGGCGCCAGCCTGAAGAACTTTGCAACCTTGCGGGAACTCCAGGAGAGCCGAGTTAACTGCGCGTTCTGCGACCTTGTTTTCCGCGCGATCGAGCGCTACAGTGGAAGCACAGCAGTCGATGACACCACTTCGTGCTCCCTGCGCTGGGAGGTCCACGGCCGGGAGGCCGACTCGCGGTCTGCCTTTGCTGTTAACAGCACGAGGCGGATCCGGTTCACCTGGAACGAGAAGCTGGGTCATACGCAGGAGGTCTATGTGATCTATGTCGCGCCGAGGGACGCCCTGCGGCCGAATTCGGACGCCATTTCGAGATGGGAGCGGGAGACGCTCTTCCTTGGACGCGATTTCGGTGATCAAAAGGAGAAGCAGGCCCTCATCAAGAGTTGGCTTGATCTCTGCATCCACGACCATCGCGATGAGTGTCGTCACACGCATGACAGTCAAGATGAGTTCCGGAAGCTGATCGAAGAGACCTACTTTGGCATCATTGATGTGGCCGACATGCAGCTCAAGTCCCTACCTATCAGCGCCAACGGAGAACCAGAGCCTTATGTTGCGCTAAGCTATGTGTGGGGTCGGAAACCGCACGATGATCCGCCATACGTTACGAAGCGGGCAAACATCGTGACCCATATCCTACATGGTGGTCTTGAGACGGCGTGGGAGAAGCTACCGCGGACAATCCAGGACAGCATCCTCTTAGTGAGCCGACTTGGCTATCGCTACTTGTGGATTGACTCGCTGTGTATTGTTCAGGACAGCGACAGCTCGTGGCAACTCAACGCCCAAGCTATGCATTTAGTCTATGGTCATGCTCTGTTCACAATCTGTGCAGCTGATGGACGCGATTGCTCGTCAGGTCTACGTGCGGCGCAGCCAATCTTGCGAGCCTTGGATCCAGGTCCATTTGGCGGCAGCCAGGAAGCATCAAGAGATTTTGACGATCCACGGCCAATATGCGCCGATGTTGGCAAAGGTTTGCGCCTCATGGTAACGCGGCCGCTTGAAGCCATGATTAGCGACTCGGAATGGGATACACGCGCGTGGACGTTCCAGGAGCGAATCCTTTCTCGCCGCTGTCTCATCTTCGCTGAGGGGCGTGTCTTCTTCCAGTGTCGCACCACCTGCATGTCCCAGGACATCTACTCGGACGGGAACAGGAAAGGCTGGTCGCTGGATCAAGCCAACTCACCGCTTAGAACGCTTCGCGAACTACAGCAGCGCCCGCTTTGGCTCTATTTGATGTACATTCGCATGTACACAGGGCGCCAGCTGACGAAGCCACGGGATGTCCTAGCCGCCTTTAAAGGCGTAGAATGGCTTCTGGAGGAATATATGGAAGCTCCGGCGCTGTTCGGTCTGCCGACTTCCCACTTCGACCTGGCCGTCCTCTGGAGCCCTCTGGAGGCGGTCCGACGAAGACAGCCCAGAACGCCGTCGGGATCTGGCACATCATGCGTGCAAGACGCCCTGGGAAACTGCATCTGCAAGGTCGAGCAGGAGTCCTTTGGGGGGAATGACTTCCCGTCGTGGTCCTGGTCAGGCTGGATGAACGGCAAGAGCGAGTATCAGTCGAGCATGCTTGAAGGGTGCTTGGTCGATGTGCGCGACTGGCTCACTCACCATACCTGGATCCAGTGGCATATTCGCGACGAGACAGGACACTTGCGGCCTTTGTGGGGTATGATTTCTCACAAGACTAACGAATACATAATTAACCACCGCGCCGGCACGAAGGAGGATGAGCGATGGATGGGCTACCCAGGCATAGAAGATGCCCAGCCACTGTTCATCCGTCCACTGTCTCCGCCTCCGCCTCCGCCTCCGCCTCCCGACCTTGGCGAGCTGCGCTACCACTATCGTGATGTATCCCCGCCCCGACCTAGAGGGCTAGAGTCTCCACCCGATAGACGCCTAATGCGGCTCGGAGACTTATTGGTCAGAGTCCTAGAAGTCCTTGGTGTCTTCCGGTTCTGGTGGTGGTTGTGGAAAGGCGGAAACTGACCCCATTTTCACTCTCGTAGTCGCAGTCGCACTCGCAGTCACTCTCGCAATCGCTCCCGCAGTCACTCTAGCAGCGGCCGTGTCGTTCAACATGTTGATCGCGAACATATAACCCGCCGTCCCCGCATGTCTCCACCAGATCGTTCGTCTCCCTTGCCCTAGAAATCCAGAGTAGCACAGCCCTGTTAACACTCAGTATAGATAACCGCTGGAACACAACCTCCTGGAGAGGGCCCCCCAGTGATAGAAGCAATATGGATTTTGAGCGTGTGACTAATTCGGCATACGTGAATAATGGAACGACCATGTCAAGGAATGAAAGGGAAGCTGATTTTAAGAGGCAGCGCCGTGTCACCCTGGTCGATCCCCCTGAAGACATCCATGGCGGACACGACAAATACGGCCGACACATTCGAGCGGACGTCTCTGCGATGCATGATGAGAAAACGCCCATGTTTCAGGCGATTCTTCCCGATAACCCTTTTGGGGTTATACGCGACAAGGCTCGGGATCCGCCCACGGACCGCTGTAGAAGCCCTAATAGAATGGGCAAGGGGTCTCGGATGACATACATGCCTATTCTCCAGTTTAAAACCTGGCGCACCGAGCTCCACGTCACCATCCGTGACGGCAACTTCGAGAGTAGCGTCAGACCAACAAACACAGGGCTGTGCCAGTGCGACATCCTCGACAAGCCGAGCGACTGGTGCGGTGCCATCGTTCTCGATGAGGAGTGGATTCGCGATCGCCAGGGTAACGTCTTCCAGTTTATTGCTCTATCGGGTGCGGAGTGCTTCACGCAGGAAGAGTGCCCGGTCTGGACGTACTACATCCCTAAGGAGCGAGATGAGTCTGAGTGGGATTTGTATTTTGTGCTGCTGTTGCAACGAGATATAGAGAGGGGTGTCTGGGAGCGCGTTGGGCTTGGGAAGGTCTTCCAGGCGGCTTCTCGGGACCGATCTTGGGCCGAGATCAAGCCTGGGTAGCAATTGTAATTGAAGAGTCCCTAGATTGCTGCCGCTCAAGTTTGTCCAGACTTAACCATGCCCGCAATATAACTCGAATTCTCTTAGTGTCCACCTAGTATCATCATGTCAATTCCCAAGGTTTCCTTCCATGAAGTCTGTCGGAAAAAGCGAACTTGGGCACCAGAAGACTTTCCACAGGTGCATACCAAGAATGTCAGAGGGTTAGCGACGTCACAGCCGCGCAAAGGCCGGTATTCCACAGGCCCATCTCCGGCCGATATGTCATCCGGGAGCCCACACGACGTGAGGGCCTGTCAACTTTTAATTTTGGGCCGCAGGAGAATGCCGGGTAGGCGAGGAACCCTCGGGTGAGCTAAGAAAGCGGGACGGCAGTTGATTGCCACGTACTACCAGCTCCATGCAATTCTTTCTTAATAACCGATAGGGACTCATCTCAGAGTTGTCGCTACTGCCACAGAACAAGGAGGAGGATGACGAAGAAGAGCTGGAGGTGAATGACATTATTCCTGGCAAGGGCAAGGGCCTTGCTATTCTCCTATACGGTATGCATCCCCTCACCGCGTCTAGCTTCTTTTTATATCCGGGGATCGCAATTACGGTTCGGCCCTCGGCCCTTCGCCTGGCTACTACCTCCAGAGTCCGGACTGAGCGTTGTGATCGAGGTACAGAGGATGTAGAAGATTGTTCAGCTCCGTTCCACCTGGAACTAAACGCCCACTATTGCGTTCTAAGCAGTCGGGAATCAGGAGCGGTGATTACTTTTATTAACCCCGCTGAACTTGCACACTTGCAGAAACACCATCACATGCTAAAAGAGAATGGAAGACAATGTACTTGTAGAAAAGAGGAGGGGGAGGGGCAAAGGCCAGGCAGCGCGACGAGGCGCGATCCAGGTGAGTTAGGTGGCGTTCATATTTGCCAATAGGAGGTGGTCAGCAAACCGTTCGTGCCATTTACACGTTTCATTATCACTTTAACGTGTTTTGTAGGTAACCAGTTCGAAGATGAATACGTGTAGTGGCGTTCCGATTCTACAGTCGTGCAGCGAGTGATAAGGTGCTACGCAGTTCTAGCTCTGAAAGAGGCATTTATTCAGAGCTTCTGATGTTGCTATTTTATTTTATTTTTTTTCTATTACACTCCTTCGCCTAATCTCGGACGAGACGTAGGACCAAGCCTTCGCAGAAGCACCCTACTCGAAAATGACCTTGTTCTTCAGTGTTCCAAATCCGTGAAGCTCCACCTCCATGATATCATTGTGCTGGACAAAGCCTTTAGGCTCCAGGAACAGCCCCACTCCTGAATGGGTTGGTTAGTTGGCTCACTGTAAAACAGCCTTATATTACTCACCACTAGGGGTCCCCGTCATGATAATTGTTCCCCTTCTGAGCATCGTTCCCCGGCTCAAATGATGAACAATCTGCTTGACAGTCCAAATCATGTCATCTGTCGAGGTTTCTTGCCGCTTCACCCCGTTAACACGGGTAGTATAGAATAAGGCCTGAGGATCCGGGACTGCTTTTCTGGTGCAAATTGCTGGGCCAATGGGCGCAAAACCATCAAAAGATTTAGCGTAGCAGAACTGACCCCCGCTGACGTCGGGAAGCTGGAAGTTCCGTGCACTGATGTCGTTCCCAATCGTATAGCCAAGTACGTAGTCGAGACCGTCAGCCTCAGAGACGTTCTTAACGTCCTTCCCTATCACGATCACCAGCTCACCCTCATAGTCCAGCATGGGCGTGGCATCAGGGTGGACGTGAACATCATCATACGGACCTTTTGTTCGTGCCTATCAGCGCATTCGCTCTGTGTATTATTCTGTATAAATAGCTTACCGGCGAGCGCAGTCGGGAGTTTCATGAAAACCACGGGATACGGGGCGATTGTCAGATTAGCTTCTTTCGCGTGCTCCTTGTAATTGAGGCCGATGCATAGAATGGCTGGTGTAGACTCAAGAGGGCACAGAACCTTCGGCCATCCGTTGTCAGTATGACACCGTCGGTATCAGTGGAATTCCCGCGTCGTGTTCACCTACCTTGGCTACTTTTGCCACTGCAGTAGATGGACGTAAACCGCCATCAAAGGGATCTCCTTCCAGGAGCTTGACCGTTGCACCTATAAGGTCGACGGCAAGGTCTCTCTGGGAGGGCTCTCCGTAGTGAATTATGCCCCTGTCATCTTGGAAGCGAATGAAGGTGGAAACCGTCATGATGATTCCTGGTAGAGTTAAATTTTAATGTTAGCAAATCTCTCGTGTGCACACTATTTGCCTATGTAATTCCTGCTGAGAGATGCTAACTATATATATAGTTAAGAGCGGGATCCACCTGAGAAACCTCAAACATCCCCGGAATGCTACAGTGGGGCCCAAAAAGTTTCGATCACTTTTTAATTACACGCCACGATTGCGTCACCCGCATTCTTCCTCCTCCATCTTTAAAAGATCATATTAGAATAGGGAAAAATATCGCAGCGGGAAGGTTCATCATGAAAGTGTTCTTGTCGTAGTTTAACCCCTCAATCCCTCCTCCTACACCCCGCATGCTCCGCTCTACCACCGGCCCGCCGCCCCGCTTGTTGTTCCCATGGTTGTTTGATTGTTCCGTTCCTTCTCTTCTCCGAGCATCTTGTCGACTGTCCGTGGCCCAGTGGGATTGAATATACGTCTGCCTTCAGCCCTTCACCATAATGTGTACAATGCGCTTTATGTAGAAAGATCGATACCACGCCAAATCAAAATTATAGAGCATGCCTGGACTATTCGCTTTGATCTCAATATAATATTCTCTTCCGATATGAAGTTCTTGCACTCATTTATACTACACGAAGCTACTTTTCCATTTCCCGTACTCCCGCGCACTATCCGCCATGACATCAAACCCCAATAGCTGCGATTGATATGCAGTATCCGCCCATTGCCATCGAGAGGGGTCGACCCAGTTGACGGCGCGAAGGTCGGCGTCTCGCGCACGTTGTTCCGGACCATCCTTCATATGGTACATTTTTCGGTTGGCCACAGCCCCTTGTACGTTCAAAGTAGTCCGAGGCTTGCGGAGGCTTTCATATAGTTGAAGTATTGAGGGTATCTTCTGCAAAACTTCATGGTGGCTGAAGTCATCCGATAGCCTTGTTAACAAGTAACCCAATACCGCGCCGTCTTCGACGGCCATTGCGGCACCCTGCGCTTGATATGGCAAGGTAGGATGGCAGGCGTCGCCCAGAATAGCAACATTGTTTCGGCACCAACTATCAAGTTCTTCATGGTGGCAAAGCTTCCACTTCAACACACGGGGAACACAGGAAATCATGGTTGTCAGAACTTCATCCCATCCGTGGAAGGTTTGCCTCATTTCTTCCAAATCTCCATTGGCCTGCCGGGTACCTGAAGGAAGGTTGTCAGGGCGTAGAAGCACCAAGTTGTACTCCCGTCCTCCTCGAACCGGGTATAGGACGCAGTGTTTGTCCGGTCCTATCCAGACACAGGGTATGTTGCGCCCAATGAACTCATTAACACGCTTGTTACCTAAGGATTGAAGCATTGCGGTCGGAAATGTGGCTCTGTAAGCTAGATCTCCTGTCTCTACAGGTGGTGAGGGTCGCCCAAGAATAAGGTCGCGAAAACGAGACCACAGCCCTGCCAAATGTCTTAGTTCATCGCCCCAATCCTGATCCATCAGAGGTACTCACCATCCGCGCCCACAATTACATCTCCAGACACAATCTCCCCATCCACTAAAACGACTTTAGTTTGCTCAAAATCGACGTCTTTCACTTCCGCCCCAAGGCGGATCTCAACCCCCAAATCTCTAGCCTGCTCCAATAATATCCGGTGGTAGTCTTCGCGGTGTGCGACCCTATGTTTCATTATCATGATCAGCGTCCAGTTATCCGAAAGTATAAAGCCTTGTCACATACAGCCAAGGAGCCCCGTACTCTCGCTCCACCTTCTCACCGCATTCACGGCTCAAGAGAAGTTCCCCATTCGAGTATCGACGGAGTTCTAGGTTATCAACTCTGACAGCATCTTTCAATAATTCCTCTAAGAGGCCCAGGTGTTTCATGATCCGAGACGCATTCGGTGGAATTTGAATCCCTGCTCCTACCTGTAGTTACATGCGACTCTCTGTCAGTTAGAAGAATGTCCTAAGCGCTGCAGAAGTGGTGAACTGCCAAATGGCCCGCTATTGTTGAACTCACGGCAGCAATTTGCGGCGCCCTTTCCAAAACAACCACATCTAAATCATGTTTTTTACACACAACCGCACAGGTTAACCCTCCAAGGCCTGCGCCGACGACGACAACCCTTAACGGAAACGATGGCGGTTTCGGAACAGCAATCATGTCTTGATTAAAATATCCGGAGACTTTTTCGTGGTGTCGTCTGATCATGCGGCTGGCTGATGGGAGAGCAAGCATATAAAATGTCGTGACCTGCGCTTTTCACAATAATAATCTTTATTCACCCGCAAAGAAACTAAGTGGTGTTATCCTGATAGGTAGTAAAGGTCCTGCGATGACCCCGGGGAAAATCTGGTATTCGCCGAGGATGGTTGAACAATTCAAATTAGCAACACACCCATGGGGAACTTTTTTGGTTCCACCTACATCCCACTGTGGTTGTCCTACTGTGGGTGTCCCACTGTGGATGTCCGTCCCACTGTGGGTTTGGCCTCTATCCACCCGCCGGAAAGCGCAAAAGTGGGCGGTGGAGACAATTTCCTCCCCCATGGGTGGGTGTTTAAAAGTTGGGCTATCAATGGGATGCTTGTGGGCGATGTTACAATCCTAACACTAGCCCGTTGACGGTATCAGGTAGATACAACTGGTGACAGGATTGAGGTGGTTGTCTGTTGGTGGTAGAGTGAGGCAGTCAAGCAGTGTTCACGAGATATGGGTGAGAAGTGCGTATTCAAGTGTAGGGGTGTAGTTGTACTTGAATTGACTACTGGAGAGTCTCGAAGGACAAACTAGATACATGGTAGAGACTGTAGTTTATATAGACATTTCCCTTCCAAGCTCTCCCTGGATCACCTTAGCTCACCGTGATCCTGTACGATCCGGATCACTCCCGGATCACCGTGAGTACGGGTGATCTGCTACTCCCGTGACCTGGCGTATTCCCGTAGTTTACCCTTTTCTGCCGGCCTTGACCGCTCGGCCGTTCTGTCTGGCCATGTGTGGCCGTGACAGGCGAGGTCAAAGCCAAATGAAAAATTGGCAAGACATATATAATTACGTTAACGAACGGTAGCCGGTAGCTGCAACACTGGCGCACTGGATGAGTATTATTAAAAAGATCACATTAACCTAGTCCTAAAGCTATTTTTATCTTTTAGTACTCGTGCTACCCTCCCCCTATAAATTTTAAAATAATATTCTTTAAAAATATTATATTATAAATATATATAGTAAAATAAAATAAAAATATATTTAAGATAATTACTTAAGTACTTATTAAAATATTTTAACTATTTCTATTTTTTATTTATAATATTTTTTATAGATGTCTTTTTTGTAAAGTGACCTCGAAAATAAATTTGCGTTTGGGTGGGGACCCCCCTTTGGTGGGTGCGTAACACGAGTAACTAACTGTACGTACCAGAAAGCTCGAACGGAACCAGAATCTAGATGATGGTCACGTAGACGAAGGGAGACTAGCGCCTTGCTCATTTTCCACCACGATCTCTGTCTCCGTCTTCATAATCTCAATTGATTTATAGTGTTCACACATAGTCAACTGGCACCGCGGGAGTAAAAGACCCTTATGAACACTAGATCAACCTCCGCTCCCTGGCATGGCTCGTCCCACAATATAGCCACGTAACTGTTGACCAGATTTATTATACCAAAAAGAACCACTAACTAGTTGATCACCTCCAAAGTTCCAAAGCAGATGTTCAACTTTTTTTTTTTTTTTTAAAGTTATTGTGGGCGTCCTATATTATGACTTGGCCTGTGGTTTGATAGGCGGTAGAGCCTTGGCGCGGGCGATGTGATGAGGTGGGGGTCGAGGAGTGGACTTTTGCGTAGTCATTGTAATATACGGTTGCGAACCATTCAACAGCAGACCGCCTATTCAATTACCACTTAGTCTGGTCTCCCACCGTTCCCCACCGAAGTGACGGCTATCTACCTCGGCCAGAAGCGTCTCCGCTCTAAGAAACGCCTGTCGATGTCGCCATGCCACTTGAACGACGGCTGGGGACGAAGGAACATCAAAATGAGACCGCCAATTTAAATCCCAGTGCACGCACTTCCCTGCCTATCACTTATGTCCCAGCCAACCGCTTACTGACCCGTCTTCATCCCTCACTTCCTATACACGCAATCATGGGGTTCGAAATCAAGACGCGCTCAGACTTCGACCGGTACATCAAGGACTTCAACACCCAGAACATTGAACTGTATTCCCAGTGGTATGGCGACGAAGTCTGCATGATCATTCCAGGTAAAAAATTGGATGTGGTGGGCAAAGGGCCAGTCACTGGCTTCTTTGTCGAGGGAAGGAAACACGTGAACGAACACATCTATCCCAACCACGTGGTTCTGGACGAAGGTGGTCTTGCAGCCCACGTGACCATTTATTTTGTGCCGAAACACGACTGGCCTGTAAGTATACCCCTATCTACCTGGGTTTGTGGATTCAGTTACGCCCTCGTTTCTTTCCTGCTGCCCCTTACCCTCGCCCCTAGGATGTCATTCGTTTGTAAGTTGACCCAATATATTTCAGGCTAGCGAAGAATTCCCCGCTGCCAAGCTAGGCCAGGCTATCAACGCGCAGTACATCGTATTCTACCTCTTAGATGAGACTAAGCGAATTGGAAAGTTCTGGGCTGTCGAGGCTGGGACTAAATCAGTGGTTGATGCTTGGGACGAGATCCGATATACCCCCAATAACTAGTCAGTCTAGTGCGGATTGAGAGAACACTTTTGACCGTTTGTCTTTGAAGCGTGGGCGAAGATGCACTATGCCGGACTTGGCGACCGGCATGCCCACACGGTCCGCGATCGTTGTTGGCAAGGAGAATTCGTGAGCACCAAGGACTTTCAGTCGTTTCATAGCAACTGAATAGAAGTATTTCCAATAATCATCTTTGGCAACGATTAAGACGCAGAAAGTTTAGTTTCTATTCTCTTACTGAAACCCAACACTCTGGTCAACTTGCTTATCCCACTCATCCACATGAGTATAGCCCTCGGAAAGAGCCTGCAGAGCTTTGCGGTATGGAATTGACGCGGCTGCGCAATAGGCCCATGCGGATGGGCTCTTGATGCTTAAACCTCTTGAATTGAATGGCCAGAATGTCGTAACAATAGAACAACCTATGCTGCTCTTCCTCCTGGATGAGTCCACATCGCATGTGGACTGGGCAAAAATGTGCTATAGAACATGGGATAAGGTGGACTATCGATTGATCGATCAATTAATAAATAAACGCTGAGTGAGAGAACCGACCGAAGCTGACTATGTAATTAAAAGCATCGCTTCGGGCATTCTGAACCGTATTATGCTACTCCCCTGAATCTTCCAACAAGAGCACGTGTCTCATAGCTTCCTTAAGGGCCGAAGTACAATCTGGTTTCAGTTGCTCAGACCTCCACGCGATGTACCTGTCTGGCCTGACCAGAATACAGCCAGATTCCTCCACCTCGCGAAGACTTTCCCAATCAAAAAGAGGATCTTCGTAGTCCTGTCCAAAACCAATTGAGAATGCAACTATCTCTACACCCAAGGATGTCGCAACAGATTCTGCAGCTGCTTTCCATTCGCTTCCACCTATGCCTGTCAATAACGTGAAGCGGCCTTTCCCGGCGAGATCATGAGTCGAGATAGGCTCTGTCGGTATCGCCTTGTTCAGCCATGCATGAGGCAGGCGGCTTCCTGGAAACGTCGTCATATTGTACTCGCGAAGAACATCGTCGAAATCTGGCGGCGCTTGTTGCCCGTCAATGTAAATCGCGTCAGACGTATAGCGATGGTTCATCTCAATACCGATGCCCTGAAGCTCATATCCCGTCTCTTTAATAGCCTTCCGAAATCTAGCCCGCAACTCGTGGCCTTTTTTGCTCTCGTCTCGCAATAGCTGGATCCTCTCTTTCAACCCGGTGAGATCAGGTTTGAGATCTAAGCCTAAAACTTTCCATATTTCCATATGGTAATCCACGGCCATCATGGCTCTTTGCAGAATTAGCTAACGGTCAAGAAGAGATTCATTTCTGACTCCTACCTATTGGCAACATGTTTTCCTACTGGCTGTCTTTCTTGCGAGTATGTCTCTAACAGTTTTGGACTGGCTTTGCCTATTCTCGATATTAATTTGTGACATGCAGTGGCCAAATGACTGGATAAAGTACTTGCCTTGAAGAACGTGGGCAACCTTCCATGCGAGATTATATGCATCCTGAATGGATGTATTTGAACCCAAACCCCCGCCAGGGGTATGGCGGTGGACAGCGTCGCCTAAGCAGAAAATTCTCCCCTTGGAGTACTGGCTTGCCACCGCATGATTGAGCTGCCACCTGGAAACATCACGGATCGTGACGGGCACAGAAGCATTGAAAGCTTTTGACACCCTCAACTTCCAGTCTTCTTCAGTAGCTGGGGCGCTGGCTTTAGCAGAAGAACCGGGGGCAACAAAGAACCCAACCACCCATTGATTCCATGGTTTCACCATCCTAGGATGGACAATCCAAACAAGCCCTGGAGTGAGGTGATCTTCTTGGAAGGTCCAATGTAAATTGCCATACCGATGTTTGATCTGGTCTGACAGGTCCGCGTCAACGAGCAAGTTCCATACCTCGACTCCGGCTCCATGGCCATGCTCTAAAGGGAGTTCAAGCTGTCGCACAATCCTGCTGCGTGCACCATCTGCCCCGAACAGATATTTGCAATGAACTGTGTGCTCGGTACTAAAAACTTTGTCCCTGACCAATACGTGCACCAAGTCGCTTGATTCGTCTTGCTCAAAACCAATGAATTCGGTGTTGAAGCGACAGATAAAGCCACTTGAAACCGCCTTCCTATTCAAAATAGGCTCAAGAAGTGTCTGTGCCAGGTCCATTGGCGCACATGGACTTGCGGCATGATATTTTGCCTGCAGATTTGTCAATATTGCGGCCGACAGACCTACATCCCGGAAGGGTGGTGGGCGTCTTTCTCACCTCCGCTGCTGGACCAGTGCCCCAAGATGGCGCTCGAGCATACTCCTCCCCAGAAAGGCTCTCAGACCAGTGGCAATAAGTCATGAATTCCTGTGAAAGCCCCGCTTTGCGGCACTCTTCTTCAAGCCCGATGTCCCGCATACACTCTGGTTCCTTTGTTAGCAAACCAAGCTCGGCACCTTGGTAAAAGTTTTCTCACCCATGGTGGCCATGTTGGTTATGTGGGCTCTAGGCGCCTCTGTTGTCGAAGAAGTGTTGCTGAATATAAGACCTTTGATTCCTAGTTATCTCGTTAATATAGCGGCTACAAATTTCAACATTCTGTGATCTTTACGAACCATAATGTCCCAAGAAAGCTGCTAATGCCCCTCCCGCTGGACCTGTTCCTATAATCACACAGTCGACTACGACTGCACCATTATTAAGACTGCTATCTTGGGCCGTTCGGGATCGCGTCATCGCTTGGAACTGTGGTTTAGCGCACAGAACTCTGGCTCGGTTGACCAAAAATCGTCGTCGAGTGAAAAATGATGGGCAACTTGAGTAATTTTTATCAGGTTCCGGACGAGGACAAAGTATTGAGATCTGAGCGTAAAATGAAGTTTACTCTCTGTAGGTATATAACCTACAACTGATAGCGGGTTATATACCCCACATTCTCAACTAGGGCTAATTACAGAACATTCTGTCCTAGGCTAACGCAGGTTCACTTTCCCATTAATTCCACCACTCTTGAAACTGCAATTGTATTTACCCACCACACCGAGCTCTATCCCCGGAACAGCAACCCACCCATGGGCCCACAATACCAATTTTCCACTTGAACAATAGCTGCTCCGCCGATCAGAAACATTAATAGTCTAAAGAATTTATCAGGTAGGGTATTTTTGAATAAGCAAATGCCCAGGCGTCCCGAGCAGCAAAACAACCGAGAAATTACCGGTCTTGAACTTCAGCGCCGAGACTAAGCATATCAACAAGCAATAAGATATTCTTCATAGCCGCTAATACAACATACGTACAGCCACAGTCACAAAACAGCAGATACAGTAGAAACTCGTAACATACTCCCTTAGCATAGGGTAGGCTGTAAAATTTCTCCCTTAAAAGAAGGAAATTAGAATATTTTTATAAAAATAAAGCCCTCTTAGGTATCACAGCTACACATAGCTAGAAAAGAAGGCCAGGCAGTCATAGCTAGCAGAAAAGGATAAACTATAAGAATATATTAGATTATAGGAAATATAGATTACCTATACTTATAGTAATCTAGGAATAATCTAGATTATATAGGATTATAGTAAGCTAAAGTAATCTAAAGAGAGCTTAGAAGAGAAATATCTATATAAACTATAAATTCTACTATATATCTAATTTATCTTTTAAAATTCTCTAATAGTTAATTTAAATATAACTATACCCCTACACTTAAATATATACTTTTTTAATAGTAATAATATAATTATAATTATATTACTATTATTAAAGAAATATATATTAAAATTAAAAAATAAATTATTAAAATAAAGATAGTTAAAGACTTTATAGGTTATTAATATAAAAAAAATAGAGAACTTAACTAATATTTTAATAACTTAAAAAGTTAAGCTAGAAAAGATCTATTATTAAATATATAACTAAGTTTAAATAGATTACTACTTACCTTAACTAAAAAGATAAGCCCCTAATAACTTACTTTTATAATAAATTTAAAGAAAATATTAAAAATAAATTTTATAAAGAAGAGAAATCTACTTAACTAAGTAAGTATATAAAAAAAGCTATTAAGATTAATAACTAACTATATAAATAATAATAATAGAAATATAGCTATACTATTATAATAAAAGCTTATAAGCTATAAGCCTCTACTAATAATAAATAGAAAAAAAGTAATAGTAATATATTATAGAGAACTTACTTAAAACTTATAGAACTTAGGGCTAATAATAAGGGAATTATTTCTAAGTTACTAGAAAATAAGATTAGTAAATATTATCTATATAATAAGTATAAATATTAAATATAGAAATACTAAAATAAAAGTAAAATATAATCTTAAGATAAAAGAAAGAAGGATTAGAAGCCTATACCTAAAGGAAAGATATAATAGTTTAAAGCTAATATAATTAATTATAAGTCCCTATTATAGATTATATATTATAATAATAGCTATACTATCTACTAAAGTAAGAAAAATAGAATAGGATAATATCCTAAAAAACTATAAACTTTTAAAATAATAAAATAGGAAGAAATTACTAATATTTTAGAGATTAGGGAATAGATAAAGGAAACTTAATAGGAATTATTAGGAAAGTTTAAAACTTTAATATTAAAAAACTTATCTTATAAGTAATATTATAAAGAAGTATATTACTATTACTATTAAATACTATATTTAATATAATAGCCTATATATAAATTAGAACTAGAAAAACTTATAAAATCTAAAGGGGAAATAATTTTATATATTAGACTTATTAAATAACTTAGTATAAGTAAACTTAAGTTAGAAGATTTAAAGAATATTCCCTATCTAGAAAAATAATAAATAATATAGAAAAATATACTAAAACTACTAATAAGATATTAACTTTATAATAATAAATAGGAAGACTATAAGTAATAAATTTAATAATAAAGAAAATAGTAGTAGTCTAAAGCTACTAAAAGAGGAGAATAAATATAAAAAGGAAGTAAAGGGGAAATAAGTAAAAAGAACCCTATATAAGCTAA